TCGATCGATGGAATAAGTTCACTTTAGGTCCCTTAATTTATCGGCAAATCCGAAATTCGTCCATGAACCGCAATATTAGATATAACGGGTTCCTCAATTTGTAAAATTGGATCACCCGAGGTCTTAGGTAGTATTATATCCGGTTTTAGCTGACGTAACAAGCTGAGTCAGTGTGAGATCCACGTGTCAGGGCAATTCAGTCTAAATAAAAAAAATAGCATTTGGCGAACCCTACACATTAGTGACCCATCCTCTCCTCCCTCTCTCCGTTTCTCTCTACTATTTTATCACCGACGTAGGTGGGACAATGGTTTTGAGGGCAACAGCGGCACACGGCCGCACGACCACCTAGGAGGGGAGGGGTGTGGCTGGGAAGAAGCCGGTGAGAAGATCCGCGGTGAGGATGAGGAAGGGAGGGGAGAGAAGTGAGAGGTGGAAGAAAGTGTTTCAATTAACATGTGGGGCCCGTGTGGATCCCACGCAGACTCAGCTTGCCATGTCAATTAAAACCAGACATAGGGCCTGTTCACTTTGATGCCATTTTCAACCTTACCAAATTTTGGTAAAATTATCAAAAAAGTGACTACATTTAGTTTGCTACCAAATTTTGGTAACTGTATAAGAAATCTTGCCAAAATTTTGACAATGCCAAAATTTGGTAAGGTTTTTTTTTTTGCATCAAAGTGAACATGCCCATAATACTGTCTAGAACCTCGAGTGATTCGGTTTTGTGAATTGGAAGACTCGTTATATTTGGTATTTTGGTTTAGGGATAAATTTCATACTCGTTGATAAAGGCCCTGTTCGAATCCACTAAAAATAGTGGATTAAATTTTGGATCAAAGTGGCACGCTTTTCAAACTGCTAAATGGTGCGTTTCGTGTAAAAACTTTCTATAGGAAAGTTGTTCTAAAATATCAGATTAATCCATTTTTCAAGTTTATAATAATTAAAACTTAATTATTCAAACGTTATTTCTACCTCGTTTAACGCTTAATCTTCATCTTCAGAAGATTCAAACACCATCAAAGTAAGGAACCTAAAGTGAACTTATTTCTGGATCGATCGATCAGGACATGGCCCATGTTGTTTTCTTGTCCTCAACGCAACGACGTCACAGGCACAGTCTGGGTCTCAAGACAAATATGGTGTTCGCCTATGCCGGCGCCGGCGACAAGGAGGGACACTTCGCAACGGCAAATTTTGAGCCTCCCCGAGTCCCCGCGCGTGAAGACGAAGACGGGATAGACCGAGAGCGAAATCCAGTATCCTGCAAGAAATATGGGCCTAAACAATCAAAGTTGCTAGGAATTGGGCCGAACGTACTTGCGGATCAAGAGCTGGGCAATGATAGAGAAGTGATTTTGCCCTGGCCTACTACGATCGATAAAAGCTTTAAATAAAGTCTAGTTTGACTCTGTACGATCATCGTTCGCCTCAATCGTAAAAAAAATTGGGTATAACGACTCTCTCAACGGTTAAACCCGGTAAAAAGACTCACGGAACAGTACTAAGGTTGGTATTTACTCATGTGGTACATTAACCTAGTCTTCATACTATATGGTGTTTACACGAAAGAACAATCACTACTACTACTAATAATAATAATAATAATAATAATAATAATAATAATAATAATAATAATAATAATAATAATAATAATAATAATAATAATAATAATAATAATAATAATAAATAGGACCACTTGTAAATGGGATAATAGTTTTAGACATTTCTGATGGATGAGAGTTTCACTTGTATGAACCGAGTTTACGTGCATGGATTGTGAGGTGTGATTATCTTATGAGCTCTCCATTAATTATAAGGCACTGAGATACTGTTCTATTTATGACAGCCTTAAAGGTCAGATTATGCAGAAATACAACTAAGGCCTTACAGTTGACACCTTTTCTGCCAATATGTGATAATAAATCTTCATGCTAAGCTTCTTTTAAATTTTACTGAACTTGCAGAGTTGCAATGCATCTCAACGTTGGGGAGTTGAGATACCCTGTATCTTTGATAACTGCACTCTGCAGATTGTCCTGTTCATTCATGCTTTTTGGATGCCACGATGGATATGTTACAGTCCATGCTTGACTTGGTTCCTGCTTCCCTGAACAGCGTAGCCTCACAAGGCAGAGCAGACTTCATTTACATTTTCGAGTTTTATATTATTGAGGTTTTACCTGGCATTTTGTCTATTCTGAAGGTACCATCGTCTTAAAATGTTGTAATATAAAATGAGATTTAATCCATACTAGAACAACTAACCTGGATAGAAATTATGTACAGATTCGACAACGAATCTGGATAAAAGTTTATCCAGATTCGTTGTCTAAATTTCATTCTAGGTACCAACATTTTGTAGTGGAGAAAATATATTTAGCTGTGGGCCGTACGAAGGATGCAGGAAATATTTGGCACTACAGGAAATATTTGGCTCTGTTTCAGAGTAGCTGTTGAACACTGATTTTTTTCATTTTTAGATTTATTTTTTAATATTTACAAAAATATTATATCAGCGAAAAGCTGACGTGGCACACGGTGCAGGACGGTCGTTTTGGGGGGCTACGACACGTGGCCCCCTTGCCGCCCTCTGTCTGGGCGGCAAGGAGCCTCCGTGCAAAATTCGCAAGGGCGGCAAGGAGCCCAGATGCAAAAAGAACTAGTCAATTGTTTTTTTAGCATGGAAAAAAATTACATTTAGCCCCAAGGGTCTAAGCTCAAAATGCGCACACGGCACGTCACGACGCCGTGTGCCACGTCAGCTTGCCGCCTAAATGGAGGGCCGCAGGGTCTATTTTTGTAAAGATTTCTGCCGACCAGCCTGCCTAGGGAGATGAGTGAGAGAGAGAGAGGAAGGGAGAGGAGGGGGAAGAGAGAGCCTGATGACGTGGCGTCCTGACATGTGGGACCCACATGGGTCCCATGCTGACTCACCCGCCACGTCGAATAAAACCGGGTGAAAACCACCGAAGGATGTAAAACGAACGGTTTTGTAAGTTAAGAGATGTCATATATCTGGTTTTACGGTTGGGGGACGATTTTGTAATTCGATAACAAGTTGAGGGACCTTCGGTGTACTTTTTCCTATGCCGTATCGCTGTGGCTCTGGTCGTGGCCCACGATTGACATCGACCAGCCCACGTAAGCAGGCCAGGCCCATAACAAAGCCTGTAAGCTCGCTACAATGATGGTTCAGCTCCAACAAGTTTCTCATGGACATATCCGTACATCGTACCGGCACATAATTACCCGTTTCAAGTGCATGATTTGAAATCTTCGGCACGAAATCGATGTCCAAATAACCATGCTTAATTTGAGCAGAGGGACAATAGTACACTACCAATCCAGGGAACTTGAAAAACAAAATAACATTGAAAAGAAATACTAATGCATATCCCCTTGAATTAATTTCAGGTCCAACCTGCACATCAGTGCGCTCGCCATCGCGTGCGTGCATGTCTTCACCCGCACGTACCAACAAACAAGTCCATAACTAATCTGATTGATTTGGATCGCCGAGCACATGTGTGTAAGCTAGCCGACCTGATCCCGGTTGCCGTCGCCGCCAAACGAAAGCAGAGACGACGCACCTAAAAAGCCTCACGAATTCGTTTGGGCGTCGCGGCCACGGGAGATCATATCGCGAGGCAGCAGGAGCCAAAAAAAAAAAAATCCCCAGTATTTTTTTAGCAGCTGGAGGTCGGGGTTGGTGATGTGTGTAGTTCGTTCGTACGTGTGCATGGCATGGCATGGCTTGAGATGGGTGGGGCAAGTTAGTTAAAGCTGTATCAAGGAAGCAACGTTAAAAGGGAAGGTGACGGCTTAATTCTTTTTTCTGTACATGTGTTGGTTAACTATCTTTCCCGAGACGGCGTTGGTTAGCTCGCTTGATCAATCGGAGTCCGAGAGAGGGACGGACCCGTAAAAGCAAAGCAAGCAAGCGAAGCTTTGTAATGATCCCTTGCATCAAGAACCGCACTAGATAGGAGTAGCATATTAGCATACCGTTGTTGTGTGTCGTGTGTCTAACGTGCAAGGGATATATTTTGCTAGTAGCTCAGCTACCTGGATTATTTGTTTGCAGAGTGGACCCTCGACGATTTGTTTGTTATGAAGCATCGAGTTAAGAATATGTTAGGCATGCTGCTTGTTTATTTTTTTTCAAGTTGAGAATTGACCATGGACCTTGTAATAATGATATATTGCATTAACGTACTGAAAATAGTTAGGAATAATGGAAAGCACCAACGATGCTGAGGTGAAATCTTGGGTACAGAACTTCACCCACTAGGATATATCCAAAATATAGAGTGAATCTTACTTTGAGTCATCTTTTATTACTGGTGTTTCATATTAGATCACCTTTTAACCAATAATCGTAACTTTGTGACACTTTGGACCACTCTTACATCCTTTATATTATCCATCTATTGATCTACATCTCATATGTCAAGAAAATAGGTTGGGAATTCATTGACGGGTAAGAGTAAGTATAGCTGAGATTGTTCATATATAAGAAAGTTAGGGTGGTCCAAAATACAACAAAGATAAGATTATCCGATCTAAAACAAAAATATTGGTTAAAGAGTGATTCAGATAGACATACCGATAATAAAAGTGACTGAAAGTAAAATTTACTCATAAATATAATACACAAGCCGATGGGTGTGTTTTCAATAGGATATTAACAAGTACTGTTGGCCTTCATCTCTATTTGAGCGTGTGTTAAGAGGTGTATTCGCTGGTGTGCGCGTACGCGTAGCGGGATGAGAGGGGTGCAAAAACACCCGCGGTCACAGCGCCCAATTCCCAAATCCCAAACACCGTCGTCCGCCACGCCCACGCGCGGCAAGAAACAGTTCGCCGCGCGCGATCCATTTCTCGTACAACACAGTACGTACTTCCATTTCGCGGAGCGTGTGTACTGCGTACCGGCCCCACCGAATCCACCGCACGGAATGGCGGCCTATATATGCGCAGGTGCAGAGCACTTGCATTCTTCAGATTGCCAGAGAGATTCAGAGGCAGAGCCGCGAGCCCCACGACACCCTCCTCCTCCTCTCCCTATCCCCTTCTCCCCCAAATCATCCTTCTCAAAATCAAAGGCTCCGGGTGGTGAGCGCTAATCGAGAGGTGTGCTGCTTGATCCAATCTACACTTGGGGTTAACCGCTTGGTGATTTAGTTGCGCTTGCGCCACTAGTTAGTTAATCAGTGGATAGTTGGGGGTTGGGCGTGCTGTTCTGCTCCACTTGGGATGCGAGTTTGATCGATTTTGCTTTTTTATTTTTTAAGCTTGCTGTTTCTCGTGCTGCATTGGTGAGAAACTAGTTTTTGTTCGTGGATTCAGCGTTTTCTTCGCGATCAGGCGTCCGGTTCCGTTTTTTCTTAGCGTTTTTGTCCCGTTTTTTGGTGTGGAATCAGTCTGGTTCTCGATTTAGAAACTAGTTGATTACTTGTTCTCACTGTTACAGTGGATGAGATCGCGTCTTCGAATGCGATTTTTGATTGCTTCCATGATACGATTTTCCTGTTCTCAGAGCTAGATTCTGTGGAAAGCATCTCTACTTTTTTTTTATTTTGGTTCGCTTCGTGTGGAGAATTTAGTGTGATTTTTGTTGGAATTTTCATTGACATTTTGATCCGTTTACTTGCAGGGATTAGTTGTTCGCGGAGATCGCCGCTATGCAGGAAGCTCTTCTACCTCCGGCTCATCCAGGCCGCTTCTACTCGGACTTTGGCCCGAAGCCGTTCGGCAGCGGAGATCAACGGCTCTCCTCGCCCAACCTGCTGACCAACGGTGGAGATCTCTTCTACGGCTGCTACTCCCCCTTCAGCCCTACCCGCGTGCTCTCGCCGCCGCCGCCGCGGCGCGCCGCCTCGTTCTCCCACTGCTCGTCCTCCTCCGACTCCGTCGTCGACGACGGAGATGGTGCGGGGGCAGCGGCAGCGACCGAGCACCGCCTCCACCTCGCCCACCTCGCGCTCCAGTACCAGGAGATGGCCAACCGCTTCGAGCTCTGCCTCTCCCACCTCGCCGATGCCGCGGACGAGGCGGCCGCGCTCCGTCAGGAGAACGCCGAGCTCCGCGTCGCCAACAACGACCTCGCATGCCGCATCGCCAAGTTCGGCGGAAGGCAGAGCTCCGCCATCGCCCTCGCCGGTGACCTCCGCCGCCTCCGCCTCCCCAAGGAGCAGACCGTGCCAGCTCTTCCTCCTCCGCCGCAGTCTCCGCCGGCCGCACTGATGAATCCCGTCGCCGTCCCCGAGAAGCAGGCTGTTCTTCCGAAGAGCATCTCCATCCGTTCGACCGGATACCAGAAGCTGAACCAGGGCGGCAAGCATCGCGTGTCGAAGCCGGTGAACGTCGGCTCGGTGAGACCAAATCCCCCAATTCCTCCATTGTGTTGTGTCTGGCTCCCACTCTTGCAGCGCACTGACTCCTGTGCTGAATCCAAAATCCCAATCCTAACTAGTACGATGTTCTTGATGCGACAATGCAAGCAGCAGCGCGTGTTCGTGGGCATTGACGGCGCGGAGGGAGGCGAGCACAAAGTTGGTGTGAAGAAGGAGGAGCCGCCCATGGGTGGGCTGGAGTTCGAGGTGTACAACCAGGGCATGTTCAAGACGGAGCTGTGCAACAAGTGGGAGGAGACCGGGGCTTGCCCCTACGGCGACCAGTGCCAGTTCGCCCACGGCGTCGCGGAGCTCCGCCCCGTCATCCGCCACCCTCGCTACAAGACCCAGGTCTGCCGCATGGTGCTCGCCGGCGGCGTCTGCCCCTACGGCCACCGCTGCCACTTCCGCCACTCCATCACCCCCGCCGACCGCTTCTCCTTCGGCCATTGATCATACGTGTCAGTCCATCACCGATCGCCACTCTCTCACTCCCTCCTAATCTCCTCTCTCTTTGATAATGACATGAAAAGAGGGGGAAAAAAAGAAGAGGCCGTAAATAAGGTATACTATTTAGTTGCACAAAGCAAATGAGAACTGAATTATACAATTAGCACACAGGCGAAATGTGAATACTAGAGAGTTATAGCTATTAAGTTGTGGTCAGATATGTGAGTTATTACATTGGGGGTTATTTGTCCTATGGTTCATATTGTTATATAGGTTATTATGATCTTGTTTCCTTGTTTCGTTTTAAGCAAACCGGGTGACAAATTGTTGGACTCATGTAAGTAAGGCTGTTATTTGGATATCTGAATTATGTATGGAACACTTGTACGCTATGAAAGTGCCTGAAGGCTGTTATTTGCAATTTGATTGATGTGTTGGAACACTTGTATGGTGAGGGTTCACTGTTCAGGCATCTTCATTCTTCAGTTGTAATGTTTTATGAGCAGTTGAAGTAATGAATTATACTTTTTGGTGAACTTGAATTGAAGCATTGGTGCCATTTTGTCTATGCTCATTCATGTAATGAATTATATACTTTTGATTTGATGAACTTGAATTGAAGCCTGTCAGTGTATGACTGCATTGCCTGGTGTGTGTGCTGCCTGGTGATTTGTCTGTCGTCTTTAACTAAGGCAGACAAGGACTTAAGATCTTGCTGTCTATGATGGATAGTTAAGTATGCACTTTGTTGTTATTTGCATCCTGCGTCTTATGACATTTGTTCAGATGTCTTCACTCTTCAGTGCTACACTACTGAAGATGATGTGAAGCTTCGGTGCCTGATGCCATTCTGTTTCTACTTTCTACTTTATGCCTGTACCTGTGTATAAATGCATTGCAATGGGAGTATTTTTCGTTGCTTTCTGCGGACAAAGCTTGTGATACTGGCAATGCGTAAACTTCGGAGATTTGGTGCCTTGTGAATTTTCGATGAGTATTGTGATGGGTGGACCCTGGACAGTTGTTCTGCCGGGCGGCGAGGCTTACCGCGCGTTGCTTGCTCCAGGAGAAGAGCGTCAGGCCAAGCCGGATAACTCGCTCCGGCACGGTCATGGTCGCGCCGGTGACCGCCTTCTGGTTCTGGGCAGGCAGGCGCGCTGCCAGGCAGGGTTTACCTTTTTCGTTTTTTAAGTAAAAACTGAAAGTCGGTAAAAACTGACAACTTTCAATCAACGTTGTACGAAAACCAGTTAATACCGATCGGCTTTACAAACCAGTTAACCCTGCTGTCAGGTACTACGACTTTTTAGATAATGAAAATAGATTATATATCTGGCTTTATGTCATAAGACACACAAGTACAAGTTTATTGAAAAAAATGTAAAGATAAAAATATATCAAAATGAGTAATAAAAGGGGACAAAATCCCAACTCCCCTTTATTTCAGGTACTGCGACTTGGGGTTGTTTTTGTCAGCAGCCAGAGCTAGTTGATCGATCTATACTTCTATATATGATGGGCCTCATTGGACATGCCAGCCAGGTGTTGGACGAAATAGACAATGCTGTGGTCATGTTCATCACAAGGCTGCTGCTATGCTGCAAGATGGTTGGGGAAGCAAGGTGTTTGTTTGACCTGACGATGAAGTACAAGTATAGCCGAACAAAGTTCACATACAGCACGCCACGGTAATGAACTCTTCCCGAAGTACAAAACGCAGCACAAAACCGATATCCTATTTGGCCTGTGCAAGATGTCCAGGGTTACTTTGTTTGATAGTGCACCTTATTGGGGATCAACCAGCTGCAGATTCTGATGTTGCCTATAGGCTATAAGCCACAGAAGGCCTTGAGTTTATCCTCGTGGCGAGCTCCTTCTTCAGAAACGCAGAAGCGAATGAAATCGTCGTTGTCATGCGTCTTGAAACGGGGAGGGTGGCACTCGTCGACGAGCTCGTTAGGTACCTGGATCATGAAATTGGGGGAGGAGAAGAGCATGCAGGTGTACCTCGTGGCATGCCCGCTCACCATTATCCGATGAAATGGCGCGTGCAGACGGTCGTTTGTCCATGCCTGAAGATTGCGAAAATTCGAAAATTAAGTGTGCGATTTGCTTCTCTTGAACAATTAAGGACAAGCATCAATTATCAGGTGAGTGTTGAAGTGTGTATATGAATACTCGTACAAACTATCCCTACATTTCTTGTCTATCAAACATGAAATGCCTGAAACTCAAAAAGGTTGCAGCTAGCAGCAGAAGAGTCACATTCTGTAATTTGTTAGGAACGGGCCAATTGACATCTACTACGGTGTTTTACAATGTTTTTTTTTCAGAATGTTTGCTCTAGTCATTTTGCTGAATTTCAGGAATTCAATTAGTCCATAATTAATATTGCTTACACATTCTTCGCCGGGCTAACAATGTGTAAGCAACATTAACTACGGACTAAGAATGTTGCTTACACATTCGATATCCACAACATCGTCTCACTTAGCTACTATCTGTGACCGCCAATCCACCAAATCCTCGATCCAAAATGATGGGGAAACAAACTTTTTTTTTGTACAGCATTATCAGTGTCACATGGTAGAATTTACACTGATGCTTACCCGGAGGGCATTGCCGACGTTGACGATGAGCGACGTCGGCGACGGCTCGACGAGGACCCACTCGCCGTCCCTGGTCTGCATCTCGTTCCCATTCACCTCGTTCTGGCACACGATGCTGAGCCAGTTGGTGTCCTGATGGGGAGAAAATTGCATATGTACCATTGCAAAAGAATGGATTCGCTAGAATACCATCCTTAAAACAGGCTTCGGTAAAATACCACGTTCAACGAAGATGGCTTCGCCCGAATGCCCTACTGGACTAATTTGCCCTTGGGCATCTTCTTCCACCCTTCGGCACCTCTTCCATCTTCCTGTAGCTCACCGGCGGCCATGGCACCCGCCTATTGCAGCAGCAGGTACATATGCTAGTGGAGGGAGCAAGTTCCGTGCCCGCGTCCGTCCGCCCTCGGTCCAAAACCTGCTTGGCACCGGCCGTGCGCTGCGCGCGAGGAGGAGGCGACTCCGGCTCGGGGCAAGGTCGGACTCGGGAAGCGGAGGAGACGAGGCCGTGCGCAGTCGCGTTGTGCATGCACGCCCACCACGTGCTCTCGCCAGCCGCGGGCGCGATGACAACGACCACCGCTGCCATCACCGTCGAGGCATGCTACCAGATCTGGTGCTGGCGGGTGAGGATGAGCGGCAGCTGATGACCACGACGGAAGGGCAGCGCTGCAATTGACGATGGAGGACAATGAGACGGCGGCGAGCGGTAGTAGCTGGTGATGCGGGGACCCAGACTTGGAGCCACTGTGGAAGACAGCGAAAAATTGCCGTGATGGACGACGAGGCGGCGGAGCCGTCGATGGCGTCGTGGTTGACCTGTGGCTGTTTGAGGCTGCTTGTTCTGCTTGTTTGCTTGCTGGTTGAGAAGGACGAATTGGCTCTGCTTGTCCTCAATGAATTGGCTGCTGACCATCGTGGTTTACCGTCGTGGCTGCATCTCCTCTCCAATGCTACAGCTAGTGTTGGCCATGGCACATAGTCGTCGCCGGTGAGCTCCTCCGGCTCATGGAGGAGGAAGAAGTGGAGCCAAGGGTAATATCATCCAGGATGGCATTTCGGCGAAGCCGTCTTCGTTGAACGTGGTATTTTACTGAAACTGTTTTAAGGATAGCATTCTAGTGAAGTCATTCTTTTGCAATGGTACATATGCAATTCCCCCCCTGATGGGCGATGTACCCGGTCACCTTCTCGTCGGAATTGGGCGCCCTGTACTCGGACATCCGGAACAGGTGCCAGAAGGACTCGCCCTGCGCCTCGTGGTGCTCCGCCACGCCGAGCCCTTCCAGGATCATCCGCCGCACCATCCCCTCCAGATCCGCGATGCGCTTCGCCGCGCCATTGACGATCTCGCTGTGTGTGTGTCGTCGCAGAGCAAATCGACCAAATTAAATCAAGATTTGAGGAGAATGGGATGGGGATATATTGGTTTGATTATTACCAGAAGCCGTCGTCGTCGTTGGCGCCGCGGGGCAACACGAGGTCGGCGAAGGCGCGGACGCTCTCGGGCTTGAGGCCGTCAACGATGGCGAGGCTCTCGTAGGAGTCGAGGCCCGGGAGGCCGCCGAGGTAGCCGTGGAAGGGCTTCTCGGGGCCGTGGTAGTTGCGGCGCTTGGCGTCGACGGGGAGCGCGAAGAGCGGCCGGACGGCGGCGTCGAACAGGCCGGCGCGGAGCTCCGGCGTGAGCTGCGGGTAGTGCGCGTCGAACCAGCCGTGGGTGGTGAGCGCGCCCATCACCTCGGCGCGCACCTCCGCCCACCGCCCGGTCCCCGGCGCCGCCGGGTCCACGCCGGAGAAGTCGATCCTGGCCGGTGTGAGCTGCGCCGCCTCGCCGCCCATCGTGTTCACTGTGACACTGTCCCAGCAAGGCAGCTTGAGCTCCCAGCTTTGATGGGGATTGACCGATGAGCTCACTTCCTTCTTTCTTCCACGTTAATGGTCCCCGATAGGCGATAGCAGCCAGTGTTGACTACTTGACGTCGTAGCCTTGTGGGGATTTTTTTTTCATTTTTAAATTTTTATTTTTTAATATTTACAGAAATATTGTACCGGTAAAAATATTTACAGAAGTAGACCCTGGGAGGGCGGCAGGGTGACTTGAGGGACGGACAAGTTGAAAAAAAATAGAAAAATGCATTTTTGGCAGAGCAAAAATTGCATTTACCCCCTTCAGCCTTGTAGAGTGCGGCAAGGGACCTAAATGCAAAATACGCACACCTTGCCTCTCTCCACTTGGGCGGCAGGGGCTATTTGTGTAAATATTTTAGATGGTATAATATTTATGTAAATATTAAAAAATTAAAATGAAAAATGAAAAAAATTCGCCTTGTGGGTAAATTGGACGGGTTGGAATTCAGACTCGGCTTTGTTTCTCAATTATCAGGGCCCATGACAGAAGACAAATGGGCCGTAGCAAATGTAGCCATGTTCTTCTATGACTAGACCAGACCTCCAAAGCTAAGGATTTGTGTCAAAATGCTGCCAAATTCGTTTTTTTTATAGAAAAGTATTTGTTACCTAGCCTTTACATCAAAGCGGATATATGCAGCCATTTAAATTGAGAATTTAGCCCCGCAAATAACTCAATCTGAAATTCGCATCTGTGAAAATTTAAACTTATAACCTTAGGGTATTATTCAGGGCATTGCAACCAAAATGCTGCAAAATTTATGTGCCACCCGTTTAAAACGCTGTGATTTTACACTACTCCCTCCGTCCCAAAATATAAGTATTTTTAGCATAGTGACAAGTCAAACATTTTCAACTTTGACTATTAATAGCAAAAAAAAAAAAGATCAATCGTATAAAATTGATGTTATTAGACTTATCATTAAACAGATTATCATAATATGTAACTCTCTTTATTTAAAACATCTTACTTTTATATGTATTATTGGTCAAAGTAATATCTCGGAGACCGTGTCAGAGTCCACATATGCTTATATTTTGGGAGGGAGGAAGTAAGATTTTAGCAGTAATTCCGTGAGCAATAGTTGGAGGAACGACAAATTAGAGGCTGACCGTATGGTGAAAGCAGATTGCCTCGCCTGACAGGACAAAAGAATCAATCTATGTTGCTCTAGGTAGACCTGACGTTTCGATTAGCATCTTCAGCTAATCTATTGAAAAACGGATGGAGGCAAACCAGCCTAACGAACTGCACCGATCAAATAAACAAAGGCCTGACGAACTGCGTGACGCATGATAGAATAATTGTCTAGCCTCAGTTGAGTCAAGTCTTGATTAAAGCTTCTAGATGAACAAGCGAGCGGCCATATTTTACTTGTAACATTAGAACATGAGGAATCCCACGTGCATGCGTTGACGGTGAAGAAACTTTAGATTAAAAAAAAAAGATCATGAGCCAACAGGTAAGCATTTGCTCCAAAATTTTCCAATAGCATGTTTTGGTCACAGAGAATTTTCGTCTGTAATTTCCACGTCTCATTTTTTTCAAAACACATGATTTTTTGATGTGTTGAAGTTTGACCGCAGAGGCTGCAGCGACGAAACCAGTGATACTGGTAGGGTTTACAATGACAGTGACATTATCTCTCTTTTTTTTCCACTATGGTGATCAACCCTCTGAGATGGCCGAGGATTGGGTTTAAGTAACAAGCACACAAGATGCAAGAAGAACAAGAACAAGGTGCGCGGAGGCACGAACTTTGCTTGATCGATTTCTTGGTTACGAAATTAAACATACTCGCGGCGGCATGGTGATTTGCACCAGGTAGAAATTGAAGTGTACATCATCATCTTGTCCTAACTAATACTTCTTACAAATTACAAGGAAGAAACAGCAGTAGTAATAATCATCAACATGAGCAGCGATCGAGCAAACGAACTTGCAGGAGCTCTCGCGGTTCAGTTTCCATGTCGATGGTGGATACAGACAGCACGCTAATTGACTAGCAGCTGGCCACTGGACGCCGGCGCCGCCGTGTTGTGCTGCTGCGGCAGGTGCGCGGTGGAGTGGTGGAGCATGGTGGTGAGCTCCTTGGAGGCGACGATGGACTTGTATATCTCGACGACGAGCCTCTGCTCGAAGTCGGTGAGCTGGCCTGGCCGCGCCGCCGGGAGCTGCTTCCGGCGCGGCACGCGCCTGGGCCACAGCCCCTCGGGCGCGTTCGGCAGCGACATGCCCGACGCCTTCCTCGACACGGCGAGCATGCCGCCCACGTACGCGTCGCGGATCCGCGCCAGCAGCCGCGCCGGGGACGACAGCCACGCCCTCGCCACGCGCACGCGGACGCGGAGCAGCCGCCGCAGCCGCAGCCCCCACCCCGCACCGCCGCGGCGCGCGCCGCCCAGCTGCTGCGTCGCCCTCGTCTTCCCGCCGCCGTTCGCCGCCTCCAGCCGCTGGTACTTGCGCCTCCCCCAGTGCGACCGTATTCCCCTCGTGAACCGTATCGGGAACGCCTCCACCTCCATCGACGACGACGACGAGGTCGACGACCTCGCGGCCGCGATGCTTTGCGTTGGGTTGGTGAGTGGCAGGAGGAGCAGGAGAAAGCTGAGGCGTCGCGCGTTTGGTTTGGGTTTTTGGGTTTGGTTGGTGAAACGGCGAGGCGGGCTTGGTTTTTATGCAGCGGAGAGGAGTGGGGGCGTGGTTGGTGGGGAGTAGGAGCGCGCAGTAACGAGACGAGCGCGACGAGGTGGGGATTCGTTCGCTCGTGTCGCGTCGCGTCGTGGAGAAGGGCACGTAAGCGAGTTCGCGCTGTGGCGTGGTGGTCGTTGTCTCGCCCACGGCGCCGTCTACTGCATCGCTGCATGGCCCAAGTTAACGGGAAAGGGATGTGGTGTACGTTGAACGTCTAGAAGACTAGAACGCAGTAGCTTGAATTAGTGGTAGTTTGAACGATGGAAAGATTCTCTTGCTTGTTTAATTTCACTTTGTTTGTGACTAATGGTCAGCTGAAACTACTTGGAAAAGTCTTGTGTTATCACATTTGATATTACCTGGATGGTTCGCGCGTGCATTATCAGAACTGGATGACATCTAGAATTGGTGGTCAAAGTATTAGTGACGTTCCGAATTACTAATGCATTATGCACGTGGTCAGACAAATACCAGGAGTCATCATCGCCGAATAATCTGTTCACTGAAAAGTTGAGAGTTGAGTATTCAGGTTTAGGGATCAGGTCAGCAGCTTGTGTTTCAAATGCTCAAATTAAAACTGACGACGCATGCATCACTCACCTTAAAAAATTGTGCACGATTTGCCATAGACTCGAGTACACTGTACACGTTTCACGTTTGTTAATCTCAGCTAGCAGGTGCAAACATGGTGACGGAGGAATGGACTTGAATGGCGCTGACGTGGGTCTAACTGGCTGCGTTGGCCGACGAGAGTACAGAAAATTAAAAGGCTTCCGGGTCATGGCAATCAGACGCAGGTTTTGACGTTTTGGGGCTCCGGTGTTTGGACGGAACCACGGCCATCGCACGGCGTCCGTGATGGAATTTTCGTCAGGTTATATCACCTTTTTGTGGCGTGGCGGTGCCTCCTGTTTAAAGAAGCAAAATGCACTAATTAATACGCGTGCAAGGGTTACATGCGTTTTGCATTGTACGTGCGATCGCGGTTGGACTTGTGGTTCGTTATTGTAAACTTGTCAGGTACATATTTGTACTCGAACCCCCAGGCCAATCGGGCAGCGTAAAACGCCGCCAATTCGCCACTGATTCTGTCGTACCTAATTCGAAGGACTGGTTTAATTAGTTATTAACTTTTTCTTCAAACTTTCAACTTTTTCATCACATCAAAACTTCCTACACACACAAACTTCTAACTTTTCCGTCACATCGTTCCAATTTTAATCAAACTTTTAATTTTAACGTGAACTAAACACATTTATACTGGTGCTCGTGTTCACAGGAGAATCACGTACACTAATAAGTTCACTTTTAGCTCTAACCGTTTAACCGGTTATCCCAAAATAAATTTATCTAAGTAATTATTGTATTGAGATTTATAAAAATGAAAAATAAATATATTAAAAATAAATAAAGAGGAAACTAATTACATTATTTAAGAAACTAAGAGTATTATGATCTATTTCTTGTGAGATGCTGGATAAATAATGAACTTATTTTAGAGTGGAGGACATGTGTACTACTCCCTCCGTCCCAAAATAAGTGAAGTTTTGCACTATTCATCTCCAACATTTGACCGTTTGTCTTATTTAAAAAAATTATGATTACTATTTTTATTGTTATTAGATGATAAAACATGAATAGTACTTTATGTGTGACTATTTTTTAAAAAAAATTCATAAATTTTTCAAATAAGACGGACGATCAAACGTTGGACACGGATTTCTACGGTTGCACTTATTTTTGGGACGGAGATAGTATAATCTTCACGCAAGCCGATAGATGGGCCGTATTCCAAGGGATGTAAGTGGACCAACCCGCGAACCCACATATAAGTAAAATTAGTTGGTATCCTACGGGTTATTAGTAATCACCCGACAAATGGATAGATGCTCCTATAAATAAGTTTACGGGTTGACCCACTTGTATCCCTAAATGTGGCAAGCCAAATCACGACATGAGGACTACGGGTTACCCACTTAGGTTGTGTTCTTATCACAATTTTCCCAACTCATCTCCCTCGTTTTCCACGCGCACGCCTTTCAAACTACTAAATGCTGCGTTTTTTTAAAGTTTCTGTACGAAAGTTATTTAAAAAAAATCATATTAAATCATATTGATTAATTTATTTAAAAAACAGCTAATACTTAATTAATCACGTGCTAATGGACTGTTCCGTTTTCGAGGACCCTTATTTAACACCCAAGTGGATTCGTGCATACCTACATATTCCACATTAATTTAGAGCCCGCTTACAGACCCATAGCTGGACATTGTTGAGCGTTTTATGACCCATAGCTGGCTACCACGGGAGTCTTAAAAGGATGCAGCGTGGTGGACTGAGGAATTAGTTTTGCTGGTTTCTCAAGGAAAAAGTCTAGTAAGACTCCCTTGATCTGATTTTTATCTATCAATCAGCGAAAGTCAATAGTGTAGCTAGCAGATATCTCCAAAATTTTGTCAACTGAGGTAGAGCTAACTTAAGAGCCAACTCATACAACAAGCTAGCTATAAGTTGGCTATAAGCTGCCTTGGTTAAAGCACAGAAGCATTAAATACGTGTAGGAATATACCAGCTGTAGTGAGTTGCATGCGAGCGTTAAAAGCCTTCGTGGGCTGCATGCGAGCGATACGGCGTCGGATGAAGCGCTAGCGCCCGGCGCCAAGTTAAGCGCCTGCTCGTTTCTCTCTCTTCAATTTTGCTAGCTTAATCTAGGATTGGGAAGGTGAGAGAAAATTTGGAGCCAGCTTAATCACGTTATTGTACCTGCTCTAATGGGTGATCGATCGCCCGACCCATCGGGTAGCGATCAGATCTCCTCCCCCCTCCCCCTCTCTCTCCCTCCAACTGGTTTCCTTTTTTGGCACCGCATTACTTTTCTATCTTAGCAAATTTATGCACCTAAAGTTTATAAGGTGTGTTTGGATAATGGGAAATGGAGGGTGGGATTGGAATTGGGAAATGAATGAAGGGTTAGGATTAAATGAAAGATGGAGAATGAATGGTTAGGATTTAAAGATGTATTTTTGTGGGTGGGAAATCATTTCTATTTCCCATTAGCCAAACATTGCCATACACCTCAAGTTTACACATCTAAAGTTTAGAGACCCAAAGTTTATTAGTCAAAAGTTTATATATCCGATTCAAAAATTTTTTTATATATAGTATTTCTATACATCTAAAGTTTATACACCTAAAGTATATAGACCCAAAGTTTATAAGTCAAAAGTTTACATACCCGTTTCAAATTTGAATTTGAATTATATTTGATTCAAATTTGAATTTGAATTCAAATATTTTCTATATATAATATTTTTATGCATCTAAAGTTTATACACCTAAAGTTTATAGATCTAAAGTTTATAAGGCAAAAGTTTACATACCTGATTCAAATTTGAATTTGAATTTTATAAGCCAAAAGTTAAAATAACTGATTCAAATTTGAATTTGAATTCAAATTTTTTTATATAGTATTTCTATACATAAATTTTTCTAACCTTTTATTTTTTAAAAAAAAATTGTGTGGTGCACTGTAGTAGGAAGAGAAGAAGGGCAGTCCTAATGGGCGATCGATCGCCCTGCCAATGGGGGTAGCGATCAGATTCGCTACCCCCCCTCCCCCTTCCCTCCCTCCACCTGGTTTCCTTTTTTGGCACCTTATTACTTTCCTATTTTAGTAAATTTATACGCCTAAAGTTTATATACCTCAAGTTTACACATCTAAAGTTTAGAGACCAAAAGTTTATAAGTCAAAAGTTTATATATCCGATTCAAATTTGAATTTGAATTCAAATATTTTTTATATATAATATTTCTATACATCTAAAGTTTATAGACCTAATGTTTATAGACCTAAAGTTTATATATCTGATTCAAATTTGAATTTGAATTATATCTTATTCAAATTTGAATTTGAATTCAAATATCCGATTCAAATTTGAATTCAAATATTTTTCATATATAGTATTTCTATATATCTAAAGTTTATACACCTAAAGTTTATAGACATAAAGTTTATAGACCTAAAGTTTATATACCCGATTCAAATTTGAATTTGAATTCAAATATTTTCTATATATAGTATTTCTATACATCTAAAGTTTATACACCTAAAGTTTATAGACCCAAAGTTTATAAGTCAAAAGTTTACATACTCGATTCAAATTTGAATTTGAATTCAAATTTTTTATACATAGTATTTCTATACATAAATTTTTCTAACTTTTTGTTTTTTTTATTTTTTTTGTGGTTTACTATAGTATGAAGAGAAGGGAGGAGAGGAGTAGTATAGAGGAGGGAGCGGGCGAGTGATCGCTGGGCGGACGGGGGAGCGATCACCCGCCCATTAGCATTCCCGAGAGAAGAAGGGGAGGAGAAAGGGGGAGAAGAGGGAGGAGGTATTGCCTATAGGGGGAGGGGGGCGGATCTAATCGCTGGGCGATCGCCCTGGCGATCGATTGCCCATTAGCCCCCCCCCTCAATCAGTCAAGCCTGATATATTGATTCTCCAACTGTTAAAACGAAAGTCCTAACGAGCGATTGATCGCTGGCAGTGATCGTTTTTTTTTTCATTTTTTTCTTTTCCTCTTTTATTAAGTTTATACACCTAAAATTTACATATCTAAAGTTTATCCATCTAAAGTTTGTAGAGCGAATGTTTATAAGTCAAAAGTTTATATACTCAATTCAAATTTGAATTTGAATTCAAATATTTTTTATATATAGTATTTCTATACATCTAAAGTTTATACACCTAAAGTTTATAGACTCAAAGTTTATAAGTCAAAAATTTATGTACCCGATTCAAATTTGAATTCAAATATTTTTTGTATATAGTATTTCTATACATCTAAAGTTTACACACTTAAAGTTTATAGACCCAAAGTTTATAAGTCAAAAGTTTACATACCCGTTTCAAATTTGAATTTAAATTCAAATTTTTTTTATATATATAATATTTTTATACATAGATTTTTCCAACTTTATTTTTTAATTTTTTTAAAAATTTATGGTGTAGCAAGAAAAAGAAGGGGAGGGAGGAAGCGGGGAGAGGAGTGTACAGGGATGGGGATCGATCGTTCAGATCGATCGCCCATTAGCCGTTCCCCTGTTAAAATCGTTCAAAACTACCTCATTGTTTAGATGGCGGTTTTGATTTACGGAGTACTTGGTATCCTCGCGGCAGCCTAGTCATCACAAAAGTTTTACAAGAATAGGCCCCACGTGTCATCCCCTCCTCTCCTATCTCTACCCTGTCTCCCTGTTTCTTCTTCGGTCTTCACGGCGGTTCGTGATGCGATGGTTCGGTGTTGTTGCCGGCATGGCGGATGCCCTCTGCTCGACTGGAACTGGTGGGCGCACTGATCTCTGAATGCATCTTCGACTGTTGCACGGAACTGGTTGCGCCGTTGCACGCTGATCTCAGCTCATTTGGTGAGGCAGAATTTGGTTTGTGGCGCCGCTCGCCTCCAGTCCCAACTGAAAAAACATATCAAAACCGCTTCCAATTCAGATTGTTTGGTTAACTTCTTGCTTGTTTAATGCTGTGCCGTTTGCTTCTTCACATCTTTTGCTTTGCGAAAACGATAAAATTTTGGACTTTTCTAGCTAGGTCACATCTCACACGCAAAGAGTCGTCATTGAGCGTAACCTCGAGCTGGGAGGAATTGCGATCGACCATTGCGAGATCGAATCAGGCCAAATGACGAAGATCAATTCAGCCCGGTGCGACGTCTTATGATCCAAACTAAATACAACCCGAGTGACGTACGATCCAGAGAAGAAGAAGATCAAAATACCAAATTAAAGTAGCCTACAGAAGAAGTGAGGAAATCGACAACACAAACACACCGAAGAAGAACGATCACATCTAAGCTGCATGCCACACACCGACACACATGTGGCGCGCGCGGGCGGCTTACGCGCCGGGCGCGGCATCCTTGGCCCGGCTATGCAGGTAGCCGCCGTACTCGCGCGCGTAGTCCTTGACGTGGCTAGCCGTGTCGGCGATCCGGCTGCGCGCGTAGTCCACCCGGTCGGCGCCGACGGGGTGCCTCCCCGTGAAGTAGCGGTACATCCACGTGCCGGCGGCGACGGCGACGACGACGAAGGCGCAGGCGGAGAGCGCGGCCGCGGCGAGCACGAAGAGCGCGACGGCGACGGGCACCCAGATGGGGCTGGTGAGCAGCGCGATCGGCCCCAGGAAGATGAGCGCCACGACGGCGCCGGTGAGCGTGAGCCCGGTCAGGAGCAGGAGGACGGCGCCGGAGACGGCCAGCGTGAGGAAGCCGACCACCTGGGTGGAGTTCGGCGCGTGCGTCTGCACCCGCCGGAGCAGCGTCGTCGACGGCGAGTCCGCCGACGCCGCGGGCGCGTACCCGAGGCGCTGCGCCGCCGTCCGGCCCTCGCCGTGCGCGTGCTGCTGCTGCCGATCTGCCATTCTCGACGTCGATCGACCTAGCTAGGAGGAGAGGATGGCAGCGCTCGCGCGTGATGGGGAAGTGGGCGGAGAGCGAAGGAGTTAAGGTGCGGAGAGGGAGGTGCGCGCGCCGGCACGTGTCGCGGCGACAACCATGCATGCGCGACATGTGTGGGGCGATGACCGAAACCCAACAAACGAAACGAACAGTGGTGGTACTGGTAATAGCGTGCTTTTCACCATGCTCTTCGGATCGATCGGATCCCTTTTTTTCTACCTAGACAAGCGCACACAAGCTGTCTGCTCTTTGTTTATGTCATCAAGAGGGCACGTGTACGTGCCAAGTATGGGATCACCGAGATGAGATCGAGCAGAGCAGGTTATACAATAGTATACTATAAATCAACTATATACATACATATATAAAACATAAAACGTAATGTGTATATAACATGAGAAATTATATATCAATAGTGTGGTGTATATTTGCATATAACTATTATATGTATTGGCTATTAAATTAATTATAGATGATTTTAAGCTAGGAGTGGCTCTACTAAACTTGATCTTAGCCAAGCCGGCACAAGTCACCAGCGACAACGAGTGAGATCGAGCTAGTTCCGGGCAGGAATCCGACGGCGCGTGGAGTAGGCGCCTAGGCGGTGTCCAAAGCGGCAACCCGCAACGATTCATCAGCGAAACCGTGCGGGATGAGTTGTGCTGGGCCTTTTAGTTTCAACTAGAAGACGGCTGGGCTGCCTTTCTCCGCCAACATGCGGCCCAAGAGATGGTGACAGCTGAAACTTGTGCGGTCGGTGTCACCAAGTTGCGAAGGGAGCCGGCAGGGTGCCATGTTCCCTAGGGATTTCTCTATGTATGAAAACAACGTCACTACTCTGTCATTAGCAAACTGCTAATATATTATCCCATCTGGCACAACTACAATGATTGCAACAGCCAACAGGGACTTGTCATGAACATCAGGTAGTAGAGAAAAACCGGACTTGCCATGATTAATGATAAATAAGCTATCAGACTGCAACAATCAGGTACTAATGTCATGACTAATGATAGTATGTCATCTTTTCATCCCAAAATATAATATGTCGTTGAGTTTTCGCATAACGTTTAACCATTTATTTTATTTCTTTAAAAAATATAAATATCTATTATATTATTAAAGAAATAGAAAAAGGAGCCTCCACGTTCGCTCTCATGGCCTAGAAATTCTCACATTAATCGGAGAAAAAGAAAAGGTAGAGTCATATAGAAATACAATTTAGAAATAGTTGAAATTCGAAATTAAAAAATAAGGAATATTAGAAGAGGAGACTAGAGTCCATATAGAAATACAATTAGGAAATAAGTGAAATTCGGAATTAAAAAATAAGGGATACTAAAAGAGGAGACTAGAGTCCATATAGAAATATAATTAGGAAATAACTGAAATTCGGAATTAAAAATAAGGAATATTAGAAGTAGAGGATAGAGTCCATATAGAAATACAATTAGGAAATAACTAAAATTCGGAATTAAAAAATAAGTAATATTAGAAGAGGAGACTAGAGTCCATATAGAAATACAATTATGACATAACTGGAATTCGGAATTAAAAATAAGGAATATTAGAAGTAGAGGATACAGTCCATATAGAAATACAATTAGGAAATAACTGAAATTCGGAAATAAAAATAAGGAATAGAGAAATACAATTAGGAAATAATAGAAATTCGGAAATAAAAATAAGGAATATTAGAAGTAGAGTATAGAGTCCATATAGAAATACAATTAAGAAAAAAATAGAAATTCGGAATTAAAAATAAGGAATATTAGAAGTAGAGTATAGAGTTCATATAGGAATTTAAAACTAACTAAAATTTGGAATAAACATAATAAAATTAAAAGTAGAGTTTAGAGTCCATATAAAAATACAATTTATAAATAACAAAAATTCAAAATTAAGAAAAACATGGGAAGAAGAGTTTAAGGTCAATATAGGATTACAAATATAGGAATACAATTTAGAAGTAACTGAAATTTGAAATTAAAAATTAAAGAATATTGAAAGATGAGTTTAAAGTCCACATAGAAATACAATTAGAAGTAATAAAAATTCAGAAATAAAAATAAATAATATTGGAAGAAAAGCATAGAGTCTATATAGAAATACAATTTACAGAAAATTCGAAATTAACAAAAATATTAAAAGACGAGTCTAGAGTCCATATAGGAATATATATAATTGACAAATAACTAAAATTTGATATTAAAAATAATTAATAACTAACACGTATATAAAATATAATATGAAAATTCAGAAATAAAAATAAATAATATTAGAAGAAGAGCATATAGGCTATATAGAAATACAATTTACAGGAAATTCGGAATTAAAAAAAAAGAAATATTAAAAGACGAGTCTAGAGTCCATATAGGAATATATATAATTTACAAATAACTAAAATTTGATATTAAAAATAATTAATAACTAACATGTATATAAAATATAATATGAATATTACACATTAGTAGTTTTGTAAAGTTATTGCAAAATTTAAAATTATGTTGTTATTTTAATATATTTGAATAATATAATGAGAAAACATATATGCTATTATATGAGAAAATATAAAGATGCTAGCCGCGAAATTTGCACGGGCCACCATGCTAGTTATTTATTATTGTTTCCTCAAAAAAATTATTTATTTTGTTGTGACTTGTTTTATCATAAAAAAGTATAATTTTAATTCATTTACATATTTATACTAAATTAAAATAAATTATAAAAAAACAATAACATCATATTAAGACTTAAGGAGTATTATTCTTGCTGTTTAAAGAATAATCGCTATACGCATCATCATGCAACGCTACTACACTACTCCATGCAGGAGGGTTTGAAAACAGACGGAAAGGGAAAAAAAAAAGAAGAAAAACAACGGTTTCCCATGCTACCGGGCACAGGTTAGTTGGCGTGCCATACACACACAGCAAGAAACGGCGGCGACGTGCTCGCCAGTTAATTCCCGTGCTCTTCCCACCCCCGCACCACCACCACCACCCCCATCACAAACCGCACCGGCGCCGCGAAGCCAAACCGCCAGAGCATTTCCCCCCCGCGCGCGCCGCGCCACGCCACGCCACGCCACGCCGCGCCACGGTGGTCTAGTAGTACGATCTCCTTCTCCCCGCGCGCCTCGCTCGCTGCCGCTGCTGCCCTGCCCCGTGGAGGCCGCGAGACACGCTCCCGCGGCGAGCGGGCGTCCCCAGGCTGCACAGGCATCCCGCCCCCCCCCCCCCCCCCCCCCGCGCGCGCGGCGCGCGCGGCGTCCCCGATGCTCGACCACCACCGCACGAGGGCCGGTTTATGGGCGGCCGCGCCCGCTCCATCCTACGCTGGCTCCGTCACCACCGCTCCCGCCGCGTCTCCTCCTCTTCCTTCCATCTGACCACCACCGGTGACGACACCGTCAAGGATCTCCACGACCCGCGGCGAGAGGACGCGGAGGGCGACGGGTGGGAGGAGGTCCACGAGGGCCCCGAGTCCGACCCCGAGGAGTACATTGCGTTGGTGTCGGAGGACGCGGGCACGCACCTGCCGGTGCGCACGGAGCCGCGACGCATGGATCCGAGCAAGAAGGTGGGGATGGCCTTCTCTTCTCTTCTCCCCTGAATGCTTTTCTTGGATTCTTGTGGTTTCTTGGATTCCTCTGAACTGTTATTTACTAGTAGTAACTGTTTACTGCATGAATGAATGGTAAATGCTCTACATGGAGTTGCGATCTCTGTTTCATGAGATTGCGTTGTTGCCGGTTAGTGTGGATCTGGTTCCATCTCTCATTTGAACGATACGTTTGCAATCCATGGCATGTTCATTCACATGCTTACATAAGCCAACGCGCGGAATCATTGCTGATGTGATGCTGATATAGTACTTACATGAGTGCTGTCAATTCAGGAATCCAAGATAACCGAGTATGTCAATTCAGGATAACTAAGTATGAATCCAAGATAACCAAGTATGCCAATTCAGGAACCCTTTATTCCAGATAAAGGTAGAGCTTTACGGAAACTAAAGGCATAATTCTGCGGGCAGTAGTTCATATTGGAAAATGGGGCCTACTGCTTTTCTTGCTTCTGTCTCGTTTGGGAAAAACCAAAATTCAGTAACAGCTGCTTTTATTTTGACTTTTCACAATGTACAGATTTATTTTCGTTCTTTCAGAAAAAAAAAGGGGGGGGGGGGGGGGGGGAAGGGCGTACAGATAAGGTTTGTCACTGTACTTGGAAGAATCAGATTGCAAAATTTATTGATGCTCGGTCACTATCTAATTTACATATCTAATGCAATCTAAATCTGCATGTCTTTAGTACATTTTACAGTAGTCCTAATGCCCTTGAAGTTCCTTTTCTTATCTGTTGCACATCACATTGTTTGTACCCGGGTGTTTTCAAGGCACAAGGTTTCGTTCCCAAGAAATATGTCATCAACCCGTTCATACCACCTAGCATTCAGTACTGTTACTATAGTGAACTTTACCTTCTTCCATTCCAGGAACCTGACTTCTTCACTGAATATGGTGAAGCAAACCGGTATAAAGTCAGTGAAGTCATTGGCAAAGGGAGTTATGGTGTTGTGGCTGCCGCTGTCGACACCCAGACCGGCGAGCGAGTGGCGATCAAGAAGATCAATGATGTTTTCGATCATGTCTCTGATGCCACCCGCATCCTTAGGGAGATTAAGTTGCTCCGGTTGCTGCGTCACCCAGACATAGTTGAGATCAAGCACATAATGCTTCCTCCTTCAAGGAGGGAATTCAGGGACATTTATGTAATCTTTGAGCTAATGGAGTCAGATCTCCATCAGGTAATAAAAGCAAATGATGATCTCACACCAGAGCATCACCAGTTTTTCTTGTATCAGCTGCTCCGGGGAATGAAGTACATTCATGCAGGTAGTAGATTCCATATAGTAGGAAATCGGTAATTTCTTTTGCTTATGTGGTTGACACGCTCACTTTCTGGTTTCTCTTTGCAGCAAGTGTTTTCCATCGGGATCTTAAGCCCAAGAATATTCTAGCCAATGCTGATTGCAAGCTGAAGGTTTGCGATTTCGGCCTTGCCCGAGTGTCATTTAACGATACCCCATCAGCCATATTCTGGACGGTTAGGCATTTATTAATGTTGAGAAGATATTTCTTAACAATGAACAGCCATATCTTGGCATCTAATGAATTTTCCATGCTTCGTTCTAGGATTATGTGGCAACTAGATGGTATCGTGCCCCAGAGTTGTGTGGCTCCTTTTTTTCAAAGGTAAGGGAATTTCCATTTAACATGGTGATGGCTATATTATTTTTTCTTCCAACATTGTTATATTACTATGATATGTTTGGATCAATGTAGCAACAGTGTTTTGAGAATGTTCTCTTAGACATTGTCGCATTAGGTGATATCTTGATTTATATTTTGTCATTGGCTTTTGCAGTACACCCCTGCAATTGATATTTGGAGTGTAGGATGTATATTTGCAGAGCTGCTTACAGGAAAGCCACTCTTTCCAGGGAAAAATGTTGTGCATCAATTGGATCTCATGACTGATCTACTTGGCACTCCTTCAGCAGAATCCCTTGCTAAGGTATATTCAATCCTTGCAAGCTTGTGCCTTCACTCAAGTGCAATGTATTGACTCCTCACTAGTCTGTGTGTTCACTTCTTTATGCAGAATTCTTCGCAACTATATTTAATATTTAAGCTTGGCATCAGCCTCTGTTTCATATTTCTGTACAAATTTCCTCCAAAATCACTAACAGTGAATCATATAGTTCATATAGTTATTAATGTACTGTTTTGAGTGGTATATTTTCCTGAGCGACTTCATATTGCATTCATAGTGCACAAGGACAGACTCTATTTTCTTCCATGTATTTGTTGTAAAAAAACGAGGTGTAAATTGTAGAAATAATGCATATTGATGTGCTTTACATTCATTTATTGAATGGGTTGCAGATACGGAATGAGAAAGCTCGACGATACCTGAGCAACATGAGGAAAAAGCCTCGGGTTCCTTTTACTAAAAAATTTCCAGGTGTGGATCCTATGGCTCTCCATTTGCTTGAACGCCTTCTTGCTTTTGATCCCAAAGATCGTCCAAGTGCAGAAGAGGTAGGAGTGTTCACAGCCAACTTATGTTGATTGTAAAGACATTCCAGCTTTGAAATGTTGGATACATTGCTATCCTGAATACTGAGATATGGAATTATTATTCAAGGCCCTGACAGACCCCTACTTTAATGGGCTAGCAAACTCTGAACGCGAACCAATAGCACAGCCTATCTCAAAGCTTGAGTTTGAGTTCGAGAAGAGGAAATTGGCCAAAGATGATGTCCGGGAATTAATTTACCGAGAGGTGCCACTGATGAATTCTTTTGTGAATATTACGACAGAGCTGCCACTTGACTCTTTACTGTACTAATATACTTGTTAAATCTCTTTAGATTTTAGAGTATCATCCCCATATGCTGCAAGAATATTTGCGCGGGGGAGACCAGATGAGTTTCATGTATCCTAGGTAACTCCAGTATTTCTTTTACGAAGTTGATCACCTGTTGGCATATTTTATGGTAACTAATTCACTGTTCTGTATTGTTGCATCCCACAAACATAAATCAATATGCTGTATTAAATTAGTGACTTATGCTAAATAATCACACAAAAAAAATTGCTACACGTTAGGTCAAGGACATATTCAAGTGGTAATTCTGATGTCTGTTTATATATGTTGGATCTTGACAGTGGGGTGGATCGCTTCAAGCGTCAATTCGCTCATTTGGAGGAAGGAGTTTCAAAGGGTGAAAAATCCAGTCCACAGCTTCGGCAGAATGCTTCCTTACCAAGGTAATATACAATCACCCCTGAAATATGTCTTTGTATATGTAGTGAGCCAGATAGCAACTGGAGACGGGGACTGCTAATGCGCGGGTGATCGCTGGGACCAATCACCCGCACCCCCCTCCCCTATACGTCCCTCTTCTCCCCCTTCCTCCTCCCTTTTTTCTCTTCCCTACTACAGTACACCACAAAATTGTTTTTAAAAAACAAAAGTTAGAAAAATTTATGTAAAGAAATATTATATATAAAAAAATTTGAATTCAAATTCAAATTTGAATCAGGTATGTAAACTTTTGACTTATAAACTTTGGATCTAAAGTAGGTGTATAAACTTTAGATGTATAGAAATACTATATATAGAAAATATTTGAATTCAAATCCAAATTTAAATCAGATATAATTCAATTCAAATTTGAAACGGGTATATAAACTTTTGACTTATAAACTTTAGGTCTATAAACTTTAGATCTATAAACTTTAGGTCTATAAACTTTAGATGTATAGAAATACTATATATAAAAAATATTTGAATTCAAATTCAAATTTGAATCGGATATATAAACTTTTGACTTATAAACTTTTGGTCTCTAAACTTTAGATGTATAAACTTGAGGTGTATAAACTTTATGTGCATAAATTTACTAAAATAGGAAAGTAATGCGGTGCCAAAAAAGGAAACCAGGTGGAGGGAGGGGGGAACTGATCGCTACCAGTTGGCCCTGGCGATTGATCGCGAATCAGCCTTTCCGACTGGAGACTTCTGAGCTGAATTGTTTGTCTTTTACCAACATCTTCTTAAGGAAGTTTTTTATTCCAACAAGGCAGGGGCATTGATTGTTTAGGCATGTAGCATATGACTAGATGGCATGGTATTGAGTTCAATGTTTTCTGTGCATCTCAGGAGTTCTTTTTTCAGGAATACATATAGGATTTGTGTATCTTTTTATTAAGCCAGGATAGTTAATATGTTACATTTACATGCCTTGAAAAGGAAAAATGATGGGAAGAAGGCAAACAAGAACTAGAAAATGTTAATTCCAAGAGTACAAAAGAGTGATGCGCATCTCAGGAGTAATCAGAAGACCTATAAGTTGAAAATCACTCTTCTGTGCCCTTGGAATTAACATTTTTCTGCGTCTTTTTTCAGGGAAAGAGCAATTGGTAACAAGCATGGAGATGACGAGTACCACGCAAAGCTGAATGTAGGCGAGAAGCCATGCCATGCATCAGTGACAGACGGCATTAGCAAACCGCTCATGAGTGCTCGGAGCTTGTTGAAGAGTGAAAGCATAAGCGCTTCCAAGTGTATTGGTGAAAAACCAAAGCAAGACAGAGATGTAAGTGTAGTATCTCATTCCTGCACCACACATGTCAGGACGGTTCCTGTTTGTCGAGGAAGGAAACAATATATGTTCTAGTCTATCTAATTTTTTATTTACGTAAGATTTAAAATAAAATTTTGACATAAGATAGTCTATTTCTCAGCAGGAGGATTCCCTTACAGAGAGCATGGACGAAACAGCTGATGAGGTCTCAGAAAAGGTTGCTCAACTGAAAACCTGATGATTCCCGTCAAGGTCACAGAATCGATCGGAGTTAGTACAACAGCATGTGTATAGATGCCCTTCCCCAGAAGACGAGAATCCCAGATCAGGACGGTCTTAACCATGATAAAGAGTCTACAACTAATAATACCACAAGTTGTTTTGGTAACCTCTGTTGTACTGTAAATTTTTCCCCCTTCAGTTTTGTGTTTTGACAGCAAACAACTGTCTAACTGACTGGTTAGTTCCTCGTCTTTTCCTCGATGGGACAATCACCGATCCTGTAAAATTTCCTTTCTTTTGATGACAGAATCATACACTGTTTCTATGATATATTCTAAAATTTTGCAGTCAATACAAAGAGATAATACATCCCAGTTTTTACATGTATGGCCGTGTTTAGATTCAAAATTTTTTCTTCAAACTTTCAACTTTTCCGTCACATCAAATGTTTGGACACATGCATAGAGCAGTAAATGTGGAAGGAAAAAAAAATCAATTGCACAGTTTGCATGTAAATCGCGAGACGAACCTTTTGAGCCTAATTACGCCATGATTTGACAATGTGATGGTACGGTAAATATTTGCTAATGACGGATTAATTAGGCTTAATAAATTCGTCTTGCAGTTTACATGCGGAACCTGTAATTTGTTTTGTTATTAGTCTACGTTTAATACTTCAAATGTGTGTCTGTATACTTCAAAAAAAAATTAGCACACGAACTAAACACCGGGAATGCTACCTAGCGATTGAGTGCTAGGGGCGATCCGATTCAATTCCCTCCCTCCACCTAGTTTCCTTTTTTGGCACCGCATTACTTTCCTATTTTAGTAAATTTATGCACTTAAAGTTTGTACACCTCAAGTTTACACATCTAAAGTTTAGAGACCCAAAGTTTATAAATCAAAAGTTTATATATCCGATTTAAATTTAAATTTGAATTCAAATATTTTTGATATATATAGTATTTCTATACGTTTAAAATTTATACATCTAAAATTTATAGACCCAAAGTTTATAAATCAAAAGTTTATATACCCAATTCAAATTTGAATTTGAAATATATACGATTCAAATTTGAATTTGAATTCAAATATTTTTTATATATAGTATTTAGATACATCTAAAGTTTATACACCTAAAGTTTATAGACCCAGAGTTTATAAGTCAAAAGTTTACATACCCGATTCAAATTTGAATTTGAATTATATCCGATTCAAATTTAAATTTGAATTCAAATATTTTTTATATATAGTATTTCTATACATCTAAAGTTTATACACCTAAAGTTTGTAGACCCAAAGTTTATAAGTCAAAAGTTTACCTACCCGATTCAAATTTGAATTTGAATTCAAATATTAGTTTATTGACCCAAAGTTTATAAGTCAAAAGTTCACATACCCGTTTCAATTCTGAATTTAAATTTAAATATTTATGGTGTAGTAGGAAGAGAAAAAGGGGAGGAGGAAGGGGGGAGAGGAGGGAGCGATCACCCACCCATTAGGTGTACCCACTAAACACAGCCTATCCTATGTTATGTTTGCTAAGTTGTCCCACCGCATTGGAGATTTGGAGTTTGAGACGACGGCAAATCGCCAACCACAAAAGTCTCGTTGGTGAGTGACTCGTGGGTCGGCGGCGGAGGAGATGTCACGGGATGCGTGTCGTCGCAAGGATTGGCTCAGTGGCAGGTAGTGGTGGAAACGAGCCGAGCCAAGCCTAGCTCGGCTCGGCTTGTAGTGGCTCGCAACAAACTTGGCTTGGCTTGGCTCGGCTTGGTTAGGAAAACAAGCTAAAACTTGAGCTCGGCTCGGCTCGTTTCTTGGCTCGAGCCAGCTCGAGCTGGCTTGCAAGCCTTCCTGTTGAAATACCTCTTCATATATATTTTGTAATTATTAAAAAAAACAAGAACAAATTATTAACATGTAAAATTAAATTAACTTTATATATTCAAGCCTTCAAAATCTTAATGGTAAATTTGAAGTTGACAAATAATAACGCCATATAAAATAAAATAATCGATATAAACACATAATGGCTTAGGCTCGCGAGCCAAAACAAGCGGCTCGCGAGCTAGCTCGGCTTGGCTCATTTCAGCAATGAGCTGAAAAGGAGGCTTGGGCTTGGCTCGTTTGGCTTACGAGCCGAGCCAAGCCAACCAAGCTCGAGCCAAGCCCGAGCTGAGCTCACGAGCCTGAGCTTTTTTTCCACCCCTAGCGGCAGGTCGCTAATCGCGATCTATCACAGCGTGAAAGTGTGACATAGGTTTGGTGCGGCCCATTAACCTTTGGGTTTTCCACGCGTGGCCCGGGAAAGCCGTTTAAGAGCTTGTTCGTTTTATCCTCTATTTCTAGGCACAATTAGGGCATGTTTGTTTCATAACCATTCCGCCTTTCCAATTTGTTGGAAATGGCAATAATTGACCATTGAATTTTTTTAACCAAAAATTGGCTAGATATTCACTTGCCATTTTTTACAAAAGTTGGCTAGACATTTACTTGCTTTGCTACCAAAAAGTTGGCTAGATATTCACTTGCTTTGCATGGCCAAATTCTTTGCTACAAATCACACATGACTATATTTTTTTTGCATTTCTAAAATTTTGGCTTGGCTAGGTTTGGGTACTAACCAAACAAATTACATATTAATAAGTCAGTAATTACTACCATTCTACTAAAAAATAACCCACACTTTTATTTCACTGAAGAATAATGGCATTCACATAAACATACTTGCATGTGGTTCACCTTTAGGCATTGATTGTTCAACTTAAAATTGTCATTATAAAACAAGTAAATAATATTAATCCAAACCAACCAAACGATATCTATCACCTCCCAGATTTAGGAGAATTTATTGAAGAAAGAAAATATTGAACCATTTCACTAACGGGTCATTCCCCCCGGAAATAAAGTGCATCCATGTATAACTCTCAGCACCCTCCCATAAAGCCAACCACTTCAGCCACCTTCTCCTTCACCTTAGCTCTTCTTCCGACCCATCCCTTTCCACCAGGACTTTGTTTTCCTTGCAATCGATTGGTGGAGCCTATGGGAATCTTGAAGTGTTGTTTCTATCTATGATATGTAAAATTTTGCAGTCAATACGAGAGGAGGCGGAGATGTCATGGGACGCACGTGTCTGGTGACAGTATGCATGCACCGTCGCAGGGATTTGCTCGATAAGTGGTGACTAGCTAGTCGAATCCGTCACAATCTATCAAAGGAAGTGGATGTGAATACTAACACATGGAATAGGTTGGTGCGGCCTATTGACCTTAAGTTTTTTGTGCACTGTCCTTGATTAGGTTCAGGCCCTGCTTGCGGTTGGGATCCTTGTGCGAGCCAACTCCAAACGACCCATGATGGAGAAGGCCATAAGGCCAAAGGCCCACTTGTGTCATGGCAGGAGGGAAGCCGCTTAAATGGGCTTTACGGTTCCCTTCCTTCTTCCCCCCCCCCCCCCCCCCCTCTCTCTCAATGGGATTTTACACTGAGTAGGTAAAACGAGTTACTCGTTGATTGGTATCATGTCTAGGCGTTTTTCCCCCATTTCATTTGAAGGCAAGTAGGCAACTTCTAGACACACCACGCCCATAGAAAAAAATTTCTAGGCGCGTCTTGAAACTTTATTTTAGTTTTATGAATAGGTTGAGCAAAATTAATGCATCCAAAAAAGAAGCATAGCCAATATAGCTACCCATAAAAAAGGATAGAATTGAAAAGATATGCATAGCCATTATAGCTACCCCTAAAAAAGGATAGGAACGAAAATATAGATATGCTCAGATGCATCAAATTAATCACTACATCATCTCATTGAAGGATCTTTTTAAGCAAATTAAGTTTATGATATATAGATCCATGTGTGTATAAGTTAAATAATCTCTATTGATTTCTTAAAAGCCATCTTACTTTTATTCCATGAGAACAAATGAAATTTCTCTCTAGATTAATATATATATACTCTGTCCGTAAAAAAAATGCAACTCTATCATTCAAATTTTGTGGGAAAAATTCAAATTATATAGTACTACTTTTCCTCTAACTACTCTTATCAAATTTCTCTCCACCTTACCCCAATGGCCCAATCACCCATTATTTTACGAGGGACATCCAAGTCATTTTTCCTACACTACTATTTTACTCCCCTCCGGTTCCATAATTTGATGTTTTAAACAAGGTTGAGGTTAAATTTTATAACTTTGACTAACAATAACTTTATATATATATATATATATATATATATATATATATATATATATATATATATATATATATATATATATATATATATGTCTTACAAATAACTATAATAAAAGTGAAAATGTATTTATTTATTATATATATTATAATAAAAATATAGTCAAAGATATATTTTAGATACCGTATTATTGTCTAAAACGTTAAGAATTATAGAACTAGAGGGAATGTAAAAAAAAATGCTGCAATTGCATTGTTTTTCTACTCCTTTTGGGACAAAAGGAGAAGATGCAAATCATTTTTGGTCACACTTCTTCTTCTTTTTTTTCGGCAATGGCAAGAATTGGCCATTGCCAATTTTTTGTACCAAAAAGTTGGCTAGACATTTGCTTACCTTTTTTTTTTACCAAAGTTGGCTAGACATTTTCATTTGCTTTGCTACCAAAAGTTGGCTGACATTCACTTGCTTTGCAATACCATTTTTTTTCTACAAATCAAACACATGACTATTTTTTTTGTCATTGCCAAAAATTGGCAATTAAATATTTATAAAATTCAAAACAATATTAATAAGTCAATGATTACAGCTCCACTTAAAAATTTTCACACTTTTATTTCACCAGAGAATAATTGCATTCACATAGACATACTTGTATGTTGTTCACCTTTAGGCACTGATTGTTTTACTTAAAAACTTCATTATAAAATGAGTAAATAATATTAATCCAAGCCAAACAAGATATATCTATCACCTCCCAAGTTTAGGAGAATTAATTGAAGAATGAAAATAGTGAACCATAACGTCAACGGATAATTTCTTACCTAGAAATAAAGTGCATCCACGTATAACTCTCAGCACCCTCCCATAAAACCAACCCCTCCAGCCACCTTCTCCTTCACCAATGCGCCTAGCCGTCTTCCTTAGCTCCTCTTTGGACTCATCCGTTTCCACCAGATCCCCACGTTCCTTGCAATCGATTGATGGAGCCTATGGGAATCCTGAAGTGCCCTTCCAGCTTGAAGCTCTCCGTTGCTGTTCCTGGTCATGCCCTCAACCCCTTCTCTGGTAAGTTCATAATGCAACCAAACACGCGCAAAACATTAATTTCATTTTATCGCCATGCCACCAAAATTGTTGTATGGGTGAATTTTTGCATGTGTATATGCAGATGGCGGTAGTGGTAGTGGTAGTGGTAGTGGTAGTGGGTGCAACAACAATAACACAAGAGAACTGGGTATCCACTTGGACTTGGACCGCCCGTATGCAAGAGAAGAGCTACCGCAGCAAGGTGGCAGCATGGAGGTGCAGAAAGGGGAGGAGAGAGGCGGTGTTAGGCACAATAGCTCCAACCATAGGCGGCTTTCTAGGGTGCAATCCAAGCAACTTGATGAATTTTATCGTGTAAATCACACAGTTGATTCCGTAAGCATGTTTCTTTTTTCAATATTTAAAATCACCACAGCCTTTCGAGTTATTAGTTCATTAATATTTGAAATATAGTAGATTAGGAATTAGATCTATATGTGAAGAATGGATTTAGAAACCATTAGATCAAGCAAGTTAAACTTTATCACTAGTATTTTGTACAACCATATGCATGTGCTTGAATTTTTCATCGAATATTTGTTTTGATAGATCACACGTTACTACACACTAGTCACCAATATATGTAAAGCAGAGGTTATTATTGTGAATATTATAAATATTAAAAAATAATAATACACCAAATATTGGTTATTTGAATTTTGTTAATATATATATTTTTTTTCAAAGTTCTAAGTATTTTTTATTTATAGTTCAAAAGAAATTAGTTGCAATATGATATATAAGGTCCATCCTAAATAAGAAATCTTATGTTATTTTCCATTTTCTTAAGTTGAGAATTTTAAGTTTCTATTCAGTATTGTATTAATCTTTACTCGTATAAAAGGACTCCAATGGATAGCCATATATAACCATTGTAACTTTTAGATATTAAGCTATGAACTTTCTAATATTAGATAACAACTAATCGGATAGCCATATATAAAATTAAATCAAGATGAGTCTTCTCTATATGAAAATGTGAATAACATAAGTCTTCTCTACACGAAAATGTGAATAACATAAGTCCTATCTATATGAGAATGTGAATAACATATTTCATGAAAAATATGCTTTTATTTATTTTAGAAAATAATATGGTATTTTTTTTCCTTTTACCTATAGCAAAGCATGGGTATTTAGCTAGTTTAACAGAGATTCAGAATTGATAAGCATCAAACTGCATATGTTAAGAGATTTCAATTGTAGATTTTTCACGATTTAAAATAATTCAAGACTTTATAAATAACTTATATCAACTTATACTTTGTTTTGAGTCTCTATATATCATTTTTATGATTAGAATTATGAAATTAGAAATTGATAAGGAAGATGTTTATCAATTTATAGCCCCAATTATATCTTTTCAGTAATCTAATAAGAAATTAGAATTAAGCAATATTGAATCGTACATGGTTTGGGAGCCTCGATTATAACTTATACATGATTCTACTCAGTTTTTGAGAGTTATAGCTTTTTCATGATTTAATAATTTTAAAAGTTCACAGTTAATTAATATCGAGTTGTGTTCGCTTTGGAGTCTTAATTATAGCGTGCTTTTCCATAAGTTTGATTGACTGCCATGATAATTCAATCCACCCCACCCAATCACCATTTTTTTCCTAGTTAAGATCAAAGCTCTCTCAAAGTCTCCAATTAAAACAAGTATAGACAGATTTAGTTAACTTCTTATTTTGCAATACAAGGATACAACTGGTGTTTGTCTTTGTATTGCTACAATGCTATACTAGAGTTCATGATGCTTGCTTGTACTGAACTAAACACAGGTCGAGCAGTTCGTACTTGCCTTGACCGTTTTTTTTTTTTCAAATAATTAGTAGCTCGATTGTTCATTGTCAATGGAGACCAGTCACTTACGCTCTAGGAAATTAATGGAACATTTTCAGAAACAAAAGAAGGAGTTGGCAGATCGACTGAATCTTCGGATAAGTCAGGTGGATGCTTGGTTCCGCAACCGCAGGTTAAGGTAATTAGAAGTTTTTTCAATGCTCTCACTAATTAGAATGTTCAGTCATACTCATTCTTTCTTACATATATGCGTAATTCTAGTTCTGGTTTTCTCTTGTTCTGAAGGTTAAGCTTATATCACCTTTAACAAAAAGAGAGATAAATCTCTTTGTTTTTCTTTAACGTGATAAATCTAGATTGAGCCGTGCAATGGTCTAGACTTCCATTCTAAACTCTGAACCTTTTATTTTAAAAACTCATGTCTGAACCATTGCACAGCTCTACGCCGTGTAATCCTTAGATCCTCTACCATAATGTTACTATCTTTACAGTCATTATTATGTGGGTCTCACCTTTCTATTACCCCACATGTCGGTGTCTGTAGAGGATGTGAACCCAATGATTCCAGTAAGAAAGCCCTTACTAGTTTTCACAAACAGCAGTACAAATCAGTTAGCAGTGTAGAACAAGTTCAGAGTTCATCATCCGCCCCAGTGACTGTTATGCTATTACTAGTAATACCTTTCAGATTAATCTTCACAAACCTACAGTAAGTGTGATGTTGCTACTACCTGCTCAGGTCGAAGCAGAAATCCACGGAGATGGAGTGCGCCTATCTGAAGGAATGCTTCAACAAACTGAAAGAGGAGAACCACCGCCTCCAGCTCCAGGTTGAGCAGCTCAGGTCAACGAGCTTGCAGCTGCAGCTGCAGCTGCAACTCCACAGCGAGCGAGTCGCCACAGCTCCCACTGGACAGCAAGCCGGCACTTCTGCGGCTGCTCGCATCTTCACTTTGCCTTTGTCCGGATACAACCCTTCCAGGGGGACTTGGTTCTCGCCAAATGCACACTGATCATGTGCTCATGCCAAGAACACAAGAGGGATGCTACAAGATTCGTCGCTGTCATGATCAACTGATAAAAAAAACCTGATAAGTCACAGCCATCTTGTAGGACATTGATGAAGAATGAGCTTGGGAAGATTAGCGTCGATGGGAATTGGATACTGTTTACCTTTTTTTTTTTCACCGGGCCGGCGTGGCCAAGAATTTAGTGCTTTATTTCTTTTGAAACCTGTCGTTCTTCGTCGTTGATCATGAGGGCTGACTATTGCTAGATCAGCTTCAGTTTAGCCTGTCATTGTTTTTGCTTTGAACAATCATTAGCCAGTCATGTTTTTGTTTTATCTCTCTCTTGACCGACAGATTTTGTGGTTCTGCTTGCCTCGGAAAAGAACAAACATTTTTGGTTAATCTCTGAACAACTGAACGTTCAGTACTACGAGTCAACTTTTATATACTCTGCTGGAGTATCTATACTTTCTATAAAGTTATAACCCACTATCTCTAAAGCTTAACATGCAACCATGCCACATCATCACCCACTAACAATAATTACATATTCAACCTCATGCAAGCATGAAAGAGCATCTGCAATCTATTTAATTCTACAAATTAACATGCAAAGCATATTCAATCACCACCTCTCACATCATTTCCCCAATAGTTTTACAAATCTCTTTATCATTTTTATATTATTTAATATATACTTATCAACATGTTCTACATTAAAGTGCGAATATCATTTGTTTCATGGTAAATATTGATAAGCCCTAAGATTTGATTATTTTTTTTTCTTTTTACTCCTAGCTGAATTGTAACGAAAAAATAATATTGAAAATTACTTAGTAATTCCCGAAGCAAAGCGCGGGGAATCCCTAGTTACAAAAATCCTCTGTTGAGAGTCGAGACTACAAATGGCCAAAAAAAAAAAAAGGTCTGCAAGGATCGAATCAGAAGAACACGGAAAGAGATATGTGCAGTGAACAACTAAAACATTGATTCAGCTCAGTCAAAAAAAAAACATTGATTCAGCTGTTGTTTTCGCTTAAGTTATTCCATTGGTCCAGCAGTCGGCAACAATCAGATGGTAAGCTCTTCAAATCTACCGCTCTCAGCCAAGGAGTTCCATTGAGCAATGCTAAGTTAGCAGCTGCAACTGCACGAACAGTTCACACATGATCAGAAATGATTTACAGTCATCTAAGAAAAAAGTGAATTACAATTTGTTTAGACTAATCAAGCGTAAGCGTAGGTACATACGTTAGAACATGTGTCGTCCATCCACGGTTCTGCACCATCCGGATCTTTGCCATGTGTAAGATTTTGTACTACCGTTCCTGATCAGTTCATAGTAGCCCAAGAATAATATAGTAGACCAAGGTGATGGGGAGAGCTATTAGCATGCCAAATATGACCCTGAAAGCGATGAAAATGTTGATACATTCAGAATCTTGAAGGCTTGAACAGTTTGCAGTCATGTAATACTTGCAATTTTCAGGGTAACTCTGCTGACTTACAAAGTGCAAAGGATGGTAGCGTGGAGGTTGTATTCCTTAGCGAACACAAATGGCACAATTCCTTGTGGCAGGGCGGCCTAACAAACATTCAGTGCATTCGTAATCAGCGTCTTGATTTGGCTCACCGTTTAAACCCAACCAAAAATACAAGGCAGTTTCAGAGATCATCGAGACATCGACTCACCTGAACAATGGCGATACGCAAGAGCGTGCCTCGGATGCCGACGGCGGCGGACGCGGCGGCCATGATGGCGGGGCCGAAGAAGAAGCGGACGCCCATGCTGGCCGCCGCGACGGAGTAGCCGCAGGCGATGATCTTCGGCTGCGTGGCCATGAACAATCCTGAACGGAAGGTTCAGTTTAGAGATCTGCACTTCTCTGAACCAAATACAGTACTAGAACAGATGGTGATGGAACTGAACTCACCTAAGCTAAACATGGCCATGCCTAACCCTGCATCGGAGAGAATGGAGATTGATTTGGCTACTATGATTGGCATCGTGATGTGGAACCTGCACCAATGCGAAATTGCCCATTACAGCATCAACGCTGAACTGACAAACAATCAGAAATTCTGAATCCAATTTCCAGCGAACTGATCGACCAGGTGAGCTTGCTTTACCGGAACGCGATGAGCGACCAGGTGAGGCCGATGAGGCTGGCGTACGTGTTGGGGTTCCGGATCAGCCGGCGCCAAACCGTAGTGAGGATGAGCCGCAGCATCACGCCGGCCGGCGCGTTCTGCTGCCCTCTCGCCCGCTCCGCGCCCGCTGCGCCGCCGCCCTTCGTCGTCGTAGTCACCGCCGTCGTCTGCTGCTCCGTCTTGGCGCCGGCCTCCAGCTTCGCTAGCTCGTCCTGCCCGCCCACGGCCTTGTTGAAGCTCGCCGCGCGCTCCCCGCCCGTCGCTCCCGGCGGCGGTCGGATAACTGAGGAACATAATGTAAGGTGTTTGTTGGATTGATCAAGAGGAGGTTGGAGACTGACCTCTCGACGAGGCAATGGATGGCGCGTCGGAGGGGACAAGCCGGCGCGTCTCCCGGCCGCTGCGGAACACCGGCAGGCCGGTGACCTCCGACGCGGCGGAAGCGCCGGAGCTCCACTCGATCATGTGCGTGTCCTTGAGGTCATTGGTGGGAGCCACGGTCGCGGATGCTCTGGCCCGCGCCGCCGCGTGCTCGTCGAAGCTGGACGGCCTCGGGGTGTGCTGCCTCGACGAAGAGTGCAGCGAGAAGAGGTCCGCGGCGCCGAAGCTGGACGCGCGCAGCGCGCTGTTGGGCGGCTGGTGACCAGGGATGTCGGCGAGGGTGAAGGTGGAGCCCCTCGGGGTGGCGTTCCGCGACGAGCTGATCGAGTAGATCTCCACGCCGGTCAGGTTCGACGCGCGCGGCGTGGCGGCGGCGGCGGCGGACCGCCTCGACACCGACGAGCGGCACACGACCATGCGCAGCCTCCCGTCGGGCGCCACCTCGGCGTGCGCCTCCGCCTGGCTGCCCTCGAGCGACACCACGTCCGGGTCGACGTGCACGGCGGCGATGGACGCCGCGGTGTCCGGGAACTGCGCCGCGATGAGCACCCGCGCGGCGCGGAACTCGAAGAGGAAGAGCAGGAGCGTGTACCAGACGATGGACTGGAGCACGACGATCTGGACCATGAGGTCGCCGGAGTAAGGGCCGTACATGGAGACGAGGAGCGGGATCCCCATGACGAGCGTGTTGGGGAGGGTGGAGACGGAGAAGAGCGTGATGGAGCAGTCGAGCGGCGGCCACGCCGGGGGGACGAAGCGCGCGGGGAAGCGCGACCACGCGGCGAGCGCGGCGAGGACGAGCACCTTCTGCAGGGTGTCGGCGGCGACGAAGCGGAGGTTCATGGCGTAGGGGTCGCTGGAGGAGATGAAGTGGAAGGAGAGGAGCGGGACGGCGATGACGGCGACGAAGCGGTTGATGCCGGAGCACTGCTCCGGCGTGAGGACGCCCCACCACCGCACGGAGCCGTACGCCACCATCATCGCCACGTACAGCGGCACCACCGCCGACAGCACCATGTACAGCTCGTGCCACGATATCATGGCGGCGGCGGCCGATCGCCGGTCTGGGAGCAGCTGATCGATCTGTTTCCTGCGATGCGATCGAGAGGAGCAGCGTGCGATTAGTGTGTTGCTGTTACATGCAGAGAGTGAGTATTGCGGCGCGCGATGCCGCGATGGGATATAAAAGTACGCTGTCCCGGGCTCCCGGCCTCCTGCGCGCTTTGACTGGTTCTCTTCGAGGTATGTCCGTATGTGACACAAATTTTGCTCTGGTGGAGAACTCCACGGAGCAACTGAACCTCGTGGCACTGCTTCAAAAAAAAAAAAAAACTCGTGGCACAGATATGGCTACGTAGCCAAATCTAGTAATCTCGAAATAAGTTTATTTTTTTATTCTTTTTTGTCTTTAAATAATTTGTTTTTAGCAATTATTATATCGAAGTTTATAAAAGTATGACATAATTAATTGTATTGTATGTAGATGAAGAAATTAATAATTATATTGAAATTTGATAAATTAGATGTATTATAGGTTTTTATTAGTACGTGCGAGATAGATGAAAATGAAATTTATTTTAAGGCTGTGTTTAGTTTACACTTAAGTTTGGAAGTTAAGTTAAAATTGGTACGATGTGATAGAAAAGTTACGTGTGTATAAAAAATTTGATGTGATGAAAAGTTGAAAGTTTGAAAAAAAAAACTTTGAAACTAAACAGGGCCTTAGACGGAGGGATTGGCAGTAGACACGGCTAGTGTACACATTTTGCAATGAATTTTTCCGAAGAAAAACCACTGTAGATGTGTCAGTCCAGTCGTCTGTAGATGGTCTAGTGGCCGTTATGTGTGCTGTCACGTCAGGCCGGCGGGGTGCACCTCGAAATGCCGTGCAATTTTGGATGGACTCATGGCATGCGAGGCATTGTCAGTGTGGCTGGTACAGCCCGTGCAGATGCAGCTGATCCGATGGCCTCGCAGGCTGGCAGGCTCTTTTCAGGCAGCAGTGCAGCACCGGCCTAGTATGCAGTCTCCAAATCCCACGAGGCCGCAAGAAGGCAGCCCGCAAACTCGGCCCATACAAATGCTGAACTAGTTATCGGCCCAAGAGCAGTAAAACGCTTCTTTCAGCGCTTCCGGCCCAGGAGCCTCAAATCACACCTCAGACTCGAACATGAATTGGGTCGCGCTACCAACTGCGCTTTGCTCTACACTTACTCCTATCAAAGCAAGACCCTCACTTTGGCATCGCAGATTTGCGGCGTCACATGGCTGCCGCGGCTTGGCTTCTCTCCGTTGTGTCGCACACGAAGAGTGCCGCTCCGTACTTTCTACTTGCAGTAGAAATCAATCTGATCCGTAGATCTAGTTATATCCAAAGGCTCAGATCTTTTTATACTCCACCTCAATTTATAGTACTAGAAGTGTGGAGGGTCATTATTGTCCAAAGAAAAATAAGCGCTCATGGGTAAAATAGTACTTTCATCCTTTTCTTTTAACCCTACCCCCCTCTACGTTGCCGGCCGCTCGCCCTCCCCTCGATCAACCGGCGTCGCGCCGCCGCCTCGCTTCCGCCGCCACCGCCACTGCCTCTGCCGCTTCACTTCTCGTCTGGACGACGCCGGCCTCCTCCCCCAATCGCAGCCGCCGCCGCTCGCTTCTCCTCTGGAGTCTGGACAAACTCCTCGTTCCCACGTGTCCCCATCGTTCCCCGTCCCTGCTGCCTCCTCTCGTCCCCGATCCCAGTCCCCAGAGGCGTCAATCGGAAGGAGCTCGAGGGCGGCGCCGACTCCGCGTGCAAGACCTGCACGATCCACCAGCGCCCAAGCTTCGTCCTCTCAGTCTCCTGCGCCGTTCGTCCTTCCGTCCCCGCCATCGCTGCCTCAGGTCATCCCTGCCGTGGCCGAGCGGCGGTGGTTGGGCAAAATGGTGGCAGATCCGCGACTAGATGCCGGTGAGGAGGTTGCGGATCAGCCTTCTTTCATCCCATCACACAGGAGGTAACGACGTAACGTCCTGTTCTTTCATTTACTCTCATGCAGATCAGTTTTTGCCCCATTCCGTGTTGAATGGTGTGGTTGAATGTTTTGTTCTCAATTATCAGAAATTAGAGGCAAACCAGATGCAAAGCGAGGTCCAAGGAGTGCAAAGCAAGGTCCAAAGGAGTGCTGTCCCATATTACCTTTGTGCGTTCTTTGATGTTGGCTTGAAATCTGGGATAAAGTTGTAATCTTTGTACATAAGTTGGGACCTTGAATTATATTGTGCAATTTTAGAAGTCATGATTTTATCTGACTTCAACCGTGCTTTACATGCTTGCTCATGCCTTCTTTGATGTTTGGCTCGAAATTGGGATAAAATTGTACTTTATAAGTCAAGGGGCATCCGGCTGGGCAGAGACAGATAACCATGGAGCGGGAATCAAACAAACACAATTTTCCATACTGAAGATTTTTCACATAAATTGCAAATTATACTTTAATTTAGTTATACCATAACAATTGATAAGTCAAGGGGCACCAGCAGCATCGACAGTTCACGATGAACAGCAACATAGCTGAAGCCATCATCAATAATAAAGACCACCGCCAATAAATCTGACACCCTATTATTTTACTGAGGACTCAGAGAGAGACGTTAATTAGTGCCAGTCAGGGGCTCTGGGCTACCGGCGGAACTACAAGGGCATATGAATCGGAGAAAAAGAAATCGCGTCAAAACATGATATATAGATCGAAAAAGGATTAATAGATGGAAAAAAAAACTACAGTGGAACGCGTTGAAAAAAAGAAATCTCGTGAAAACATGATAATATATGGAAACGGGATAATAGATCGGCCTAAGATGTGGTGGCCGCGTCGTGCCTGATGCAATCAAGCCAAAATTACCCCTAATCAGTCCCTGCCAAAATTATCCTTAATATGTATTAGAAGATTACTAATCTACCCTTCAAAATAAACGGTCAAGATTAATTCTAGTTGTAGTATAATACTACAAGTAAATTGCACCGGAGCATTGGTCGCACACGAAAGGAAATCTCGCAAAGCAATTTAACGGGACGAGTAGACGAGCGAGGCGAGACCGCGAGAGCAACGGGACGAGACGGAGAGAGACCTCCTCATCAGACACTCGCATCGCGGCCCAGGCAGCGGCTGTGCACGGCTGCTCTTTATCGAGGACCGTGAAAAGGGGGCGAAAGCTGTATGTATCTAGGAGTAGCGTAGTGGAGGCGATTGGCGATGATAATACAATGATGGGGTTCATCCCAAAGTATACAATCTACGACTAGTACACCGTAGTCTACGTACTGGAGTACTAGTATACTACTACAACTACCAGGAGCAAAAACAGCAGAAAATTTCTGAGGGGGTGTTTAGATGGGGCTAAAACTTTTTAGCCCATGTCACATCGGATGTTTGGACGCTAATTTAGAGTATTAAATATGGACTAATAAAAAAACTAATTTCATAAATGAGAGCTAATCCGCAAGACGGATTTTTTAAGCCTAATTAATCCATAATTATCAAAAGTTTACTGTAGCATCACATTGTCAAAATCATAGCGTAATTAGACTCAAAAGATTCGTCACGCGAATTAGTCTAAGCTTATAGAATATGTTTTATAATTAGTGTATATTTAATACTCTAAATTAGTGTCCAAACATCCGATGTGACAGGGACTTAAGAATAAGTCCCTGGAAACCAAACAGCCACTCAGAGCTGGGGTCTGTACGTGTTGCCGTGTTGTAAGCAAAATTGTTGCTTTCCGGCGTTTCCGCATTGATTTGCAGCTGCCGCCGCTGCTTCTGCGGATCTACTGGCACCGGTGCAGATGGCTGGAGTAGCCTGTACTAGGGTGTTGGGGATAGCTGTAGAGAAATGCATGGGAGGCAAGGCTCTGCAATCTGTGCCATCGGTTGCCTCGGGATGACAAATAAAATGCGACTAGCCATTGCGTGCCTAGCCTACCTCCTCCCCTCTCGTCTTCCCCACAAGCCCACAAGAGAGGGACCGCATCTCATCTCATGTCCTTGCTCGTTTTTCAGACTTTCAATCACTGCATACTCCAACCTCAATCTACTCCTTCACTAGTGTCATTCACTCACTGATTACTGCTTTGCAAAAACACTTTGATTAGTAGCAGTACTGCTAGTACTAGTGTTGTACACTTGTACTGTGCTCCTTTGCCTTTGCATTCCGGAGTGAAATGTTAAAGTGTTCACCAAGGTTTCTCGTGAATTTTTTCCACCGTTTTCTTGCATTCGTTTCAGTTTTGACTACGCACATCTGCTAGTAGGAGTAGTAGTACGGAAGTAACTAGCCCTACACTGACTAATGTGTCGGTGACTTCATGATCCACAATCCACATCATATCATTTGATGGAACTGAAATTAATCTAAGTACTCTCGAGAGAGACAGCATCAAAGATTCAAGAACATGACACCACGCCAGTGTGGTCTGGATCCTCGATGCCTCTGGTCGGGTGCTAATTAATCACTGCGGAAATAAAAACCTGAAGCATGTCTGTTCCATCCCTTTTTCATCACCGTCTTTGGGCGTGGTTTAGTTCTCAAATTTTTCTTCAAACTTTCAATTTTTCCATCACATTAAAAATTCTGTACACACGTAAACTTTCAACTTTTCCGTCACATTGTTACAATTTCAATTAAACTTTTAATTTTGACGTGAACTAAACACACCCTTGATAGAGTGACAAATAGTAAATTCTCCCATTGCATTACACAGCTGAATGGAGTATGCCAGCATCTCGTTTGCAGTTTGCTTCGGTCTCGTTTAGTTCCAAACTTCCTTCAAACTTTTAACTTTTCCATCACATCAAAACTTTTCTACACACATAAACTTCTAATTTTTTCGTTACATCGTTCAAATTTCAACCAAACTTCTAATTCATTGTTTTTCTCAACATCCTAGTGACCTTAATTCAGGCCTTTGGCACGATGACTGTGCACCGGTATTGCTGAATAGATGTACTTCCGTCCGATTGTATATTCCGTATTGCTATATTTTGGATGGAGTATCGTACCAAAAGAAAACTCTAGTACAGGGCCCACAGTAAAGCATTTGCGAGTCTTTTGAGAGAGGGGAAAAAAAACTAGAAAACTGTCATTCTGCTGTGTTTAGAATTCGTCATTGGTTCCATACCATTTGTTTAGTTTTTTTCTCCAAATTTGTAGTTACATACAAATGTTAGCCTTTTGATTAAAAAAAAGAGAAAGAAATGAGAGTCGTGTAAATTTTGGTGTTGTTGGTAGAAAAGAACGGTAAACCAACACTTAGCCTATGCTCAGTTAAACAACGATGGATAAGCTGAAGCCAGATGAACTAAGTAATCAAGAATAATTTACGAATAAAACGTTTATATCTTAAAATCCAAAGGCAAGAAAATAGCGCGCCAATTAACTAACACACACGTATTTGATCACCCCCACACCATTTTATAATACGGATCATACCAGAATAATTTTATTTTATTTTTTATTTGATGTGGCATAATTTAGGTCTTCTTTTTTTTTTCTCGCACATTAGATGCCACACATGATTCTTCCTGCACTCTAAACGTCATGGCAAAGGACAAAAACTACTGGGAAAGAAAATTAAAGAGTTTCTTTATTGATTATTACAATAAACGCAGTAATGTACCACTATTCTACCACTTGCATTTAGAAACCACACCAGAGAGTACTTGATTTGCCAGAGCACTAATCCTTCATCTATAGAGTCATTACAGTCTGACAGCAGCATGACTCTCTTATCACCACGAGTCCATGACCTAACACTATGCATAATCAACACTAAACCACCATGAACATTCATCTAAAGTCTAAACAGCAACTTCCTAATCCATTTCCAGTGATGATGAGATGACATGGGCAAAGAACAAGGAACAGAGAGAGAAAAAAAAATCAGACATGGCTCCGTTAAACCCGGAGGAGGTAGACACTGAGCTCAGGACCGCCACTGTTGCTGTTGCTGCTGGTGCTTGTGCTGTCCGGGTTCATCATGTAGAATGCCTCCGAGTCGCGCGAGCCCACCACCCGCTCGAACCGCGCGCGCATGTACATGACGTCGCCCTCGCCGCCGCCGCAGCTGGCGGCGGGTATGACGCCGGCGCCCATGGACACCGGCTCCAGCGCGCGCAGCACGCGCCAGTCGGCGGCGCCGCACTCGCGGCGCACCGCGTAGCCGCAGCTCTTGCCGTTGCAGTACGCGCGCCACACCGTCTCCTCGAGCAGCCTCTTCCCGCCGCCCGTCGCGGTGGGCAGGGCGGGGGCGGGGCCGCCCTTGGCGCGCTCGCACTCGAGCGCGATGCGCACAAGGCCCGAGGCCATCTCGCGCACCAGCGCGGCGGTGGGCGCGGCGAGCTCCAGCAGCAGCGCCGGGCACGCGCGCGGGTCGAGCTGGAACGCGAGGTGCACGTGGCCGCGCCGGTGGCCGTAGAGCGTGCCGGTGAGCCGCGCGCCGAGGCCGACCTGCCGGTGCCGCCCCGTCACGGCCGCCGCCAGCGCCGAGCGCAGGCGCGACACGGCCGTGCGGACCTTCCTACGCTGCGGCGGATGCTGCTGCTGAGGATGCTGCTGCCGCGGCGGCTTCTTGGGAGGAGAAACGAAGTCCTCAGAATGGAAACTCGGACAGACAGAGGAGAACGCCATTGTCGCCTCATCCTCCTCCTCTTCAGCTTCCGAGCTCTTCATGTAATCCTCCTCCCCTCTCGTGGCGCCATGGCTGTAGCTCTTGCCAAGAACCGGCCACTTGAAATGCCTCCTAGAGAAGGAGAGGGAATCATGGGGGTTTCTTGCTGTGATGGTTCTCATAGCTTGAGTTAGCCAAGCCTAGCTTCTTAGCAGCAAGCAAAGCAAAGCAAAGAGGCAAAGAGCACACTGCTCCTTCACTGAGCTAGCGTTGTGCTTGTGCAGCTGGGTTGTGTGAGAAGAGGTTGTATTCAGAAAATGTGTGTGCAGCTGAACTGTGCTTGTATATGTGTGTAGTATGCTTTACTTCTAGTGTTATCTGTCCCTGCAGAAGCAGGCTTTTGTAGTGAAGGAGTGGCTGGTGAGCAGAACACACCAAAACCGAGCGAACAAAAAGAAGAGAGAGAGCTAGCGATGGAGAGTGTGCTGCTGGGGTTGGGTTCTTGTGAACTTTCTCTTTGTTTTTTTCTAATGAGGAAATGGTAGGCAGGAATGCAGGCTGCGGCGGTGGGACAAGGCTAGAGAGATTTATGGCAGATAAGATAATTGAGAACTGAGAAGAGAGTGACAGGAGAGAAGGCGTACCTGGTTTTGATGGTTTGGCTTTTATCAGTGGTGGGGAACTGGGGATTAATTAGTGTGCTAGTGATTATCTGAGTGGATGATGATGCACTGATGAGGTTGCAGTGAAGTGTAGTAATTATATTTCGATGTTATGGTTAACAGACGAATTGGGTATGATCTCTGAAAAACAGAGAACAGGTTAGAAAAAGCTACCTAACAATCATGATTCTTAATGTATATGATACTTTGGAAATGGCCATTAGTTCCCAACAAACTTAGACGACATGAGTGCAGCACCGCACCACATTTGCATTCCCTGTGATGTCAACGGCTTCTGCAATTGGATTGGGCTCCGTTCCTAATCAGCAATCTTTCAATACTCGTCATGAATGACATATAGCTCAAAACTATAATTAGGAATCTTTCATCTTTTCTTTGCACAAGCTGAAATGATACAACCCACAAGTAAGATTCTTCCTTAAAATACACAAAACACATGGACATGCAGCTTTGTCTAACCGTACTGCCTCAAGCAACGAACACGATCACAAAGCTACAAGTAAACTCGAATGCCGAATGGTAGTATAGTACATTGATATTCATCAGAGAATGTTAAATGTACCAACCATTTCAGAGTTTCAGAGTTCTTTTTCTTAAGCCCTGTTTAGATCCTCCAAAATGGCAAAAGTTTTGCCATTTTGAAGTACTTTTTGCCATTTTGGATCTAAACACTAGTAACAAAACTTGGCAATTTGGCAATTGGCATTTGCTAGTCCATAGTAGCAAATTGTGCCAAAAAGTGCTTTGGGACCGCTCCCTCTTTCTTTCTCTCTCTCACTTTAGTGCTAGAATGGAAAAAGTTTAGGATGCATCTAAATACCAACTAGTACTTTTGCAATACCAAAACTTTTGCCATTTGCCATTTGTTATTTCAAATGGATCTAAACAGGGCCTTAATCTTCAGAGAATGCACATTTTACCTCTCTCACAAACCGGTTCATTCCGATCATGCAACACATTGCTTTTCTGTGTTTGGTTCTTTCTTTCAAATCGATCGCTGCACAGATCCAAACTAAAGCGCGAAGGCTGCAGGGTTCAGAGGAGAAAGACGAGAGGAGGCAAAGAAAAGAGGAGAGGAGAGGCTGGCTGCTGAACCAGCACAGTTTTTGCTTTCCTCGGGATCGGTGGCAATGCAAAGCGGGGCCCAAAGGGGGGTAAAATCCAAAGCGAAAGCTGCAGCTTTGACCGCGGAGGGGGCCGACCGACCGGTGCCGACGGCGACGGTGCGTGGCGACGGAAGCAGCGCCCTGCAGCGCCGGAGTGGCCGGGTCCAGGTGACGACGCGACACACCGTACTAGCGACCTCATCGTCGTCGTCGTCGTCCCCGGCTAGTGCCAGTGCTACAACATGCTACCGCTAGGAGAGAGAGAGAGACACACACACAGGCCACAGCTACTCTACATCTGTCTCCTCTCGAGCTTAGTACTGTTGCTGGTCTGGTCTTATGGCCTCTGCCTCTCTTGAGAAGATCAAATCACGCTTAAATTCACCTCTTCTCCTTCGTTCCTAGCTGTAGCATGTTGCTGTTCCTGTGGTCTCCACAGCAGGGTTTCTCAAATCGCCGGGGCTAGGGTTACCGCACCCCAGCGGTAAGCACGGTTACCGCGCGATAACCGTAAAAACCATGCAAAATTCATCAAAAATTCAAATTATTTTTTAAGTTTATTTGAATTTAAGAAGGTTATCGTGGTTTTTCTACTACCGTATCCTGGGATAAGACCGGTAACCGTGCTGGTAATGTAAACCCTGCTCCACAGCTCGCAGGCGCAGCTCAGGGCTCAGGAGAGACGAGGGAGGGGGAAAGGAATTTTCAACGTGTTCCAAAGGCATGTTCATTGTTCAAACCTAGTTTGTCCGGTTCAGCATTAACAAATCTTCTGAAGCGCAGCTTAATTGTGCATGCACATTTAGCAACAGGTCAATGTGGCCTGGAACCTATCCGTATGCAGCCCTATCACAAGTAGATACTATCACATTAGGATGCAAGATCAATAATAAGATGCCCGTGAGCACCAAAGCTAAACGAAGAAATTTATTTGACTGCACGGCAGATCAAATACGTTAAACAACTTCTGTGAAAAAAAGGTAAACAACTGATACCTCTTCAGAAGGGACTAATTCGGTGTGCCAGCTTTATTTGCCACTCAGAAACCAGCCGGCCTGGGATAGGTGCCAATGCATCCTTCTCACGTGCATCTGCATCATCAGCATGGATAACAGAAATAACGTCTTCAACCAGTTTGTCCCTGCCACCCCTTAGTGGATCCTACAACGGAACGATATGTTAGGGTTCCCCAGCAAATTTGTGCACAGAGGGCCATCCTGAATCCTGGTGTAACTATTCCAGCCTTCATATTCAAAATGACTAACCTGTAAAAATACATCAGTATGTGTTTTCCCTTCATAGAGTAGTAACTTGGCTTTAGCACCAGCTTGTTTAAGGACACCCGCAAAAGTTTCACTGCATATGTGATATACGGAGTTAAAGAGTTCTTAGCAGCTTGAACATACAACATGAATGGATTAACTTGTATAGAAAGATGGATCAAATAACGGTGTAACACCTAGGTAGTGTTTGGTTGCAAGGATGGGATGGGGCAAACCCACTTTTAGGGGTGTTTGGTTTAGTGGTGAGTGAGGGGTAGGTCCATGGAGAGGAATATTCCTCTTAGATCCGGGACCAAGCCATCCAGCAAAATCGGTCGGACGAGCTTGTCCCACCTGGGACGAGCGCACAGCGTGAGTTGCGCCACTTCACCGCGCGTCGTGTGCATCGCCGTCGGGAGCAGCTATAGCTGGCGGCGATGGCGGGCTGTCACCACGCGCCCTGACCTCCTCCTCTGCCTGGAGGCCGGTCCAAGCCACGCACCCCCCCCCCCCGACCTCCTCGCCGCATCCGCGCTGCCGAATCAGGTTGCCTAGAGGTCGGGGGCCACCGGATCTGGCCTCCTTGAGGTCGGGGCTTGCCGGAACCAGCCGCGCCTCCGACCTCGTCGCCGTGGACCGATGCCTCTAGCTCCGGCCACCACGTCCACATCGTCATTGTCTCCGATGTCGCGCCGCTCCTCCTTCCGCCCGCGCCGCCGATCACCGCTCCTTCCTCTGCAAGCTGCGAGCTGCGAGACCTTTTCTCGCTGGGAGTAACGTGGTGCAAACGCTGTTCATCACATCCCTACCCCATCCCTTCTACCAAACAAAAAATTGGGATCATTCCATCCTATAAACCAAACAAGCAAGTAGGATCACTCCATCCCTAAAATCAGGGATTGTGTCATCCCATCCCACATAGTCCCAAAACCAAACACGCGCCTACAGAATGTAGAAGCATATAAAAATAGAAGTGAGAAATTAATAAGTAATAGGCAGTGTTTGCCTACAATAATATGTCCAGAAAGACAGCTTGTATGGAACTTGACGTTTTAATTTGACGCATATATCTTGTAAAAGAGAGGAACCCCAAAACAACATAACAGAAAAGATAATCAAACCTAGTAGAGAATTATTAATTCCCCTGGAAATAAAATATAATTATACCTAGCAGAAAATGGTATAGAATAATCATCCGTTCCATGCAAAAGCACAATCTGAGGAAGAAGAGCTATTGTTTCAGGACATAATTTCTTGGCAACAGTTTCTGGAGAGAAATGTGGCAATGATTTCTTTCCCTCCATTATGCTGAAAAGGCATTTCATAAGTTCCTGAGTTTTGTATAGTTCTAATTAAGAATTAAGGAAAGTAGAAGCAACACTTCCATATCAAAAGTACAGTTACACTGTTACCTGAGAAATATTGAACGGTAAAGACCACGTTCATGGAAATGATCAACCAAATTTTCAATGTTGTATCTGCAAACAGCAATTTGAGCAATGAGAATATATGTCATGTAAACATAGAATCACTAGCTCTGATTATTTAGTATCTCATTACACATTCTGTTGCATCCAAATGCCAAAGTGAGACTGCAGAAGTTGGTTCAAAATTCTAAAAGGCACCATATGTTTTCTCAGCTACTAAAACACTTCATGAGGTACAAATCTAAAACAAGCACTCAAAACACCAAATGGTAGATATCTATTGCTTTTTAGCAGGACTAGCCCCAGTTTCACAACATCGGAGTTTATAAGTCAATCATCATGTAAACTAAACAATTGCCAAAATCCGACTTTCTTCACAATCAAAATCAGACTAACACAGGAGTAGAATCAATAGAAGATCACTTAAATGAACACATAAAGAAATCATGCGATGTTGCCATGATAGCAGGTTTAGTGTTTTATATTAGACCAAAACGTGCATGGTATAGAAAACTAATCAAGACTCAGGAGAAGCAATTCTTTAATAATGATGATAACCATACAGACATATAATCAATCAAAATTAGATGATAAAGCTATCCCACCCTCCAGACAAACCAAAGTATGCTTTTATTTGAGTAACACTCCATGAAATCTGCTCTCCCCTAGATTCTTTAGCCGCTTGTTCCAAAAGAGCGCATGCTGCGATATGTGCTCCTGCTGATTGACCCATTAAGTATATCCTGCAGGATTTAACACGATGAATGGTAAGTCTTTCACTAAAATCATCAGTAAAAAAATACAAAGCAAGAATAATGGAAAACTACGAAATTATTAGGATGCATGGGAATAATACAGTCATCAGTTCCAGAAATGAATGTGGTTAAGTCTAGATGCAAGTATAACATATACTGTGCATTTTAGCTTTCCATTCAATAAGACACATATTTCTATATCTTACACAATTTATGTCGGAACAGAAGCATGCCCAGAAAACCTTTTAAAAAAACTTCTATGTGCTTGTCCTCATTCAATAACCACCAGCATGGACTTCAAATATAATCATTCAAATCATGTACATTGTTCATTCAAGAAAACCGTTTAGAAAAACTTCATGTATACATGAAACTTTTTTTCAGTAGTAACTTTATTAGGGTGTTGTGATTTGATAAAGTATCACTTACTGATTAGGATCTCCTCCATAGGCACCAACAGTCTCACAAACAAATGAAATCCCATCAGAAGCATCGCTAACCATGTCACTTATTGTTCCTTGAGGAAAATTCCTGCAAAACATATGCTTTTATATATCATCAAGCAAGCAAAAAGAAATCGATCAATCAGTAAATTCTTATCAGTAAAAAAAAATCTACCAAAAAAGAATTATAAGAATCATATATGAGGAATCCATGCAAAGTATGAGCACCTGTAATCAATGCATGCAACTATAATTCCTCGCTCTGCTAACCTCCTTCCAAGAAGAGCACCCCACGCCTTGTAACTAGATATAACTGAGGTCATCAAAAGGGCAAATCATGGCAGAAGACCCTTATAATACATCATCAGAAGAATTTTACTCACCCAATGATCCATGCACCACCAGTAACAAATGCAACAACTGGACTGGGTTTTTTGGGGTCTCTTGGTATGTAAAGATCCAACCTGTATAGTGTGAAATTGAGTCTCTAGCAAAGTCCAAAATCAGATTCTTCCGTTTATATAGCAGATAGTTTCTATACCTATTTCTTGGTTGATCCCCATAGATCACGCTCCTCAAAACTTGTCTTGAAAAGAAATAATAATACCCAACTGGCAATCAATAAATAATAAATTAGTTGGTAGATGTACAATCATGGCCATGCTTTCAATTCCGTAAAAAGGGAACCAAGAAGAGCTAATTTGCCAGAACACTTATTGGTACAATCATAACATTGACTAACCATCATGTTCAACATAGAAATCTGTAATAAAAGGTAAGGTCAACGAGGCCAAAGGTAAACATGATTTTCTTTTTTTTATCTACCTCTTATGAAACCGGGCATAAGTAAAATTGCATATATTATGAGGGCAGCGAGCTGAGAAATCCACCGGTAGCCTACCCTGGAAAAATAGAAAGAACATCAGGGACATCTATACAGCAAAGATGAAAATATATTGTATATGCATTTGGATTTTTTTTTTTTGGAGATTTTGGTGGGAAGATAACGCAATGTATATTAGGCGTTTTGAAGCATGACTTCACAAGATAATAAAATTCAGTTCATCAGTGCTAGAGTTAGCTTGCCATCCAAGTGAATTAGTTGAAAATGCAAGGTGCTTTGATGCAACAATCTGTTTTAACAATGGGGATTTCCTAATTTCTTATAGGTCATTATTGGTATGTCCGTGAGGAGGAGTGAGACCAAAGACGACGAGGGCGTGTTGCCGAATGGCGATCGGTACAGTATCAGATTACGTTACCCGAGGTATCGGAGGAGGATGAAGGCGAGGCGCGTGACGAGGTACGTCTCGGCGGCGGCATGGCTGACGTCCTCCCGGAACGTGGACCTCCTCTCGCCGCCCCCGCGGCTGCCGGGGGCGAGCGGAGAGTCGGGGGAGAAGGGCACGGAACGCCGGCGCACGAGGACCTGGGGGGCACCGCGTGGAGGTACCGCCTCCGCCACGGGGCCCGCGTCACCGGAGACCGGACTCGCGGGCTGCATTGCGGGGCGGACGACGACGACGATGCTAGCTCCTGGTGGCGAGGGATTTGGGGTTGCCGCATTGGTGGGGTGGGTGGAGATGGAGGGGGCGTGGAGGCCATTGGAGGGGAGGGGAGCGGAGACGCCGGAGAGGTCGCCCAAATTAGGAGGAGGCGGAGCGCGCGCGGCGCGACGGCGAGCGGAGGAGGTGGAATTGGAGGAGGCCATGGGGACGCGTGCGTGGCCGGCGAACTCGTCAATTCAAGCGGGCTGTTGTTGGGCTGAGAGGCCACGGCCCATCACGAGATGGCCTGACGAGGCCACTGTAAGTAGTGGGCCGGGCAACGCGCAATGGCTCGACAATGTTTCAGCTTCGCAAGTGGTACAGTGAGCCGAACGATAGATAAGTTAATATATTTTTTTTAAGAAACACTACAACTACACGCGCGCGTAACATGGGTACTCTCGTCTCGTTCCTATAAACTATAAGCATCTTAAAAAAACTAGATCGATATATCTTAAAATTAATAGAGTCATCATAGACGTCTCGCTGTCGATGTGTACGTATGGATACTTAGTCATAAACATAAGCAGCTGTATCAAGTTTAGAACTTAAAATTGGTTGGGTTATTTCCACCATAAGTAACATAACCAGTTGAGATACACAACTTCACAAATTAATCAAAAATTGTATTATCTCCGTTCTAAAATATAACAATTTTTATATATGTATATGGACATATGCTTGTCTTTTTTAAGGGAAAACCAGCATGAGAGTGTGCCTTTTAATTAAATATAGCGGGAGAAAAATACACCCCTAAGAGCAAAGAAAAGGCAAGTGCCCAAAAAAACAGGGGGGCTGCTATATAACGGAATCCCATTTTCGAACGGGATGATCCCGAGTAGGTATCAGGTGTGATACCTATCAGGTATCAGACGATTCTACACAACAGGATGATCCCGAGTAGGTATCAGGTGTGATACCTATCAGGTATCAAACAATTCTACACACGTTTCAGGTGATACCTACAAGTATCATGTGATACTTATCAGGTATCATGCGATTTTCTACCACGTATCGCGTGATACTCGCAAGGTATCATGTGAAACCTGTCAGGTATCAAATGATTTCAACCACGTATCGTGTGATACTTACGAGGTATCATGCGATGTCTGTCATGTATCAGACGATTTCTACCACGTATCGTGTGATACTCGCGAGGTATCAAACGATTTCTACCATGTATCACGTGATACTTGTGAGGTATCGGATGATACCTACCAGGTATTAGGTGATTCCCTACTAGATATAGCTGGGCATCCCGTTTGGGGAGGAGCAACCCGACACGCGCGGTCGCCCCCTGCAGCCATCCCTTGTAGACGAGGACGGCGACGGCGGCGGCAGAGGACGGGCGCGGTGACGGCGGCGGTAGCGGGGGACGGGCGCGGCGGCGGTGGGGGATGGGCGCGGCGGCGACGTGTCACGCCCCGAACTAGTCCTGAGCGGAACTAGCCCGTGACGCTCCAAATTAACCTGTTAACCGATACCAGTCCCAGGAAACAGTGCTAGTATCACAGGAAGACAGAATATCACAGCAACAGAGGTCTCTTTATTATAGAGTAGGAGTACAGTCATGTTGGGCTGCGGACAGATCTCGAGCTCACAACTGCATTACAAAAGGGAACGGAAGCCAGACTTGGACCAAACATCACAAGCGCGACTTGGGAACTAGGCCGAAACCCTAAAACTCATCGTAGCCGGCTTGCTCCTGGAAGAACTCCTCGTCAGCGGGATCCGCTTCATCTTTTTCAGCAACTGGGGGGGATTATTTATATAGAGCAAGGGTGAGTACTTTCGTACTCAGCAAGCCAGGGAAACTTAGGTGGTTAATGCAGGCTTCAAGGGAAGGCTGTTGTTTTTGCAATTGATTTTATTTGAGCTCTTTTCTGAAACAACTAAGGGAGTGCTTCTCAAACGACACGGGTGAGACAGTGCGTCTCGTCCGGTCGGAGTATGTGCAATGTATCAGTCTTTTGAATTGATTAAGATTGGCTCCCGGCCAACAGCTTTTAAACGGCCTCCCGGACCTGGCTGATCCCATCAGCCGCAGATTTTCCAAACATCAAACCCATTCCACAACAGCAAATTTCACAAGGCAGTAGTCAAACAAAACTACGCTAGGAATCACCTCACATCCGCCCATGACCGTGGGCACGGCTGTTCGAACAGTTTTAACAACCTCTGCAGAGGGGGTACACTTTACCCACACGACATTACTAACCCGGATCATCCAGTTCGTGCAGAATGGCCACGACTAGAGACCTTAAGGCTTTCATGACAAGGCATTTCGAAAGCCGACACAGGTTCGCCATATGCCAACGAGAGGGGTCCCAGACCAACACCAGATTAGGTCCCAGACCATACTGTGCCAGGAAGCCCAGGGGTCCTCCCCGACACCACCCCGGCGAATCCACATGTCTCTTAGCATCATGGCTCCCCCGATAAGCTAGTTACTCAGCCAGGGGTGTCCCATTCCACCCATGTGGTCGTACTTGTCTTATGTTCGGATGAAATTCCAAGGAAACGGTCCTTAAGTGCAAGAGCGGGAAACCGTACACCCGGTACGTTCCCCGGTCCGCGGTTTTGGAAATTCATTTAGTTCGCAAGCACCGACCCAGGTGTCGGGTTTTCCAAGTCTTTTGTAAAACCCAAGTTTTACCCAAGATGTTTCTCAGATTTTAAGTTTGAAGGCGACCATCGATACCCGTGCAGAGTGCACGATTACCGAGGCGCGACTAGGTGGGTACAAGGGAGCATGGTATAACAATTACAATGGGAGGGTCAAATACAACAAATTAGGTAGGTCTGCCAATCTGCCTTGCAGACGGGACAAGCAGATTAAGTGCGATCCTATCAATGCATAATATTTTTCAAGCAACATAATTAAGTTCAAATATAGGCTCAAGATGTTCAAAGGTGGCTTGCCTCGCTCGAGATCTTGAGCTTGATCCTCGAAATCCTCGCACTGCGGGTCTTCGGGCTCCAAAACTACACGCGAAACGGAACAACTCAGCAAACGGTGAAAATAAAGCCCTATTATTGACCTCTAAGCGTGCCATTAGATAGATCTCGAGATTTGAGGAATTTTGGAAGTTGAACGGAGTCAAACGGACTTACGGTTGGGAAGATATTGAATTTCTAAGATTATTGGATTTTGGTCTAAAGGAAAAGGGTTTATTTAAATCCTTTTTGAAAAAGAAAAGAAAAGAAAATAAGGAGGGAGGGAAATTAGACTTTCCTCGGGCGGCTAGGGCACGGCCCGAGAGAAAGGGGCGGCTCGGCCGAGCTTAATGGGCCGGCCGGCCCAAGAAGGTGGCCCAAAGCGCGCGCGCGGGCGGGGAGGGGAGAGAGAGGGCCGGTGGGCCGTGTCCATCCCGCGTGGTCCCGAGTGGGACCCGCTTGTCGGCGACTCGGCTCACCGTGAGCGAGGTGCACGCGGGGCGTGCTAGGGTTTGGGGAGGGAGGCGCGGCGCATGCGCGCGGTTCGCGGAGGACGCGGTGCGGTGGGCCCACGCGCAGCCTCACGGCTCGCGGTGGACCGCGCGCGCGAGGGGGCAGAGGGAAGCGGCGGACCGGGGTCTGCTTGACCCGGTCGCGGCCAAGGTGGCGCCGACGTGGCGCCTACGTGGCTGCCACGCGGGTCGGCGGGAGGTAGACGACGACGCCGGCCGGAACGGACGGCGGACGACAGCGGCGAGCGGCGGAGCGAACCACGGCGATACAGGCGAAAGCGAGCACACCGGGAAGTTGCACAGGACGAGGGGAGACGAGCCAACGGCTCGGATTCGCCGGGGGATGCTCGACGGCGGTGGATTGCGGTGGCGGCAACCGGCGGCGGGAGAAGGGGGAAACGGCGATGGCGCGACGGGAGACCGATTCGGGTGAGCTAGAGCATCTACGCGACTCCGGGAGTCCGTTGCTAGCGTCGGATTGGGCGGAGCTACGCCGAGCGAGGCCGGCGACGAGCGGGTGCTACGGAGCACGGGCGGCGACGGCGGCAACGGTCGGGGCGGCGCCAGCTAGCTACGGGGAGGCTACTCGTGCTACTACCCGAGTCTAAGGGGAGGAGATGGAACGAGGAGGGAGAACGGAGGGAGGCACTACCGTGCGGGGGTGATGGGGCGCAGTGACGAGAGGCCGACGGCGCGGGAGTGATCTCTCCGGCCTCGGGCCGGGGAAGAGGAAGAAGACGAGTGCCCGGAGTCCCCTTCCGCGTCCACGAATGCACCGGCTCTCCCGGTGCTTGGCGATGAACGGCGGAGGCGAGACAGAGGGGCGGCAATGGCGCGGTGGCGGCAAGCGAAACGGGAGGAGGAATCGATGGGAGGGCGCCTTGGTTTATAGGACGACGATGTCGGTTTGGAAACCGACCTTGGGCGGTCAAGGCGCGAGCTGGCGCTCGGAGCTCGCGGCCAAAACGGCGACAGAGGCGGAGGATGACGCCGGCGGGAGGAAAAAGGGAAAAAGAGGGAGAGAAAAGGGGGGCTTGCCCCCTTGCCACTTTGGGGAAAAGGAGGAGGGAGAGAGGGCGATGCGGCAGAGGGGGGGAAGCTCTGCCTCCATCCCTTGGAAGCACGCGCGAGGAGGGGCGGGGCCAAGGCGATGACGACGACGATGACGGCCGGGCGATTTGGAGCGGGGCGACGACACGGGCGGCAGGCGCGGCAGGCGCTGACGGCGGCGGCGACTGGCCGGTCGGCCACCATGGCGCGCGCGCGCGGGAAGCAACGGGCGGCGCGGCGGTTCTGGCGACGTCGGCGGGAAACGACAGCGAGGGCGGAGGGCGCTCGGCTCGGCGCGGCTCACGCGCACGCGTGCGCAGCGCACGGGCAGAGCGAGAGAGAGAGAGAGAGCCGGGGAGGGAGGGGAAGATGGGCCGAGAGGGATTCGGCCCATCGAACCCGAGGGAGGCGAAATAGACTTTTGCGGAGGGATTTGATTTGGGAAGGATTTGGATTCGGGATTGAACTCAACGATAGATCGGGGATTTGAGATCTGAGATGGCACAGACACTAGACAACAAGCAAATAAACGGATTTCGCAAATAGGGTTTTTAAGAGATAGTTTTCCCGCTAGGCGCCACGACGGAACGGGCGCTACATGACGGCGGCGGCGTCGACGGGGGATGGGCGCGACGGCGGCGGCGGCGGAGGCGACGGGGGACGGGCGCCGCAGCGGCGGGGGACGGTGGCGGCGGCGAGTGAGTGTTTGGATAAGAATCGCGTTGCGAAGAGGAGCTATCCCGTTGGGGGACGGTATCCCGTTGGGGGACGGTATCCCGTCCCCTAGCATTCCCGAAAAAACAATACACTATACAAGGTGTGGTATAAGCTCACGCAGGCCTGCCAAAGCCCACACACTGCCTTCTTCCTTTATTTTCACGAGAAGATACGACGTTATGGTCTCCTTGTGCTAAAAATATCCATCGGTTTCACTCCTACCATATTTTCCAAATGATAAGGAGGATCAACGTATGCAATTCCTTCTTAGGGTTGCCAGTCGTTGTGGCTAGTTTCTTCCACCGGTTTTAAACAACTAAACGGTCTCTTGGTGTCGAGGCTCAAGCTACTGGTAACCCACCCAAGCAGTTATAAGGCTCTAAATTCTTTTAGCGTACTGCACTTGGTGATACCGATAAGGTGTAAGGCCGCTTCATCCCCTCTCTAGTGAAGAGGGTATCATCTATTGTTCTGGCAGTTCCTGGTCGTAAGTCTATCAGAGATCCATATCATACAGTAAGAAATTATTATATTTTGAGAAAGAGCGAGTACACATTTAGGTGTATGGTCGTAGCTCGCCACGCTAGAACAACATTTATCCTAAAAATGGGAGAAGAATCATCAGCTAGCTAGGTGACGCGAAGTGTTTATATTTGGTCGCGGCAAGGCAACGGCATCCGCCGCCGTGGGCGGGCTGGCTTAATTTGCGCCGTTGCGCGTGCGCGTACGTGTAATCCGTCGTGAGTGCGCCCATCTCGAACGGTTGACACCTAGCCTGGCGAGTGCCCCCGCGCACGGCACGGCGCGACAAAAACCGAGGTGATATGCATGGCGACGAAGGCTGTCACGGGCTGGAAATTGCGATGCGCGCGCGGCGCGTCGGCGAGGCCGGTGCGCGCATCGACCGAGTTGCTAGCATCAGCAGCACAAAAGGCGGATCGCGACTTCGCGATCGAGCTAGCATGCGTGTACCCTATCCATTTCTCGATGAGATCGACAAAACATAATGCAATTAACCTGCGCACGTACACGCAACACCAGCTGATCAAAATTTGTTTCAGATTTACAAATGGTGAAACGTACGAACAAGATGGTGAAGAAATTAATTCATCAAAATTTGTACACATTTAGGCGTTACACATGGTCATAGCTACGCTAGAAAAACTTAGTCGTTGTGTCCTAAAAATGGAAGAAGAATCAACAGCTAAGCTAGAGACGCGGGCAAGGTTGGTTGCGTGGTTAGGTCGGTCAGGCGACGCCGAGGAAGTCAAGCGCGGACTTGGCCATGACGGCGGCGAACTCCTTGAAGCTGATGACCCCGTCGCCGTCGGTGTCGGCGTCGCGCATCATCCGCGTGAGCTCCTCGAAGGTGAGCGGCTGGCCGAGGCGCGCCATGGAGCGGGCGAGCTCGGCGGCGGAGATGAAGCCGTTGCCGTCGCGGTCGAACGCCCGGAACACCTCGAGCAGCTGCGCCTGGTCCACCAGGTGCGTCTGCGTGGTGAGCACCGGCGCGATCGCCGCCGCCAGCTCGTCGAACTCCACCGACCCGTTGCCGTTGGCGTCCATCCCGGCGAGCAGCGCGTGCACCTCGTCGCCCGTGGGGCGCAGCCCCAGCGACCGCAGCAGCGCCGCCAGCTCCAGCTGCGTCAGGCTGCCGTCGCCGTTCATGTCGAACCGCCGGAACAGCTCCCGGAGCTGCTTCAGCTGGCTCCCCCGCAGCTGCTGCGGAGCCGGTGCTGCTTCTGACCTCCTCGCCGCCATTGTTGTCATATCTCGATGTACGTGTGTTTTCTTTTCTCTTGTGGATCTGTGACCTCTCGCGGTGGTGGTTGTGGTGGAGGAGACGAGAGGGAGGCGACTTTTTATTTATCGAGGGGAAGACGCGTTGGAGAGTTGGGACTGACTGGGTCGGTGCGTGCATGCATGGAAGGAGGCAAATGCCGGGGTGGGTGCGCATAAAAAACGGAGGATTTGTGGGTTTTTTCCCTTTGTGTTTTCGGTTGCACCTGTGAGGTTAGCTGCAGCCGGTACTGCGAGGATTTTTACCGTACGTGTTCAGTTACAAGTGAGATCTATGCGCGTTAAATTGGTTACGTCTTCACCCGCCCTGCACACTGTAGAATCTAGTAATAGTTTTGCATCAACACACCACATGTACCGGTGTTCTCGTTGTAAAAATCATCCATGCATACAGTACGCACCTTTGATAAAATGTTGCGTGATCTGTATATGTGGCATTGAATTTGGACTGAACCCAATGCATTGTTTGTGTTATGGAATATTATCTTCTGGAATATAAGATCTATTTTGTTTTTTACCAATCCAAATCGTAATAGAGACAAATCTCCTCCTATGACCCATATTTATAGAGGCAGGGTAAAACATATAAGATTGACCTGTACTGACATATCAGATCTATGATAAAGAGAGAGTTTGTAATGTCCTTGAGATCAAAGAGAATGACGCATGTGTTTTATATCTCTCATGTCTTAATACTGCGGGAGGGATAGGGAATGGTGATCTGCTAATAGACATGTTAGTTTATAACAGTTTGTACCCATCATATCCTGATATCCATATACCGCGTCCGCGTGACAAGTTGACAGCCCTGAACTTGAAGACTTGTAACGCCATTCGTCTTTTGACTACCTTTGTAGTAGGAAGGATGATCCACACTCCACAGGAAGTCAAAGATTTCCGGTCAGTTGTTACACTGTCTAACTATCTGCACCAGCTCCAGCTACAACTAGGCTACATTAGCTAGGAAGATGCGAGGAATCTATCACTCCCATGCCCAAAGGTTGCTTGTATGATTGTGTCCAAAATGATAAAGTTAGCAGCAGAGCAAGATGTACTCATACAGAATCTTACAGCTGCCCTGTAACATAAACAATTGTGGGTAATCACTAATCAGCTATCACACACCGTACCAGGAGGGTTTGGTGATGTATAATGTTGGCAGTATTTCACAAAATGATTGCATCAGGCTGTGATGGCTTGATGTTCACAAGCCCCTTTCTCTCTTTTTTTTTTTTGATTCTGTCAGGTCAACTTACTGGTGGGTGGGTTGCATTCTGTCAATGGCAAGACAGTTTCATGTACAGTACTGTTTTGAATACTCTTCACTTCCTACATGTCATAGCAACTATCATGGGGAGCATATCAGATACCGAAAATAGTTTTTTTTTCTAAATGTAGTTTACTTAAATCTTTTAAGCCTGCAGGTGGAAAAAAAGCCATAGAAATACATGACAAACAAAGAAGAAAAAAGAGCGAAGCAAGCCAAAACAGGTCAATCATCATATCTTTTTGGGGGTCTCTTCATTGCTACTACTCGTCGATACTGGTGAAATATTTACATCAGGGAACATCAAACATGGATGAACGAGCCGAGCTGGTTCTTCATTGATAAACAGAAGGGATGAACAGGGAATTTACATCAGAGGGCTACACAAACCAAAGGTCTTAAGCATGCTAGCTCCATAACCAGTTTGCTTACGTACCTTAAAACAAATGTAATCGAATTACACGAGATGTAGCCGTCAATCTGCAGATACAACTCCAGCGTGCTCCATCCGTCACGGACCCCTGTACTGCCTGAAGCATGAAAGGCATCCTTGTCGCTGATCTACAGGGATCATGCCTCCACCCTTCGAAGTATCGATCGCCTCCAACATAGACACCACCTCGGCCATCTCAGGTCGCTTGTCAGGGTTCGCATCCCAGCAGCGTTTCATCACGTTTGCCAGAGAACTTGGACAGCAGCGTGGCATCTCAGGCCTTAAATTCTAATCAAACAAGGATTGTAGCACACATTAAATCAAATCAGCAGCTAGACAGAAAGCAGAAAATAAGCCAGCTAGAAAAGAGGGTTTTACCTGACGAACAACAGCAGACGTGACCTCTGAGAAGCTCAAATCTGGATATGGCATATCACAGCAGTATATCTCCCATAAACAAATCCCAAAGCTATAAACATCGCATTTCCTGTTGTATGGACTGCCGTTGAGAACCTGCATATCACATGCCAATATAAGGCATATAACATGCAAGGTAGTAACTTACATACACAATAAATATCAAATACCCTTCCTAGGCCCGAGGTACACACAACTGTTTGATGCAAAAAAAATTGACATTTTTTCTTAATTAATTATGTGCTGCAATTAGACAAGTAGTGGCAAAGAGGAAATGAAGAAACTGAGGAAAAAACAATGAGCAGTCCATGTCAAAGATCGGATACCTCAGGAGCCATGTAACCAAGGGTGCCTGTTTCCCCTGTCATATCACTGGGATTTGAAGCCTCAAGCCGAGCAACACCAAAATCAGCAATTTTCACAGTTCTTGTCTTGTCAAGAAGCATATTTTCAGTCTTTACATCACGGTGCACGATCTTCTTTGAGTGAAGATAACTTAACCTATTGAATAGTTAAATGTCAAAACTATTCCAATCAATTAGAGCTTTTTTTTTTGAGGGACAATCAATTAGAGTTTTGAAGGATAAAGAGTGAGTGAAATAGTTAAAAGCCCCAGAAGAAAAACTGGCAAATGATCAAATTGATGCTTACCCCCTGGCAAGGTCAAGAGCTATCTGAACCACAACTTTAAAAGCTAACTTCTTTCTCCTATTCTTTATCAGAAATCCTTTTAGTGAACCCCCAGCAAGGTACTCCACAACAACACAGCAGATATTACTTGGCATGGCAAGATGTCCGCTTTCTGTTTGAATATCTAGATCCCTGGCGCCCATTATAGCCCCTATAAACTGTATATAGAATTTCAACCTGTTGTTAGGGTACATGACAAATAGATAGACAACAGAAGAAATATGAAAAGACATATACTTTGACATTATAAGCTATGCTTCAAGCACTGCGAATGCTAGGTCATTTGATTTTGGTGCAACAAATCCAAACCTCGATACATGTAAGGACTTCGTTTTTTTGCTGAACAATTTAACAGCTGCTATGAATTATATACCACAGGTAGCAGAGTAGATAAGACGATAAGGCTGTTATCCAGTTGGTAATGCCACTACACAGACATCACTTTCAATATTTAGTTAAGGACGCTAGTGTTACTCACATTGACACATAGACACTGATCAAATATATGATTCTAATGCACTTGATATGGCATTTAAGCATTTAGGCATTTAGAAATTTAGTCAGATATAAGTATGCCAGTTATGTATAAATCTGTTCTGATTTCATGCATTTTATGGTCGAGGGAACTGTAATTAACCCAAAATAATTGAAAGAAGCATGACTTGTTGAAATAAATAGTACCTTTGTAACATTTGGATGGTCCAGCTTATGCCAGACAGAGACCTCTTGTGAAAAAGCTGCTCTTAGTGCTGCGATGTCTTGTTCGGACCTATGCCCATCCTCTCCCCAGTCAAGTAATTTCACTGGAGAATAATATGAATCAATGAATTATTTTGAAAAGAGGTGTTTGTAATGAGAACATACAATTTCCCATTGGAAACTGTCAAATAAAAACAAGATTTGAGAATTGATCTAAGCAAAGGTGCCAAGGTTGGGAGAGGAGCAGGGGGTACCACCATTACACCATCAAATTGTCCCTTCTCTTTTGGTAAGGGCACACAAAGACAATTTCGGTCTTAGGAAGATCCACTTTTTGTAGGGGAATTAAATTGATGGGCTTTTCCAAAAAAAAAAATGCAAAATGATGGAATCCATGCTGATATGGGGGAATGGACGAAAGATAGCTAACAATCCCTGGGGAATATGTTTCTCAAAAATAGAATGTGAACATCCTATAAACTATGCATGTACAACAACTAATCATCAACCAATTGCTTATAGACATGCTCAGGTCCGATAGATGAATCATCAAAAGGGATTCTTTTTGTGCTGTTGCCGTGTCATGAGTTTGCATCGATGGATAATCTCAATCTGGTGAAAAAGTACACAAACTTATAGGTTGCACATCCCTCCATACTAAAAGGTCGACATTTTCGGCTTTCTTTGGAACCGCAAAGCAACTTTACCATGAAATTCCTAGCCAGGGATCACAAGAACCATGGCCAAGTGAACTGCTGATGAGCGAGGGCACGTCAAAAGCCGCCCAATCCAACCGATGTCACGGGGAACACCATGAAAAGCCAAAAGGGGCAGCGGCATCAACTCCCGCAATTTACTAAAAGGGGTAAAGAAAAGGAGCACCCAAGAGGCCAAGACAGTGACCGGCGGTTCCACTCGCCGTCAGCGCCGCATTGGCAGCGCGATTTCGTCGAACACCGTACGGGCGCAAGCGAGTGCATGGATATCGCGGTGGTTGGTATCAAGTAAAAAAACTGGGAGAAATGGCGCGCGCGGGCGGGCGCACCTGCGACGTCGTGGCCGTCGTAGACGCCGCGGTGGACGGTGCCGAAGGTGCCGCGGGCGATGACCCCCCTGACGACGAGCTTGGCGGGGTCGATCTCCCACTCCTCCCTCCGCTGCCTGCGGTTCTGCGAGTAGTGCGCGGCGGCGAGCGCGGGCGGCTTGCTGCCACGCTGGTCGGCGGCCGCCTCCTCCTTGCGCTTCTCCATGGTCCACGCGCGGCTCAGGTGGCGCTCCAGCTGCTCGTCCAGGCTCTTGAGGTCGATCTGGTCTGCCCGCACGAACCCTCCATCGCCGCCGCCCTCCTTCATCCCGCCGTGTGGTGGTGGTGGTGGTGGTGAGCAACAGAGCAAGTGAGCAAGCGAGCGAGCAGTGGCTAGGCTAGGCTAGGAGAGGAGGAGGGGGGAAGAGAGTGGCGAGGCGGAGTGGCATGTGAGCACATGGGCTGCCGAGGCAGGCAGCGGCCGGGGAGGGGGAGGGGGAGGGAGACGGGAGGGAGACGGGGTGGGCTCGTGCCGTCGTGTCGTGTCGTGTCGTGTCGCGTCGCGCGCGAGGGGCCCAGCCCAGCGCGCGCCCAGCGGCGCGTGGTTTTCCGCGGTTTTTCCCCCTCGTCTTCTTCTTCTTCGACGTTCGTTTCTCGCTGCTGCTGCGTCGTGTGGTGGCCGGTGTTGTTTGGGCGGGGGATCGATCGCCGTCTCGGCTCGCGGTGGTGTATTTATACCGGCGTGAGGGCGGGATTGAGGCGTATGGATTTCATTTCGAGGGCAGCTCTACTTGCGGTTTTAAATACTTTTTGATCCTTAAAAAATACTATATAAATTATGGATTGAGGCGTATGGAATTGATTTCTGCACTTAAAAAATTAAAACCAATTATTATATAAATTATGGTAAAATGTATACGAATTATAAAATTGCGGCTTGATTAAAAGCAATAAAACTGCTTAGAGTACCAGCCTGAGGGCTAAGGCAATTTCCAACATAGGACAGCTAGAGCACGGGATACTGTGATATGAATCCAGCTAATTAAATTTCTCCCAGTAAAATAGGTCTTTCCCACCGTGCACTAGGCTCCCTGTCTGATACAAGATTCCTCCTTGGTATCGTGTATCCCGCATCCTAGCCGAAGCAATTGTGGTAGCTTCCACGCATATGTGACACGCAGTTGTGCTCACTGACTCCTCTCGTGGATCACATCAACAGTAGGAAAAGGAGGAAGTGTGTCGAGGGGAGGAACGGGGGACAAGAGAGGAGCCAGAGGTAAATGGCTCACCCACCGGCCAGGCGGGTGACAACCTACGCTCTCTCCTCATGGTATGACACCTGATATATATGGGTATCGGATGGTACCTGGGTACCAAGCCTGATACCACGAGATATCATGGACGCTCTCTCCTCATGGCATGACACCTGATACATATGGGTATCGGATGGTACCTGGGTACCAAGCCTGATACCACGAGATATCATGGATGATACCCGAGGTATTAGGCTTGATACTTGGTATCAGTTGCAGATGTGTACCTGCAGACAACACAGACGAGCAGTGAAGAGCTAGCTAGGAGCACGACGCGACAACCTCGAGACCTTGTCGCTGGTGCCCTGGGCCTCGTCCCCTCATCTTTGCATCTTCCCTTTTCTCCCTCCCCAGCGATCACAATGCCGACCTTGTTGTCGTAGTTGCCTTCGTCTTTGCTGACCTCACCGATTCCGACGGTCTCATGATCTCACCGGTCTCCACACTCTCACTGATGCCCTCCAATCTAGTTTAGGAAGGGCGACAACGCCGATTAGTTCTCTGGCAACTGGAGATGGGATCGCAGGACGGGAGGGAGGACGACGACGACGACTATGGGGCAGAGGAGTCGAGGAAGGGAGGGAGGAGGAGGACTGTGACTGGCTCAGAGAAAGTGGGGGAGGGGGGGAGAAAATGGATCTTGAAAACAATTGGGTTGTATATTTGTCCCGTAGCCTGCAAGAGACATTGTTTCGTAGTTTTTCACTTTCCAATACTAGTATATTGTTTTCTTTGAAGTTGGGTATCGATATGGGTTACAAGGTCATGTTCTTTATACACGACTACAGTTTTTGTCCCTAGATTTGCTCGAGGATCTGAACCGTCTATTCTAACCTGACCGATCCTATGGCTCCGAAAGAACAGCCATGTTGGGTCACCTGGACGGCTAGATCCTGAGATTGAACGGACCTCAATAGCCTGAACTGAAACACAATTAACCAGAGATAAGGGGAGTTTCTAAAAATATTGATGAGGTGGCAAGCTAATCTTTCACCGATCCTACGGTGTTTAGGGAGATCTATATTATAGGCATTTATATGGATGGTTTAAACATTAGATAGTATAATTATCCACGATAGTTTAGAATAAGATATCCAAGCAATATCGATGTAAAAAGTTTTTAAAGAAGTTATAGTTGAAGAACCGTGGTATACATAATTCATAACTTCGTAAACTAAAAAAAAAAGACATGATCTAAATGGTTTTTGACTCTTAAATACGGGATATGCACGAACTTGATACAAGTACTACGTACTACTATATTAGCTTTAATCCGCTGAAGAATTATGTTTATATAAGGGACCTATATGTACATGTATGAGGACCAAGATAATTACATGTTTGCTCGAAGGATGTTTCTCGTAAATGATCACGACTGATGCAAAGTTCAACAAAGAAAAAGAAAAGAAAAGGAGTATTGAAACCACCAATCACTAGTGAGGAGGCAAGTCAAAGATAAGCACTACTGAGCAATTAGAAACAGCTAGGAGTATGTTGGAAAACATGAGCCACATTATTATCATCCTTGACGACAAAAATGAACAAAAACAAAAAAAAAAGAGATTAAATACCACTCTCCCCGTCCAGCTTGCTTTTGCCTGATGGGCAGGGAGATCGTCGATTTTCCAGTAGCTCCCATCCATCCTGCTCACGGGTTGGATTTGGCTACTGCTGTGGATAACGTTTCTTGTGATCCTTAGCTTTGCTTTGTCGTTTGACATCTACATCACTTTTCATTAATATGGTTTATTATATGCTAGTAGTAGCTTTCTTGCCTACGTAATTGACGCTCTCTCTCGGTCCACGGCACGGTGCGTACGTGTTTTGTCGCCATTGAGAAATCGGCGACGTTTGGGCCGTGCGCCCGTGGCGTTTTCAAGCCTAATAATCAGTGAGGTGTTGAAGTTTCGTTCAAAAAAATAAGTGAAGTGTTGAAGAAACTGGCAATGGCAACTCTCCGTATCTCGTGCGGCTACTACTTGACCAGTGCTATTTTGGCTGTATGAGATATCCTGGTACTATGATACCGTATGAATCTACCAAACAGTGAGATCTATCGAGATAAATCTCTTATATTTTAAGATGGATAAAGTATATACCACTGGATCTTTCAAAAATCATATGCTACTGATATACCCTCTCCATCTCAAAATACAACAAACTTTAGAAAATAGTATATACTAAGAAGAAAGGTAAAAGGACATAGTAAAAAAGAAAACATTTTTACCTTCTCAAAGATGAGTAAGGTGTATGCCAGTAGTTTATTGGCAAATATTACCTCCCACGTTATTATATTTAAAATAAAATTTAAACTCTATAACTTGCTATATTTTTTATATGTTGAGATGAAAGTAGTATGCATGTATGATCTACTCCCTCCGTTCCAAAATATAATATTTTTTTTGGTATCTAAGTAAAATTTGCTATATTTTAGGATGAAGGGTGTATACTGTATCGTTATCATCCCAAGACTGCCTCGCTTACACGATGGGCTACGCTTTTGTCTCTTTCGTCGTGCTTCTACTAATAAAAGATAAACAATTTAAGAAGATAAAAGATCATGCTACTTTCAAAGATGTGACACGTGATTGGTTTGTGATTTTGTACACGCTCAGCAATTAAACTGTTTGTGCATTGATAAATCTATTTTATTTAAATTACCTTGTTCCGGATGGAGGTACTATAGGCTTCCTAGGTGCCATGCTATGGATCTATGGTCACCAACTCACAAAGGACTTCTCTTTTGCCCCCTACTGACTGCTGCATAAGATTTTTTTTCCCAACTGAAATGAAAGTGACATCAGACAACAAAATCATCAACTGGATGGAGAAACTATCAATCCCGGCAAAGTAACAGTTGGAGACCGATAGTAAGTAAACTTTTCACCGCAAAACATGTAATAAAACAGGCAACATGTTGCAGACACCATTGTCCAAAAAATGAAATGCAAATTGATTACGTACCTCAAATAGACTTGGATAGTTCTGGTCCGTGTTTGTGAAGTGCAGAAGAGTAGACCGAACCATATGGTCTATTAATTAATTCAACACGCTCAATAATAACTTCAACTTGATTGCCCACATTCTTCTATAATCTACGGAGTTGATGGCTACACTTCCAAGGTGAGATATCACTAAGTTTCAACCTAGACATTCTTCACGACAAAACTTGTACATCATAATGGACCAACTGTCTTGCAAAGTTGAAACAGACCTACGTTTGATGATGCCTTTCAGATGTACCGGGTGAAGTTCTTTTGAGCAAAGGATTGACCAAAAACGGCCACTGCTAGAATATCTTGCTGATAGGCTTCAACTCTGTAGGTAAATGATCATAGTTGCCCGAATCAACCTCTGCCTGGAACATGGGCCGCTTCCCGTACTCTCGCAAAACACCTGGTGCCAAGTGCTCCTTGCTTGGTGTTAGCATTACATAGTTTGGATCAGCCCTTTGGTAACTGCATTTTGTTAAGAACAACGAACAAAGTGTACTCGATTAATAGCCAATGCACCGTTTCTAATAACTAGAATAGATGAACATAAATCTCGAACAGACATAATACAAATACAAGAAACAAATAATAGAACCTTGGCTGTCTAAGATCCTCAACACGAATTCCAAATCCATATGATCTTGTCCCCTTCAAATGATCGTTCACAGCTGCAAGCGCAAATTGATGTCAATGCAGTCAGTGAACAACTAAGGCTGAGTTATTTCCCCAAGGTTCCCCAACTCCCCTCTCTCGTTTTCCACGCGCACGCTTTTCAAACTGTTAAACAGTGCATTTTTTGCAAAAAGTTTCTATATGAAAGTTGCTTTAAAAAAATCAAATTAATCCATTTTTGAAAAAAAAAATGCTAATACTCAATTAATCACGCGTTAATGGACCGCCGTTTTCCGTGCGTGAGAGAAGTGTTCCCAACCGGAACTAGCGAACACACCCTAAATGTCCTTTTAAAACAAATTATTGATAGTTTGGAGCAATCTCACTAGTAACTTTCTCCATGTTCTATGGGTTCAATTATTCTACTTCACCAGAATACAAATTTAACAATGGACCAAGCACTGCAGAATCAGTTGGTCTCAATAATCAATATTTGACTTTTTTTTCCATAGGGAAAAAGTGGATACATCCTTTTTCCAGATATAATAGCTGGCCTAGTTTTGTTATTTGTATGCAGAAGTATTTGCAAGGTACACACCTGTGACACTAAATGTGAAGGATGGTCTCCACCATGACTTGAATGCCAAAGCTACAGAAGACTTGGAAGGACCTAGCTTTCCCTATTAAGAAGAAGAGAGCAATCAATATTAAAAACAAGTAAAGTAATGTTGTATCCTAAACTCTAAAGATACGGGCACTGCATATGCTCAATGTGTTCCCATCTTTTCTTGCATCATATTCATATTCACAATGATTGCTTCTACAAGGCGCAAAATAATCCAACATAAAATGGCAAAATTCCATCCATGGAGCAACGTACAGAAAAGGGCAAAACTATTCTGTAGGTTGGGTTGAATTCTTGCACTAGGTAGAACCCCTCATGGCCTCATCGTCCTATTTAATACATCTCCATAGTTTCTTAAATCATTAAGATGGGATATGCAAATTGTATGGTACAAGGTGTGCATGCTATGGTTGTACATCCTCTCTAAAAGACTAGAGACCTAATTGATGAAAATGAATGGATCTACTTAACCTTGAATAGGAAGTTCTTATTAGCTTGCCAACTTGCTGCAAACTGAAACAAGGAATTGTTGGCACTCTCTGATGGTTTATCTTTATCAATCCTATCAACGGTGTGAAATGGAGTTAGTTAGCTGATATGTGAATAACATAGTGATAGTTATTTAAGGATTACCTTGTAGCCAATTCAAGCCCAAAATCAATGTAGTTTGTGATTCCAACAATCTGATCATCTTCAAAAGGGTTTTTAACCTGGTAGATACAATCAGCACAAAGTCTCAACAAGCTTCAAGTTTAAAAACTTGTGGCGTACCATAAACGACTCAACAGTGGATGAGTGGAAGATATCATGACTGTAAGTATTTTTTCTGTTAATTGGTTAAAGATAGGCTTTTCTGCATATTATAAAAAGCTGGAGTAGCAGATATTTATCCAACCTATCATAAAATTGATGCCATGCAACCGATACCAGGAAACTATGAAACTGAGGAATCAAGGATCCACATAAATTAATAGATTCTGAACTAATACTAGAAAATTTTGATTAAGCTAAAAAATTGATGTTCTTAATAGTTTTCAGCATCAAGAAGATTTCATGAACTATAGTGAAAGAGAACCACTCTTACCCTTCTTTGAACAACCATGTGTTGATAGAACGATGCAATGAACTGCACATCAAGGAAAACAAAATGTTGTTACACACGAGTCTCGATGAAGGTCACACTAGCTAGAGATGTCACCAATCAATGATTATTTCATATGTGCTAGTGTTGTACTTCCTCCATCTACTTTTGATAGTCATATTTCATCTTGGCACACAGACCAAGGATAAGTAATTCTACCTATCATTCATTTAAACATGCTACTAGTCATTCCTCGTAAACAAGCGATTCATTAATATTTACATTTCTCGATGCCCATGTAGCCAACCTTTGTGGAAGAATGGAGAGTCACACATTAAATCAGAGAAAGTTATTAAGATAATAGGTTGTTGGATTGAAATATGCCCATCAAATTTTTTTTTTTTAGATTTGGAAATATGCCTATCAAAAGTAGATGGAGGGAGTACTTCCTTATTCTTTTATCCACTAATAATAAAATAAAATAAAATAATAATAATACCCAAAAGAAAGAAACACATAAGCATCCAGCTTGTTTCTTGACACAGTTCATGTGATTAATTATAAAATTCTTGAATATATGAAGGATTTCTTTTATTACAAGAAACACATACTGTAAGAGCTGCAACATTTCAAGTACTCCATTTAAAATTACTAGTCCAACTCTAATTATAATATGCACCTAGATCAAGGGAGAAGTAATTGGATAAAGAGAACTTTAGAGAGAAAAATAGCATGGACGTATTTATAAAGCCACATTTAAAGTTTGCCTCAAAGACCACATACAACTATCCATCACTCCATCAGAGATGGTAAATTGTCTATACTCTGTACCATTGTTAAGAGATCATAGCAAATACAAGCTAATTAACTGGGTGAAGCTTCCTAAATGAGAAAAGAGAACAATTGCCACAAACCTCTGTACTTCTGGCAAGCTCTAGAGAAAAAATGAAGGAAGGACTGAGTGGGCTTGTTAATCCTACACCATAACTGATTGCACAATTCCAGTTCTTCCAATCTGTATATGGCATAAGATGTTTGTTTCCACCTATTGCAGAATTCGCATAATGTAGAATTAGTATAGCACCATAATTAAAAAAAACTCAAAAGGTGCAAATAAATAACTCAATATTCATGTTAATTCTCTAAATGCATGAAAATGCAGATGAACGCCAAGATAGCAGATACCTATTGCACAAGTCATAACAAAAACAGCATTCCAGTCCAGTAATATTAAAACCAACATACAATAAACTTCAGCCTTTTAGTATCTTTATCTGAATTTAGAAGAACATTCATCCATAGTTATTTGGATATAAGACAAAGATGCAGTCCATAGGCCTCTATCTGAATGAAAAATTTCAGGTTTCCCATGACATGCATGTATATTCTTCTGATGGTGAATAGAATGATTGAAATCCTGGTAAAAAAAAAAAAGAATGATTGAAATGAAAAGCGCCGAACTGACATTTTAAGGGAAAACTATGTCCATATACATTAAAAAACTTTTGTTAAAAAAATTACTAGAAGAGAAAAGGAACACCAAGTGCTGCAACTATTTATTGTGTTCCCAACTTTGCATGCTCCACACCTCCAACAAATAGGCCCCTCAAAACCAGCATAAAATTTCAAAGTCCAACTCAGCTAACATAATACAAAGATGCTATTCAAAATTCACGATTGAACTTTTTTCATCTTCTGTTGATTAACTTAGGTGCTGGAGTTGAAATTTTACCAGTTGATAAACTAATCAACATCTATTTACTGAAGACTAATGTGATTGGAAGTAATTTGGGCTTCAGACTAGAAAAACTTTACTAAGTGGCTTGTATTGCACTCCTGCACTTAAGCTCCCTTTTCTCCCGACCAACCATGCTCCAGAGGGTAGTTCAGCAGATCCTGTCAAAAAAGAGAGAGAGAGAAGGTAATATCAGCACATGTGACCTTAGGAAAAAGTGAACTGCATATAGACATTATTAGGGGCCTCTTCGAGGACATTGTAAAGATTGGATATTGTGGTATGTTTATAAACAGTCACATATCATCTTTAGTCATAACAATAAATCGCATGAGAATCATAAATGATTACATACCAGGAAATGGCACAAAGGAAGACCCAAATGATAGATTCTCTGAACCGTATCTTACTCCCATGACACCATAATCCTCAGAACGCACCCTGAAAAAACTTATCTCTCTGATTCTGATGGTTTATAAATTATAAGCATATTGATTGAAATTATTCAGATGAACATTATTTGCAATCATTTATCTATGATGTCAACAAACATAGTTGTGGAAAGCTCTAACAACTCCATGCATGATTTGCAACTGCAAACAAGATGGGGTAATCTACCTGTTTCCCATTAGTAAAGGGAATGTCCCAAACGCACCAACACGGTACTTAGGATGGTAAGCACATGACCTAACCTGCAACATTCTGGATAACAAGTTATGAGCCAAACCAGCATCATCCACATAATTTTCATAAGTAAATAATAACTGCATTGATGATATTATCCACATAACAAGAAAGTACTTACGGGTTTGAAGTTGACACAAGAAGGTCCACAAAGGTATGGGGATCATCTAAATCTCTAAAAAATTAGTAAAGCATTTTTATGTTAAATTATAAAGTATAGTACATAAAAATCAAGGACTGGTAATATATATGGAATAGTAAGTACTTCTGCCAGCGAAATAGAGCATCTCCCTTTACTTGTGTTCCGTCTATTTTATCAGCAGCTGCAGACACCTAGTAATATTAAGGTAGGCAATTTTTTTTCTTTCAAAAACTAGAATTCAAGTCCATAAAAAGCATATTTATTGCACCAAGAAAAAGTCACTGAATCTGACTTCCCAGAAAGTATCATCTTAAAATAATTTCTTGTACCAAAGATGAACAAATGCAAACGATGTTAACAATCTAAGTTAATTTATCAGTCATGAGTCATGCAATAACATTGATCCTATCAGGCCTCCCAGTAGACATAAATTTGTGCCAAAATTTAACATATAATTGGCACCAGTAGATCATAATCACCAGAACAAGCAAAAATGGTAGAGGGCAGACCTTTTCAACACAGACTTGCTTTTCCAGATTTTGGTTATAAATAACAGCAACAATGTCATTAAGTGGTATAAAAACCATGGCATGGTAACGAAAGGGAGAGATGATCTAACCTTCTTTGAGCAAAGAGTTATGAACAGAGGCAATGGTAATTGCTAGCAAAATGAAGCAACAGAAAATGACAACTATAAGAAGGGTAAAAAAAATGGTGATCCGCTTATCCTCATTTCCTCATTTCCTATTAAGCTTAGACAGAAACCATAGTACCAGAAGAACCTGAAACAACAAAATAAAATAACATGGTAATGTCATGTCATGTTTGGCAGGATACAGTGGCAATCAAATCAACATGAGGATCCTCCAGTGGCTTCAGCATGACCCTTGAGGTCATATTCCCCGCATGATCAAAGTAGTCCTCAAACAGATTCTGCAGCGAGAGCTTCCCAAACATTAGCTCATACGCTGGCACCGACATCCTGCATATTTAGGACCGGAACCATTTCAGTGAATCACAACAGAAGGATCATAGGCTAACTACATAGAGACCTCTCGTCCTTTTAGGAGCATTACAATTAATCACAAGGCACACAGATTATCAGTATATCTTATCAAAATGCTTGCGTCCGTCCAGTGTCTCAGCCAGAGATGTGCATTCCCAGCAAAAATTATCAGAATCGGAACTACAACCATAAGCAGCCGGTGTGAATGCCATTGTACATTTGCACCGACCTACAGCTTCGGTTCAGTTCAGAATGTAGAGAACGGCCAAGCGCGAGATACCACTAAACACTAATCACGATTATTCAGCCTAGCGAGTGGGGGAACCTGCAACTACAAGGCTCTAGTTACTGAAGCGAATCGCGCATTCATGTAGAAGTAGAACACGTTTGAATCAACCGAGAGTGTAATAAGGCGAGCACTACCAGTGACACTAGCTCCTGACGCAAACGAGCGAGTTCGACGGATTTCGTTTAGGGAGGGAAGGTGAGAAGGGAGAAGAGGGGGGAGACCGGCGGCGGCGAAGGCGGAGGCGGCGGACCTGGTGCGGGCGGCGATGGGTGGGTAGTCGAAGAGCGGCGGGACGAGCACCATCGGCGGCGGCGGCTCCGCCTTGCTCCAGAAGATCCCCATCTCTGACGAAGCCGAGTGCGCACGCTGCCTCTTCTTCTCCCTCTCCTTCCTTCCTGAACCCTCCTCCTCTCAGTCGGTCACTTTGAACTCTGAAATCGAAAGAGCGGTGGCTGAAATATTTCTGCTCCCATGTCACACAACTGCGCGCTACGGAATTTCGTTTCGTTTTAGATTGGAATTTAAAAGCTGCATATGCATATACTTACTCCGTTTTTTAATAGATATAACCATTTATTTTATTTATTTATTTTTCAAATATATAAAATATAAATCATGCTTAAGTACATTGACTGATAAAACAACTCACAACAAAATAAATTATAATTACATAATTAAGTAAGATGAATGATCAAATGTGCCATAAATTTTTTAATAAGATAAATGATCAAATGTGTGAAAAAGATAACGACGTCATCTATTTATAATTACATAATTTTTTTTAAAGTAAGATGAATGATCAAATGTGCCATAAATTTTTTTAATAAGATGAATGTTTAAATATGTGAAAAAAATAACGACGTCATCTATTTAAAAAACAAATGTGGTATAGAGCTATGTTCGTTACGGGAGGTTCACAACCGGAACACAGTGCGCATGGAAAACAGAGCAGTCCATTAGCGCGTGATTAATTAAGTTCTAGCTAATTTTTTTTCCCAAAAATAGATTAATATGATTTTTTTAAGCAACTTTCGTATAGAAACTTTTTACAAAAGCTGCACTCTTTAGCAATTTGAAAAGCATGTGCGTGAAAAACGATAGGGGGAGTTGGGAAGGGGAAAGGAACCTCAGTCTCTCTACTTGCGTGTTGCTTCAAGACATTATAATAATCAATCTATAATCAATCAACTAAATAAGTGCTGATGTTTGTTACTTACCAAATCGCAGATATGGCTAACTTTCCCACCATATCGTAGAGAATGTCTCATTTTGTATCATTGTGTATACATACTCATAGAAAAATGCCACAATATTCACTATGAGAAAAAAATGCAGGTATTTTTTTTAAAAAAAAAGTAAAACGAGACATTAAGCTATATTGAAGTTCCTACACCAAAGAATGGAAATTATATGATTACAATATCTTGTCTATTGGAATATAGTTACAATATCTTGTCTATTGGCTTCAACCCTGTAGGCAAATTGTCATAATTGCCTGAATCAATGTCCGGCTGAAATATGTACTTCTTCCCTAGCTTCTTTAAAAACCGGGGTTCCACATCCTCTTTGTTTTGTGTGACAATCACATAGTTCGAATAAGCCATTTGATAACTGCATCCCAATAAGATAGCAAATATTATTATCAATATTGTAACATATTAGCAATATTATCTTGTGGTAGATAAAAAAAAACCTGGGCTCTTTAAGATCCTCAATGGAAATCCCAAATCCATATGATCCTGTCCCCTTCAAATGATCATACATAGCTGCAAAAAGAAATATTATGGAGCCATTATGAACAATTTAAACAACATCATTTCCTATTATAACGAGCCACATATAATATATGAGCATCTCAAACCCCCAAATATGAGGTTTTACTTATTGAGAAAAAACTTGAATACTATAGCACTTGATGTAAGAGAAACAAAAGGGGGGGTATGTGGGGATATTTAGATTACGAATCTTCGATTGTTAATCTTTCAAATATAAATTGCTAATATTAAAAGAGAATTTCTATCTCCCTATTGGGAAACATAAAATTCTCATTGAAACCAAAATAGAGGGGAACAAAAAGAGATATTTAAGTGAGGGTAAAAAAAACACAGAACTTTTAAAGCGTAATTTAATGTTGAAGTGTCCATGAATCTTGTTGTGATAACTTTCCCCTTGCAAATAAAATTGTTGCTAGCTAAAATTAGAAGGTCTACAAACCTGTGAAGCTAAATGTAAAGAATGGTCTCCACCAAGATTTCATTGCCAAAGCCATGGAAGATTTGGAGGGACCTAACTTTCCCTGTTGAGAAAATAGAAATAGTGTCACCACAAATAAATGAAAATACCAACCTAAGCATAAGGGTTAATTTCATCTTTACTCTCAATACACCTTGTGAGTTGTGAACCATTCAATAATCCTTATAAAATGAGTAGTGGGGGTACCACCACCACCTAACTATCAACTCTCAAATTTTTTTAAGAAAAAGAGATGACATATGGGGGTTAGAGGACCCATATGTCAACTACTTCCACCAACTCTCTACTTTTTGTGAGAGAGTGTGAAGCTAAAAAGATCCACACGTGAGTAACAAATATGTACAATAATTAAGAGATGGTAATAACACATTAATGATAACTTAATAATTAAAATCTCATTGCAACGCACGAGTAATATGCTAGTTTATTATAAATTTAAAAGAAAATTTTAAAATATGTTTAGCAGAGAAGTCCTACAAAACTTTGCCACCAAGTAGCATGTGAGCCGCCTCTTTTCTTTTTAATAGATTTTTTGAAATTTCCTTCATCCATTAAGGTATTCTCTAATAAATTTTATTTTATTAATGCATAAATGATATGAAAAATAACTGACCTTTACTAGAAAGTTCTTACTAGCCTGCCAACTTGCAGCTACCTGGAATGAGGGATTGCTAGCATTTTCTTTCGCCTTGTCTTTATCCAAGCTAAGGCTCAAAAAAAAGGGATTAGTTAATATAATTGATGCGTAATTCAGAAAATTATCTTAATTTTTATGTTTACCTTGTGGCTAACTCAAGCCCAAAGTCAACAAAGTTCGTGGTTCCGATAATGTGTTCTTCTTCACGGGGATTCATTACCTAATAGACAATTAGACATACACAATGCAGATTGTTGTCAAGATTCAATATGTCCTAGTTACATTAAAATGATTAATAAATAAAATAACTTAGCGTTTCAACTCATGAATCTTCATAACTTAGTGTCCTATATCCTATAATATCAGTTTTGTATAGTTTTTAGTTGTATCATAATGGCACAATGCAATTTTTTTTTTGAAAAGAGTGCACAATGCAATGGCTTCCTAGAGGTGCAAAGATAATGAAAGCAAAAAAAAAAGGGGGGGTACTAAAACAGTATGCACGAGGGAATATAGTAAGCAAAATTATCTATTTTGAAAACATGTAAAGTGGCATTGCTATCTCAGATTCTTCTTTCTCCATTGAAATGCACCTGCATGCACATCTTATAATCTGAATATGCATCGAACCAAAAAAGGATGGAAATTATTTGGTCAGGTGCACACAGTATACAACAATTTACATTTCATCCTAGAAAGAATAGTGCTAAAACAAATAAGCTAATCCTTAACATGCTGCTAGAACCTAGAGCACATTGATGAGCGCAACAGAATGGGTAATCCTTTAAATAAATTGAGAAAACATGAAGCATTTTTATGGAACATAGACTAAATTAAAAATTCCATACCCTTCTCTGAACAACGAAGTGCTGATAGAACGATGCAACTAGCTGCACATCAAGGAAAAGAAAATGACATCACACATGAGATTCAAAAGATAAATATTGTTGCAATTGAGATTGAGATAAGATCAAATTACGGCAGGTTATCAAGTTTTTCTTAGCAGCGAACAAATATAATTGTTGTTATTTTAGATAATAGATCATTGCTTCCTTCCCAACAGAGTCAAGGTTAGGAAGAAACAAGACATCAGGCCCATAGTTTCATGACATTGTTCGGTGTTTCGTTATTCAACATGGAGGTATAGATAATCGTGCGGATATGAAATTCTTGTGTATAAACACATGTGCATACATATACTGAGACTGATGACATGAATAGTCACATTTTTAGTGCGGCAGAACTAAAACTAAAAGATGCCTTAATAACATGCACAAGGTATCCATCAAAAACATGCTATTTCGATAATCTTGTCAAAATATCCTAACAACTGCAATATAGTACAAACTATGTGAAGCTCTGTTATCAAATAATGAGAACAATAATGGCAAACCTGTGTATTTCTGACAAGCTCTAGAGAAAAATTGAATGAAGGGCTGAGTGGGCTAGTTGAGCCCATACCATAACTAATTGCACAATTCCAGTTCTTCAAGTCTGTCAAAGGCACAGGATGCATGCTTTCACCTGCTAGAGTATTTATGAATGAAAAAGAGAGAATCAAATACAACAACATAATGCCATAAACTTTTAAAAGTTTATAAAAGGGGAAATCAACATCTAATTATTTGAAGGCCTTATTTGAATGCAAGGAAAGGACAACTTTTTAACATATAAGCATATGTAATGCCTCAAAACTCATGAGAGATAAGGGGGAAAATTCTTAAGTTTCATTAGGCTACTCTTCCTATGATCCGTTAAGGTTTAGTAACTCGCACTCACAGAGTGGCTTGTATTGTATCCCTGCGCTTATATTCCCTTTCCTGCCAACTAACCATGCACCGTAGGGTACTTGACCAGATACTGCAAAGAAAATATTATGTTGTGACAATATGTAAGAATATCATTAGAGCTTGACTTAAACATATTGATTTAAAATTGAGACAGCTGATCTACTTGGCTGCATATTATTTTCATTCTCCAAGTCCAAATAAGTTAGAATTAGAACTATGAGTAATTACATACAAGCAAACGGCAGAAAGGATGCCCCAATAGACAGATTCTCTGAACCATATCTTAAACCCATAATACCATAATCTCCTTCTGAACAGTCCCTACAAATAAATAAATAAATAAATTTAACCATGTCATTTTTATGGGTTCAATGCATATTGATAGAAATCAATAATGAGAATATCAGAATTATTGGTAGCATATAGTGGAAAAGTATAACACCTATGCATGATCTGCGACCATAAACAAGATATGGCCTACCTGTTTGCCTTAAGTAAAGGGAATGTTCCAAATGCACCAATTCGATACTTAGGATAGTAAGCACACGACCTCAGCTGCACCATGCTGGATAAAAAAGTTATAAGCGAAATCAACATTATCTATGCACCATTTAGGATATAAGTTTCAACATAAATGTCAATCCAACAAGAAAATGCTTACGGTTTTGGTGTTGACAAATGAAGGTCCATAAAGGTATTTGGATCATCCAAATATCTGTAAAGTAATTCAGTTGAGCCATTTTTTGTTTAGAGTAAATGCTTAGAATAGTAACAAAGTGGCATAGAAATCTGGAAATAATGAAGCTTTAGTAAACTATGCAATAATAACCACCTCTGCCAGCGAAACAGAGCCTCACCACCCGTTGTAGTCATCTAGTAAAGCCGAGTTAAGAAAAAAAAATACATTGCAATAACGTAGGAGGAAAAAAAAACCGGTAAAAACATCATAACAAACAGAGAAGAAAAAAACGTTATTGATAATCCACGTTTCGCACAAAATTTCACCGAAATAAAAAGGAACCAGATCAAAGATCATCACAATGCTAACAAAACGAAAAAAAGTCAATGTTCGAATGGATACTTTGGCGGTCAAATCAACATGAGAATCAACCAGTGGCCTCAACATAATCATCCCTGAGGTTATGCTCCCAACTTGATCGAAGTAATCGTCAAACAGGCTCCGCCGCTGGAGCTTCCCGAACATGACCTCGTACGCCGGCACCGCCATCCTGCCCAAACAATGCCAACCACACTTCAGCTCCATAAAAAAGACAACCAAATTCGTCGATGAATGCAAGCAATCTGAGTAGTAGAAGATCGCGGAGATGTTGGTGACCTGGTGCGGGCGGCGGCGGCGGGAAATGTGAAGGGCGGCGGCACCAGCACCATCGCCGGCGGCATCTCGTCGTACCGCCGCATCGTGCTCCTCCTCCCCTGCAAATCGATCTCGCTTCCAAACTAACCAAGCGGCCGCCGCTGCTGATAAGTCCTTTTTCCTTTTCCTTTTCGCCTTCGTTTTCGCGCTCGCGGTTGATCTCTCCCGGCCTTGTACGCCACCCGCGTCCTCCCCCATCCTTTCTTGCCAAACAAGCCTGGCCTGCAACCATGGGCCCGGCCCATGTAGGCCCACAAATGTGGGCCTGCGGCTATGGGCCAGGCCTGTCTGAGCCCACATAAATGGGCCCACATGTCAGGCTCCTCTCCTCGGTTCGTCTAGTCGTCTTCCTACTCTCCTCCGATCTCCAATTCTTATCCAACCCATGGTGCTTGGCTCCCCGGAAGTCGGGATGGAGGATTCGTCGGCGACTCACCTCTCCGACGAGGTGCAGGATCCAGGTTCGATCCATAATCTTACTTGCTTTCGTCGCCACTTGGTAGTGAAGCTCTAGTTAGTCTGTAGTTAGGGTTGTGATTTGTGAAGGGAAGCAAAATCAGTAGCTCGATACCTAATCGATGAACTCCATGCTTGCCATGGCTCTAGGTCGAGGAAGCTCAGATGCTTCTGTTCGTACTTCTTTGCGAGATTCGACAGGAAAGGAGGCTGTTGCGGCCGTTGAACCGGTGAGGGAGGAGCTGGTTCAGAGCGCGGTCGGTTTTCTGAAACACCCAAAGGTAGTGGCCTCTTCTGATGTCCAGAGGCGTTCTTTCCTTGAGAAGAAAGGGCTCACCGTGGATGAAATCGATGAGGCATTTCGACGTTTACTTGTAAGATTTGTTCTTTTCGCTGCCTTGTCGGCTCTTCTTTTTTTCAGAGCAGGGGTGAATCACTGGTGGTTCTGACTTGATTAATTTCTCTAACTTAGTTTCTGCAATTTTCAGAGCCCATCTTCAAACTCCATGAGTCCAAATTATTGCACATATCAAGGTATGCTGTGGTCACCTGTCAAGATTGTTGATTAGGTGATGGTGTTGTTCTGTGTGATTGGTCACTCCAAATGAACTTCCCCTCTTTAGGTTTATATATGCACAACGGTGCTCTAAAGTGTAAATGGCTTCATCAAGACATGTCTAATGACATCGCCTTGTGTTTTCCTTCATTTTTCAGGGGTATCTGATCATTCTTCAAAAATCACACAGGTCAGCTAAAAAGTACAGAAAAATGTTTTTTTCAGTCCACACTTGGTATCGATCATGCATTATGATGTTTATGTTGCAAGCTTTAAGTTATCCCTTTCTCTTTGCCACAGGAGAATCCTTCAACAGTTACAAAATGTATGGATGATGATTCAGGTTTGCTCATGCTGCCTTTCCATGAGTCATGTTGACTAATTTATCCATGTTTTCTAATTCTGTTGTTCCTTCTTGCTTTTATAGGGAGACCTGAGCCTGAAACTGAATCTGTGGATCCTGTGGTGCCTCGCCACCCAAAATCATATATGGAGGTCAGCTATATTGAGCATCACCTTTTTTTTTTCCTGTCACTCTAGCATGAGCGTAGAATCGATGTGTTTTTCTTTACTCCTAAGCATGCTACTTGAATATTTACCAATGAAGTTTAGAGTGTACAGTTGTTACTGACTGTATCGTGTTGCACGATCTATGATTCTAGTAGTCTGTAAGTGAACGCAAGTTACATTTGCTTGTGCTGGTGAAAGGTCATTCAAGAGTCAAGACTACCTTGCTAGGAAGTGCGCTTTCTTAATAGTTTTAGATATAAACTTGAGCACTCCTTCATCCACTTTAATCGCTAAGTGCAGCTCAATGCTTTGCTGGCATGCACAGTAGATTTTTCTTCCTTCTTTTGATGTACCATATACTGGACATTGGAGGGCAACTCATCAACATGTTTTATATATTTTGGGGATTATCTATTGTATGATGGTGCAAGTAATTTTAGTGTGCTCTTATTAAAGTATTAGGACAAAAACAACTTATCAGCCAGAAAGTTTTATTATTTTTTTGGATTTAATGTTGTGATGATGAGTAAGGAATATTAAAGTATGCAGATTCTGTTGCTGAACCAAAAATTAGCTCTTAACTGTCATACTGGATTTGACACTTGACAGATCATGGAAATGATACAAAGGGGAGAGCGGCCAGATGATATACAGGTATATCTGAGTTTATGCTTGTCAAGTTGACTTTGTGACCTTATCGTTTCTGTTTCAATATAGGACATTAATGATGACCCTCCAAACCCTTATCAACCAATCTCGGAATCCCGCATGGCACCAAAGCCCAAGGTTTGTAGTTTTACATTTCCAGCTAAACAAACCTTTAGTAGTATAGGATGTAGTTCTTTTGTTAGCATGATAGAAAGTATGTACATGTACGTAGGGACTACAACCAGCATTTTATGCTGAAATTAGAGTAACTTCATGCTAGGCTGTTTTCGGACAACACAGTTCACTCACGTTTATTTTGTCGGTAAACAGCCATGGGAAAAGCAGGGTCAAGAAAGTTCCATCTGGGAGTTGAAATCTCAGTCAATGGACACCATCGAATCGAGATCAGAAATTCAACTTGACAGCGCCAACCAATTTACTGAAACGGAGAATAGATCAAATCAAGGGGACTCACTATTGCTGGAAGAAACGGTTGCAGGTTCTGAAGCTCACACAGATGATGCTGCCTCGACAAAGTCGTAAATGCAAAAGCACGTGATGATGGAATTGAACATGCTGGGAAACTATTTCAACATATACTTAGCCAAAAAGCTCGAATTTCTAGTGCAACAGTTTTCTGAAATTCTCTGAACCTGCTTTCTCTGAGCTCACTGATCTGCGTACTTCCCTATTGTTGGAATCAGATTTAGCAGGCACAAAAGACCTCCCAATTTTCGTTAGCTGGAACAGTTATACAATCTGTATAATGTAATCATGAAAAATATACAAACAACAACATGAAATGTTGTGACTTGTGAGGCTCATGTCATGTCTGAAGTCTGAACCCTTGCATCTGTAACAGACAAGCAAAGATTGCTTGATTGGCTAGAAATAGAATTGTTGAATCTGAGGAAACCATTAGGAACAGAGTACCGACACTGATCCCAGTGTGAACCCGGCTAGGTGTGAAAGTCTCCCCAATAGTGTGTAACCCCATCTGCTCTTTTTCGTGGCGTCGAATATGCTTCAGCGTGCGTGTCGCTAGCAACGAACAGCAACCGGAGAAGAAATGAATTCGGCCTTGCTTTGATACGCATCTGACTGCCTACTATGCCGATGGGTCTTGACGCGACGTTGATACACCACACAGTGACACACACAACTCCTCATCTTTTCCAAGTTTTCCAACGCCAACTACCTCGACCAGCAATCAACCTAACCTAGACGATGCAAGAGACGATCGAGACACAAAGCTACATGCCTAACCAGTCCAAAATACCACTGCTCTTACCCGGTCTTGCTTGCAGAATTAACGACATGTTTGGTGCCTTCTTGGTTGGGCAAAAGCAAGTGCCATTTTGACTTGACTAGTGAGTAGTATTACTACATAGTAGGAGTACATACTATTCTTTGCTCATAATGCAGAGTTGTGTTTGACTGGGTACTAATGCTCGTCAATGCACTCTTACTAGCTCAGGAGAATGTTCTTTTTAACGTCTTTGATACGTCAAGATGACGTTGTGAAGTTGCGGTGCAGAAGAGAGTTTTGATGGCAATGATTCAGATTAGGTGCTGTAACTGGAGATGACGTCAGGGAAATAGGAGAGGGCCAAAACTTGAAAGCTAGAGCAGCGTCAGCAATGAGCCTAAGTTTAGGTAGTATTAGGCAGCTCAAATTGGTCATCATGTCAATGACAACCCTGGTCCTAACACCTTGTATGACAACACACGCAAACAAAAGCATTTCCATTTTCTGTAAACATTTGCAATGATGCAAACTAAAACAGATGTCAATTTGCCATTACATGTAGAAATAGGACTTTGAACCCATGACCTTTGCGGTAGTCAACCAATTTTCTATGTGAGTAGTCCACCCTGTACCATCGAATTACATTTTCCATCATTTCAATCGTCCCCTGTTTTTTAGCCTTTTTAGCCTGTAATTATATTTGTAGGAAGAGCGATTTTACTGCCTTTGAGGTAACAGGAGATATCAAATTTGATACATCTCGGTACCTTTGATATTGTCGAGGGAAGACCCTCAATAGCGGGGAGTCGTGAGACCCCCCTTTCGTGAGTTCGGCTGGGGGCGGAGGCCCGTCTCTTGAAAGTCGCTTGCTCATCCCTAGGACTATCGGTGAGTTTGCACGTAGTCGGATTATACAGGTTCGGGCCACTATAGAGCGTAACACCCTACTTCTGTGTTTGGGATTATGGATGAGTTTTACAAGGGTTTCTTCACTCCGGAGAGTGCACTTGCTTTCTCTCTTCTGGAGTTCAGGTATTCTGGGCGTCATCCCCTTTCTCAGTGGGCAGGGTCCTCCTTTTATAGCTTAAGGGGATACCACATGTGCCGCCTCTACCTACCCTCTATGGGGGGGAACCCCACTCCACTTTTTTGGGCTTCAAACTGTGTCTTCTCCCGGAAGCTAAGCAATAGCCGTTTCTTGAGCAGAATTCGGCGTCGTCCCCCGTCTGACACGGGGGACAGCCCTGTCATTCCCTCATAAATGAACGGTGACATGCAACAGCCCTTCCTCAAGTGACGCCCGGATGTGACGGGTCATACCCACCCCCACTCCGCCGGGGACAAGGGCGACGTGAGGACACGACTGCCCTATCCATCGGATGTGACGGAGACGGGCCGATCACAGACCGGTCACATCCGATGGACAGGGGTTAGCTAGGCGCGCCGCACGTCTGCCCTGACCGCATTAAATGCGGTGAGGGACAGTTGGGGCGTTGCACATTTATGGCTGTTCAGCCTGCACTCCCCTTTTGCTCTCTCCCTCTGCCGCGTGGCGGCCGGGTGAGGGCCTCGGGGCGAAGCCGTGAGAGAGCCCGAGGGGGTGACGTCATGCCCTGAGCCCCCGCCCCCCCCCCCCAAAACCCCCGGCGCTGCTTCTACGACTCGCGTGTCGCGTGAGTGGGGCCAACCTGCAGAGTCACGTGGCCAAAGGGAAAGTAATTCCCCTCTACTTCTCATACCCCCGGGCCCATATCTCCAACATATATGTATCAAAATTTGATACCTCTCGGTACCTCTTGGTATCTCTTAAGTATAGTAACATTTCTTTTTTAGAAATTAGATATATGACAGTTTTGTTCTTAAAATTTTATTGCAGGAGGTTTTTAAATGGAAAAAAAGGGGTTATTTTCTGTAGTCATGGCTGATGCTGATGGCACTGGTGTGAGCTAGTAACAATCCAGAGAACAAGTTGACGGGAACAGATGACTATAAACGGGCTATTGGTGTGCGTCGAGATCAAATGGATAATTCCTCTCACCGGCGCCGGATTCTCCTGGGCAAAAATGTGGAGTTTGCTCGGCCAAGTGGTCAGCAGCTCAGGCACGCACAGTCTCTTTTTCACAGTTTTAATAGGAGTACGAGACTGACTGCGACGCAATGCCTTCTGGCTCTTTTGTTTTGTTCCTTTTGTTCTGTTTCGTTTTACTCCCCCGAAAACAACATCACGCTAGCCGATCAAGCTTCCTCCTGCGAGAATGCGACGCGAAAACTAAATGGAAATGGTTGAAGGTTTGAGCCCGATCAGGCACGTTTCCCAGCTCAAGCAAAGGATCTCACCCAATGTTACTGACTTTCTGCTACCTGAAATGAATGCAGTTTCTGGGCACAGGTTTTGGTCTCTGAATATGAAACTCTGAAAAAGTAATTCTGAACATGGAGAAGAAGTTCAGACAGGAGGAAATATTGGAATGCAGGAAATTCAGTAAAGGTGTGTAGACAAGTAGAATTAGACAGAGAAATAGATTATGGGCTTCAGCTAGAAGTTACCGCATCTCATCTCAGATTAGAAGTTTGAAAAACCAAACAAGCAGATGAGAGATAATTAACCTCTCCATCCAAATCCATCACTCCAGTTATATGTTCTAACTGCATGTGCTTTTCTTTTCATGTAACTATCGTTGAGCACGTGATAATCAGCTGCTCTCATGTATGAATGCTCTGCTACAGTCGCGGAGAATTGACACGAAAGATACACAAAATGGATCGAACACCAGCATTTCAAATCGATAGAACAGGAGAGCCATTTTCATCATGGTGTCCAGTTAATTTAGCAATCGTCGGTCGATCGGTGGTGCCCATTTCAGATTGGCCATTCCGTACGTTTGTCCCTATGCTGTCATGATCCCAATTATGAACGAGCGAACTGCATATATCTTACCGGACGTCTCCAGCAATCTTAAGCAACAAGCACCGAATCAATCACGAAGCACTGCTACACATTCTGGATCTGATTTTTTTTTCAAGGCAAATATTTTGTATCTGATTTTTTAATTTTTTTTTACCATTTATAAGAAAGTATCACTGTATTTTTCTATAAAACTCGATACCTTTATATGCCTTTTTTCTAGTGTAGAATTCACTGAAAATTTTGATATTTACTACAAATACTTTTTAAAATTTCTCCTTGTTAATTAACCATAACATAAATTAGGCATCATGAATATGAGTTAGAATGTGCAGAATTGTTGAAATCTCAATGCTACAATTGTAGGTTAGGTCTCGTTGGAAAAATCTCTCGATTACTAAAAAAGAAAGACATGAAGGCCTTTTTCTGGATCACAAATTTTACAGGATTTTTGCACCGTCCAGTTCTATTCCTTTAAAACTATCCTCCATTTCAACGAGGTCAAAAATTCCACCTATATGCACGCACCGCCTGGGCGAGCACCGATCGAATCGTCGGAGTCCGGCCGGCCACCTGGCGCCGCCGCCGCCGCTCGTGATGGCGGCGCATCCACGGCACCTCGGCCGGCCGGCGCCGCACACGTGTCGCGCTTTGTGCTAATTAATCTCGTTCGTTTCCAGCCCTAAAGCTAGTCGTAATTAGCTGTTACTACCTTTCCTTTAAAGTAGCAGGACGCACCGTGCTCAAAGTATGTATCATGTGTGTCTACACAGTGATCCAACAGTACTATCACCACGTGTGCATCATCCATCAGAAATAATTTATTAAAGAATATAGTAAAAACAGGTAAATATTAATTTACGGAAAATAAAAAAATGTCACTCTCACAAAATTAATGAATTTGCTATTGCACATGTACAAACTCGGGTGTACAAAACCTTGTCTAATGGAGGTTTTTCTCGCGCCACCCGTAGGCGTTCACACTCTGTCCGAGAAAGACAAAGGCCAGTTAAGTCACTGACTTCACACTGTTCATAGTCCACATTAAGCCGTAATTAATTAACCTAATCACGTGATTAATTGACTATCAATATATGCAGAACCAAACACTGTAAAATTAATTAGAACGGATGCGGGTGGCTGCGGCTGATGCCGTTCACGTTGGCGAAGAGGCCGACGAGCTCTTCCCGGTAAGGCAAGAACGTCCGCCGCGGCGTGCCCCCGCCGGCGCTGGTGCCGGTGGCGCCACCGCCCTTAGCGCCGTAAGCTATCCTGTGGATGGCGGCGACCGTGTCGATCTCTGCGGCGGCGGCCTGTGCCGTCTTGCGGCCGCTTGCCGGCGTCGGCTTGGGTGGTTTGGGTTTGGGCTTGAAGTGTTCGACGTCGTTCTCCTTGCTACTGGGCGGCGGGATGGGGAGGAACAGGAACTTCTCCTTGCCGTCGCTGTGGCTGCGGCCGACGACGAGCTCGCTGATGCGGCGCCACCGCGCCATGGACCCCGTTGAGCCGCTCTTCCTGGGCGGGCGCGGGGAGGCCGATGCCGAGGCGGAGCCGGCGCCGGCGCCGGGCGTCCAGAGACAGTAGCTCTCCGGCGGCGCGCCGTCCAGGCCGCCCTCGTCGGACGCCGGCGCGGAAGACGACGACGACGACGACGTGGACGTGGACCACCTGTCGAACGAACCACGGGACTCCTCGAGGAAGAGCCGCCCGAGCGGGCCCCTCGTCCGCGGCGGCACCGTCGCCGCAGCGTCGTCCTTGGCCAGATGCTGCTGGCGATCGCCTCCTCCTCCGGCGCCGGCGCGGCCGAAAACCGGGTAGAACGGCTTGATGCGGCCGTCGGCGAACAGGTCGTCGGCCACGGCGGCGGTGCCCGCGGGGGAGTCCCTGCTGACGAAGGGGAACTCGAACTCGAACTCCCCATCGGAATCAGATTCCTCCTCCACTCCCGTCGTCGTCACGTCGCTGGAAGAAGCCTCCGCCGGCAGCACGTCAGCGGCGACGTCGGCGGTGGGATCTTGCGGCTCTGGAATCCTCTCCTCCATGGTGGCAGGAGAGGGGGAAGGAATGAGAATTGAGAGATAGGAGGAGGAGTAGACGAGAGGCGACGACGCGGGTGGATAAGAAATGGAGTCAGAGAGCGGCGTTTATAAAGGGGGTGTTGCACCGGTGCACGTCTTCCAGAAGCTCGTGCTGAGCTGGTGCAGACCGTGGACCCTGCCTGAAGAGACCCTCCCCAAGCATTTCTGAATTCTGATCAATGGCGTGGAATTTTCAACCAAACGTGACTCCTTTGAAAGTTACTGCATCCATCTCAAAATATAAAAATCTAAAATTAAATGAGATATTTTCTAATACTACGAATCTGGACAGTCGTAATAGAAAATGTCTTATCCGATTCTAAGTTCTTATATTTTGAGACGGAGATAGTAAATACTCCCTCCGTTTCAAAATGTTTGACACCGTTGCGTGTTTGACCATTCATCTTATTTAAAAAATTTAAGTAATTATTTATTCTTTTCATATCATTTGATTCATTGTTAAATATACTTTCATGTACACATATAGTTTTACATATTTCACAAATTTTTTTAATATGACGAATGGTCAAACATATGCTAAAAAGTCAACGGTGTCAAATATTTTGAAACGGAGGGAGTATACAAGATTTACAGGGCTATTTTATTAGAAATTAGTTTGATTTTTAGGAGAAAAAAATATCTAAATTCCTCCATTCAAAGAAAGCCTTAATTACCTCATTTATGTTTTTTTGTTTCGACGATGCGCAAAAGCATTGTAAATCTCTGTATTTATTAAGATTTTGTTTGGGAGGGGAGAGTTACTACAATTTATGTGATGTGCTTGATAGTGCAGCGGTAAGATGTGTAGTTTCAACTCTGAGATTATGTATTTAATAATTTATTCTTAAAAAATAAATATCATAATTTCATGCATTTGCACCACCAAAAGCATGAAGGAGCTCGCCGTGGTAGGGAAGCAGTTTGGACGCCTGGTAACATTAACGATTAGCCATACAACGATTCAGGGTAAGGCATCAGGATGATCAATAGACTCGTCATGTCCAACAATAAAAAAATTAACTTAGATATGTTTGCGGGTGACATATTTCATATTGATCTGTCGTATCAAATTGTTTTTTTATCTTTGAGTCTTTTTTTTAAAAAAATAAAGTTTGATAACCATTTGAAAGGTATAAAAAAATGAGGAAATGTTCTCTTCAACGATGAAAACACTTTTTCCCATTAGGTTGCATGATCGTGTTTATTGTCCAGTATACGATGCATGATCGACAGAGAATATGAGGTGTTTTAACTAACGTACCGTTAGTGTGTTACTGTTATAGCTAACTTTGCACTGAGCAGCATTACCATAGCAGTCATATCATCCATCATTAGTGGGCGCGAGATGGATTAATCAATGACACGTACCGCATGAAAATGATATGATTCGAGTGCGCGCTCCCACCGCGAGACTTTGTGTGGACTGCAACTGCAATAGTCTAAAGGGAACCACTTCCCTTGGACTCCAAGTCTCCCTTTGCGCCACAAATCAAATCCACAATCCTAGAAAATCCTATAAGAGCATGCATGCATCAACGACCATGAGAAAAAAGAAAAGATTAGATATGAAATATACGACGACGCATGCATCATACAGTCGCTGTCTTGCCCTGATCTCATGACCTCATGAATTAAAGCGGAGAGGCTGGAGATCGGTCTCATCATGTTTGCTGTTGACATGCTACTTCAATTCTTCCGGATCAATCGATCGGTTAACGTTCGGTTCGTGTGTCTGTGTGCATGCACAATTAATCGAGAGAGACCAACATGCCATATGCGTTCCCACGCTGGTTACACACGGCGGCGAACTCAAACTCGTGGAGCTAAGCTGAGCTAGCGCCAGGAGCCAGGGAGAAAGAATCAGGGTGATTAATCACCTAGCTAATTACTCCAAGATTGGCAGGAATGGATGGATGGGGTGGCTGGCTGGATTCTCTCGTTTGTCCGTTGGTCCCTAGCTCGCTTCCTTGCTTGATGCGCACGTCGAGGTGGAGATCTCGCCGGCGTTTAGCGTTTTCATGGTTTCTTCTCTTCTTTCATACGGCGGCTGCCGCTGCTCTGCGCGTGATGTTGATGGTGACGTAGCGGCCGGCCACCCGGGGGGCGTGTACGCGTGGCGGTGCGCGTCGGCGGTAGGCGGTGCGGTGCGGATGGGTTGTCGTCTCGTTTCGTCGTCCGTGGAATTCGGCGGTCACCTCAGCTGCCGGCGCCGCGGCGGCCGTGGCCCCGTGTGGTCGTCTGCGTCCGGCGGGGGTAACGCGAGGATGGGCTAGTTCGTGTGAGTGGGCCGAGAAGGTGCGGCCTGCCTAACGCTGACGAGCCAGTACGACGTTGATGTGGGCCGATAGATACACCGGCGCTAGGCCTAACTGGATCGCTCTACCGGTTGCGCAACAAAACCTGCTCGGCCGTTCTAGATGGCTACCTAGGAATAAGTTCACTTTGGGTGCCTCTATTTGTCGTCCAAATTTCGTACCTTGATAGCAAAACCGGGTACAACACGTTCTCCAACTTACGAAACCATTTAAATAAAGTCCCTTGATAGTATTTGACCCCGGTTTTAGCTGAGGTGTGCCTACGTGGCAAATTTGACTCAATCTTCATCTGACATGACATTGACGTGGCGCTTACATGGCAATTCGATCCGAAAAATAATAAAACCTATGGAACCACATGTCAGTTTTACACACACAATAATAAAAAATGGTGGGGCCCACGTGGACCTCACCTATCATCCTCCCTACCCTTCTCTCTATCCCATCCCTCTCTATCCTTTCTCCTTCCTCTTCTCTCTATCCCTCTCTCTCTCCCCGAGAATGGCGAGCGGTGGCGGGCGGCGACAGAGCTAAGAGCCGGTAGGCGGCGGGTGGAGCGGTGCCCCGGACCAAGAGTAGCACCAGAGCCAGTAGGGCCGCCGTCCCGCCGCCTACGGCAATGGCCGCGACCGCCACGCCGGACAACTTCTTTTTCTTCTTCTTCTCGGCCACTGGCATGGAACCACCTCCGCTGCCTCGTCCATCCGTCGGCGTGCCATCAGGAGACGGAAAGAACGGCTCGCATGGGCGGCTCAGGGGCTTGCCGCTGAGCTGGAGGTTGCCGACGAAGGACTCAGGCGGGACTGCTTGTTCTGTTTTTCTCCGGAGATTGTTAAGATATTCTGCTTGACTGCTTGCCTGACGAAATCTAGAGCATGCATGCGCATAACTGTGATGAGACAACCACATGAATATTACTACCTCCGTTTTTTAATAGATGACGCCGTTGACTTTTTCTCACATGTTTGACCATTCGTCTTATTCAAAAAATTTTCATAATTATAATTTATTTTATGATGAGTTGTTTTATTACTCATAGTACTTTAAGTGTGATTTATATCTTATACATTTGCATAAAATTTTTGAATAAGACGAATGGTCAAACATGTGAGAAAAAGTCAACGGCGTCATCTATTAAAAAACGGAGGGAGTACTTGACAACTTGTTGGATCGATGTTTCCGCGGAGAGCCTCGGGCAAGATGTCGATCTTGAGGAACGGCGGTAGTAGCAGCCCGAGGAACTTGGTCGTCTCGCCGGACATCGTAGGGATGTGCAGGCTTGCCACGTCGAGAAGGAGGAGGGGATCCCGCCGGCCAGGTCGTGGGTGCGGGGCCGGTCGCCGCCGGGTGCCCGCCCCACTCCGTCCACCGCCGCTCCTTGCCCGCCCCACTTCGGCCGCTGCCGCTCCTTCCACGCCTCACTCTGGCCGCCGCCATTCCTCCCCACCGCTCCGCCGCCGTCACCGCTCCGCCCTGCCGCTCCGGCTGGAGAGAGAGAAGGGGGATAGAGAGAAGGGGTAGCGAGGATGACAGGTGGGGTCCCACCATTTTTTATTATTGTTTGTGTGAAACTGACATGTGGGTCCCATAGGTTTTATTATTTTTCGGATATAATTGCCACGTAAGCGCCACGTCAATGCCATGTCAGATGAAGACCGAGTCAAATTTGCCATATAGGCGCCACCTCAGCTAAAACTGGGGTCAAATACTGCTGAGGGACCTTATATAAATGGTTTCGTAAGTTGAAGGACCTGTCGTACCCAGTTTTGCGATCAAGGAACGAAAATCAGACTGGGCGACAAATAAAGGGACCCAAAGTGAACTTATTCCGGCTACCGACGATTGCGGTCCCGTTGGATCGCTATCCATGAATGGAATAAGTCTTACTTTGAGTCCCTCTATTTGATTCGTGCCCCTCAACAATTGTACCAGATATCCTAACCCCCTCTACTATTAAAACCGGTATAATTTAACTTCCTTGATGGTTTTGTGAGCTATTTTTGCTGAAGTGGTTCATTGGCTAATCAAATAACTGAGTCAGCACATGAGGCTTCGAACACAGGTCGTCTAGTCCACCACCTTGTGAAGCTTAGCCGGAAGATCTCTGGGCGTTTCTTAAGGGAGTTAAAGTGGACTTATTCCATCCAAAACATGGTTAGCCTATTTGGGTAGTATCGATCTCTCCCGTTCTTTCTTTCCTTCCTTCCCTTCCCTTTTTTTTCTTTTTTTTTTGCGAGAACCCCTTCCTAGTTCTTACATCATGATTTTCTCTTCTGTAGACAAACTCAAAATCCCCACGCACTATATATATACGAGATACAGAAAAACCCCTGATGAAATTAAGTACAGGCTTCTACCCACAGTTAGAGAATGCAGATATTCGAAATGAACAATTCCCATATAATTGGAGATTGGAATTGAATGAGAATCCTGCTGAGTCCGGTGATTCATACACCAAAATCTACGGCTCAGTATCAAACCTTCGATTTGTGCCGTTACCGTGGTAGCAGGCGTAGGAGCCTTTCGGTCTGTCAAACGGTGTGCACACCAATGGAGGCCCAAGGATACAGTCGTCACGGTAGTGCCGCAAAGCTCCGTCGATCTGGTTCTCTTCTGCTGTTTAGTCGCATATGGAAGTTTGTTTCCTTAGATTGGTTAATCTTTACCTCATTAAAGATGGTGTTTCTGCTACCTTTGTATCCATCTGTGATGTCCTGGGGTGTATCCCTTTAACTCTGTCTTTGTTAATAAAGTTGTTTAAGTTTTTTTAAAAAAAGAGAATCCTGCGGATAGAAAGCATTTCGACGTCACCAGAATCTGGATAGAGTTTAAATTAGCTGAAACGAAAGCAAAGATCCCCATGGTTTAGCCCCCTGGATTCAGTGATTAGGTCTAATCTAAAACCGATCCTTGCCGCGGAATAAAGGCGGGGCCTATCGACCACTCCCCATAGAAAATTTCAGAAAACCGGGCAGAGAAAATTCAGAAAAACCAGGCCACCCCCACCAAGCGCAAGCGCGCAGAAAATGACATCGAATCGAGCCGATCGATGGCGCGGCTGATAAAGTTAGCCGAAAGCCGAGCCGCCGGAGAACGGGCCGCGCCGCGTGCATATGCAATCCAAACCAAGAGGCTGCCGTGACGTGTATGCGTATAGCTCCAGCAGCCAAGTGCTACCAAACCCCGCTTCCAACGGCCGGCCAGAGAGCGACACCGTGGTAAAACGACGGAAGAGAAAAGGAGTAGGGAACAAGGAAGCTGCTAGAATCAATTTCTTTGTATATTGCACGTTTGCAAATATCTAGACTGGGTACACAACTTGCATATATAACAGAGTAGCACATGGATTGGACTCCGGCCGTACTACCTCCGCCCCCCTAAATAAATTAATTTCTGATTACGAATTTGGATATAACATAGTTAAAAGTTGGTTAATTATTTTTCAGTGATAAGCAAGGTATATATGGTATCTTCGTCAAACTTAAAATATGCTGGCTTAGTTTCTTGAGAGATGCTTATATAAATTGTGTATATGTTTATAGGGATGAGTATGCGTATATTATAAGCATCTACATTTATACTATATATGATTCTAAAACAAATTGTTTTTCTTTAAGATAGAGGGTGTAGATTGTAAGTTGTCCATGCATACATGCATATGTCAATCTTCTCTTCGCCCATGCATATATACTTGTCAAGCTCCTAGGTGGTCCAATGGCTGTCCTAGTTTTCACCGCTAGTGTTAACACTATTGAAGACGGAAAACCCTTAAATATAAATAACTACGGTCTAAGGAGTAGTAGGAAATTTTCAGCCTCATCTTTTGGCTTATGCTAGCTTATACTTATACTTATAAGCCAAATTTTAAATTTTCAATCTTAAATTTGAAGTTAATTTTGGAGTTTTTTTCATCGTAGCTTATTTTTCAGCTTTTGCTTTTAGATTGCCAAGAACACATATATAAAATTTTTATTTATAAATTATTTTCTATTTGTAAATATGTTGTTTCGCTTATTTCGATGGAGTCCTTTTTTGATGGTTCAATCACTGTATGCTACCTTTTACTATAAAAGCTAGTAGTTCATAAATATGCAGATAGTGAACACTGGTGTTAATGTACAATAGTGACATGTACTAATAGTATCCTAGTTTGAAATTTCAAGCTCACTTGGGTCAAAAAGAATTTTGGTAGCTGACAAATTACGCATGTTAAACGCTCCTATTACATATTCAACTGTTCAAGAAAAGGCTCTTAAAGGTTATTCCTAACAACTCCACTATTTCTTTGGCTCCTAAGCATGTGTAAAGATTAACCATCAAGCAAACCTCTGGAAGAAACATCTTGGATGGTAGTATGGTACGACCTGTAGCTTTTCTCAGGATGTTTTTCTGTCTCTCACCTGCTTCCTTAATTAACTCCTTTCCGTCCTTTGTACTTGTTGTAATGGAGTACCCTAGTTTATGCATTTACGCACCTTCTCGAAGGATTTGCCTTGCACAAACAGGCCGGGTAGGTAAAAGAAGAGTAAATTTTATAAAACTATATGGTTTATGGTTAAAGTTGTATAACGTCATATATTTTAATACTTGTCATTTAACTATATTTTGGTACTAAAATTTCACAAAACTACATTATTAACAAATGGATCCACCCATTAGATGACGTGGTTCTTTCCCTACATATATTTAGGATGCAGGCATGAAATGGTGAATGTTTCACTTAGGATAAAGCTCCTGTGTCTACATTCTAGGTGAAATATCCATATCATTTTGCGGTGGACCCGTTCGTTGATAATATAGTTTTATAAAATTTCCTAAAACTGTAATTAATTAAATGCTAAGTTTCAAAGTGTGTATATTTAATTTTAACTTAGATCATAAGATATAAAGTTTTGTGAAAAATTGACTTTCTTTTTTTAAAAGAAAAAAGACTTGCGAGTCCAGCCGAGCCGAGCCGAGCTGAAATCCATAGTAGCCACCCTCCGTGGTATATATCCACGTCTCCCTTAAACGCAACCCCTCACCCACCCATCACACACGCAAAACCACCGTCGTATCTATTGCTGTATCAAAGCGGAGACGCCAAGCCAGAGTCGACGATTCGATTAAACAAGGAAGAGGAAGAGGAGAGAGAGAGAGAGATTGGAGTGGCATTAGCGCGAGGGGGAGGCGGGCATGGGGGTGCTGCGGAGCACGCAGAGCATGGAGGCGGAGGTGGAGGAGATGCGCGCCGCGCTAGCGCTCGCGCCGCTCGGCCGCCACGGCGCGTGGAGGTCGGGGGCCGCGGCGAAGCGGGAGGCCGGGGCGGAGGAGGGCGCGGCGCCCGAGGCCCGCACCGTGTGCGTCACCGGCGGGATATCGTTCGTGGGGCTCGCCGTCGTCGACCGCCTCCTCCGGCACGGCTACGCCGTCAGGCTCGCCCTCGAGACGCAAGGTTAGTCATCGCTTGTCTGGCCCGCCCCACCCCGCCCTTAGCAGCAGCAGCAGTTGCGTGTTCGTCGAATGGGGAATTATTGCCGATGAGTTGGATGGTGTTTGCTTCGCATTTGATTTGACATCGGATCATGCCACCCGGGAGTTGGTACCAGTCTCTGTTTGTGAAATCTGTTTTGGTACACCGGCAAAATCGACTGCTTATTTTTAATGCCTGCAAAATGCAATGCAGTTCGATTCACGTACGTCTTCAATTTTAGTCAGAGAAAACAAGTTCAATTTTATTACTAATCCCTTGTCGGGCAGAAGATATCCAGTAATTTAGTCCAAACTTGTACCAATCCGATTTTCAAATTTTATAGTATGCAAAGTACCACTACCAAATTGCAGTAATAAACGAAACTTAGATTAGTTAGTATATTCATTTTGGATCATTTATGCATTAAGTCATTGTCTCTAACCCCTTTGCACCCCTTGTTTTAGTTGGTAAACCTTTGTCTTTTTTTGCTCAAATCGTATTTTGTTTCCGCATGCTTCGGTTCATGCTTGGTGCGTTGTGCTGTGGTGAACCTCACGCGATGAGCGTGTTGCACTTTGAATGCACGCACCAAAGTTCCGTTCCCTTTTTGCTATTCCTTTTTTTACGAGTCGAGGGAGAGAAAATTTTTTGAGTGACTGAACCATTTTGCCATTTTGGCACTTTTTTGTTGGAACCATTTTCAGTGAATTTTTTAGTGACTGAAGCAATTTTTGCTATTTTGGCAAAAAGTCCAATTTTTGTTCCAATTCCTGGAAATTTTTTTGAGTGACTGAACCATTTTGCTATTTTGGCAAAAAGTCCAAGGGAGTGAATGAAATTGCTTTGGTCTCCAATTTTTGTTGTTGTTATTTTTATTTGAGTGACTGAACCGTTTTGCTACTTAATTTGGAATGGGAACTTTTGCCCATTAAGATAATCAACTTCGTTCTTTGCAGTATGGAGAGCATATGACAGTAGTTGATCTCAATTCATTTTGTTTGTCTAGCCACTTCTGGTATTTGGAGGTTCCACGCATGATGTTTGGTATCTCCAGTCCTCTTTATGATGTAAAAAATATTAGGATTGGTAGCATGTTGCATCAAAAATGGTCCGCAACGTATCGCCATATATCACCTTCAGTAATGTATCTTTCACAATCTAACCAGCCAAGTCACTCCCTTTGGAAAACAAGGACCTACTAAGTCATGCGTATTAAAGGAGATGTGACATTTTTCTCCCCTGCTCGCTCACTCCACTTGTGTGACATAGGGTAATTTGGTCGGCGAATAGAGCAGAAGCAAACTTGTCAAAACAAAACAGCACAAATAAACTGCAATTTCCACAGCAGCACACAAATGTATTTGTTTCTAGTGGTGTTTACAGCCTACTTTACCTTGTAATAACTTACAAGGCACACAGGTTACAATCTCCTTTGACAACTATGAACCTTTTTGTTTTGGACAGTGGGAACCTGGGGATTGCATTAGCACAAGGATAAGGTCCTCTCTTCTTTATCAGTATGCTGATAGGTTCACCTCATCTTACAACCTTCTCAAATGGATTGTTTGGATGATTAATCCGACACCAAAAGGACTGCTGATGCACCCCTTCTTGTCCCATAGCTGTTGTCAGTTCAAAACGTGTACCATGCCAATGAATGAGGATGAGAAACCGTGGGCACTAAGTTAGATTGTAATTAATGGTAAACTGAAGTGAATTCTTCTGAATTTTTTTTTCTTTGAAGCTATCTTCTGAAACTTTTCTTTTCTATGGCAGAGGATCTGGACAAGCTGCGAGAGATGGAGATGTTTGGTGAGAACGGCAGGGACGGTGTCTGGACCGTGATGGCAAATGTAATGGACCCAGAGAGCTTGAACCAAGCATTCAATGGTTGTGTTGGTGTCTTCCACACATCATCCCTCATTGATCCAGGGGGCATCTCTGGCTACACGGTGAGTTGCTTGACCTGTGTTAGCGTTCATACAATATGTCAGATAAGTTCCCCTGCTTATTTGGTTCATCTGTGGAACAAGTATGCAATCTTGATAGTGTCATCTCTCCTACATATTAAAATGTATGAGCCACATCCACAAGCATCTTGTCTCTATTCTCTATGAATACAAGAGTGCACAATATGGGATAGGTAGATGTCATACCTCATGAATCAGGCTAACACACAGCATCACAAATCACAATCCTATTAGACTAGTAGGATATAGTTTTTAATTAAATGCATTTATAGTTAGAGTACACTTTATGCTGGTAAATACACAAATCAAAGGTAGGCCATGTGTTCTAGAGCAGTAGTGCTATATAACTGCTGAAATTATTGTTGGCTATTGACATTATGAATTGACCAATCATTTCTTCTCCGTTAATGGGCAAGACTTGAATATCTTTAACTTAAGGATGATAAGAACCAAGTCAGAAACAAAAGTATCTGTTAGCCAAGGCAACTGACTGATCTTTTGGAAAAAATATCAACTTTTTTGTGGGGCGAAAACATTATCAACTTACCATGCTGAAATATCGAAAACCAGAGAAAAGTCATTACTCATTACTGGTCTATATGTCCCACTAACACAATACAAAAGTATACAGAGAGTTTTATAGAACTTAAAATTTGTAATTAGATGCGATGATCCAACTAGGTGTTGCTCTTTAGGGCTACACGAATAAACAGTGCCTCGGACTAGGTGGTAGGTATAGCACCAAATATAAACCCATAAATAAGTAGCATAATGCTTTTAAGCGTGGACCAGTGTTTGAAACTTCAACAAACAAATTGACTGAGAGTGGTACCACGTAATCTTTATTATATCATATATGATGTTGCCATGTACTTTAGGTTCATCTAGATTCTAATCATAGATATGGTGTTTGGTTTATTGGTTCTACTCAGCATATACAGGGAAACATCTTTTAGTTTTTTTCTAATAAAGGGGGAAAATCCAGCTTACATATAAATAACATACAAGAAAAAAAAAGAGTGACTCCCTTAGGGCATCAGAGTATTGTCTGCACAATCAACACAATAGGGAGAAACAGCACAATGACATTGACACAATCCCTACGGATATTGCAAGGAAATTCAGACGTCAGTCAGGAACAGCAAAGAGATTAAACTCAACAACACTTGTACAGTTGTACCCACTACATAGGCAATCGAAGTGTTATAGGAGTCCTGAGTCCATCCTTACGCCTGACATCTTTTAGGTCTATCATACCGTATATACAGTGTGATTTGCACCTGCAGCCTATAACATTCATCCTGTGATGCATATGTTTCGAAGATATGAAAGGCAGCCCATTACTATCTCGGTTGCAGTTGAAAGCTCAGCCACTTGACGAACAGTACGAATGTTTGTTCATCGCTTCTCTCTTTTCTCAGTTGTAGTAACTAACAGCGCACTTGTCAGACTTTTTGGTCAAGACTCAAGAATGACCTGAACAAATCAAATGGTTGGGTGGTCTATTGCCTTGTTCCTTTTGACATTCCCTGCAAAATCCATACTATTTTTGCAACCGCATGTTTCACTATTCCTCCTGTTTGCAAAGCTAATCATACTAGATAAAAAAAAAAACTAACCTTTTCATATATCAGATATACTTTTGCCTTTATTTTACGATAGCTCATTATGAGGACTTAAGAGGCAGCTGTGGTTCTAGAACAATTGCTTTGCTAGATTTTTATTAGAATAGGCTTGCTAGACTTTCCAGTTTTATTATCTATCACAGAAGTAATTTAAAAATTATACTCCCTCCATCCCAAGATAAACCAACTTCGCATGGGATATGACATATCCATAGAGGTTGGTTTATTTTGAGACGGAGTGAGTATGTTGCATGCCATGATTCATTGTTAGTTGGGCAGTCAAAATCCCGTTTTAGTGAGCATGGGGCATTGCCATAGCCTTACCACCAGATGAGCCAACCAAAGAATCCGAAACTGATTGGGCATCTAATGGTTTCAGTGCACTTGCTTATTGACGTGATCCACTGATTCCTCTATGGTCCACTCATGTCAACATACATGTTGTAGTAGTAGTAGTTAAGTTTCTTCAAATATATATTTTTTTGGGCAAGTTGTAATGGGTTCTTTAAGTTTGTTGTAATCTATATTCAAAGCCTGGAACGCTGAAAACCGTATGGTCTTGGCCAGCTTCACAGAAAGAACTCTTGCAATTTCAAGTTTGTGTGATAAAAGAAAATGAGCACCGAATTGAAATGCCTTTGCTTTCCTAACTTGTCCACACCAATTTCAACAGAAACACATGGCGATTCTGGAAGCCAGAGCGGCCGAGCAGGTTGTTGAAGCCTGTGTCAGGACAGAGTCAGTGAGGAAGTGTGTGTTCACCTCATCGCTACTGGCATGCGTGTGGAGGCAAAGCTACCCTCATCACCGTCGTCGCTTCCCCGCCATCATCGACGAGAGCTGTTGGAGCGACGAGAGCTTCTGCCGCGATAACAAGGTGAGAGAGGACAAACCAATCTCGAATTCTCAAATCAATATTGCTGCGTTTAAAATTAAAAGAACATAAGAACAGCTAGGAATCGAAGCAAGCATTCTGAATTTCTAATGGCTGGGTCATGACGAACATTTTCAGCTGTGGTTTGCGCTCGGGAAGACGATGGCGGAGAAGGCGGCGTGGAGGGCAGCACGGGGCAGAGACCTGAAGCTCGTGACGATTTGCCCGGCGCTGGTCACCGGCCCAGGATTCCGCCGGCGAAACTCCACTCCGTCCATCGCCTACCTCAAAGGTCAGTCGATCTCGGCGAACTATACTACTCTCTGAATCAATCCGATCGACCGGAGCTAAGCTCTGACGGACGGCGGCGCGCGGCGGCGAACTGTTCGGTGCAGGAGCGCACGCGATGCTGGCGGAGGGCCTGCTTGCGACGGCGGACGTGGAGAGGGTGGCCGAGGCGCACGTCCGCGTCTACGAGGCGATGAGCGGCGGCGGCGCGGCCGGCGGCCGGTACATCTGCTACGACCACGTCGTCCGGCGCGGCGAGGAGTTCGCCGAGCTGCAGCGGCAGCTCGGCCTCCCGATCACCGGCGTGGCAGCTGCCTCGCGGCCCGGCTACTCCGACGACGGCGACGTCGGCGGCGACGGGCGGTTCGCGCTCTGCAACGGGAAGCTGGCGAGGCTGGTGTCCTCGCGGAGGAGGTGCACCTATGACGTCTACTACCCCGCCTCGTACGACTAAAAATTAAATGAAAGCGTCGAGTTCGTGGGTGTTGCGATTCATCTTGTACAGAATTTTGGTGCGTTAATAAACCTAGCTAGATAGAACTTGTACAGTACAAAACATGAATATGGATAGAAATTAGAAGTAGTAGAAGAGCGATGAGCAAACGCCACAGTGCGGCCGGAAGATTGCGGAGAAAGACAGCGATCTGCAGACCATCCAAAGTCGATGACTCCAACGAGCCAAACCAAAATTTTGTTCGTCACGTCTCGTAGAAAAAGCCAAGAAAGAATCCGAAGATCGGAGATAAGGCCAAAATTTTGTCAAATGATTTTGACCAAGTGTATTTGGATGGAATACTCTCAAAATCAATGGTCTAGTGGTTCAGTTCGTCTTGGGCCTTGAAGAATTGGCAGAGTGGAGATACGTCCGATTTGGGCCGAAAACGCCCTTTCGTGACGGCCCAGTAGAATTCGAGAAATCGTGGCCTCATGGGCCGAGTTAGGTCGCTGCAAAACCGAGACCGTCTCCTTCCTCCGCGCGCGTTGGCGCATTTGGTCGAGCGGCTCACGGGCGCCACTCCTTCGGCGGCGGTCGTGGCGACGACGGCGGAGATTTTGGCCGGACAGCGGCCGTAGCGCAAGGCGTGGAGCGGAGCGGGGCAGTGGCTGGGAGCCTGGGGTCGATCGCGCCTCCGCCATTGCCATCTACTTGAGGACTCCGCCTCCCGCGGCGGCTCCAATGCTCCGTCCCTGTTCCGCACGGGCTTCTGCTACTCCGGCGACAATGACTTCGCAGCCGGTTTGCCTCCTCCCCCGCTCCAATGATTCTACCCTATATTCGCCTTGTGGCTGTTTCTACTACTGTGTTGCTAGAATGGAGGGGATCCCCGATTTCCCCGTAGTCAAATCAAAGGGGTTAGGGATTCGATTGATCCCCCACCTATAGCAATGTCTGAAATTCTGATTAGTGAAGTAGTATATTTTATTATTTCGTTTCTGTTATTTTATCTACCTACTGCGATGAACATGATAATGATTCTGTTTCATCCATCTTAATAGTACTTTTTTTTTGAGAAAGAGAGGAATGGTCCCATTTCATTACCGAAATTGATAGCAGAGTGACTAGTACTACCTCGTATGTATGCATGATGCATCTAGAACAATGCATGAACACTATCCCTTACATTATCAAATTCCTACATTTCACTTCAAGAGGGAAGCTGGTACATGTCCTGATAACCATATACTATCCTTGCATAAACTGTATATATATACACCACACGATGATTGTGCAGAAAGGGGGTCGGAAGAATCACGACGACCACCCTAACCAATGAGGACCAGGAGTATAGTATTTCCTGGATCACAGCATTTCCACTCATTCAGAGAGTTTCAACATAGATCATAATCTGACATCACGTTGTTCCCAGATGGTTTGCCGATCTGCAAGCAGGATATGGGAGGGATGGTGGGGGTGGACAACTCTCCAAAGGCTTGCCAGCAGAATGGGTTGTACAGGTGATACTGTGGCACTATCAGGGGTTTGAGCTGTATTCCAGTAAGAGTGATCTCTGAACAAGGCGAGCTATCACTGCATGCAAAATGGGCAGGCTTGATTGTGAAGGTCCCCCTGATATTCTCGTACTGAACACCTAAAACCGCCACTGCTGATGTTTGGTTTCTGCAAGTTGTTCTGTCACAGTAAAATTGGTCTATTATGATAGGTGTTTGAACTTCTGACACTTGTATGTTTGAGAACCTTATGCCTTGAACCAACCCTGAACCTCCCTGCATAGGAATGTCAGTGTTTTTTAGCTCTGTGTATATGGTGGTCATTGTTGGACTAGTCACATCATCTACCAGATTATGCTTACCTGCCAAGTTTTGATTCTGACACCAGTCATTGTTTTGAACATGTTGACATCTCTTACGGTGACATTGGATACACATGCTTTTGTGTTGTACCTTCCTAGACCACCAATGCTGATCCCATGCCCTGGTCCACAGTTCACATTATGTATGTTTATGTCACTGCAGCCTGTCTGGATGGAAACACAATCATCGCCTGCATCACAGAGAGCAAATATTACTTCAGATACTTGTACTAGTGTTTTTAGCTTTCCCTTAGTCCTGAATCCTGTCGGTTTCTACAAGTGAGCACTGAACAGATCAATTGGCATGTAGTTTATTTATTCTATATGTTACCTAAAGTAATTAATTGGTAGACTTTGTATGTTTCTGTTTGATGCCGATTTCTCCCCACCAAGCCTTGCCAAAATTTGGTAACAGCTTGACCAAACAATGCCAAATTATCAAGAAATGATTTATGGAGCCAAATTGGAATGGAATTTTGTCAATATTATGAAGCCCAATGCTTGTCGTTTCTGGTTAGTGCCATCAAAATTTGGTGGGGGCGAAAGTTTGCAGCTATTGCCATCAAATCAATCAGCACCTTCTTTCTTTATTTTGGCAAAACCTTTTTTTTTGAAAAAAAATAAATCGAGAATGCAGCACTATATTCCTATCTAACATATCACATTTGAAACTATACTGGCTTACTGCTTTGATTGAGTTAATGAGAGCATTACCGCAAGCGAGGTTAGAGTGGTGAATGCTGACTTGTTTGGAATTTTGCAGGTGTATTCCATCAGTGTTGGGACTGTTCTCAGGCGATGAGATGGTCAGGTCATGAACCATTACTCCTTGACAGCTATCAAACTTGAGATGGCACTGTGAGCTGTTAACAATGGTGATACCAGTTACTGTGACATTGGAACTACCATAAAACCTCAATGCCTGCATCAATGTATGTAACCACTGTTTTAATTTGTTCCAGTAGGCAGTTACCAATATGTTCAAGTATACAAATGCAACCAAATTTTGCTTACTGTAGGTTTAATCTGTGGCATCTTCTCCAGCTCCACATTGTACTGTTGGAAAGCATTCAAGGTAAGCAATTAAATTTGTCTACTTTTGACTTGCTATAAGTGTGATTGTTATAGATGATCAGGCCTTACAGCATCAACATCATCATTGTCGTCGTCATTTGGATCTGAATAGGTCCACCATTCTTGCCCCCTACCATTTATGACACCACTTCCTTGAATTGATATTCCACTAAGTTTTGTGAATTCAAGCCATTGAAGCAAACCAGAACCCCACACTCTTGTACTGGTTTGAGCTAAAATAGTTCCATCTAGCTGCAAAATGGAAACACGATATTTAATAACAGCATCTCTACTTCTTCAATTTGTTCTAAAATCTGGATGGGTACACTATAGAAACATTCCTTTTGAGCTCACATCTTTCGACAAACAAAGATACACTCAGTTCCTGATGGTGGTTATAATATGGTTATTAAACACTGCAGGCACTATAATAATATTGGGCCAAAATGAAAAAAAAAAAGCAGCAGTTTTTAGTCAGAAAACTCCCAAGTAAATATCTCAGTTGAGTTGAAACTGATATATATATTGAATTGGTCAAGATTGTAAGGAGTGAAATACTACAACCATGTCATTTGTTGAATAAAGTATTCTGGTATATATGTTTTATTTCAAGCAACGGAAGACACTTATTCCTGTCAATGATATGCCGGAATACACATTAGGACAAGGATTAGAGTTACCTGGAACAGAATGTTTGGTTTGCAGTAAGGCCCAGAAAATGAGATTGGGCCAACGACAAACTCAAGTTCAGATGGTACAAGAACTGTAGATGCCTCCACCTTGCATGCTGCTGCCCATGCTTCTTCAAAAGCCTGAATACATAGACGATAATTAAGTTCAACCTTGTTTGGAAAGAACACTTCACTGATTGAATATGAACCCAAGTATATGCTCAGATAAAGTGTAGTCAGCAGTCTGCTATTTCTTTTAGTCATCGCTAGAACATCTTTGCAGCACGTAACTCCCAGGAGGAGAAAGGAAGCCTTTCTTATTTTAGAAAATACATTCTTATGCTACTGGTTGAATTTTAGGATAATTTTTCAACTGATAACGTGGAGTAATTGAATTCAGTGTTGATTTTCTTGATTCTTTTCAATAACAATTGGACACAGCATGAACTGACAATGGGAATCAATATAGTTCTATACTAAATTCAAGGATAGTTGTATTCTGTGATAATCAGAAAATTGCATTTGTTAGCCCATGACATTTCTGGTACAGTAAAGAAATCCAACAGATACCACAGAAATTTGTACTCTTGTCAACCATTCATCTATATGATACCAATTTTTAATAATTTAACCCCAAATCAATGCAATATCGAGTAGGATTTGTAAAGACATGTTTCTTTTCAGGGTTGCACCCAATCATGTGAGAAAAGAATAATATAAACATAAAATTCAAATCAAGCTTGTTGTGTCATATACAGTTTTTCATGCAAGATTCCTACTCTGAGTAACACATAGTGTAATATTTTCAAAGGCCGGTACGCTTCAAAGTTCCTGTTAAGCTCTTTTTAATTTTTTAAAATAGAATTTCGGCCATCTTATCACTGCAGCATGTTAATGTGAAATGTATTACCAAGGCAAAATAAACATATTCTTATGCTATAAGAATGAATTCTTCACAATTGAGAAGCAATCCCAATGGACTTAGAACTTTCTTTGAAGTTCCAGGAAACGCAGCATGCTATCAGGTATTGCAGTCTGAATTATACATTCTGCACTTGAGCCTAAAGAATGGCTAGCTGATTGTAACTGACAATAGAAACTGAAGCATATCCTAATGTTTTAAAAAACAAATGAGGAACTCTTAACCCAGAATGAATGATGCAGGTGGCACAATTTTTTAAGTTGAAAGCAGAACACTTTGAGAAGCAGTGCGGCAGTTACCTGCGTATCATCTGTAACTCCATCTCCACGGGCCCCAAAATCAACCACATTGAAGACTGTGTTCTGTGATTGGGCTGCTGGTGGCTGTGGTGGCGGCAGCAATGGAGGCAGCGGCGGTGGCGGAGATGGCAATGTATGACCACTTCCACTGCTTGGTGGTGGCATTGTTGGAGCCGGATGTCCTTTGCCCTGGACAGGTCTTTCGCTCGGGTTGACGGGCACATTCGGGCTTGTACTCGGGCTTGGCTGGTATGGATCCTGATTCCCTTTGCCATATTGCTTGTGGGAATTGTTGGTCTTTCCTTTCCCTTTTCTTCGCAGCAGAGTGCTGGAGGATGCTCTGTTTTGCCTCCAGTGCTTGCCACTTCTTGCGTCAGATAAACTGACATTGGAACACAGAACAAGCAAGACAAGGAGAAGCAGGAAGGTGAGACCTTTAATCCCAAGCCCCATCTTTGCTTTTGTAACTTTGTATCTCTCTTGTTCTGAGAGAACAGTGTATGTACGTGTTTGGAAGGAAGATAGGTGGGTGAGGGAGAGGGATAGAGTTTGTGGCTTTGAGGAGGGAAAGAGGGGGTTTAAATAGAGACCTCCATTGTCATCTTTGCTTCCTCAAGGCTGGAGCAGAGAAATCGGAATAAAAGGAGGGCTTTTCTTTGGGACCCCAACTCACGTGCATGCTTGAGAAGCATGAATTGCATTCTTGCAGCTGCACGGAGAATTAAAGGTGTATACTTGTAGTTTGTGCTTTTGTGCATCACCATCACAGTTTTATCCCTTGTGGTTTCCTTTATGGTGTTCTTTTTGTGAGAATCGGTTGGAGTAATCACACGCCCTCATTCCTCAAGGCTTGGCCCTGCCCACTTGCCATAGTTCAGAAAAACTAGACAAGACAGCTTATCTGTACTTATGTACTAACGGTTCACGGGGTAGGGAAGTGGCATGTCTTTGTGCCTACATGGAATCATTTGCCACTAGTTTATTCTTTGGGTAGGGCATGATAAGGCAGCCAGGTGATTAAACTGACAACATGCTTTATATACCAGTTTGTTTACCATTGTCAGGCTATTCTTGTCACAATTTTGTCCCAGACTCCCAGTCATGAGAATTTACCTATATGTGGGTCTTTTTTCATGCATGCTTCTTCTCTAGGAAATAACCCGTGAGTCTCATTAATACAACTACTACTGTTCAGGTATCCACCTCATGATAGACCTCGCTTTGAATCCAATCATGCCCTTTACACGCAGGAACTCCCAAATGCAGGTAATACTATGTACTATGTTGTAACTTTCTTTTACAATTTTCTTAACCATATTTTTTGTGAGGAATTTTCTTAACCATATTATTTTAACAGAATTTATAGAACAATTTTGCTTCTTGAGTGGCTTTACATGTTCGTCATTGCGCGCAACCTCAATTTTTATTATTGCGGGCAGACACTTGAATGGATGGCTGGCTGGCCCCAAGAGTCATGGGATGTGGGAAGCATGCTAAGAAGATCCAACATATCCCTCTTGGCAAGTGGAAGGTACACTTGGCATGACCATTTTCTGATTTTCAGCATACAATGTAATGTGCATTTATAAGCTTATTAGAGTTCGGGTTTTCATCAGGATCACTGGTTTCCTACTGTATGGCTAACCAATTGCCGTTCACATGCTCGCAGGGATTTGTCACGGGAAGGAGTGGCCGGACCAACTGCCGCTACCGGACTAGGGAGAAGGGCCCCCCCCATCCCAAGTTGCCCAACGCCATTACACCCAAACATAAACAAAGCCACCAACCTCTCCTCTCTAGTATGTACCATCCACGTCGCCCTGCTAAATCTCCAATCTCCAATCAATCATCCATTCATCCATGCAACCACCCGGCCGCGCGTGCTGGCACGCATCAGCACCACTCATTTGCCGTCTTCAACTCTCACAAGTAAGTGGATGCGTACGTGCGTGTTCGTGGCTGCCGAATGTGGCAGGTCATCTGCAGAAAAAAAATATCCCTGCATACACCAAAAACACATGTTGCGTTATTGGCTAGCTTGCCACTCCTGCATCGTGTTGCATTGTTTGCTAGCATGCAATTCCTGCAGCGTGCGCCACTACATGCCACTGTCCATGGATTAACATTGGATGGATCCATTAAACTTACACAGGCTTAATGCCTTAGCAGCTTGCATATGTGATAATGTGGCATTTAGCTTACACGGAAACAACATTTGTAACATTGTCATGCTTCAGGTTTTCGCCATTATGTATATGGCCAAGATAGTCGTCACCGGACAGGAGCTGTTAAGCAAGCTTACTGTCAGCAGCTTGGGATGGAAGGTATGAATACTTCTTTCTGCCACATTTTTCCATTCAAGGCCAAAACCGTTAACATCTATAGCAAGTCCTTCCAAAGCTGGACTCGAGCTGACATGGTCATCGTAAGATCACAGCCAATCTGCTGTGTCCTCTGCGTTAGTTGTACCAGTTGCAACAAACCCTTAAACTATGAGTAGTAACTACTACTAGCACCCATAAAATAGCAGCAGTTACGTACCAATAAACATATCTGCATTCAACTTACATAAGTTTTCTTCTGTACCTGAATTGTTTGGACTTGAGTGGATTAACACATCAGGCAGGCAACAGAGGAGGAGGTGTCCTAGCTTTTGTTGGCTCCTGAGACATGCGTGCAGAGGATTGGTGGCTGTTCGTCTCTCGCGTTCACGGGCTGCTGCGTCCTGCCAAATCGGCCCGATTCGCCTGCGCTGTAAGTGTCTGTCTCTTCCCCCTTCTGAACATTATTGAATGAGACACCAGCCGCACATCCAATCCACCATCGTATTATTGCAACGCCCTCGCTGAATTTTCAGTAGTCTATTACTACCTCCATCCTATTGTAAGTGTAACCATGGTTTTCCGCGTCTAACTTTGATCATCCGTCTTATTTGAAATTTTTTTAAAAAAATTAAAAGCATAAGTCACGAGTAAAGTAGTATTCATGTTTTATCATCTCATAACAACGAAAATACTAATTATAAAAAAATTTCAAATAAGACGAACGATCAAAGTTGGACGCAGAAACTTATGGTTGCACTTATAATGAAACGGAGGGAGTACATTACAATCTGCAATTTGCTGGTCGAGTTAGAGATAACACGAGTTTGTTGTCAGTACGGGTAGCAATCTAGCAGAGTCTTGATTGGGATATGCCAACAATTTGCTGATGCGCTGCAAGAGTACACTAGAGCAACGTCCAAGGCCGGCCGGCCGGCCGGCATTAGCCGGCACAGCACGGGCCACGGCCAAAGCTCGTCTCTGGCTTACTCCGGCCAAGTTGCACCGGCGATTCATCGAATCTGCCGCACGGGTGCATGTCGCCGCAGTAGTTCGCTGGTGCCCGTGATAGATGCGGCCGACTGGCCGAGCAGCCAGCTGCCTCCCAAGTTGGTAAGAATTGGTGGGCCGTTATTTTGTTTGGGCTGGATTTGCACGTTGGTGCCGGGCGCATCTCAAATCCTGCATGGGCCAGGCTGTATTATCTGGTAGGCCATGATATGTTCCGGCCTTGTGGCCTTGTGGGACAGATTTTTGGATCAAATTTGTTCACCTGGGTACCTGCTCTTGGTCAAAGTTGGTGGCAGGGCAGCAGCATTTTAACAAATGGGAATGTGCAGACACTGACGGTGGTCCCCACCCAGTAGAACATATATAGGGCCTACTGACCTTACTACTCCAGCTCAACCGTATCTATGGTTCTCTATACCTACTCTCGCATGAAAAACCACGACAGCTGAGCTACCTCGGACGTTGAGCTTCCCTACACTCTACGTACGTACAGTACTCCTATACAGCAAGAGTTCTGCTCCAGTACGTAGAACTCCTATACAACAAGAGTACTGGACCTACGGCTTGTGTAGTGTGTACTCTTCCCTTTGGCACGTACTAGTCGATTACTGTTAGGGTGGGGTACTGCCTACGTGGGCCAATGCCTTCTGGCCACCTAGGAGATGATGTTGACGTGGCGAAGGAGGTTGGGTGTGGGATGACTGGTGGATAAATCGCTACTGCGTGTGGGGCAGTAAGAGCAGGTTCAATAGTATCGCCGGTCGATATCCATGTCCATATCAGCTAACAGTTAATATATTGAGCAAATTATTCAGTACATCACAGCTCTCAAGAAACATTTTTTTTCCTGTGGGACCCAACTGACAAGCATCTTTTATAGCATTCATGTCACTGCGTGTGGACCCATGACCATTTTTAAAAGTTGAAAATTCCTATCTTGCAGGCTTTTCACTTTGAGCTCACGTAGAGTTGGCGATAAAATAGTCGCCCGTTCATATCACCTCTCTTCTTCTCAGTTTTGCTGAGATGGCGGTACTATTGCTGGTTATTGTACCTGTTCTAATGCCGCTTGGCTGGCATGCAGAAAACATCGGTCACTCGGACACCACCAAGGGTCAAGGAAAGGGAGAATCAGCATGTCTCAGTTCTCAAGATGATTTGCAGAGCTCACTGGGATCCTCTGTGCCTGCCAGGATTTTCGTCAAAGAGATGCAAGTGCTAAGTATATCATGGTTATCCCTCTAAGACCAGGTACAATAGAAGATTATTAGCCAGCTGCAAATATATTTTAATAAGATAAAAGACGAGAGAGAAGAGCAGCGGGCTACAGATCTGTAACCAGCTGCAGGCTGCAGCACGGACTTAAAGACGCAATGTGTGCATGACAGGTGCGACCATATATAAATAGTATAGTAAGCAACTATTGTATTAATTGTCTATTAGATCGGCTATAGATGAATTGGAGGTAGTAGTGGGCTATATTATTAAACTTGCTCTAAGAGCGAGTACAATAGCAAGCTATAAGTTAAGCTGTAAGCATATGTGGAGAAGAGAAGAAAGAAGAGAGAAGGAAAGCGGGCTACAGATTTGTAGCCAGCTGCAGCACAGACTCCAATACATTATGTGTGTATGAGATGTGGGATCATATATTAATGGTGTAGAACGAGTATAAATAGCATGCTACAAGTCAGCTGTAAGTACACGTGGAGGAGAGAAGAGAAGAAAGAGAAGTAAAGCGGGCTACAGATTTGTAGCCAAATGTAGCACGGATTCCAATACGTTGTGTGTGTATGAGAGGTGGGAACATATATTAATGATGTGTATATGCTTATAGGTAACTATTGTATGAATGAGCTATTAAATTGACTATAGATGAATGAGCTATTAGATTGGGCAACATATCCTATGCACACAGGCCCTCACGTGTACACACGTGCACACCAACTAAAAAATGTCACCAAAAAATCTAGAAAAAATCATACACATACTTTCAATTGTATTACACCTAGGGTTAAAATCTTAACGTCAAATTCATTATATTTTAGCCGTAACAAAAAAAAACAAAAAATCTGACAGTTTTAAGGTTACAATTTTGTCAGAATTTTATCTTTTTTGTTATTCTCTATGTAAAATGAATTTGAAGATGCGACTTTGCACGTAGATGTAATACTATTGAAAGTATATGTATGAATTTTCCTAGAATTTTTTGTGATAATTTTTAGTTGGTGTACACGGTGTGTACACGTGAGGGCCTGTGTGCATAGGATACGCTCACATTAGATTGGCTATAAATGAATTGGAGCTAGTAGTTAGATATACTATTAAACTTGTTCTAAGAGTAAGGATAATGGTAGAGCTCAATTACTAATATTAGCTCATCTTAAATCTAAATATACAGTAATAGATTAGTTATAAGGTTGGCTACAATTTTCTTCTCTCCTCTCTCTATCTCTTAGAGCAAGTATTGTCTTATAAATGTATATTGTGGTGCAGATTTTAAATCCTATAAATGCTTATATTTATAAGAGTTTTATAAACAAAATGCTTATGTTTTGGAAGAGATGAGTATTTTGGGACGGAGGGAGTATATAAGGAACCAGGAGAATTCCTGCGGGTGAGGTAGACAGAAACAAGAGGAGTACAGAATTTGCATGGGTGAATGTCGTTGTATACCCTAGCAAATAGCAGCAATACATGAGGTAGGGTACAAAGAGGTAACTGCAAACTGCGTACCTCTAACTATCTCAAAAGATGCTCTCCCTGTATATCTCTCGTGCTTACCGCATAAAACCATTCTTAAAGCAATCTCGAGGCCTTTTTAGGCGACAGCCTTTTGAACGACGATCTCCTTGGAACAACCAATTGATAATTGTCCTCTGATGCATTGTAAACAATGTGCTCGCAGTTGTACTACGCTAATCTACTGCTCGTACTTAATCAATTGATGGTTTAGCTGAATGTTTTGTGATCACACGTGCACATCCATGTGAGTTTCAAGTTTGTCTAGTGCGGACTAGAGGTTGGGCTTGATAATGTTGCATTCTCTCCTACTGGAGTATAGTACATTTATAATTTTATTTTCACCGGTTTTTTCACCATCACATTTTAGGAATAGATAGCATAATCATTAATTACAACTTGCGGTTCATGACTCCTAGGGGGTGTTTGGGAACTAGAGACTAAATTTAGTCCCTCTCACAAAAGTACAAGTCCCTATGGTAGGGACTTATGTTTTTGTGAGAGGGACTAAAGTTTAGCCCCACTTTAGTCCCTCCAACTAAACACCACCCTAGAGTCTTGACTTTATACTACGCTATTCTTTGAACTTTCTTTTTTTGTGTAAGGCATTTGAATTGGAAATTTCATACTTTATGAATTTAATCAACTGTTAACCAAGATATAAGTACATTTAATTTGCAGTACAAACTATACCAATAGGTACATACTCCCTCACTCATAAATATTGGTATGCATAAATTAGGAATAAGAGAAAAAAGATTCTCTTCCAGTCATCTTATTGATTAAGTGTTTGTTTACTTTGTTGTCAATTTCAACATTACCAAATTTTAGCAATGCTTTAATTTTTATAAGTTTTGACGTTGTCAAATTTTGATAGTGTTGGATGTAGTTTGATGCCTTTCTAAAATTTGGTAGTGTTTTTGTGAGAACCAAGTTTTGAAACTACTAAAATTTAGTAAAATGATATTGGTAAGGTAATGTTTAGTTTGTTACCCTACCAAAATTTACTAGGATCGAAAGTGATAATAAAATGAACGTACCCTAAATTTTGAGCTTTGAATTGCATGTATACCCCTCTTACACAATTGATTGGCTGAAAATGCTTGACCTCCCGTGCATTGAAATCATTGTCTTGAATGTATTCGGGAACAGATGGGGGTATTCAAATTAGTTTTGCATGATATTGGTTTCAATTATTACTCCTGTACTACTTATTCTATGAAAAGTCCATGTTAACGTTTAATTTTGAAGAAAGTTTTAAAATATGTAGTTCTGTAATAACGTTAGCGTTAAATCTATAATTTTGTGATATAATATCTTTAATTTTTAGTTTTGTGATAGTTTAATCAAAGTATATGTGGTTTTGTGAAGTTTACTCTAAAATTAAAGTTTGTCATACAAAGATATAATCCAAAAGTAGTATAATTTTTTTTTGAAGACTCGGATAGCACTAGAGACTAGAGTCCATGTGTTCATCTAAAACAGACCTCAGGGAGGGGAGGAAGGCAGGAAGCACTGATCTTCTCCGACACATGCTATTCTTTCCATTTGAAGTGTCGGAATCCAGTGCACAAATCAAAGAGCTTTGATCAAGACAGACGATTAGACGAACCCTTGAACGCCATGAAAAAGATTGCGTGAGCTCCCATGCACCACCGCATCCGTATCCAAGCTAGCTAATCCGTGGCCCGGGCCTGCTTTTCCTCGTGAACCTGAGCTATATGCCCCTTTCCGGCTCGTTCTTTGACTCGAGGAGATCGGAAGAAGGAGAAAGATCAATCGATTCGATGGGTATCCGTTGATCATCTGGCCGCCCGCTACTCCTATCTCATTGCATAGTTGCATTGGTGCACGCATACCATACAAATGCATGATTATTCATGGCCACCGATTCGATGCCTGGAGATTCGTGTTATTCCAAAAGGGAAACCGGTCGATGTCCATGAAAAGCAGAGAGCAAGAGAGAGAAATTTTGTGTGTGGATGTGTGTGTGTGTGTGAGAGAGAGAGAGAGGGGTCTTGGACCGACCGGTGCGCACTTTGGACTGGACATTCGAAATGCACAGTTCTCTTCTGCTGCTGCAGCGAAGGCTGAGCAATTCTGCTGCACTAGCTAGCCTTCTGTTCTGTCTCAGATGGCCTTTTGGTTTTCACCCCCCTGCTTCGCGCTAATCCTTGAGCTTGTAGCTCTCGTTTTGCTCCTTTGATCTTTTTCTTCCTTTGATGCTGCTCTGAGTTTTGGGGCAGCCTTCGAGCAAACACAATCATACGGCTACGAAAGTCCTCCTGATGCCTTCAAGGGAATAAAAGATGGCTTTCCTTAGCAATTTAAAATTAAATGTTAGATAAATAAACTACATTTAGTATCTTAAAATCCTGACTACTATCTCCATCCCAAAATATAAAGGATTTTAGCTGGATATGACACATTCTAATACAATAAATCTGGATAGGTAGTCTGTCTAGATTCATTGTACTTGGATATATCACATTCACCCAAAATCATTTATATTTTAAGACGGATAGAATATTATAATCCGAGTTGCACAAAATCATAGTGATTTTAGCACGTGGCAAGTAAAACGGATAATAGGGTAGTTTTGTAAAATTTTAGAACCATAATATTCGGTTACGTGACTTGATAAAATCACTGTGGTTTTGTACAATTTGGATCAATAAAAAACTTAATAAACTAGGATGAAATTTTAAAATCAACTTTAAAATTATATTTTAAAATTCAAATTGTAGTCTTATAACCCGAAAGGCAAACGGTGGACGACTAAAAAATTGAAGGCAGCATATGTCACGAGATTAGCCTGTGATCTCTTCCTCCCTTTCGAAACGAAACTGTGCATTCGTACAGCGGGTGGAATGTGCTACGTACAGGTTCGGTTAAGCAGAAACAGAGAGGGGGCAGTAGTAGTATCATGGAGCGGCGTGCGCGTTAACAAGGTACAGCAGCGTGTGGGTGCATCACGAGCTGTACCCCCCGCTACGTGTTTTTTCTTTCTTTCACGGCGAGACGTGACACTGCTGCTCGTTTTCCCACTGGCGCGACGCAAGCAAAAGTTTCCCAAAGCCGGCGGCCGGAGGCGCAGGGGACCAGGGACATCCAGCCCCGTGCCCGCGCCCGCGCGCCACGCACGAAATCAGCGTGTACCCCCCGGTCCCGTGACGTTACTGGACTAGCAGCAGCGGCAAGGAGTAAATCTGTTGCGATGCCGGTACACGAACACGAACGTACTGGTGGTACGGAGTCTACGGACTGCGTGGTGGTACACGGGACGAGTAATATTCTCATGCATGCTGCTGCTGGTGGTGGCGCGCGATGGATCAATCACGTTGCACGCGCCTCGACGCGACGCCAGCGGATACGTACGTCTTTCCGGTGGCGCGGCAGGGGCAGCGGCAGCAGCAACAATCCGGTGCCGCGAGCGCCTCGTGATCCGCGAGGCAATACAAGTATTCCTTCCCTATACTCGCTCATCACAAGTGGAGGAGGGGAGGCGGGGCAATAGCTGCTGCTGATATCGGAGACTGTTCCGCGGGTCACATGCCGCGGCTTTTGACCGGACGCGTCGTCGTCGTCGTCGTCGTTGTCGATGGTGTGGTGTGTTGTTGATGGGTGATGGGTTTGCGCCGCTGCATGCCAGTGCGAGGCAGAGCGGCAGCGAGCCTGCGACGCTGCGGCTAGTTCCCCCTGCGACGCTGGATCTCCGGTCATGTTAGCATGACGTAGAAGGCGCGGAACAGTCACTAGTCGGGGGTCGTCATTGCCATATATGACGCGCCTGCTCGCTCGATTTCGACGCCTGTTCCAAGGAAGGACCCCGGTCACCAACCCACTCGGGGCCGGGGCATCTTCCTCATCCCCTTGCCTGCATCCATTCGTCATTTGATTCGCTTCTCTGAGGGCACCCACGATAGTTATCTATAGGCTCTTTATAAGAGATATATATCAGCATATTTTTCTACTTGGAAGAGATTAAATGAAAAGAGAGAGCAAAGCTAGCTACTAATCTGTAGATAGTTTATAGAGAAAAACGAGACAATAGATTAGAGAGCTATAGATACCCATATAGATATACTATTAAGGTGGTTTACTATTAATATTGTCTATTACCGACATGTACATGTTTTATAGAGAGCACCTTATTTTACCATTACGGGTGCTCTGAGTATCTACTACTCATACAAAAAAATATATGAATATCTACTATTTTCATCTCATAAAAAAAATAACCTACTAGTGAATGTGAAACATTTTATTAATATAAAAACATATCCAGGTTTATATAGTATTAGAATATATCATATTTGATACTAAGTTGATTTTTATACAACAGAGGAAGTACATATGTCCAGGACTTACCAAATCGTTTGGGATAGGGTTACCGTCACACCACGGTTTGACCGTTACCGCGAGTTATACCCTGGTTTCAAAAATTAAAAAAGGTTATTGCACATCATAACCATGATATATCAGCACGGTTTTGTAAATCCTCTCTCTATCTCTATGGAATACTACTCTTCCAATTTTTCCATTACATCAAAACTTTCCTATACATATAAATTTTCAACTTTTCCATCACATCGTTCCAATTTCAACCAAACTTTTAATTTTGGCGTGAACTAAATGCACCCTCAATCTACTATGGGTCAAGTAGAGACATGCCCTATAAATATCAACATATTTAGAAATACGATAATTACCATATTATAAGAAACTGTAATTTTCACAAGAATACGGTAAATACGGAAACGAACGGTAAAACAGTAAAACTATTTCCGTTTTTATTTTCATATATTTTTTTATCGATTATCATTTTCATATAGCTCGACTGATAGAAAGTCAAAAACGGACCCTCCCTACTTGTACTCCGTACGTTGTAGTACGAGTACACTCCTACGTCTCTCTCTTTCTCCGTGTCTTCGGGCGTGGATGGTGTGCGCTAGCTATAGTAGAGCTCCGGGATAAGTGCGGCGTCGCAGATGGCAGAGACGGGGTGATATCGCAGCGGTCTGCCTCGACCAGTCAGTCCATCTAGTCGAGCCTCAGCCTGAACCTGCCGCCCTGTCACACACAGCGCTTCGCACCAGCCGCTCACTCATTGGCTACTCGCTGTACTCCACCCCTTTGCATGCCTTCGCATCTGTTCTCGTGCACACACGCCCTTTCCACCCCTATATTCGTTCCATCATCATAGCCTAGCTTAACCAGCATCTCGTTGCAATCTCAGGAGGTGTTTTGATTCAGGAGCTTGAAATTTTAACGTGTTACAGTGCATTGGATATCGGATATTATGTTCAGATACTAATAAAAAATTAATTACAGAATTGATTAATAAACCACGAAACAAATTTATTAAGTCTAATTAATCTGTTACTCATAAATTATTAAATCATGGAGTAATTAGGATTAAAAATTTTGTCTCGTAAATTTAGTCGTTATATGTGTAATAGATGTTTTTAGCCTATATTTAATACTTTATATATGTGTTTAAACGTTTGATATGATAGGGTGAAAAATTACGGGCGGGATCGCCTCAGATTATCTCAGCCATATCCTATATAACCTATGCTAGCTGCTCTTCTAGTCCAACTGGTAGAGTGTTGTGAATAGCCAGTTCAGTTCATCAGTTGATAGGAGCCATGCTTCACCATTACTACAGCGGCGGCGCCGGCCATCATCAGGACGTCGCTGCAGCTGGTAGCCCCGGCGACATGGCTTCCTCCACCTTCTCGCTCTTCTTCCCGATGTCCAATGGGCAGTGTTGGCCGCCGTCGACGGTGGAGGAGTCCGCGGCCTACGACGACCACAGCACCGTCACCACCTCTCCTTCCTCGCCTTCGTCGTCCTCCACCGGCTCCGTCGACTGCACGCTCTCGCTCGGCACGCCGTCGTCTCGCCGCGCCGAGCCCGTCGCGGCGGCGGCGCCAGCGGCAAACCATGGGGCGCCCGTGCCGGCGCATTATCCGTCGCTGTCAGCGGCGACCGTGTCCTGGGACGCGACTGCCGAGTCGTACTATTGTGGCCAGCAGGGGAGGCCGGCCACCGGCGCCGCCAAGTGCGCCGCCGGCGCCGGGCACGACGCGCTCCTCGACCGCCGCTGCGCCAACTGCGGCACCGCGTCCACGCCGCTCTGGAGGAACGGCCCTCGCGGACCCAAGGTTCGTCGCCGGCGACGCTCGCTCTCGCCGTCGCTGTTCTCTATCTCTGCAGTTCACTTCGCGGTTTCGCCGACGTACGTCGTGTCGCTGACATTGCCGCCGTCGTACGTTTCTCTGCAGTCGCTGTGCAACGCGTGCGGGATCAGGTACAAGAAGGAGGAGCGGCGCGCGGCGGCGACGACGACGACGGCCGACGGCGCCGCCGGATGCGGCTTCATCACCGCGCAGCGTGGACGCGGGTCGACCGCGGCCAAGGCGGCGCCCGCCGTGACGACGTGCGGCGAGGAGACGTCACCGTACGTCGTCGGCGGCGGCGGCGGCGGCGGCGAGGTCGCGGACGCGGCGTATCTCGCCTGGCGGCTCAACGTCGTCCCACCGGCGGCGACGGCGACGGCGTTCTCGGTGTGGCCGGAGCGAGCTAGCCTCTACCACTACAACTAGCTATAGGCGATTAACTAGTGTAGCATTAGCGTTGGGGAGAAGGGAAGCTGCACCGTTTTTTTGGGGAACATTTTGTACGGTCGCACGCTCCCGGATTGATCGAACTGTATGCATCTGCTGTGCTGTGTTGCACGCTAGCTAGCTAGATGACTCTGATCTTGAAACGAACCGTGATCATTTCATTCATTTGGAATGAACATGTAGCTGTGCAAGGTCATCTTGCTCGGAAAATTCATAATCTTCCAATCTCTTGTGCTGCTACTACTGCTGCATCTCAATTCTGACGCGCCAATAAGCAAGTGAAGAGAAAAGGAAAATGTTTTAAACCTTTTTTGGCTACTATACTTGGTTTTCAAGGCTAAATAGATTAGGAGAAAATGGCCCAATTGGGCCGGAAACTCCATCGAGCCCAATGGTTATGTGGGCTGCACAGAATGGGCTGTCCCAGTAGATCGGAAGTACGGAACGGCTGAAATCTTGTAAACCGAAGGGGTTCGAAGATTAAAACTCGGACCCTCCTAGCCTTGATTTTCTTTCGCGGATTGACACGCCGAGTGATTAGAATTCAGGATTAGCGAGTTGGAGGCTGAGTACAAACCCTTTTTGCCTCTTGGACAGCGCTAGGAATTTTCAGCATCGTGCACCGACTATTCTACCCTGAACTTCTGAAGAGCGACGAGAGCCTGAACTTCGAAGCGGTGTTATTTTAAACCCTTTTTTTTCCTTAAGACCTTCGAATTTAAGACCTTATTTTTTCCTTCACATTTTAAATTTAAGAGTCTTAAGACCTTCGAACTTGCAACCAGTAGAGAGGAAAATCAAATGCACATAATCAGAACTAACAACCCTCAGCTATATATTTGCTCAAAATTCATCATACGGCATGACATATTGGCATCTTCATTGTTCCATCCATCCACATGGCGTGCGTGACAACTTGCAATGGTCCATTATATTGTCTCTTGCTACTGCTCCATTCTATATTTCTATTGCACATACATGAACACATGATACAAAATTACAAATGCAACCAATACACGCTTGCCTTAGATACACATGAACTCAAGAATTCAAATCTTGATGCCTAATCCGATAGCTCACGGAGCCAAATCTGTTGCCGACTGACGTGCACCAGGCTGATCGCCAGACAACGTTGGCCTGAGCTTCACCGGAAAGAAAATGCAATTTCCTCAAGTGTTCTTCCTTTAGTCTCCGGCACCCACAGGCATACGAAAACGAGGGTCCCGGCACACACAGCAGCATAGATAGCAAATGTTCCTGAAAAAAAAAAAAGAGCATACATAGTGACATGAGCCTGGAAGGAAAAGCTTGCATTTTCCATGCATTCGATTGTGTGCATGTGTGCATGCGTCATGCAAGAGAGAGAGAGAGAGAGACCTCCATTGCTCCAGCTTAACATCAAGCTTGCTGTCATCGTAATGAGCCAAGCCGTCAACCAGTTTGCAAGGGTTGCAACGCTTCCAGCAAGGCTCTTGATATTTACAGGAAGAATCTGAAGGCATGCAAGGCAAATACATCAATCTCCCAGTCAAATTCAACAATAAATTTGCTCTAGGCCTTCAGTAATAATCTCAGCTAATATTAGCAGGAAGGATTATACAATACCTCAGACATTATGATCCATGGTATGGCTCCCAAACCAAGAGAAAATGAAATCACAAATGCCTGTGATATAACATAGAAGGCAATAAGCGCTTCTGCCAACAATGAGAAAAGAGAGATGCACATAGAACTTCAACTAACCACAAGCCCGACCAGCGAAAGCATACTCATTACAGAGTATAAATGAGAACCATTAGTTATGTTGTCCTGTTTCATGATCGATAGTAAAATATGTTACAAAGGGAATATAATATCAGGTAACACAATCAAGATTTAATTGAACGAAACTAGACAAGCAGCGAAATACAAAACATTAAATATAGTACCAAATAAATTTTTTAAGTGGCAAAATGACAATACCTTCACAAAAAATGACACAGAAACAACAACAAGAGTAATGGTCATCCCTGTAGTAGAGATCTGGAAAAAAAATAAAAATAAATAAATTATATATTCTTCGAAAGTAGCATGCCTGAAAATTAATGGGGATGCAACTAACAATGAGGAGGAGTCGTCGACCAGCTTTGTCAGTCAACCAAGTTGTCACTCCAGTAGCAACCACCTAACATGGTTAGATTTTGTTAAGTATATGAAATAGAATGTCCACATTTGTACAAAGTTGATAAATGAGACATGGATTTAACTCATAGGAAAAGCATACCTGAACAACCCCCAGACCAAATGTTGCTAGATTACTATTCGTAAGACCTGTATAGGAAGAATTTTGTAAGATATCATGCTTAACAAAGTTCTAAGCTACTGCCATTTTTGTGGTATTAAAGTAAAATATTGTGATAGGAGCATCATGCAAACATAAATCACATAACAAATGGTAGCTTTGCATTTGCCTCAGGAGCTCCAAATATCCAAATTAAACTGGTATTATATAAGCGGAAGACTTATGGCTGGTTTTCAATTAATGTCCTGTTCAGATGCACAGTGCAAGTCTTGCTAACTCCACGAGTATTTTATTATTAAAGCTCAATAAAGATTGTTCAACTAGTTATTATATTTTTTTTTCTAAAAAATAGCTTTGGAAAATCCAGAGCAATGACAGAGCAGAGCAGAGCCTTGGCAATAATCGATTTTGACATTTGTTTTTATCACACATTCACTTGTCACAGAGTCCTGAGGTATGTGTCCTAAACTAGCACGTACAAGCATGTCATTTCTTAAAACGAAGTCTCATTATATCCTCCAGAACATACCGGCGGCTTTGAAGATACTAGCAGCATAAAATAGAATGCCATTCACACCACTTAACTGCTGCAGTACAAGGAGACCAATTCCTATCTGAAGAGATAAAAACAGTAAGCAAAAAAAGGAACAATAAGGTATCAGAGAAAAAAATATATAATTGGAAGCAACAAACCATTAGAGGTACACTATATCTCTTCTGCTTGATATCTGCAAATCGTATTGTCGTCCTCCTCCGTGATGATTGAACTGTTCTCTATGTAGAAAATGTGTAAAAATTTATAAATCACATTTCCTTATGTTACATTGCCACACAGAAATAGGATAAATTCCCCACAGTCCGTATTGGTTGAGGTAATTGACAGGTGCAACATAAAGAATAAAAATGTCCGCACCAGGTGCATATCACTTAACTACAATAAAATGAAGCCTGGTACAGATGGTTACCTTTATTTCATTTACTTCTACAGCGATGTCTGTTTCAAATCCTCGCAATACTTGCAGCGAGGATTCAAAATCCTCCATCTTTCCCATTTTTGCCTAACATTATAATCTGTTCTATTTAGATCCTGCTGTAACTGTTAACAAAAAAAAAAAAAGCAATATAGGGCAACACTCACCAGCCACCTTGGTGATTCAGGGATAAAGAACAATCCAGGTATCAGAATTGAACATGGTAAAATACCTAAGAAACGTAAAAGTAACAGTAAAGATTTAAGGCAATATTTTGTATCAACGAACCTAACAACTTAGCCAGACTGATATGCATACGCACTTTCTATCATAATAAGCCGACAGCTGAACACAATAATACATGATAATTTATCTAGCTTACCGAGAACGGAGAGAATTCTCCAGGGAACAAACATGCCTAACAAGTAGGCAAGCAATATGCCAATAGTAACAGAAAGCTGAAAAACAAATTATGAACAGGGTTAAAACCTGCAACAAAAGCACAGACTAGCGAAAATAGATTGATATTGTCTCTTGTTCAAAATATGACCTGATTGACTGAACCAAGAGCTCCTCTCATTGTTTGTGGAGCAATTTCTGCTATATAAACTGGCACCTGAGACCATGAAACAAAGGTTTTAATCAGAATACTTTAAAGCCAAAATATCTCTTTAAACAAAAAGGTGTTGTTGAACAGTGGATGCTTAGTCTGGAAAACATAAAACAAGTTGAAGTACTACTAGCTATGTTGTTTTCATGCAAGGTAAATACTGAAGTTCAATATATTGCATAATTAGTATATAATTCCCAGATTCAATATCTAATATGAGAGAATGATCTATAACACACCTCACCACACACAACAATATTTTGGTCACTCCTATAGGCATGTTGATTTATATTCTGGTCAATTTCGACTCATGTCTGTATAGCACAGAACGAAGGAGTTAGGTTGATTTATATTTTTCTTCTATAATCACAAATAGAGTGGAACCATGTTTAAGATATGGGAAATCCTCAAAATAATATTTAATTCCACACTTTTATTTCCTTAATTTCACATATAAGTACACCTATTATTTGGTTTAGTTCTGTGGTACTTATGTGGCTTACTACACTTCCAGTAGACTCTACTGTTTCATTTCCCATGTGTTGGGCTTGGATGTGTTACTTTGGCATGAACATGTAAAGAGTAAATAATATGAGATTTTTAATAATAAAAGCATCTCAGCACAATATCATCATTTGATCTGAAGGTAACAGTTTTACAATTCCTGAATGAATAGTTGAAAAACATTAGGACGCCAGAATGAAAAAACAAATGCTTATCCGTTGAGAGTAATTTGAGGGAGAAGAAGAGCTGCTCACCACATAGGATATCACGCCGACCCCAAATCCTTCCAGCAATCGGCCCATAAACAAAAAGGATGAGTCCTGGATAAACCAATTTCAGAAGTTGCGCAAGCTATTGGCATTGGGCGGATCAAACTAACTGGTAACAGCTCGAGCATGAAAACCTTACCTTTGCAAAAGATATTGCGAGCCACCCAATAATGTTAGGAATTGCCGCGATCATGAGAGACTGCAAGATCAACCCAAAGAGCACATCAATCAGCACTCTAGTGAAATTCCATTTTTCATCCGAACATTATCACAAGCAGCTCTTTTTTTTTTCTTTGCAGATTCTCACAAACAAAGCGACCGCTTTTCACTCCCCTGCTACCATCGAGACTGAAAATCACGATCCGGTTTCTCCGTTCATATGGAAAACGCTAAACAGTAACCGCAAAAATGTCGTGATCTAGACAAGTGTCAAGAGCAAGGGACAGCGGAGGCTCACCCCCTTGCGGCCGATGTACTCGGCGATCTGGCCGCTGGCGATGGCGCCCACCATTGCCCCGACGTTCGACAGCGACCCGAACAGCGAGAACTGCAGCGCGAGCAGAGAAGAGACAGAGCAATTAAACGCAAATCCGATAAGATTAATTAGGCATAAGCATGATACTCCAAGAGAAGAGAGAGAGCTTGCCTCACCTCGGAGAGGGTGAGGCCGAGGTCGGAGATGATGGCGTCCTGGGTGGGCGAGGAGAAGCCGCAGGTGAAGCCGAACTGGATGGGGCCGAGGGCGACGATGAGGGTGCAGAGGACGGCGGAGACGGAGGAGTCGCGGAGGGAGTAGGCGGAGGAGCCGAGGCGCGACCCCATCCCGCCGCCGCCGCCCGCCGACGACATCTTGTACCAGCTCCCCGTGTGGAGGAACGGCTTCCGCAGGTCCGACGCCGACGCCGTCCGCCCCCCATCCTCGCCGCCGCTCTCCTCGCCGCGGAAGCTCATCTCGCGGCCGGGATCGGGCGTGCGTGGACGCGATCGATCCCTCGTTTCTCTCTCGCTGTCGCGCCCAGCTTAGCTTAAGCTTGATTGATTGAGGGGAAGAGCGAGTGGTACGCTGATTTTCTGCTCCTTTTCTCGTTTTTTTCTTTTTCTTTTTTTCCCGTTTTCTCCGTTAGGAAGAGCGAGTAGCTGACGCTTTCGCTTTCGGTGCTCCCGATTTCTCATGAGGACGTGTCGTGCTCCACACGAGGACACGTGGCTCCCATCGGGAAAACATTCGGATTGATGAGTGACTTGTTAGAACAAACGAGCAAAATCAACACGTAGCCGGAAAAGGATATTCTAACGTACTCCTACTGGTAGACATCACGCATTGTGCTTATGCATGTACACAAACGTTTTTTTTTAATGAAGAAAATACGTTCTTCGAAAGTGATCGTAAGGTTAAAAGGGCAAAGGTGTACATTTACAGAGATGAGTGTATACGAGCGACTGCCTATTTTTCATAGGATTTGTTTCGCACTTCTCTAATACCACTCACGTCTGAGTATGTAACACATGCACCATAAGTTAAAACATTTCTTTAAAAAAGCTATAAATCTCGATCTAGGAGCCTAGGGGTGTTTTAAGTTCACTATTACATCCTCCGTTTCACAATGTAAGTCATTCTACCGCTAAAGAATCTAAATAGATATATGTGTCTAGATTTATTAACATCAATATAAATGTAGGAAATGCTAAAATGACTTACATTGTGAAATGGATGGAGTGGAATTTTTTTATGAAAAGAGTAAAATAAAATTGGATATAAATAGACATCGGACACCCTAAACCCATCCAAAAAAAGGATTGGAGGGGAGGGGATGGAGTAGGTGGGGGCAAGTAGTTCCTCTGACATAAACTTCACGGAAACGTGGTTACTTACATATAGGCACGAGGGTAATGGGACTCACATGTCAGTAACAATGTATCTGACGTTACGTCAGGAGATCTCATTCTGTGAGTGAAGAGGGCAAAGCGCGAGGATCTCATTACACGAGTGAGGAAGGCCAAGCAAGTGGGACATGGGGGATTTGTGGAGAAAGATCATGCATCGCTAGGACATTCTCTAATAGAGTTTGAGAAAAAAAATTACTCGTAATGTAGTTGACTAGTATAACATTGATTATATATGGAAAAAATAGAATTTTTAAGAATATTGTTATGGTACATATAGAAGAGACATTAACATCCACATTAACATCCACATGTATTGTCACTCCTGACTTAACTATAGTTACTCCTGACTTTTGTCCAAGTGATAATAGTGCTATCCAACTTTGGAAAGCATCCTGACTCAACATTATTGTTTTCTAAAAAAGATAAGAATTGGTGGAATTACATATAGCAAAAATTAGATTTAGCTAGGTAGAACTATCAAATTTTATATAAAAATCTATACTGACCAATCGAGTATGATTGTAAAGATTAACTAGGCAGATAAGATTTATGTTCCATGTTTACTTTGTTATTTAGGATTTTAACTTTGGAAAAACCTAATCTATCTTTATGAAAAAAAAACTGTATTTTGAAAGAGACCAAAGACATTAGGAATCAGGATTCAAAGAAAATTGTAGTAGTACTTCAAGATTAAAAAAAAGTGTAAATTATGCTTTAGTATTTGGGGGGGGGGGGGGGGGGGAGATCCTTCGGGCTATGCAGGGCGGCATAGGGCTGTCAACGAGCCGAGCTCGAGCGAGTTTGGCTATGTAGGCTTGAGCTTGACATGAACTCGAGCCGAGCTTGGATATTGATCGAGCTTGGGAGTGAGCTCGAGTTCGAGCTCGAGCGAGCTTCGAGCCCACTCGAGCTTGACAGCTTGACTTGGTGAAACTCCAAAGAACTTACTATTGTATAAGAGATATTAATGCAAATTATCGGTAGCCAAAATTAATGGGTGCTACTTGTCTTGAAAGAAGCCTCTGCAGCTTTTCTCATGAATTCATGGCTTTGAAACGTTGCAATTAACAAAAGCTAGCTACTACATCTAATAGGAATAGTAGTACTATTACTAGCAGCCGGATAATTGTTTTATTGAGTAGCATTGATGAGGTCTTGAGACTTGAGCAGGTCAAGCACGATGACAAGTATACATTGACCCATCAAGAATATCTTCCTACACGCAATGCATCTTATGTTTGAGCTTGAGCCCTACCGAATAATTCGAGCTTGAACTTGCTAGGCTTGCGAGCCTCAGCCTAGACTTGAGCTTGGCTTGTCTAGTATTCAAGCCTATAACGAATCAAGCTCGAGCAGCTTGCGAGCTCCTTTGCAGGGAAAAGCCACACCACAACAGCAGAAGCGCGGGGGGGGGGGGGGGGGGGGGGCTCATTTCTTCAACCCCCGAAATACCACAAACGCCCCCCGATCCAACCATCCCCAATGGAATCACCCAACCCCCAACAGGTCAATTCCATGGGCGACCAATCCCCCCTCTCCCCCAACCTCCACCCCCTCTCCCCGTCGCCCTCCGCCGCCGCCGCCGCCGCCGCCACTCCTACCCCCGCAGCCGCCGCCGCCTCCTCCCGCTCGTCGCGCTCCAAGAAGCCGCCGCACTCCTCCGACCCCAACCAATCCAAGAAGCCCCGGCTGACGCTGACCGTCCCCGGCCGCCCCCTCTCCGCCGACGGCGAGGTGGCCGCGGCCATCCAGCACCTGCGCGCCGCCGACCCGGCCCTCGCCACCGTCATCGACGCCCACGACCCCCCGGCCTTCCAGTGCCCGCACCGCCCCTTCCACTCCCTCGTCCGATCCATCCTCTACCAGCAGCTCGCCTTCAAGGCCGCCGCCTCCGTCTACTCCCGCTTCCTCTCCCTCCTCGGCGGCGAGCACAACGTCCTCCCCGAGGCCGTCCTCGCCCTCACCACCCAGGACCTCCGCCAGATCGGGGTCTCCCCTCGCAAGGCCTCCTACCTCCACGACCTCGCCCGCAAGTATGCCTCCGGGATCCTCTCCGACGCCGCCGTCGTCAACATGGACGACCGCTCCCTCGCCGCCATGCTCACCATGGTCAAGGGCATTGGCGCATGGAGCGTCCACATGTTCATGATCTTCTCCCTCAATCGCCCCGACGTGCTCCCCGCCGCCGACCTTGGGGTGCGCAAGGGCGTGCAGCATCTCTACGGTCTCGACGCCGTGCCCCGGCCGTCGCAGATGGAGAAGCTATGCGAGCAATGGCGCCCTTACCGCTCTGTTGGGGCATGGTACATGTGGCGGCTCATCGAATCCAAGGCGCCGCCGCCGCCGCCGGCCATCCCTGTCGGGCCGCCTGCACTGACTGAACATGGCGATGAGCTCATGCTCCAGCAGCAGCAGCATCAGCAACAGCAGCAACAGAGTGTCATCCAAATGATTGATCCTCTTCAGATGCTCCCAGGGATGGGTTGAATTCGGTATCTATTCTGCAGTTCTGCTCACTACTTCTTGGTATTAGTTGGGTCGTTACTCCGTGAATCCAATGCTTGTTTTATGTACCTATTGTTCTGTATTGGGGGAGATTGGAAGAGGGTAGAGCTGAAAATGAGGACTTGGGGGGAACTATTTAATGAACCAATTAGCTTCGTGTCGTTCATCTCGTCAACTTCTTGGAAATGTTGGGTCCTTAGTCCATAAATCCGATGCTTGTTTAGTTTTATGTATCTATTGTTCTGTATTGGGGGAGATTGGAAGAGAGTAGACCTGAAAATGAGAGGAGTTGGGAGAACTATTTAATGAATCAATTAGCTTCGTGTTGTTCGTCTTGTCAAGATCAAAGCTTGACGTTCTTTAGATCATGTCAAAATCATTTTTAATATTAAGAACTAAAAAACTCTCCTTTGTAGTTGTGCTAGGATTGTAGTTTATCTATAATAAATTCATTTAGATATCTTCTCTTGAGGTCATTTGCTAGGATTACAATATCGATTACCTTGTGTTGAGGTAATAATGTATGATTTGATATAGTTGAACTTGAACACTTAAATCTTTTGAGTTGGTCAAGTCTGTTTACATTTGGAAACTATAATGGTATGATATAGTCTTAAGGGTAGCAATGATAAGAGAAGAGAGAATGTCAACCAGAATTTAGTTAAATCCATTGCGACAGAAATGAGTGGAGCACGCTTAGTTTTCATAATGCCTCTGCTTTGGATATCTGAGGGTTTTGCATGCGACCTCAATCACATATCTACTGAGACATTCTTGGTAGGTAAGAGTAAGATCCAGTTATCAAGAATTCAAGATGACATGCATATAGTTGGAGTGCAACTAAATTCTTATCCAGATGCTTAAAGCTACTCCCTCCATCCACAAAAGTTACACATATTACTTTTGACACCAAGACCAAGAAGAAATTAAATCACCTTGGATGTTACAAAATCAAGGAGTGAATATAAGCATGCAACCAATGAGTATTTAGATGACTCTTTAGGTTCTAATAAAACATTTATTTTATCTCTTCATTTAAGTCTTGAATGCATAAAGACTACAAATAGGAACAACTTATTTGGAAAAACTCAAATGTGAAATAGGTATAACTTTTGTGGATGGAGGGGCACCAAGCAGTGACAGAGCAGTCATTTGTGTGGTAGTAATATCATAATAACAAAAGAAAACTCGATCTGTAGTTCACAGGGCTAATATAAAATGGTATGATTGATTAGGAGAGTGAATATAAAATGGTATAAAATGGAATAAGAACTTTGGCAAGGCAAACCAGAAGAATTGAATATCTGTATTGCAAACAAAAACTAATTATGAGATTAATTTTCGCTCTTTTGCTGTTCTGCTTGTCTAATCTTTGTCGAATGTTTCCCTGGTAAGTGCTGAGGTGCATTCTGAATACTACTGAACAGTCATGTGGACTACCATGTTTTTATTCAGTGCAGTAATGTGGAGATCTGGATTGGATGTGGTATCGTTAAAAGGTTTCTTTATAATAAGAGGGCCTTTTGCGTTCTCATGTTTCAGTAAATCTTCTTTGGAACGCATGAATTTGACAAGGTTTATACCAGAATTAATTCAGTTATTGTAAAATTCAAGTCCTCTACTCCAAAAGAGGTCTAAATTCCCCGACTCTTTGGGCTCGGTGGGGGCTGAATCCCCGTGCCTGAGCTATAGAAATCCGGGTTTCGCCGTCGGGCGCCGGCTACTGCTCCATGCACTCCGTAAATTTTTTTCTGTTAACGCGAGGCCACGAATATGCTCGAACAGATACCAAATTCTATGGCCATCTTTGTCTTCCAGTTTGATCCTTCCATGCAGTATATCAGTATTTGTATATTAGATGTTCTCGCCTCCTCGGCATCAACGGATTCATACAGCACGGCACACGTAATGTGCAATGTCGCGTATCTCCCATTCACATGCAGTCTTTTGAATCGCTCTTGGGCATGGACATGAACATATATAGATTGACATATAGTTTAGCAGTTCATAAAGTAACATTCTAGCAAGGTATATACTTCAGATATCCACCGTTACCAGGTGACTCCCAAGGAGAAAAAACCAAGTGCTCTTGCATCACTACCAGTGCCAATCACAACTTTGCTTTCATCCACGTCGACAACATATACAGCTTGGCGAGTCTTACAAAAGATTATGATTTGGAGAAAATTGCATCCATAAAACATTAATTACCTTGTCCAACATTGCATTAACACTAGCTACTCGTTGGCCCAGCTCTATAAATAGAACAGAGCTTCAAAAGTTTCTGAAGAGTGACAAGAGAGATTCAGATAGTTTCTCGCTACTCGCTCCCGCCAAGCTAAGTTAGCCACGTACAAACACGGCCATGTCCACCGAGAACTACGACCCGTGCTACCCCGACCAGCCGGTGGTGCACCGGTACCTCCCCGTGTGGGCCAAGCTGCCGGCGTTCGCCGCCAAGCCGGCCTTCGTCTGGGCGGACGACGGCGACACGGCCATGTCGTACGCAACACTGACATACTCCCAGCTCGACGCCGCCGTCGAACGCATGTCGTCCGGCCTCCTCGGTGCCCTCCGGCGAGCTGACACCGTCCTCGTGCTGGCCTCGCCGGGCCTCCGCCTCGTCAAGCTCCTCTTCGCGTGCCAGCGAGCGGTGCTCACGGCGGTGCCCATCATACCACCCGACCCCTCCAGGCCCGGCGCCGGCGGCGCCGCGCACTCGCACCTTCTGCGCGCCGTGTCGCAGACGCGGCCGAGGGCGGCCGTCGCCGACGCCCGATACATTGACGCCATCAAGAAGTCGAATGCCGTCGTCGACGTCGCCGGAGAACCTGATCGGCTCGCCGCCATGTTAAGGAGCCTACGGTGGCTGTCCGTCGACGAGCTGGAGCAAGGAGGTGCCAATGGAGCGGCGCCGGTGACGCCGTTCGTGGGCGGCGAGCCGGAAGACGCGTACCTGATCCAGTACACCTCCGGCGCGACGGGCGCGCAGAAGCCCGTGGTGATCACGGCGGGCGCGGCGGCGCACAACGCGCGGGCGGCGAGGAGGGCCTACGAACTGCACCCCGGCAGCGTCGTCGTGTCGTGGTTGCCGCAGTACCACGACTGCGGCCTCATGTTCCTCCTCCTCACCGTCGTCGCCGGCGCCACCTGCGTGCTGGCCTCCCCCGACGCCTTCGTCCGCCGCCCGCGCCTCTGGCTCGAGCTCGTCACCGAGTTCAGGGCGACGTGCACGCCCGTGCCATCGTTCGCGCTGCCGCTGGTGCTCAGACGCGGCCGCTCGCCGGACGGGCGGCGGCGGCGGCCTCTCGAGCTCGGCAGCCTGGAGAATCTCATCCTGATAAACGAGCCGATTTACAAGTCGTGCGTCGACGAGTTCGTCGCGGAGTTCCGCGGTGACGGGCTGCTTCCCGCGTCCATCTCGCCGTCGTACGGCCTCGCGGAGAACTGCACGTTCGTGTCCACCGCGTGGCGGAGCCGCCGGTGCGTGGACCTCCCGTCGTACAAGAAGCTTCTGCCGTCGGCGAGGCTGTCGTTCCACATGGCCGACGAGGAGCCGGAGATCGAGATCATCATGGTGGACGAGGAGACCGGCGAGCCGGTGGAAGACGGCGTGGAGGGGGAGATCTGGGTGTCCTCGCCGAGCAACGCGTCGGGTTACCTCGGCCACCCGTCGGCGACCCGCGAGGTGTTCTGCGCGACGCTGCCGGGGAAGGGCTCGTGCTACGTGCGCACGGGCGACCGTGGCGTGGTGGTGGTCAGGGGAGCAGAGCGGTATCTCTACGTCGTCGGCCGGAGCGCCGACGTCCTCGCGCTCGACGTCGACGGCGGCCAGCGCAGCGTGTGCGCGCACTACATTGAGACGGCGGCGTTCGGCGGCGCGCCGGATCGCCTGAGAGGCGGCTGCATTGCTGCCTTCGCCACCTCGCCGGTGCCGTCGACTTCGCTTGTGGTCGTCGTGGCGGAGCTACTGAAGGGAAGCGGCGGCGGCGGCGGCGGCGGCGACCACAAGGATATCTGCGAGGGCATAAAGCGAGCAGTGTGGGAAGAGGAAGGTGTGAGGGTTGGCTGGATCGTGTTGGTCGACAGCGGCGTCGTGCCGAAGACAACGTCGGGGAAGCTCCGCCGCGGGGCGGCGAGAGAGAAGCTGCTCGCCGGGAAGCTTCCAATTCTCTTGGAAGCACGGTATGACGGAGATGAGAGCTCGAGCTCGGTGCCATGGGACGGTGGCGAAGAGGAGATGGAGAAGTGTCCTGGCATGGATGCGGCTTATGGGAGTGCAAGCCGCCGTCTGCGTCTGCAGTCGTTTCTTTGAGTGAACATCAGTGTTGGCTCTTGGCTCCAAGCCTTCCTACTTGGGCATCCTTAATGATTTAGGCCCATATCGACCATAAGTGGGATGCAATCATTTTATTCATGGCAAATGTTACTGTGTTTTGGATCTCGTCTTTACCTTGAGCTTAGGCCAAAAAAGAAATTCTTACATAGTATCATTCAAAACCAACATGCATATTGAAAAGATACAAAATATTTTTTTTCTAATTTTTGTGATCTAGTTCTAATGCATAAAATTAGACAAAGGTTACTTTAGAGCTCCTATGGGCTAGTTTGAGCAACATCCTTTGAAAAGACATAAAATAAGGAAAGATGAAATTACATTTCTACTCCCTCCATCCTAAAATAATAAGGGCTTGTTCACTTTGATACCATTTTCAACCTTACCAAATTTTAATAAAGTTGCTAAAAAAATTGCTACATTTAGTTTGCTGTCAAATTTTGGTAACTATATAAGAAATCCTACCAAAATTTTGGCAAGTTGCCAAAATTTGGTAAGTTTTTTTTTCATCAAAGTGAACAGGCCCCAAGTTCATTTTTCATCCATCTCCACACATACAAATACAAAACCAAAAACACTAGAATACTTACTTTGTCGAATCACAATGCAACTAGTTTTCACTTTATCTATTACCAATGCAGTTATTTCATAATTTAAAAAACTTTAATGCAACAATTACTCTAAAAACAAACTTTTGAGATAAATGAAAGGAGCTAAAAATGAACTTATTATAAGATGGAGGGAATAGCCTCTAAGATAGGATGTACAGAGCCAAAAAGTTTTGATATTATAAATAAAACAAACTAAAAATTGAGAAACACCATCTGATGTATTAAAACTAAAATAAAGAAGCCAAAGACGAAATTAAGTTAAAAAGCTTAAACAATATCCTTACAACAGTAGGCCTTTCTAGGGTTGCACGGCCCAAACTAGGCAGATGGGCTTGTTGGTCGCTATGTGAGCAATGTCCTGGCCTCCTGGGAGTACTTCGACCCCTAAAGGCCGCCACACTATTTTCGCACTTCTACAGCATTACACCGTTACCTAACTAACCACTGTTCCTTTCGTTTTCAAGTCTCCATCTAGAATGAAAGTACTAACCTACTGTCAATGGCTCAATTAATAATACAACTAATATAGAAATGATGTTCTTACTTCCTACTACTCCGTTCCAAAAAATACAAATTTTATCTATGAACCTGGACAAAATTCAATCCAAGTTTGTAGTTAGGATTGATTTTTTTTTTAAGAACAGAGGGGTATCTATAATCCGTACTGACTATGAGCCCGGAAGTTAGGTGAACAATGGCACGCAAAAGAAAAAAAAACTCATGCGATATTAAGAACAGGTGAACTTTATGATAATTCGGACGAAAAGTCGCGTGGTTTCATAGAAGAAGGCATGTGGCAGTCTTAAGTCCCTAATAGCGCCTAAACTTTTATACAGCTAACCCCTCAAATGACTGTATTCTGTGATTGACTCGCCACTTAGTCAACGGCATGATTCTCACAGCGCACATGAAATGGATGTAACACAGCACATGAAATGGATGTAACACGCAGTTTCACTAATCACCATTGATCAGGCCATTGAACATGGCCGAGCTTATAGAATTTGGTTTTTTCTAATTCTTAATTTTAGCGTTATATTCCTATATTGCAATCGCTCACTACATAGTTTTAGTTAAATTGATAAATATAGCTAATTCCAAAGCGATCTGGGATGTTTTCGTGTAGAGGTACTACCGTTTCCATTAGGAGGTTAAGGGGCTGTTTGGATGCTATACTAAGTTTGCCACCATTCACCATACCTTTTGTGTCATCCTTGTCTAAGTTGTGGCTTACAAAAAGTGAGCCACACCTTAGCTAGCAAAATTGGATTGTGTCACACTTTGTTGAGTTGATGACATGTGGGGCCCAAATAGATGAGAAGGAATCTTGCCACAAGTATGGCTATGAACCAAACAATATGGTAACTTGGTCAAACTTGCCTAATATGAGGTGTGGTAACCTTTGGCAAACTTTGGGAGCAAACCAAACAACTCCTTAGTACTTTAGTAGCTAGCAAACACGACAGACATTTTAAAAAAGAACTATGCACCCTTGTTCTCCTCGTTGTTTGGAAAATTTGGAAGGAGAAGAACCTAACATATTTTCGAGGAAAAAAAAAGCTACCTCAACATACCTCTTCGCTAAAATTGAAGAGGAAGCAAGTACTTAGGCGTGGGCAAACGTAAAGCGCTTATGTGACTTCTTACCTCACCATGTATAGTGTATGGAATGATTTCTCTTTTCATTTACCTTTAAGAGGTGAGCTATGTCATGTAAGGCTATGTTTAAAAAATGGATTCGAATGATTTCTCACTTCTTAAAAGGTAAGTTTACCCTATTTTCTTATTCTCCACTCATTTTTATTTTCCAATCTAACCTCTCCTAATCCATTTTCCATACACTCTCATAAGCAAGCCTATGTGGCAGGATAAATTTCAGTATTTACCATCCAATACGATGACATTTAAGGAGCTGCCACTCAATACGCTGGCCTTTCAAAATTTACCACCAGGCACGCGAAATTCTTCATTTGGAGCCACTCCATCCGCCTGCCCCGCCGTCCATCCGCGCGACTGTCTCTGAGCTAGGTGGCGTCGTCACCCAGGCATGGTCGTCGTCACCTCGCATCCCGCCCCCGCCGCCGTCCCCATCCCCAAGCTCGTTCGGCACCATCGCCACCGCCGTCCCAACCTCCATCGCCACCATTCCCATCCCCAAGCTCGTTCAGCGCTGTTGCCATGCTCGCGCCCCATCGCCGCCATCCCTGAGCTCATCTGCCGTTGTCGTCGAGCTCGTATTCCGTTCCGCCGTTGCCGCCATGCCTGAGCTCGCGTCCGATCGCCGCCGTAGTCACCCCTAAGCTCGCGTTCCGCTGCCGCCGTCGTCGCCCCAGAGCTCACGTTCCGCTGTCGCCGCCGTCGCCCCCGAGCTTTCCGCTGTCGCCGCCATGCCCAAGCTCTCATCCGATCATTGTCGCCATCGCCCCTGAGTTCGTGTTCTGCTGTTGAACCGCCATGCCCGCAAACTCCGTCCCCGTCTACCATCTAGACGTCGACAAAACCATGTGCTCCTCCGTCCCTGTCGAAGGTGCAATGTCCCTCGCTGGCAACCGCGGCGGGAGTGAGCTCAGGGATGATGGTCAAGCCTTGAGACGACGGCCGACGAGCTCGGAGACGAAGACAAAGACGGACGACGCGGACAAGCAAACGGAATGGCACGAAATGAAGAATTTCGCGTGTCTGGTGGTAGATTTTGAAAGTCCAATGTATTGGGTGGCAATTTCTTAAAGGTTATCGGATTGTATGGTTCATACTGAAATTTCTCATGTGGCAGAAGAAAAAACTCGGCGGTGGAAGGGTCAATGAATCGGCGGTGGGCGGTGGGGGCCCGGGTGCAGGGCGTGGGAGGTGTCGGCCGCGCAGCGTGTCAAGGACTCATCAAAGACTAGCCGTGTGATGAAGTCAGAGGATCCCGGATCCAGCAAGCGAGCGATGCCATTTCCGAGCCAAACCCCGACCGGAAACAGTGTTCCCCCAAAGCCCCACTCACTCATCACTCTCCCCAGGTTGAGCTTCCTTCCATCCATCCAGCTCCAGCGGCCATCATCCCCCACCACCACCGCCACCATCACTTCATTCACTACACACTCCCCCTCCCTCTTCCCCCACCACCCATACGAGCTTAACGGCAGCAGCTGCTGCTACAGCGAGAGCTACACGCTCTAGTTAACCCAAAGCCATCCAGCACTTTGCGAGGTCGCTTTCGTTTCGCCTCCTTCGTCGGCCCCGGACCGGACCGGACAGAGGCATGTCCTGATGGAATTCAGGGGCCATGACGAACCCGTCGACGAGATGGGAGTCGCGTACGGCAGGACGCCACCCTCCTCCTCCTCCTCCCCCGCCGCCTCCGCCTCCGCGGGGAACGGCGCCGGCGCGGCGGAGGTGAGGTACCACGAGTGCCTGCGCAACCACGCCGCGGCGATGGGCGGCCACGTCGTGGACGGATGCAGGGAGTTCATGCCGATGCCGGGGGACGCCGCCGACGCCCTCAAGTGCGCCGCCTGCGGCTGCCACCGCAGCTTCCACCGCAAGGACGACGGGCAGCAGCAGCAGCAGCTGCGCCTGCTCATCCCGTCCCCGCCCACGCCGCGCGTCCCGCTGCTCATGCCGCCGCCGCAGCCGCAGCCGCACCCGCACCCGCAACACCCCTACCTGCACCCGCCGTTCCCGTACCACCACACCCCAAGCGGCAGCGGCGGCACGACGACCGAGTCGTCCAGCGAGGAGCGGGGGCCTCCCTCCTCGTCGGCGGCGGCGGCGCAGGGGCGGCGGAAGCGGTTCCGGACCAAGTTCACGCCGGAGCAGAAGGAGCAGATGCTGGCGTTCGCGGAGCGGGTGGGGTGGCGGATGCAGAAGCAGGACGAGGCACTCGTCGAACAGTTCTGCGCGCAGGTCGGCGTGCGGCGCCAGGTGTTCAAGGTGTGGATGCACAACAACAAGAGCAGCATCGGCAGCAGCAGCGGCGGCGGCAGTAGGAGGCAGCCGCAGGAGCAACAGTCACAACAGCAGCAGCAGCAGCAGTAGCCATGGGAGGAGACAAGCATTTGGTTAATGGTTTGGTAAATCCCCACCTCATTATTTTTATACGCCCAAGACATGAGGAGACGGGTTAAACAACGCAACGGAAGTGAGGACTACTCTCTCTGCGATCTTTATCCTCTCTCTCTCTCTCTCTCTCTCTTCATTTGGCCTTAACCTTCATTCTTTGTAGTCACTTATCCTCCTCCATAATTTGGTTCTTGATTCTAGCCTTGTTCAATTTGATTCCTTTTGCGTCTAGTTGAGGGTTTACTTTGCTCGCGAAAAAGGAAAAAAGTTTGAGGGTTTACCTGAATGATGAGGTTAGTTTTACATCTCTTCATTCTGATGCTTGCATTTCACCTCGTTAGCTCTCTGCGCAGAGATAAGCAATCAGGTTAGACAGCAATTTTTTGTGGAGAACAGCTCCCCTGTTGGTGACTAATGGTTGGTTTCCCTCTCCTTCCTTTGAATTCGGCATGTTCATGAGTTAAAGCTTAAAAATAGAAAACCAACACAAAACTAATGATCAAAAGCTAATGATGATTAAGTTCTTGAGCGAGTTTTCTGATTAACTAAGAGAACAAATCAATATGAGATTATGAGTAGCTAAAATATTACATGAGATAACACCGAGAGCCTGGATGTGGTTTTTTATTTGTGATCGGCTGAAACATACAGACGAAATACACTTGGATGTGGTTTTTTTATTTGTGATCTACCACAAAAGAAACTTGAGTTTGTATCAAGCATATCATTCTTGCTTATTTATTAGCCATTTAATTGAAGGTGTACTTGGTTGTTGCTGTTGCTATGCTTGAGTTGTACTTTGCTCTACATTCAACACATTACTGCCATTAAGTTAAAGAGTCCTTTTTCAAACCTGAACCCATTAATAGAGAGCTGGAGTTTGAAATCTGGAGGGTAGAAATGGGTGGCCACATGACCTATCCTTCTCTCCTTTACCTTCCAGAGGTAAAGAGACATCACAAGAGTTTGGTTCCATGAAATTGTGAGGTCCATGGTGCAAGTGAGAAGAGGCAGATAAGGATGTAATGAATGCCCTCCAAGAAAATTGCAAGACAGGAAATGGGAGATAATGAGAAGATTTTGTGGTTTCTTTTGGTGCCCTTGTTTTGGGAGTTTATCAGTTTCTCAATATAAAGAATTTTGCCGGACCAGATGAAACAAGGCACATGATGCAACCAGATAGTACTATTTGACTAAGCAATAGAGCACGACGCATGTCTTAAATCTGTGTACAAATTTTATTGAAGCATTCTCGTGTACAACTGTTACTGCTTAATACCAACCGCCGTCACCAACCAGCAGCTACTTTTACGAAAAGAGTACATTGCTATGAACAGTAGAGTTAACTCGTACAGCAACAAATAAGCCAGGCAAAATTTACCACAGGACACGCAAAAAACGTGTAATTGGCTGAGAGACCGTAACAACGTGACATGGCTCATGGACACTAAAAAAATATGTAATTGGCCATAGGACACCGGTCGCATTATTTTATTATTTCCGAGTAAAAAAGTGAGATATTTATCTAAATGTCCGGATTGCCCTTTCTCTTTCCTTCTTTAAATACCGGTGGGTTCCACATGTCATGGACAGCATATGTTTAATCTAATTTTTAATAGGTTTTTAACCACCTGGGCCCACGAGTCATAGACTAATTTATTCGTAATTAGTAGGTTGATTACTATTTGCTAATCATAAGTGGGGTCCACATCTCTCTCCTATCCTCTTCTTCCTCACGCACGCGGCGGAGCGGAGGAACGACGCGACGGCCTGAGCCGAGACGGCTCGGCGCGCAGCGGAAAAAGCGGCGGCGCTCCGCCAGGGTCTCACCGCCGGCGATGGCGAGGCGCGACGGCCACCATACGCACGACGCGACGGACTGGTGCGTCGTGGCGGACAGGTGCGTGGCGGCGGTGGGCAGCTGCTGGTGCGGCTGCGGCGACGGTGGCGCGGACTTGGCCGAGCTCTGCGCCGTGGCGGCGGCGGCGGCGTTGCAGAGCGGCTGCAGCAGCGGGTGGTGGTGGCGAGCGGCTCCATCACCATTGTGATTTGTGCATTGCATTTGATCGATTTGTTGCCGTTGATTGGTTTCTTGTTGACGTGTGTGCAGGTTTGAGGTGGATCCATGGCGACGGGTCGGTGGAGAACAGGACCTGCAGAGCGGCGGCGGCGCCGTGAGGCTCAGCTTCGAGACGCACCACGGCGGCGGCGTGGCACCTTCGCCGGAGTTCGCGGCGTGCGCGGCGAGCTCCTGCAGCGCGGAAATCATGGTGTTGCTGCTCCTGCAGCGCGGCGAGCTCCTGGTGCACCATGACCGGCCGAGCCATCACCACCGCCGTTACTTCCCAACGCCGCAACCAGTCGAAGCCGCCGCCGCAGTTGAAGTTGGATGGGGATTTCAGGTACTGAGGCTGAGGGCATTTTCGTCCTTTTGAAATTTCTCTCTCCTCTTTTTCACTGAAAATAATAAAATATTGCCTCGGATGTCCTACAGCTAATTACACAAATTTTATAGTGCATTGGCAGTGTCGTGTTTTTTAGGTGTCTTCTAGCTAATTACATGATTTTTGGATGTCCGCAAATTTTGCCAATAAGCAATTAGCAATGTTCGTTGCAATGACGTACTACTAATGAACTTATTAGAACAAGTGACAAGGAACCGATCTAGTTGCAACATCGTACTGGTAACTTACAGCAAGCGACAATGAGGTTATCTACTTGTAAATTTTCAGTTGACCTGCCATGCAGCAAGCAAGTACTACATTTTGGGTATTTTTCTACACTTGTATCAGGGGCTAGGACAAGTAATTTGATGCAGCTAAATCATCTGTTATCCAGAATTCCCTGTTGTCCTCTCAACAAGCAGGATTTAGAACATATAGTGACTAATGTGCACATCAGATAGGAACTGACCTTAATTGTTTTCATATTGCCATTATGCGTGGAGCCGTGTAGCCATTGCTTCCTTTGATCTGGATGGATTTGTCACTTTGGCCACGTTTAGAGCCTGCCTACCTCTTGTGACAGCTTACTTGTTAAAGTCTGTTCCGCCAAAATCTGTCAAGGAAACCAATGTTATTGTGAAGAAGAAATAGTGGTACGCGCACATTAGAACCTTATCGTTTGCACTATATAGAATCAGTCGTTGTGAAAATTTAAATATTAAATTTTAATTTTTGAAGTTTTCTTATCTAAATTTATTTTTCAACATTGACATTTTAATCGCTAAAGGCACACGTATATAAAAAAGTTTTATCTATAAATTAATTTTATAATACATCGTACAAATGTACTCAACATATAATTAAAAGATGGTGGCATTACTATGACTGAAGAAACATGAGGAATTTGAAACCTCACGCCGACGGTTTTCTCTACACAACTCTCAGAAAATCTACATGAAATTTTATATAATAGAACAAAAAAAAGGCAGAGAGAAGAATCTGCTGCATACGAAATTTTATATGAGAAGAGAAAAAAGAGGCAGAGCAAAGAAGCTGCGGCCTGTTACTATGTCGTATTTACAACGATAATAGAAACAGCTAAACACAACTAAGGTAGATGGGATCATGGGAACAAACAGAACAGGAGATAACAATTGCTCGTGCTGAGATATTTCGTCCCGGGAAAGAAGCAATTGTTAGGAGTATTATTATCTTATTGCAGCGCTAACTTATTTTAGGTGCATGGCAAGTATGGAGTGATTGTGGTGTGCTGCAGCAAATGTTGAACTTTAGCCCATCATGTTGCTACTGATTGATCAGTCTTATCAGTTCTGATTGTTTTGTCTTTTCATATGCATTTCTGACAGGCGTTATTATGACTCAAGAAACACTATTCGAGAATCAACACTACTACCGTGGTGACCTGTGATTTTCTGGAGGGTTGTTCCCTGCCTTCTCTGCGAGGTTCCATTCCATAAGCTCAAGACAAACCTGCTGTCCGATAGGCAGACCTAAAAGTGTTATACGAATGTAAGGCAGTCCTAATTACTCCTACTCTACATCACCCGAAAGTATCTTAAGTAAATTTTCAAAAAGAATAGACGATCGATTGAAAGCAAAATGCAAATGCCACCCATGAACAACAAAACTGCACGTACTTGCTCTTAGTGCTAAGAAAAGCGAGTGTTTAGTTGTGAGAAGCGAATCAGTAATTACTTCAACTCATTCTTCCACCAATTCAAACAATATTGAAATTTCACGAAAGAATGTAGAGTAGATCAGTAGAGCCTTATGTTGCTCCGTTTTCTGGAGAAAAGCAACGAGAAAAATGTGTGGACAGATAAAGAGAGCTGCCCTACTATATTCAAATGATATATTGGAAGAATTTGTCGTGCGAACAAGCCGATAAGATCTACTCCATCGTGGTAATTACTAAAAAGTATCTGCTTATGCTAACCTCCAATCATGTGGCTCCAAGTCCCTAAGCAACGTGAAGCCTAATCAAATCTAGTGCTCAAACTTTTAAGCTTCAAATATTTTTAGCAGCTGCCCATTCATTCAATCCTTCCCAAGTTTAAACCAATTCCATCTAGCTTCCACTTGATAGCACTAGCCCAAGCATATCTAGCTAGTTAATCTTAATCTTCATGACGGTTCAAGCTTAATTGGATCAGCTATTTATAGAAGCAGAGTGGACCCGACTCAAGCAGAGTCAGTTGCGCAAGCAACTAACCACTCAACAAAGCAAGTTTAAACAACTAATCAACAATAGACTAATGCAAAGTACCAGTAGTACGTTGAGGTACTAACGATCTTGATTACAGTTCTTAATTAATCTCCCAGCCAATCGTGGACCACCGTGGACCATTTGCTTCCTAAGCTCCCACATTAAGGGCGTGCCCGGCATGAAGGCGCCATCGTACTACAGTTGCAGACCATGTGGATGAACCCTAGCCAAGACAGCCGCTTTGTTAATTCCTCCCCACCAGCCGAGTCCCACGTCATGTACAGCAAACATGGTGTTTAGGGTCCGGTTTGGCTGCCGATTGTCAGTGTTTTAAGTCAGGATGATCTAAATTTTCTGGCACAGGAGTTTGTGTGAGACCAATGTCAGAATGGAACGTGCCAGGCAGGTGGGGGAGATATGATCAAATTTGTGCTGCTTTCGACAGGTCAAGTCCTGGAAGCAGTGGTTTACAACGTACAAGGAACAGGGGGCAGAGAAGGCGCACTGCAGGAGGTTCGTGGCTTTCATAAGATTGTCACGTTGTACAGGTAATTGTCTGACTAACTGCTATAAGCGTTGCACCACGACGTCGTTCAGGTAGAGATCATGGCATCATTTGATAGTAGCTTAGTATTAGTTAATGCGTAATTGTTTACCGCGCTAAGTCAGCATAAGTTATGCACCTGGTAATTCATGGCGACCTTAGGTTCCAAATCCAGTACACAAAAAAAAAGGTATGGAAAAGGGAAAAAAAAGGCGTTTGACAGGGACGTGACAAAAGAAAACAGCCATCAGATAAAGGAATGGCAATAACTGGAAAAGGCACAGAGAAATGACCGTGAAAAAGCATTGCAATTTCGAATCTTTCAAGTTTAGCATATCAATCTAAAAAATTCTAACTCAATGAAATGTCAAAGCAACTGAGGGCATTGCATAAAATCGAAAGACAGCAGGTACCTGCACAATATAGGGAAAGGTCCTCATCTTGAGCATTTTGTGGTAGGATTAATGTCCTCAGCATTCTACTCAAAAATAGTGCACCGACATCGTTAGAGTCTTTGAGAGATTCTGCACATACTCAGTGGAAAAAAAAAGGAATTCAAGATTGATCTTATGTAGACGAAAAGAACTAAGATAAATAGGTCACTCACAGGTGCAAGAGAGATGAGAAGTTGTAATACACCCGGCAAGAAGTTGTAATACTTCTATCTTCTTGATAATCAACCATTGCCAAAGAAAACTTCTTACATGCACGTTAGTCAGCATCATACCATAAAGTCATGAGCACAACTAGCACCCAGAATAGCAGTCTACATGAAGCTTGCAAATCGAATAGAATGGCCCCAGCAAAAAAAAAAGAATAGAATGGATATTTCAAATGATAGTATCCCCCTTTTAACATGATAGTTTTCAAATATATTCATATGACCATTGGCCAAGCTACACATAAGCTTCACTAATTAAACAGCAAAAGTTATTCATCAAGAAGGTATTGACAGCAGCAAAGTTCAATTTAAGGATGGCTGTAATTACAAAGATGCTGTCTGCTTATATTGCAAATCTAACATAAACAAGGCATTTAGTGACTGTATTGCAATGAAGAGTTGCTTCAGATAAAATGGACAAGTCATACAAAGTTATGTAATGCAAAAACAAGCTGAAAATGGTATGCCAATTCGAAAAGCTGAAAAATGGTATGCTAGCATTTTGTTGAAGTGATGTGAGTATTAGCTGTGTTTATGCTTAAGAAATTGAGAATATGTTCTTGGAGAACTATTAATCACAACATTAAATAATCATTAATACAAGTTCAGTATTCTGCCGAGGGACAGGCGTGATTGCCTGCCAAAGTTCAGTTTCTTCTACATCAAGTTTTTAGGTGCCTCCTTATAGATGGTCAAACTATTTTAGATTATTTCAATATCAGACAAGAAATAAGCATTTCTGAGCGTACTGATGCTGCACTGTTTTAATTTCTAATGAAAATCATATAAGATAATGCATGAGCATTACCTTATATGCGATGCCACAGCATAAGAATGTTGGGCAATACAGAATGCCACCTAGTAGAACCAAGATTTACAATTCCGAGATGGACTACCATCCCAGGTTCTGGCGGTACAACGGTTTTCGCTATTCCGATCGATAACCGACAGATTTTGAACAAATTTCACGAACCAAAATTTGAGTTCAAATTCTCTGGTATGTCCCATTTTTGTCAAAAACCATTCGGCTTTGCTGAAATTCCGTAAGAAGCCATCTATATTTTGAACGAAAACTGAAAACCGACTGGGGTTTGGGATTCAATCAGGATCACATTGCCTCTCCATTCTAGTGACTGGGCTAAGTGCTAAGTGGGCTTATTTCATGGAATTTGGCCCAGCAAAGTCTTTTTTCCTTTTTTTCTAAATCAATTTTCCTTTCTTTCATACTGTACAGTTCAAGAAACGCACGAATACACCATTTTTTAAAATATATATATATATCGTAATAGGTTCTACGAATATTATACTATTTATAGGATTTTTTTTCGAATTTTTTCAATTTAAATTTTGAATTGGGATGAAACCCATCGAATTTTCAGACGGCAACTACTTCCAAGCCACGCTGGAACCTCGGTTTTTCATGGAATCCGAGCGATTTCCATCAGCTTTGTGAACCCTGAGTAGAACAAACATAGTTAGAACTGAGTGTTTCGTCTTCCTAAATTGACTGTAACCTAAGATATCTAAGCAGCAGGCCTCCATTGAGCAATGCCTAATTATCACCTATCCGGTACCTATTTAGTACTTGAAGACTTCTTCAACAATAGTTGTGTTGTTATTCCTGCATGAATCCAGGCTGAACACACACTACCTACACCAAACTAGCGAATTCCAAGTCAAGTTTCCTTCAGACACCAGATACAACAGTTCATCAGCACATAAATTCAATCAATCTACAGGTAAATCTACCTCATATTTCCTTAAGTTAATATGAGGGAAATTGAGGTGGAATTCTGGTGATCGTGTGAGGTAGCTCATCCAATAGGTATTCACCACCATCAAACGAGCAGTGCTAAGCATCCAGGCATCAAAGCAACCACTAGATCCGAGTAGCCGACAGACTGACAGATCAAACTAAACCTCACAAAATCGACGCGAAACTCACCAGTCACCAGTTAGGCCGGGTAGGAGAAGACGAATCCACGGAGTCGAGGTGGCTCCGGTTCCCCTTGATTTGAGCGCCGCAACCACCACCTCCCAGTAGAAAATGCCTTCGCGCGACGGCGAGGGCTTGTAACTAGGTATCGGTTGGTTCCCGCGGCGGCGGAGGCGGTGGCGGGGCGGTGAAAGCTCGCCATCGGGTGGGTACTGGGTGGGTCGGATACCGGAGAGGCCGGAATCCGAGAGGGGGAGGCGGGAGGGCTCAGCGGCGGTGCTTGGCCGGCTATCGAGTCGGCGGGGAAGCCGGCGAGACAGAGAGAGAGAGAGAGAGAGAGAGAGAGAGGAGGGAAACTGAGACGCGGTGGAATTTTTTGCCGCGCACGACCTCCTCACCCGACCGCCTTATGTCCTCGGCTACGGTTTGGGCTGGGTTAGCTTCGTAGGCCGTGGGCCGTACGACCTTGTCCTCATGGGCTCGATTTGTTCGGCCTACTTCATCGCGCGGTTGGGCCGGACACCGTATTCAGCAGCATACTTGCATTTGAGTAGAGTCCTATTTGATTTCTGCCAGCAATCCAGAATACGTACTACTGTACTTACAGGCAAAAAGAGGATAGAAATCGAGATTCATATGTGTACTAATTAATATATCCAGTTCAGGTAGATATATATATATATATGTTACAGACTTATACATGGTTCAGATAGATAGATATACTTTGTACTCATGCTATACACGTAGAAATAAGGTAAGAGTGATAGCTAGACATGCACATGGTTGAGAGATCGATCGATCGATATCGACCGCGTGATAATTAAACTGCTCCTTCTCCTAGTTATTAACATGCATATGCATCTGCAGATATCGCCATATGCATCCTTGCGTCTACGTGAACCACACCACGCATCGTCAATAGTCGTACACATCATCATGCTATCCGCGCGCGATTCTTCAATCAATACATCCACACACCTAGATCTTCAAATGCTTCAACCTGCAGCATATGCAAGCACGAAGAATATCAATTCACCATGACTAACTAATCTATCATCTGAAATCTAATCAAGTAGTCCATCCGTTTCATAATATAAGAGATTTGACTTTTGCTTGTACTGTTTGACCACTCGTTATATTTAAAAAATTTGTACAAATATAAAAAACGAAAAGTTATGTTTAAAGTACTTTAAATAATAAAGTAAGTCACAAATAAAATAAATAATAATTTTAATTTTTTTAATAAGACGAATAGTCAAACAGTTAAAAAAAGTCAAAATCCCTTATATTATGAGACGGAGGGAGCAGATGATTAATCATGTAATTACTATACCTTTCGGCCTGGTAGCCGGCGGCGGCGGGGCAGCGGTAGGCGGGGAAGGGGACCTTGCCGGACTCGATGTGCTTGATGTCCTCCTCCAGCATCTCGTAGTAGCGCTTGACGTCCTCCGCCGACTTGCCGCCGCCGACGGCGCGGGCGATGTTGTGCCACCGGTCGGGCGTCTCCTTGTCGTACACCGCCAGCGCCTGCTCGAACAGCTTGTTCTGCTTCTGCGGCCACTGCGCCCTTGCCTGCTGCGCCATTGATCACAAGTTAACTGAGAGCTAGCTAAGCTAAGCTTGCAGGCCGGCTGTGTTAGTGTGTGCTGAGATGAGATGAGGAGGAGTGTGAGAATGGGCGCTACTTATAGGCAGCTAGCTGGGTGTGGGCAGCAGCAAGAGAGAGAGGATTCCATGGTCGTGGGTGTGGCCGGGAGAATTGTGCTTTTCCGGAGAAGGGTCAAAACGATGGAGGTGAGTGATGAGGTAGAGAGATAGCATGCAGCTAGGCAGGAGGAACAAACATTTCTGTCCCCGGGAGGTGGGCGGAGGATCTCTGCTAGCTAAAGCTAGCTTATTAGCTCTCTTTCTATCTCTTAATTTGCTCCTGTCGCGTCGCGATTCAGCTTGTTTATCGCGCATATGTTCCATCGATCTCCATCTCTGTCCTATTATTCAAAGATCCAATCCAAGCTATAGCTATATCTGGACTCCACCTATGGATGTTTAGTTAGAACGCGTAATGAAGATTTGTTCGTATTCGCAGTCAGGGTTGGAAACTTCGAACCGAAATTTCGGGATTTCGGTGACCCCCGATACAAAGGGCTGTCCCGATAGAGTGAACCCTGTTCGCAGTTAGTTCATTTTTAGCGGGAATTATTAGCATTGTATTCGAGAAATAATTAAAGACGCGTGAAGGGATATGAAGTTCCCTCGAGGAAATGAAAATGCACTTCTCATACATAAATCATGTTCAGTTTACAAAGATGTTCAGACTTCCTGTTTAAATTACTGCATGGATGTTCGATTCTTTTTCTGACAGTTATCAAGGATGCTGCTGCATCTGAAGAAAATAATTTTCAGTTACCGCTTACATATTCAATTGTTTATCTCACAGTTATCGAGGACGCTGCTGCATCTGAAGAAAATATTAATGATCAAATGGTCGCGGTATGCATAAGCTAGCTAATCCGAAGAACAAACAAACAAACAATCAAAATATTACTTGTAGAAAGAGCTGTAATAAGTGCAATTATTTGGTTCAGAACATTCAGTCACTGTCTCCAAATAGCTAGTTGCAAAGATCGGATTCCATCACTGGAAAGAATGTGTGTGGTTGTAAGATCGATCGAGGAGCATATATATCTTGCTTTTCTGAGAGAGAATAATATCAAGCAATCTAGCTCCAACCTTTTAGTGCATGACTCTCTGTCCATGGTTTTAGTATCCCACTACTTCATTTTTATTTTATTTTTTTGAAACCAATGGAAAGAAAGATTCTTTATGTGATTCAGTGAAAGACATTTCTTCCGTGTGTGTGCCGCGGCTGATTCTAATTTGCCCTTCTTTTTGGCGATTCATGAGCGTTTAAAGGCAATCCCTGTTGCTTTCCCTATGCGTTAATCGGAATATGGCTTTAATAGACAGAACATGATTTATAAAAATGAATATAAAAGACAGATAATTTGGCTGTCTCTGGCACAAGAGGTACTAGTTAGTAATTAGGTTCCAATCTATATATACTTTATTCTGTATCTTTTCTTAATTATAAGGCATGATTTGACTTGGTGTGATTTTCTCTGAAAACGAACTTTGACCATTAATTTAGTTTATAGTTCATCCATTCCATAAAAAAAACTAAATCCCGTGTTTAGGATTTGTTTTTTTAAAGACTGAAGGAGATTTATTTTTCTATGGACGGATGGAGTAGGTTTCTACCATAAATTTATGGTAATAAGAAGCACTTTGAAAAACAAATGCATTGGTATATATGTACTTGTAATAATCAGCAATCAACACATACATGTACTGATGGACCAAGTATATATTTAGCAAAAGAACATGATCAAATGCATTTTTTGTTGCTATATATCCCCACTTGTTGTGGAAAGCCTTGATCCTTGGAGGTGGAGCCATGTGACTGATGATGTGATCGGTGCGATTCGATTCTCCTATTTTCTACTCCGATAGGAGATTCTTTTCTCGCAAGTTGATGTGTACATATATAATTCTTCATTAGTTCGTCCGTGAGGAGAAAATTATACAATAAAACGATGTGAATATATATATGAGCACCGAACAAAGCATTCTGAATGCACCGGCCGGGAGATTCTTGGATACAAATGTAGCTATATATACACAAATGCATGAAAGACATGAAATTAGACTATAAGGGAATACAATGCATGCAAAGTAGCTTAGCTAACATTGCAGACCAGCTAGTCTATCGATCATTAATTCGATTTTACTGGAGTTCTGATCCTTGTTAGACGCCCTTCTTCATTTTCTTGCCAGACTTATATATCTTCTTGCATGATATACTTGATTTACAGTACATATATATTTACTTGCATGCATATATATGCGTTTATATTGGTCATGAAGGCGCTGAGGCACGGCGTACGTGATCACTGTGTCATCTGTAGCGTTTTTTTTTCATGAACGCGGAAAAGAATTGCACGTCTAGTCATCTGTAGCGTGATCATCACTGATACTTCAGGTACCTAGATCTGCAGGGAACAGAGAGTACAATGCATGCATTTTAGTACACCGGTGTTAGTAGCTGCTTAAATTAGTTGCTCGTACAGTGTTTTATCGAGTAGTACTAGCGGTCATTCTGAAGATCTCGGTCGCGTCAATGTACTTGTTACTATCTATGATGTTGTTTTTCATTACATGTAATCTAAATAGTTACAAAAAATCAAAAAATATATTGATAACATGGATTAATACAAAATATATCACTTCACGAACATGCAATACTAAATTCAACTTCTACAATTACAACAGAAATAACAAATTAAACTGGAAATAGTTATCGCACATTCACAACTATATTTGTTATTTTTGTTACAACTTGTAGAAGTTAAATTTAAATTTGTATGTTTGTGGAGTGATATATTTCATTTTAATCTATGTTAAAAAATATATTTTTTGATAACTATTTAGGTGGCATGCACGAAACGAGAGATATCCGCTCGGGTGATAAAATCACTTTCCCACTATCTATGTATAAAACGGAACATTGTACAGCCATGCATATATACAACGTGTATGCATTTGTGATATGTATAAATATGAGCAAGTTGACGGATAAAGTCGGCGTGCATGATCATGCAAATATAGTGTGGCATGTGTCAAGCTTAACCTAACCCTGAGAGGCATGCATGCACTATACACTGTTCCAAACGGCTATCTATATCTATCTATCTGATCAATAATAAAGCTTATCACTACTGTCACACTATCACAAGTGCCCATCCCTCTTAAGCACATGCATGAGCCGCCCCATGGAAATACATGATTCAGGATTAGATCTCATGTGCTGTTGTGTTGGATATATATTGCTATATGCATCGTCGGTACGTGACACCAGCGACGCTAGTCGGCCACCGCCCACCGACGACACACATGCATGCACGCACGCACGCCCATCGATCGATCGATCGAGCAAGCGTACGTAGTAGAAGAACACTACCACATGTCGACATGCGCGCGTGTGTGCATTCATGCATGCGATCGACATGTACACTAGCTAGCACTACCTCTCCAAAGGTTAATCAGTACCGACTCTAAACTCTCTCTGTACTATCTTTGTCTTAAAACACACTATATATGTCGTTAACTTTTCCATAACATCGATCACATATTTTATTTAAAAATTTAGTATAAATATGTAAAAGTATCAATTAACATCATAATTTTTATTATAAAACTAGTCACAATAAAATAAATAATATTTATATAATTTTTTAATAAGATAAAATGTTAAATGTTATATATACATTAAAAAGTCAACAGTATTATTTACTCCCTCTGTTTCACAATGTAAGTCATTCTATCATTTTCCACATTTATATTGATATATATATATATATATTCATTAACATCAATATGAATGTGGAAAATGCTAGAACGACTTATATTGTGAAACGGAGGAAGTATTTCAGAATAGATTAAGTATTAAATTTATGGTTGGCATTACGAGTGCGCGGTACTGATGAGAGATGAAAGACGGTTAATAACCTGTTTCCGTCGTCGGCTCCGCGGGAGGAGGAGGAGGAGGAGTAGCGGGGGAAGGGGACGCGGCCGGACTCGATGCGGGAGACGTCCTCGACGAGGTGGTCGAAGTGGCGGCGGACCTCGTCGGCGGACTTGGCGCCGCCCATGTAGCGGGCGATGTTGTGCCACCGGTCCGGCGTCTCCTTGTCGTACACCGCCAGCGCGCACTCGAACTGCTTGTTCTGCCGCTGCGTCCACCCGCCGCCGCCGCCGCCGCGGGACGACGGCAACGACATCATCGCCTGCTGCTGCTTCGAGCCGGCCGCCGACGCCATTATAATAATGCTGCTAGCTAGCTGCCTACTGCAACTGGAGTAGATTGTGTAGATTAGGCTTGTTCAGTGGCAGATCAGCGAACAACTAACTCTGAAACGATTCAAGGAACAAGCGAGGTATATATATAGTGCGTGCACGAGCTAGCATGCACGCTGCACATACGTACGGCGGCCTCAAACAGAGATGCGATCCCATGCTATTTGTGCTATGCTGACAATAGCTACGTACGTACGTGCATTATATGCAGCCGATGGAGCTCCCCGTATGCATGGAGCCATCGAATCGTCATTTCGATGTTGCCACTAGATTTAGTGTCGGCAGTATATCAATTCGCAAGTGTCACACTGCCTGCTACATTTTGGAGTTCGATATGTCTGAGATGCATGCCTGCTTGCTTGGGAGGAGAGAGATGTCTCGATCTCTAAACATTTTTCAGAAGAAATTATGAGCATGTTCATGATTGAACATGAGATCTCAGAGTTAAAACTACACGTGCACATCTTGTTGTTACACTATCAAGTATATCTCGAGGATTCGACAATAATTATAGCCACTTAAAAGACTTTTATTTTACAATGACAATGTGAACGTGTGTTGTAGGCATTGAAGACTTTATTTCCCTAGTTTTAGTGTGGTCATTGCCCCTCAGGTGGTGACCTTTACTACAACCTTGCTGAGGTTTTGCACCGTAATCCCTTTCTTCTTAATAAACTCTAGACGGCGTCCTTCCGTTGATTCGGCGAATTTTCTTTCCTACTTAGTAAAGAAAACTAAATGTTAGCTCGGCCCACCAAAACCACATAGACCACAACTTTAGATTCTGAGCCTATACAATACAAAAGATTAGTCTACGGTTGATGGGCTGGGCTATATACTCTAACACTAAATCACTTCATCAGAACACAACTCTTCTTCATTGATTAGTCAAAGTGGCATGCCCATTGTTGTTAGCTGGTGAGTTGACTTGGTACAGCTCTAGTTGTTAATTTGCCGTTTGTTTGTCATGCACGATTCATACTCACTGAGTAGTAGCGGTGCATAGCTGAGCAATTACAAATTTTTCGCTGGTCTGAATTACTATTGCAATACTGTCACCAAAAAAATTACAAAAAAACCCTAGAACTATCATTCAAGTGATATTCTTGTAAAATTTAAAAAACCAATAATAAATTTGCAAATGCCCCAACAGATTGATCGCTAGCTCTCCCGACATGGATAGAGGGCCACCGACGGCGATATAGGTTGAGTAAGGCCAGCCCACTCACTGGAGTAGGTGAAAAGGTGAGCCTAGGCTTGGTGTTTGTATCCAAGGTTAATCGATTTATTACTATATATAGTAGGATGTTTGCTGCCACATAATACTAAAAAAACAAGCTATATGAAAAATATTCATTCCCAACATGAAAAAACATGTTGTAGTATTTGATGAAATATTTCTAGTATTGTAAATATTTTTTAGGGAAAAAAATCACATATTTCTTACACACACGCACACACGCAAAACACAAGTGTAGATTTGTATCTTGTACTCCAGCCATAAATACTTGTTGTTTGGCAACACTTGGTCAAATTTTTAAACTTTAATCATCAATAATTTCTCCAATAATAGTTTATAAAAACATAAAAATGATATACATAGATTTTCCTTAGAAACACTATCATATAATATCACAAATTTATTAGGTTTTATGAACTTATTTCAACACAAAATCGATGGTCAAAGTTTTAAAATTTTTATCAAATCTTTAAAATGTCTGTTTTTTTTATGGTTGAAGGGAGTACCCGTATTTCCGTATTGAAGATTAAACTTCTTTTCAGAATGAGAGAAATAAAGCCTATTTAACTTCAGTGCAATATATCGACATTATTCGACTGAAAAGATAATCTCGGAATCTCTCACACTTCATGTTCTCTGGAAAGCAAATGGCACTACAAGCTAATTAACTGAAAATTAATATGCACTCCAAACTCCAAAGCCCAAACAGAGTAGTAATGTTGTACTGCAGATAACACTGTGAAAGATACTGAACTATCTGAAGTCACTTGAGCAGAACATCGGTATTACAATGGCTCCCCTAGGGGTGTGGAAGTCTAAGATCCACCGGGAAAGGGATACCAATATGCTGCCATTTCAAATCAAATTATCACGCAACTTGTTTCTCCAGGGTGCCAGATTCTGACAGCCACAGTCAAAGAATATATGCCATGTATCCAAGCCCACAGGATTGCAGCCCTGATGATAGATAGATATATGCTAATTCTAACCGCGGTTAAACAGATTCTGAAGCTTGCTATCTGCAAATGGAATCGTTATCATTTTCTTTAACGGCAACAGCGACCGGCCTGCAGGTCAGGACATGGTCGGATCAATGGCGAAATGGCCATCGACGTATGCACATATTGCCTTGTTCTTCGATCCCCTGTCGGCCAGGAGCTACGTTGAAGAAAAAGTTGCAGGAATCCATTCCACTAGCTTAGCTATAGCTAGCTTCATGGAACTTTCAACAGCAGAGCTGGTCAAAGACTCCACAATTATTGCCAAGGATTCTGCATTCTTCTGCTGCTGCTACTGTTAACCTTGGCCCTTGCAATATTCAGAACCATCCGTTCGATTTTCTGAAGAATCCATGAATGGAAAAAAAAAAAGAAAAGAAGCAAGCGAGCTGAGCAAGAGCATCAGCTGATCATGAATTCGACCTCCACGAAAACGAAGAAGCTAGCTATATGTATGCACGCACAGTGGGGGCATATATCCATTCTGCTCCATGTATATACGCATGCCTTTTCTGAAGATGAGAAGAGAATTCCATGTACTGATAGAAAGAGAGAATCTTGAGATGATGTTGCTGTCCACACGCCACGCAGGCAGCTTGGCTTTTGCGGAGGTGCTGCTGCCGCTGCGAGGTCGGGGGATCGAGAAAGAAGAGACGAGCAATCGAGCATCTGCATGCACTGCCGAGTCAGATGATTTTTCGTATCGGCGGCCACAGAAGATAAGAGATCATATCGCCTCCGCTTTTGGAGATACCAGATGATGAAAACAACAGCGGATATCACCATATCAAGGCACATTATCTCCTGTAAAGCTATTCCATGTCCTCTGTCTGCTTCATGCCTGTTTAAGTTTATTTCCCAGTTGCACATATTAGCTGCCTTATTATTTTTTATGTTAGCTTGTCTGATGAGTAAAAAAGGAAAAAAAACTAGCACTTTTGAGACACTGATTCGATCTAATGCACAAAAATATATACATTTTTAGCTAATGAGAGATGCTTAGGAAGAAAAACTAAGCAATTCGAAATTCAGAATTCCATTGTTTAAATGACAAAAAATGATATTCTCTCTACACCTTATATATTATTTTTTTAAAAAAATATAGGACAAACAAGGCACTCATAGTATGTGCACATTCGCCTCTATAAACGCATACACGCATACCCTTACTCTATGAGCTGACATACTTTGACAAAGTCACCACGGGTGCGCTTCACTGTTCGTTTACCAGGTTAATTACAGCAAAGAATATAAATGTGAACATATGTGTCAAGGCTAGAACTTGACATGGCTGCGCTGATTCCACCACAAAGAATCTAACCATAAGCTGCACTCGTTATAAAGAATCTAAATATAGTTATATTTTAGAACTATCTTTAGAACGGATGGAGTTCTTTTTATGTATCAGCTTGCCATGCATCTTGGTCTGATGAAGTAACAAAGGGACAAAAAATTGCATGCAACTATATATACATGTATGCAAGTTGATTTGATACTTTTGGTGAGCGTAGCTCGGTAGCTTAGCCGCTAGAGTTCGAAGAGTGTGGACTGGGGACAGTGGAGTTCCATGTAGCAAGAGTTCGTGGCACCTTTGCAGCGAGCGAGACAATTCTGAATTTCTGACAGCATCTTTAAGCATTACTGTATATGTTTAGTCATGCTATGTCTGCCTTTTAGTTTTAGGTCAGGCTGAGATGCCATGATTCTTGCAGCACATAGAACTGTAGTTACAGGCAAAATACTATATATACATTGAAGCATCTAATCTTCAGAGCAAGTTGCAGTCAACTCAGGTCGGTAATCGAACATATGTTAATTTGATCTTAATTCTGCTCGCATGTTTCTTTCCCTTCAGCTTCTGCATGTTAAATCACCTTTGCATGGAGAAATAATGAACCAAACACAAGAAAAAAAAACTAGCAGAAACTATATTTTCAGTCTAAAATGTTGTTTTTTTCTTCACTTTTGTTTTCCTTTTTTTTAAAAAAAATCAAACGAAAAGAAAGAGCAAACAGAAAGCGAGCCCAAAGCTGACAAAACCAAAGCAGGCCCAACCCCCCGCTACTAATTTCACAAACGTGGGCCCGGTCCATCCATCGTAATTTGGGCCCAGCCCATCATCATCCATCGTAATATGGGCCGGGCTTCTTTTGTGAATTTCTTCCCTTGCAGTCTCCCTCGTCCTCTGTGTCCAAAAGTTGCAACTCCTCCACCCTTTCTTCCCCACGAACGGCGGCGATGGAATCCGACGGCGAGGAGGAGGCCGCGGCGACCCCGGGGGCCGGCGGCGCGCCGGCGGCGGGGAGGCTGAAGGGCTGCCCGGAGCTCATGGTGGACGACGACATGCGGGAGATGGCGAAGACGGCCGCCTGGAGCGTCAGCTCCTGCAAGCCCGGCAACGGCGTCGCCTCCCTCCGCGACGACAACCTCGACACCTACTGGCAGTCAGTAAAACCCGCTCCAAATCTCCATTTGTTTTTCCTTCTTCTTTTTCCGAGGGAGGAGATTGTTAATGTGATTTGGGTTTTGACATTTTTTTTTTGGGTTAGGTCGGACGGGGCGCAGCCGCACTTGGTGAACATTCAGTTCCAGAAGAAGGTGCAGCTGCAGGTGAGTGGAGAGGGATTCCTCACTTGGGCTCAATTTTGTTTGATTCGAGTGGATAATCGTGCTTAGTTGTTCCTCCCTTGCTGTTGCGTCGCAGCTTGTCGTGGTGTATGTGGATTTCAAGCTCGACGAGAGCTATACGCCTAGCAAGATCTCTGTCCGGGCCGGCGATGGCTTCCACAATCTCAAGGTGCTCTCCTCCCACGATAGATAGTTGTGACTTGTGGCAATGTTGCTTGGCCTTTATCTTAGCTTTTAGGCAGATGTGAATATCTGGACTTTTAGTTCTGATTTTGCTCTCATTGGAAAAAGGTTGTTGCTTTTGGATCAAATGTGGTAGTGTCATGTGACGCTTTCAGAAGTTTCGTTACAGTGTTAGGGGCAGTTTGGCATAGTTTGCCTTGGTGTTTATATTGTACTGAACTAGGAATATATTGACATTAGGCTAGGTCGCACTGGAAAATTGTGGCAGGATTTTGTTTCGGTGAACATGGTACCTGTTCTGCTATGCTCTTGCAGGATGAACTGATACTTGAACACTTTCAATTTGCTCACTGATAGTATTGCTTTGATCTAATGATGTGTTATACTTTTCTCGTATCTGTAGGAAATTAAAACTGTGGAGCTTTCAAAGCCAGTTGGGTGGGTTCATATATCATTATCTGGAGCTGATCCCCGGTATGCACTTGTAACGTAAATATAACAGCGATTCAGTACTGTATCTGTTTGATATAGGAGGGCACCAATTGTTCAAGGATTTCTCTTAGGTCTCTCATAGCATTTAAATTTTGAAAGTATATCACAAACTTAAGTATTTTGATTATACAATTTTAATGTGAGCTCATAAAAAAAATGTGAAGTCACATGTGTGACCAAGCTATGGAAATATCACTCCTTACATCTATCAGCAGTGATGGACCATGTCAGATGCTTACTTTATCTCTTGCAAAGTTATTTTTAACACTTCAACACATTGGCTCTTGGCTAGTCTCCATATAAATATGTTTTAATGCAGGAATTAGGATACCTCATATTCTTAGGATAGTGCCTATATTTCATAGTTTATTAGTTCTAATTCTGTCTTTATTATCATTTGAATACTTCGTGCAACTTGAGAAGCACCGATACTCATTTCAGTCTAATGGTACTTGGTACTCCCTTTGCAATATTTGGCCATGAGCACTCTAGAAAATGGTTATAATACTGATCGAATGAAATACACTTAAAATTTAATCTTTCATCTCTCACAGTCAAAATTGGTTGTTTCTAATTGTACTACTCTGTTGAAGACAGTTGTGTAATTTTTTTTCTTTCATATTTGTGCAGAGAAACATTCATTCATACATTTATGCTCCAAATTTCGGTGTTGTCCAATCACTTGAATGGGAGGGATACTCATATTCGACAGATCAAGATATATGGGCCAAGACCGTAAGTTGATATTATACAAAGCCTCTAGTTGTGTTTTAAGTAGTACAGAATGTGATAATCTCAATTAGTTTTGCATCCATCAGATCAGGATTTTATTGGCATAGACTGTAAGTTGGGTATTTTACAGGCAACCACCCCTAAATAGCTGTATTAAGTAGAACAAGATGCAATAATGTTGATTAATTTCATATCTGACAGATCAGAATTTATGGACATAGACTGTCAGTTGGATAATAGTACAATCGACCACCCTCATATGTAGTTGTATTAAGTAGGACAAGATTCAGTAACCTCTAATATTTTCCTGGTGGAAAAAGTAAATCCAAGCATTTCCAACTAAAGAGAACAAACAGAAAATCATACTCTGGTACAATCTGGCATTAACGTCATGATCCATTGCTTACTACATGGTCAGAGTCCATATAGAACTATTGCTTCCTCCCAGATAACAAGCAGTGCATGTTGATGATCCTGGTTGAATAGTGCTGGCACTACAGTATTGCCATTGTCAGGTCTGAAGTCTGTTCTGTGGCTTTCATGTAGTGTCACTCTTGATATCTTACCAACAGTACGGGTACTTAACTGTTGAGCAATTGAACCACTGACATATGGGCCATAATAAAGTGGACCCACATGTCAGTGACTCGACTGCATGTGCAGTTTAAATCAGGGGATTTGCTTCCCTAACATATAAGTTTTTCAACTTTAATTCTTATACTGTTCTTTTGCTTCCAGGAATCATGTTCCCCATCAGCCATTTCACTTCACTTCAAGGGAATTCGTCACCTACTCTACTGTTAGGTGACAGCTGACTAATTTAATTCCGTGGAACCCTCCACATTGGAGCTTTTGTTGAAGATTTTGGATAGCTCAGCACACATGTGAACAGATTGTGTGGTCGATCCCATTCTCTGTGCTTCAGAATTCAGTCTCGCATGATGTGCACCCAGAAATCAACACTGGAAGAAGCATCTGAAGCATCAAGTCTCTCATTGCCTTTCCGGAGAATTGCTGTATTTTTAATATGTAGAAAATTGATATTGGATTCATCTGTGTGTACGAGCTACATTTTCGTCCATGGAGTGTAACATTATCCTCCTCTCGTGTGCAAGAGAAGGTTATTTATTCATTGATATTGAGGATGGCTGATGCTTATGGTCTTGCCTTATTCTTCCCCTTTTTGGTGCTCTTGCTTACCAAGCTCAATGGGTACTGGGCCGTACCTTGTGAAAGGACGAAACAGAAGCCATTCTAGAAGGAAAAAACATTTGATTTTATTTTTAAGTCTTTGTAAAAAAAAACTACTTTTATTGGCACAACTGAATTTTACATAAAATTTGTAAGAATTTCAGAATGAATATTAGTTCCTGCATTTCGTACGGCGAATCAGAATAAATATTAGTTCCTGCATTCCTACCAGTGAAACAGAGCAGGTACTACTCTCAAAACTCAAGAAGAAGAAGAAGAAGAAGAAATGGCGCAGCTGTTGCCCCATTTTCTCTGGGCCGATTGGCATGTGCTAGATTTAAATCGCAATCAAGGCCACCGACCACGTTTCTGTCGAAACCCTGTCTCCCTCACGCATGACGGGCGCAACGCAACTCAAAGCATCGCGTGGTTGGTTGCTGCTGAAACCATGAAAATGGCGTATGTGGAGCACGCGAAATTGATGAGATGGTCCTGACGACGGACGGAGTCTTGGCAGGCATTTCCTTACCAACCTGTCCTGCTGTTCAGCATAAATGTGCACGGTTGCGTATGTTTTCTTCTTGCACCTCATATGTTGTTTTCTCCTCCTGAAACTTCACTGACTAGTTATACAGTGGTCAGAAATATTGTTAGACAGTTATATATCTTAATGTAATTATTTGAATTCAATTAAACTTTCAGTATTTTTTCTAAAAAATCAGTAGTAGCCAATTTCTTCTATGAGGCCTGGTTTAGTTCATAACTTTTTCTTCAAACTTCCAACTTTTTTATCACATCAAAACTTTCTTACACACATAAACTTCCAACTTTTCCATCACATCGTTCCAATTTCAATCAAACTTCCACTTTTGACGTGAACTAAACACACCCTGGGTATTGCAAGTACAATTTGTTATATACTCCTACTACTGCATATGCATTCCATCGGATCAACTGTCAAAGGGTTTCTGCATATGGCAGAAAGCCAGAAATGTAAATCATTTTTATACTATCTTAAAAAAAACATCTAACTGAGGCGCCTGATAAAACATAAGGGCTGTCAGGGGCAGAGGCCGTCCATATGCAGCCAAGCTGCCATTTGAGCCATGCATGATCTTGTCAGCTAACGGAAATGATTCAATGTAATGGGGACTACCACAGATAAACAAATGGGGTTAATTTAGGGCGTCTTTACTTTGTTTACGCATCATCATTTTATATTTAGGGAGTCATAAACAAGTCTGCCAAGTAGTAGAATTGCATAGGTCAGCAGGAGACCACTGGACTAGCAATAATACTATGTATTTGCAAGCATGTAGGTCCTCCAATGATAAGGGCTGGTGGGCTGGCTCCCTACAAACATGCATTTTTCTCTACTGGGCCCCAGCTTAGCTGACCTCCAAAGATCAACAAGATAGCATCAGTACTACTACTATTCTCTATTAATTAATTAATTTCCTAATCCTGCATGCCAAGGGTTTAGGGTTAGTCGCTAGAATGTGTGGTCTTTACTTAAAAAGAGGATTCAGTAGTACTTGTATGTTCATCAATTTTACTGGTTATTGTTTCCTGTGTGATCATATTTAGCTTTCTTATAAAGCTGGATTCCTATAATTTTATCATATGTTAAATATGTTCACCATCTTGTTTTAATTGAAGCTATGCACTAGTAATATGAAAAGTGAAAGCCCCAAATTGAGCTCTCCTGCATCAAATAAGCAGCATTGGACAGCTAGATGCAAAGAAAGTAGAGCAAAAGCGACTGAAAGTATGAAACAGTGTGGCATTTTAAACTTGAGAATCGCAGCAAAGCAGGGTGCATTGTAAAGAGCAAAGGAGCTAGCCGGCATGTATGTTTCAATCCAGATTCGTGATCAGATTTAAACCTGCTTTATCGCCTACCTGTGATCTCTTTTCCGCATTCTTTGTATCTAAGGCATAAGATAGATTCCTTTAAAGCAACGAGATTTATTGTCAAGGGCTTAATGCCCGTCAGGAATTCCAAGCTTTTGGTCAAATCAATGTAGGTAGGACATGCTTGAGCATTTTTAATCTGTAACTTTACATTTAGGAACTACATTTTCAGGACAACCTGGAACTGAAGTTTTCATGTGCCCTCTACTGATGAGTATATACTGCTTTACAAGTTTCGCTAGGCATAAGAAAAGGAAACACTGTCATGTCCAAGCCCAAAAATCTGTTCTTTTTTTTTTGAATTCATAATGGGAATGAAATTAAAACGGTGCGATATAATAGTATGTGCATATATAAGTTATTACTACTTAACTGTGTTATATAGTATGTTTTTATGTGATTACTAATTAATTTTGTCAGTTGTACTGAATGATTGGTAAACAAAAACAGCATGGTGGAACACATTTATGCATAATTTCATTCACATGCTGAGACAAAAAATTGACGGCTAGATCTCCATCATACAGTAATGCTGATCACGAACATGATAGAGACAAATTAGCTTTGTAAGTTTGTAACCCCACAGAGATATTGACGTGCCAAGGGAGAGCCAGGAAGATCCCAGCTATATTACCTGGAGATCTAGAAGATATATGGCTGATTATGCATGGTTGGTCCAATGGATCCATCACGCAAATTATTAGGTTGCTGCCCCCACGCAGGCACGTCGTCCAAACTAATAATCCAACAGAAGAGCTCAAAAACAATTAGGTGCCAACCAACCAACTCCCCAAAACTGAATGATCAAGCCAAAAAAACCTGGTAAAACCCTGACCCAACCAACCAACCAGCTACATGACAACATAATTATAGGAGAGTCTTGGAGATCATGGATAGATAGATAGGTTGATAGATTAATATATGTATTGTGATCTTTGATGACCCAAACTGGCAACTAACCAAACCACACAATGGCATGCACAGGGGTGAGTGACACAAGCCATTACTATTCAAAAATGCTGGCATTGCTAGGATTCAAACAGGGTGTTAACGTCATGGGGACTTGACATTGTTGTCTGGAGCACATGTCCTTTGGTGATTGGACGATGGTGATTGTTTTGGGGCCATTAGAAAGGGCTGGATTTGATTGGCACACCCACTGTTAACTAACACATAGGCATATGATATACTAGATATAACTAGCCATCCATGTTGGTAGCTTAGCTATCTCTTTTATTTAGTTGTTTGCATGGGATAGTTAGTTTAGTTATTACTACTAAGATAGTTTTTGTTATCCTTGGATGAGCAAGAATGATGGAGAAGGGACACCAGAAAAACATCAGAAAAATGCTACTCTTTTGGAAGAAGATGGCATGCAATGATTCTTGGCGAGTAGTGATCGGAACACCCAATGAGATCGCCCACTGGCATTTGTTTTGTGTAATTGTGTTCTTGTCAGGCGTAATCCTTTCCATGCAAAAAGTGCTCATTATTGTTGTCCCGGCTAAGCTTAGCTCCATGGATGAATTAATTTTCGGGCAACTAGAAAGGTAAGTAAACACACTAGTTAGTGACTGAATTAATGGACACACCTGCCAGATCCAACATGCTGCATATCAATTGCTTCCATCGACGACTTGCCGGATCATCACTGAACTGTCTCTTCCGTACGCTTTAATTCTTCTTCAGACACAGAGCCTGCCGTGTGTGCAGTGCACACACACATACTGTACGTACAGAAGGCGTCTGAGGTCTAGCGTGCAAATCACAACACTACTGAAATCTGAACTCTGAATTTCTGAATGCATAAAGCTGTTTGGTCTTCTGAAATGCACCTATATATACAAGACAATTACAAGCTGCAAGAACACACAGAATCATATCGGTTTGCAGTCGCGCACACATTGATCCAAGGACAAAGCTAAGGATCAACGTACATCAATGGAAGTCGTTTTCAGCATGCGAAACGCAGGGCAAAGCGATCGTCGTCGTGAGTAGCCTGAAACTCTGAAACGAACTATTCGACGATCGGCACACACAGGAGAAGAGAATCGGTGGAGAGAGATCGATCTTACGAGCTGTTGCTATCGCATTGAATCGCCAATGACCGGTACACCCCACCAAACCACACACCCCCCCCCCCCCTGCAAATAAGAGTACCAGACACCGTGTCCGGTTGCTTGCTTGCTCCCTCCCTCCCTTGCACACCATTCCACCCCCATCGTTTTCACGCGGCGGCGGCGCAGGATCGTCCTCTACGCACGCGGCCGGTGGCCGGCCACCCGGCTAATTTCTCCGCGGAATTACGACAGCCGCCGGCGGCGCCGGAGATCGGAATTAAATAGATTTTTCTAATTTACTATCCTCTAACTTTAAGTAACCGGTATGTAAGCCCGTAGTTCGTGAGCCCACATGTCAGTGATCTATGTTAGATGACAACTCTTCCCCGGAGATCGAGCTGGCCTGGTGTGGTTGAGGAAGGAAAAAGAACTGTATGAAACATGTGGTGTGAATTCTAAAAATAAAAAAAAAATCATGCGGCGTGCAAATGCGTGGCAAATTGGCAGCTTAGTTGTGGTTTTGTTTGCAATTGATCAACTGACAAAAACTCCGTGCCGGGCCTTTGATTCGGTTGCATGGTTGCCTGGTTGGTCGCAGCGATCGTAGGCGTAACGTTGGGCAACGGGAAGACTATCAGTCATGTTTGTGATTATTATCATGTGAAACAACGGAAGTATATGCACGATGCGTTTATACGTGCAAAACGACCATAGTTGACCTACGGACGCATATCCTAGCAGCGTTTGCGCGCAACGACTCTTCCGAAACCATAATCGATCAAATTGGCCGCAAACAAGTCACTATACCATGACCTATGTGAGACCCTCTGTCGGGTCGATTTGATAATTTGAAACTTTGTAACGAGCTTCAATTATTTAACATCTTGACCAACTAATTCACTCCAATGATAATTGGCAACAAATTGGCATAAGTGTTAATTGAAGCAAATTAGCAATAAAAGAAATATTAGATCATCAAAATTCTCCATATAATTGGATCATGACAATGTTTTGTAAAATAACGAGCAATATACTTTATACATTACCACATATATACTTCACACTAGTATACATATGCATTTATTTTTTTAAAAAAATATAATACATAATATAGTATAGGAGATCATAAATGTGTTGTTACAGTTATAGTCTACTCTCACCTATACTTTATTCACTATATATTCAATAGAAAACAACAACCCTGATATGCAATAATATATATATTTATTACATATGTATCAAACAATCGGATAATCTACATAACCATAATGCGTGCATGGTATCCAATACAACCACGCACGACATACTGGTGCATGTAGACTTATTATTGTTAGGAGACAATAGCCAGCAACGTGTTTAATGTTACAATTTAGTCGTACATACAATACCATAAATTTTTTAAACAAAATACACTATAAAAGCATGCATCTATATAGATGCATGTACATTTAGGGGGTGTTTGGTTGTCACCCACACTTTACCACGTGTAAAGTTAGACATATTTGTTCACATTGGCAATTGTTTGGTTGTAGCCACAATTATGACAAAGATTGTTTTTCAATAATCTGGGTCCCACATGTCATTGACTCATATAAGTATGACAAGATTCCCTTAGATTTGTTAAGGTATGGTCAACAATTTGATCGTCTCAACTTAGATACGTGTGCCAATATTTGTTAATAAATTATAGCAAAATATGGTTAGCAACCAAAGCAAAATGTCTTATATCATTGAAAAGAATGTAGAAGAATAATCACGCGTCGTAACACGTGAAATGCAAATTTTTTATTTAAAAAAATCAATATACAGTGAGCGTCCACGAGACGGCCAACCCACGCCGGTGAGGTGAAAGAAAGAATCGGTGTGAAACCGTGTGTGGGACGAAGAGAAGCCAAGCCAGAGAGGCAGCCGCCCGCACCGCACGTAGGGGAGAGAGGCAGGATGCGACAAACGCCGACGCGTTGCCGGCCGCGACTCCCCCCCCCCCCCCCCCCCCCCCCCCCCCCCGCCGCGCGCCGGGGCATTGCATTGCTGCTGCTGGAGACATACCTCCACTCCGCCCATCTCTCTCTCTCAAACGGAGACGAGACGACACATTTCCTTTTCTTTTTTTCCCCTGTCCGCCGCACGCCCCACCCCACTCATTCCCCGGCCCCACCCGGTGACCCCACCACGGGAGTAGTATTTTTTTTACTCCCAAAAATCCCACCGGAAAAAACACCCACCCACACACACACAAACACAACTCCTCCGCTGCTGCCTCCCACTCTCCCCCTCACCTCGCCGCCTCCTCCCCTTCTCCCCGCCGCCGACGAGGTCCAGACCGTGGAGCCTGCCGCGGCGGCGGCGGCGGCGGCGGCGGCGGTCGCCATGGATGCGCCGCGGAGGGAGCGGAGGCACCAACACCACCACCGGAAGGCGGCGGCTCAGGTTCAGGCTGCACCTGCTATTGCCGCTGTGGGGGTGGGAGCGGGAGGGAATGGGGCGGCGGCGCGGGCGGCGTACGGGGACGTGTTCGGGGGCCCGCCGAGGTTCGCCGCGCCGTTCGGGGGCGCGCCGGCGGACTACGCCGAGGTGTTCGGGGGCGTGGCGGCCACCTGCTCCATCCCGTTCCTCGACCTGCCCCCCGTGCCCGCCGTGGGCGCCGACTACGGCTTCTTCGGCCGCGCCGGGGCCGGGGACTACGGGGAGATCTTCGGCCGCTTCGACTTCGGGGACTTCGCGCTGCCGTACGAGGAGCTGTTCGCCGAGGCGGAGGCGGAGGCGGTGGGGGAGATTGGGGCGGAGGAGATCGCCTCGTCGACTGGGAGCTCCTCCAGGTTCGTGCCATTTCTCCCTTCACTTGCTTCCCTCCTCATCTCATCTGCGCTTGTTTCCATGGAGTGCAAGACTGTTTTCATCTGATGCGCAAAGACTGTTTTAATCCGTGGCTTTCTTCGCCGTTTCAAAGGTTTTCGTCTAGGAAATGGGATTCGAAAGATTAGTGAGATTTCCGATTTCTTTTCTCTCTGAAAATGTCACTGTAAATAACATTAGTCCAATACTGGGAAGGATTTCCAAACTGCTTCTGCCTTGCATCCTTTTGCTCGTAAAGGTGGTTATTTTTTTAAGGATATACTGTTAACTTTGCTCGCCAATCGTCATTCCTAGCTTTAGGGGTTGGAGAAGCTACTTAGGGAGCATTAGGCATTTCTCGAATTATCTTGGTATCACTGATGATTCACAAAGTTGGTTCCTTTGAGGAGAAAGTAGAGCCTTTTTTTTACGTGTTTCCTGTGTTGACGTGAAATGGTGGCAACAGGGATCGGTACATTTGCTCTTTTTTAGTGTTTCTAGGCTATTTGACTATTCAGGGTCTGTTTTGTGCACAATCTGTTGCTCACAAGCTTCGATGTTTTCATGTGCATACAACATTTTGGAACTACTATATATCTGTCTTAGTTAGAGATCAATGATGCCTTGTTGATGTTAGGTTGTAATCTTTTAGTGGAGATTGCCAGATAGTTGGGATAGTACTGTTCCTCACTTCCTTTGTGTGAATCAGAAAACTGAACTTATAAGGAGAATTAGATACTTACTAGATCTGTATAACGGGGATAATTTGGATGGTACACAAGTGGCAAGCTTGTCATGCAAGAGTTTTCAGTTGTATGGTTCAGTTTTGTGACAGCCAGCCTCACGGCCATGTTGGCTCAAAGATGGTACAAATTGGCAAGGTATTGGCAGACGAGGAAAGTGGGATGCACAAAAATCGATTTGCGATGTTACACATGCTTCTGTTATTCGTCAAATGATAATGAATGTACTAGGATTGGCATTTCTTGATTTTTCATTCTAGCTTACGTGTGCGCAGCTATGGAGACCAATGTTTCTTGATATATGGCCCATTTCTGTTGGCTGAGATTTTAGTGGCGTGACCCATCATGCCGTCTCGCACCAGAAAGTCATTTACCCCCCTACATTCTTTGTGCTCTTTATAGTTCCTTGACAACGGTGCGGTTTTCTGTGATTCTAGAGTTCTTTTGTTATGGCTGCTTTTTTGGCACCCATTTGTATTTTACCTGTCCATGCCTTTTCCTCTTTAATTTGCACTTATGGAGAGCATACTCTATATTTGTCACTTAATATATTCTCCTTTTTTGTGTTTAACAGGTCATCGATGATAAAAGAGTCTAGCCAACCAGATGCGCAGTCATTTATGCTTCCTCAACATTTCAAGGAGCATGAGTCTTCTGTAATTTCCTTCCCTCCAGACAATCAGCAGTTTGTCATGTCATATAACAAGACTACCCAGAGATCTGACGATCTAGTTGAGATGACTACTGATCCTTCAATGGATTATGTGGTTGATTCTTGCGAATTTCCTCACGTGCCAACAACTAATCATGTTGCAACAATGGATAGTGGTATAGAAGCTAATGGAGAAAAAAGGAAGAAGTCCACCACAACCTCTGCAAGTGTCAGTCTAAGGAGCTCTGAGAGTGATTTCACAGTTGATCAGAAGCAGCACATTCCAGCATATCCACCTATTTCTGAAAAAGTTTCTGCAAATGAGAATCACAAGAACTCCAATAGTATTTCAACATCCAGTAATGGAACACCTTCTCCTGATTATGCCTTTCTAAGGGTTTCTGATGTCAACGTGCAAACACAAACAGTAAAACCACCACCTCCTCTGAAGCAGACATCTAAATTGCTTAAGAGGAGAGAGATTTTAGCAAAAGGAGATGTCCATCTTGAAAATCACAGCTGCCCTCCAGCCTCTTCTGCTCATGCCCCTTCAAACACCAGCACATCTCAGGCTGAAAGAAGAGACGATACTGCTTTGTTTAATAATGAGGCCAATCCCAGTTCTGCTGCAGCTGCTATGAAGGAAGCAATGGAATATGCAGAAGCTAGGTTAAGAGCTGCGAAAGAACTGATGGAGAGAAAAGGGGACAGTTTTAAACTTCGTAAGAAACCAAGCCATCATAGAAGCACAAGATCTACAGAAATAAAGGTTCCTACAGAGTCAGACACATTCGATGAGAACCTCTCCGTGAAGAAGTCAACAAAGGAGGAAATGAACTCTGAGGATTCGTTGCTGGACAAGCACCAGAAGGCTAGTGCAGTTAGAACAGATCATTGTGATGACAGTGGAAAAAGGGCATTGTCGCTGGAGAAACCTCAGCATATGCAAAGCTGCACTGCACCCAATCAAACTTCCAGTAAACTAGGTAAGTTAGGCAACTGGACATCAGGTGATGAATTTTATGAGCTGACTGGAGAAGATCAGAAACAGAAAACAGATGCAGCTGTAGGGGAGGAAGATAAGTGTGAGGTAACAAATCCTGTCACCAAGCTCAGCAAGGAACAAAAATGCGAAGTTACTGCAGCGGACTCTGATTTGGAAAGGTATGAAAAGCTGTGGGAGGTTAATGATGGCAGGGATGCAGGAGTGAAACATGTCAATCCGAGAGAAGATAATACATCTCCAATGGGGAAAGATAGGGTGTCTATGATTCTGGAAGCTTCTACAGAAAATATAGACCATGAAAAAATTTATAACTCTCATTTTGAGGGTCCTAAAGTTGTGGAAACTTCTAATGAAAGCCATGATGGTGAGGATGGGGCTGTTGAGATTCCTTGTAAGAGTGGAATCACTATTTCAGAACCAAACTTGATGAAGGACATGCACGGTTCATTCATGGAGGCTTCTTCACCTGGAGAGTATGTGGCCGATTTTGGTAAAGGCACTACAGAGGAAAGTCCAGTAGCAGGAATATCGCTGGAGCCTAAAACCACTAAAGAGGAACTTGAGGCAGCATGTGATGCTGAGATGCAATGCACCACAGGGGATAGTGAAAAATTACAAGAATCTTCAGAAGTCACCAGCATTGATAACTCACTGGCAAGACAAATTAAATCATTGATTCTAGAAGATCTCGAGGGATCTTCTGAAACTCAAGCTTTCCCAGGGGACCCCGGTACTGCTGGGTCAGAAGCTGAAACTTATGGGAGGAACCTTGGTACAACTGGGTTGGAAACTGAAAGTTATGGGAGGGAAAAGTTCAGTTTTGTTGAAGAATCATTCATGCATAATGCAAACAGGAATGTAACTGAATCACCCGTAGAAACTCCAATCCCTGAACAAGTAGAGAATGTTGAGATTGAAGATAGAGTTGGTTCATGTGCACATTCTGAAGAATCAACCGTGGATAAAGATTCCGAGTGTCCTGAAGAGGGAAGTGATATTACTTCACAAAACAACAATCTGCCAGATCATGAAGATTCAACTATGCTAAATGTATTTGAGGTGGCCAGCAAATTGATTAAAAGAGACCTAGATCAAGAAAAGCAAGATACACTACAGCCTGGTGAAGTAGAAACTAGAACTGTCTTGGATAGTAATGACAAAGATACAAAAGAAAACCCTTCAGAAAATAGTAACACGATAGGTAGTGAAGAAGTCTTGAGTCACGGTAACCAGGAGGACCAGAAGGTGCCTGAAATGGATAAAACCAAAGGACGAAGTGATGCAAATGCACAAGTTAAATTAAGTGGTGTAAACTTTTATGAAGATGGAGATGTTACAAGTGCTGCTAATAATGTTACAACTAGATTGACTACAAATTCAAAAGGCCAGGCGTCTTCCTCTTCAGAAATGCTAACTGGCAGACAGCACTTGCCTCAAGATGCTGGACCTGCTATTTCTCAGACATCTAACGGAACTTTCCCTAGTCTTGAAAAGACCGAAGAAGTTTGCAAAGAAGCTGGGAGAGAATTACCAACAGATAAATCTGCTGCATTTGAAGATGAGAATAGCAGGGCATGCAAATCAAAGGCAGAGCTAAAGCAGCAACAATTTCATTCTGAGAAGAGTAGCAGTTTACCTAAATCTGCAGAAGGTCATATCCCATCTTCTGCTGATATATCAAGAAAAGAAACACCTGGGGTTCAGAGACTCAAAGAGCAGGGAAGTCTAAGAACAGAAAGGGAAAGAGAGAAGGACAAAGAGGCTTCTCGGAGACTGGAAGAAACAAAAGAAAGGGATAAAAAATTTGAGAAGGAAAGGGAAATTGCTGAAGAGAGGGAAAGAAAAAAACTAGAAGAACAGGAAAGGGAGAGGGAACGGGAAAAGGATAGACTTGCTGTTGAAAGAGCTACAAGAGAAGCACATGAGAGAGCATTTGCTGAGGCTCGTGAAAGGGCAGAAAAAATAGCATTGGAAAGGGTTACTGCAGCACGGCAACGGGCTTCTGCTGAGGCCCGAGAAAAAGAAGAGAGAGCGAGTACTGAAGCAGCTGCTGAGAGGGCTGCTAGGATAAAAGCAGAACGTGCAGCGGTTGAACGAGCAACTGCAGAAGCTCGAGAGAGGGCAATTGAAAAGGCTAAGGCTGAAAAGGCTGCCGCAGAGGCAAGAGAACGGAGAGAACGGTACAGATCCTCTTTCAAGGAGAGTTTTAAGTCCAGCAATCTGGTAGGTGATGTTTATTGATATGATACACTATGTGGTTCTGTTTAAGGATTTCACATAGTAATATGTAATGCTTTCTTTAACAGTCTTGACAATTTTGAAATATTGGTTCTGGATGCAGGATAATCGACAGGACACACAGTTTCAGAGAGCGGTTTCCAGTAACTTAATGAGAAACCCAGATTCATATAGCAAAGGTACTTATTATTTCCACAAGTATTTTGTAAATTGTAATCTTAGTTCTTTTTTATGAGAGAGTTGTGGAAGTTCCATTGCCTCACTAATTTACAAAACAATGCAAGTAGTGTTGCATTTTTTTCTCAAAATAAAGTGTTGTTTTGCATGAATTGGTGAGTAAACAATAATTGCTCTCTTATTTCTTTGCTCTTTGGTATTTGTTAACTGTAGGGCTTGAGGTTGAATCAGCTTTAAGGCATAAAGCAAGATTAGAGAGGCATCAACGCACAGCTGAGCGTGTGGTAAGCCCCATTTTTTTGTTTTGTTTTGTTTTGTTTCACCCTTTTTAGTTGTCTGTTTCGTAGTAGTTCTCATGATGTAAATATTACCTGTTCTTAGACAAAAGCACTAGCTGAGAAGAACATGCGTGACCTGCTGGCGCAAAGAGAGCAAGCAGAGAAACATGTAAGGAATTGAGCACAAACAAAATCTCCCTTCTCTCGCTTGCCTACAATTTCCTCATAGAATCTGCTGCTTATTTTCATGTTTCAGAGGTTGTCTGAGTACCTAGATCCTGAGATCAAGAGATGGTCAAACGGAAAGGAAGGAAATCTGCGAGCCTTGTTATCCACATTGCAATATGTAAGTGACTATTTGTAAATCCCAGGAAGCTGTAAAACCATTCTGAGAGACTATGACAAACATATAACCTTTTTTTAATCTTTTTTTTCTCCATTTCTCCCTGGCAGATTCTTGGAGCTGACAGTGGTTGGCAGCCAGTGCCACTTACAGAGCTAATTACAGCTGCTGCTGTGAAGAAAGCCTACAGGAAGGCAACCCTTTGTGTCCATCCAGATAAATTACAGCAAAGGGGTGCTACAATCAGACAGAAATACATATGCGAGAAGGTTTTTGATCTTCTTAAGGTTTGTGCAATGTCTACAAAATTTGTTATGATTATTTGGAAGTTCATTTTCTCATGTGTCCTTTTCCATTTCTGATTGCATTAGTACAAGCATGTTTGCAAGAACTGTGTTACTCTAGGATCATTCTGGTTTAACAATTCTCTGGGAACCTTTCACCTCCTAATTACGCTGTTAATACGATGTTTTGGGTCCCCTGTTCCTTTTCACCGTTATCGCACAAGCTAATCCGATTTAGGGCCTGGAGATTATTTAGCAAGCATGCTATGCAAGTGTCAATAGGCAACTGTAAATCAACTCAAATTCTAGAATGAACCACGCCTTGATTCTTCACCTTTGCTACGGAGTAGCTTGGAAGGAACTATGATTGTTTAAACTTACTGAATTTGGCTTGAGTTGCTCCTTTTCTTCATCGCACTGACAGTTTTAAGCAAATTGTGCTCACCGGATCCGCTTCTTTTGCAGGATGCTTGGAACAAGTTCACTTCGGAGGAGCGCTAGGATGGATGCTGAAACAGCCGATTTATTTTCGAGACAGGAAATTCGTTAGTAATTATATAGCCATATTGTTAGTTTGTTAATTCAATATTGGTGTAAATATGCAGTTCTAGATATCTTGCTAGATGATGATGACGCTCGTCGCTCCTTGAATCGATTCAATAGAAGAGCTTCATTGCTCCTAGTCTCTTGTCGAAATTATTATACATTCCTGGAGAGTTCTGCCATTGTTTTACTTGGTGGCAGAAACTGAAAGGGCGTCAGAATTCAAATTCCGGATTCCCTTTGCTCTTAATCTCGCGTGCCACAGTAGCTCTGAGTCTGGACCGTGCTTTTTTTTTTTCCTTTTTAGCGGGCCTATTCTGAGAAGGAATAAGTCTATTATGCCTCCCTCGTGATTAAATCGCGCTCAACTGTAAAACTGGGTATAACACCGAAGTTTCATATGTATAATCCGGTTCTCAGACCATCGAAGTAGTTGATTTGCACCAGTTTTTTAAGATGGGGAGACGTTATATGCCGGTTTGCGGTTGAGGCGGTTTTGCGGTAGAGGGATGCGATTCAATCAGAAACAAGACATGAGGGAGGCAAAATAGGCTTATTCATTCTGAGAAACTTAATAACTGTCGATATGGGCTTGGGGTTAAGACCAAATCGCGACGTGCTCGTCTGAAGTGGGCCCGATATGGCCTTGTTTGGAGAAGACGAAATGCCAGCCCATTCACGTGTGGGCTGAGTTGAGGCCCGTCTAAATGAGGCCTATGTGAGCTGCTGGCTTTGCAATCCACCTAGTACCGGTGGCACGGCTGACGGAGAAATCAGTCCGCCGCCGCCGCCGCCGGCGGCGGCCCGGTCTTCTTGCCGCCACGCCGCGTGGACAACTCGAGCGGCGATGCAGGGATCAATGGCCATCAAATCTTGTAGCAGCGAAACAGAAAATGGAGATAATGGCATGATGGATACATTTTTTTACCAGTTTTGAGTTTATTTACACATGAGATGCACCAACGACCCTCCAAAAAGTTGCTGCTGCTACTTCACTCGGGGCAGCTTATTAGTTATTTAGTACACACATTTTAACGAGCGAAGAACTGCTAGTACTACACAATCTTTCTCGATCATCCGTCTTCCTGGGATCTTCCCTCGAGTTCTCTGCCATGTGGAATCAACGAGCTTGCATGTCCTAACCCCTCAAGAAAAGACGCACTGCACTGCATTTGCAGGTTCAGGGTTCAGAGATCTGTGGCATCAGCGAGCTCTCCTATATGACCTTCCCGTCCTTGATGGTCGCGTTCTTCAGGATCACCACGATTCCCGACCTTATGTAGTACCCTTCCTCAGGCCGATCACTTTCTTGGACACCCTATCAGCAACAGGTTGCAGTGTTCAGAATTTTGTATGAAACATGGGTTGGGAGGTTGCAACTTTGGAATTCCTTTTCGCTTGATCGCTTACCTCGCTGTTTGTGATGACCACGTTCCTTCCAACCCTCGCGTTCATGTCGATGATGCAGTTGCTACAATGCATCAAAAGACGGGTTTAGATCGCGCTCGAAACAGGATATTGCTAGATGTGTTCATAATGCATTGTGGTTCAAGCCTTCAGGTCAGTATCTCACTTTATCTTTGTGTTTTCCCCTACACCAATGGGGACCTTGCCTTCTGACAGTAGTCTTGAAATTTCATCTTCAGTTTCGTACAAATCCGCACCCATCATCATGGTATTCTGCAGGTGTTGTTTGCAACAATCCCAGTGTTGTTCAATTATGCTATACAGGCATATGCATATGGATTCAGTTTAATTTCATTGGTGAAAGAGAGTACCTTGAGCTCACATGCAGAGTTAAGGCGTGAGCGGACTCCAACTATCGAATGCTCGATGGTACATTCACGCAAGAAACAGCCATGGGAAATTATCGCATCTTTAATCTGCACGCACAAATTCCGAAATCAGATATGAAACACGCATATTAAAGTTTGATATAGAAAGTTCATTCCATGCGACTCATACCCTGCATTTATCTGACTTTGTTGGCGGCAAATATCGAGGTGAAGTGAAGAAGGGAGTTTTTGGATCATAAAACTCAAACTTGGGAGGCTGCAATGGAGGAACTTGTGAGTAAATAGAGAATGAAAGTATTAAATATGTTGCAAAGTCTGAACTGTACTTAACAATTGTACAGATCTATTAAATGCATTATTCAGATGTGTTACAATCCAACTACCTCTACAGTTTGAGAGTGCTAAAATTTTGAAGCAGACCAAATACCTGCTCGCAAAGGGCCATGTTTGCATCAAAGAACGATCTGATCGTTCCAATGTCTTCCCAGTAGTCAGCGAAGACATATGCCTATAAACAACAAAAGCAGATGGATGTTCAGTTCACGCCACAAGGCGGACATGATTGCACAAACTACATTTGGTGCAAGTAGGCAATTCAGACTGAATGTGGACTATTACTGAATTGAACATGAGGCATGACTTCCCAAACAGGTGAAAGGAAATCACATAATAGTGCTCAAGCTTAAAAACTTTTACCTGTACATTGTGCTCATGTAAAGCTCTTGGGAGGATTTCAGACCCAAAGTCATGTAGTTCTGCATATCTTGACCTAAAGTGACACTGTTAGACTACAATTCTATATTTCTATAGCATGTGCCCTGTAGGAGAAACCATACTACTGCAATAAGATTCTTACTTTAGAAGGTTTAAAAGAACATCTCTTTTGAAGACATAAACTCCCATCGAAGCAATGTAGGGAAATTTAGTCGGGTCGTCTATGGCAAAATTGAGAAAGCTGGTATCCACTTTCTGCAATGATCAATGACTTATACTTCAGATACTGCAATTAAGTTCAAATATATATCTGAGTATGGGATAAGGTTAATTCTAACCATTGCTTCCAAGTCAGTGCCCTTGGGTTTTTCAGAAAATTGAATTACACGGCCTGAACTGTCGAACTTCACTAGTCCATAGTCAGATGCTCGACTACCATAATAAAGAAAACCAAATCAGGATGCTCTGCATTTTCTGAGGACAAATGCTGATAATATTATCTAACTTTTGGAATATTGTACAATCGATATACCTCTCTCCAACAGGAGCACATGATAAAGTAATGTCAGCATTGTCATCAACATGTTTCTGCAAACGGTGAATGGCATATATTGAAGAGTCAGCCAGTTCAAAAGAAAAGCATGTGGAAAAGTACAGAAGAATGAGGCCAGGACAAACCTGCACAAGCTCCATGTAGTCCATACGATAAAGCTGATCTCCTGACAAGATTAAAATGTGTTCTATAGCTTTATGCTTGTAATAGTCCTGAACAGATACATCAGAAACATTACATACAACATAGTGAGTATTACTTTAGTGATACAGATCCAAGTATGAGCTGCAGATCCACCGTGTGCTTCTAAACAGTATTTACCTCAAGAACCCAGATAAATTTTCTAACTGCATCTGCTGTACCCTGGAACCAACCAGCAGCCTCCCCAGGCATTTGTGTAGCGGCTAATACCTTCAATTGGCAAAAATCATTTCAGTTAATGTGAGCTGTGACTGTTTCTTCACCAAGTCAACAACCACGCAAATCATCGAAGAACATAAGCATCACAGGTCAAGGTGAATTACCTCAACAGATCCATCAGTAAAGTTGATTCCACCACCAAGGTACGTACGATGAATGTGACGATTAAGAGATGCTGAGTTGAATTGAGTCATTATGAATATCTTGTTTATGCCACTGTTGAAACAGTTGCTCATGGGGATATCGATAAGCCTATAGCATCCTCCAATAGGAACCTATGTTATGCAACAAAAGGAAAGAAACAAAGATTAGGCCAGGAATTTCAAGATGACTGAACTCTGAACAAGCCACATGATAGTCTTTGATAGCGTTGAGCTTGAAAAGAAATCATGTTGGCTAAAGTGGAACCGTGGAGGGCACCATGGGGACCAGCTACCAAAATCATTGGGCCACAGCCAAATACTAATTTATACACAATGCTCAAACATGCTACTGAATTAGCTAAACTTTTAACTGGTGTCATGCATATCAATTGCCATGCTTCTGATTCATGTCGACTTGTCAAACTCAAAGCAGGCAAATCAAACTGAGAATTCCTTGCAAATGGTACCCCTTTACTGCAAAAAGCCTATCAACTTGAAACTTAATAAACCTCAGAAATTGAATGTATCATCTTACAGCAGGCGTGGCCCTTGTGCTTGTGAGAGGAAAAAGTTGAGTCCCGGTGCCACCACCCAATATAACAGCAGCAACCTCATTTGGATCCGCAAAGTTCCTCCGGAATGATGTTCGGACATGCTGTAATAATTTTTCATACAGGGTTTAGATATGCTAACAGCTAATAGCATTCGATAGCAAAAGGACAGTGAGAAACCACCAATTTGATAACTGACAGTATGAAACTTACAAGAGTGTCTGGGCCAGCATCTGAGGTGAGCACACATTGTGCACCGTTTTTGGTGCCCCTATAACCAAGACACATCCTCCTCACTGCTCTATCATGCTTGATGCTGCTACTGTCCCCGATCTTCAATCTATCACTAGCTGAGCCCTCACCACCTCTCCTTATTGGGCTCACGCATGCTTTACCCTCTAAGGGAAACACACTGCTGAACTGCATCGTTGAAATTCACCTGCAAGGTAACAAAGTCAATAGCCTTTAACAATTAACTACTCTCGGATACCTCTTCACTATGTAATATTTTTAGCATCACAAGGCAGATACAGGCCAAAAACTAGATTAGAGCAAGGAAAGTGACCATCCTTTCTTTGGTCTAAGGCTCTAAGCTTCTGAAAAAAGAACTACAAAGTCAAGCAAAAAAAAAGAGCTATCTTTTTTCACGGTCCATAAGTAATTAGGACAGTGTAAGGGATCAGAACAATGATCACGGAATACAGGACAGTGTAGGGGCCCTTGATGGATACACCACCAAGATTTTGAAAGCGAAGGAACGAAGTAGTAGTACTACGCATCAACCAAGAAAGCTATAGAAAAGACTTTATGCCTTCTTTTGAGGACGTAGTCATGTGAATCACAAGATCTAAAGCTCACCCGGGATTAGAATCTCACTTCTTCCGAAAATCTGAACCGACGACGACGCAAAGTAGAACAGAACGCTTTATAAATGAACTACTATACCTGAACGGAGTGAGTGATGACAAGTTGGTAGAAATAGCCGCAAAGTCGAACACCGACGCCCCAAACTGAATCTTCAGAAAACTAATCTTTTTTTTTAGGCTTGACGGAACATTTTTTTTCTTGTCGTCAGGAGAGCAAAGCACAACATATGCACAGGAGGATTTCACAACCAAATGGGATTTGGGTAGCTTTACATCCAAATGGGAACGGGAGCTTTTCTCAACGCGAGAAAGCTGCAAGTTTTTCGATTATTCTAAGGACAGAAATGATGAAACGAAGCTGGTCAGAAGCCAAAAATATGCATAGAGAAGAGCACGGTGCACAGGATCCAAGAACGACCCTATATTTGTTGGAAAATGAAAACAAATGGGGGAGAAATCACCCCCAATCCACCGCAAACATCAAGAAACAGGCTCGATACAGCCATAGGTGCACAAAATCGCATCCAAATAAATATGCACCGTTATACGCCAATAACAATTGTTGCAACAAATTAAGTTCAGGAAATTTTATCTGCATGCCATGAGAATATAGAAATTAAGAACCACCCACGCTCTCCATCCCGGAAATTCATATCAAAACTTGCAGAAACACACCGCCCAAACTTGCCGCGAAATTTCAAAGCAACAAAACTAGATACGCGTGCATTTCTTGGACGCATCAACAGAGAAAGCATTTCGCCACCCAATTTCAGGACCAAACAGCACACGCAAAACTCCGAGAGGCGAGAACGCGCCCACAACCTTTCCACCAGAATCATCAAAGAAACATCCACAATGCACACGCACACACATGCGCAGGGAAGACAGCGTCCAGAGAGGTAGGAAGAAATGTTATTACCTAGGAAGGATGGCCGGATGGATGGATGGATCGAAGATAGAAGAGAGATCAAGAAAAGGAAAGGCCCTTTAGGGGAGGAAATGGCTCCAGGGAAAGAGGAGGAAAGATGCGGTGGCTGCCGCGATGGTGTGGGAAGGGTGGTGATGTGGAGCTCCCCCTTATAAAGCGGGGGAGGGCGTGGGGCGTTGGAGTGGAGTGAAGAAGGAGAGGAGAGGAGAGGAGAGGAGGCGTGATTGCCTGAACCTGAACGGGAAGCTGAACGGGGGGGAGGAGAGAAAGAAGGCAAACGGGAACGAGCGGTGCGAGAGGGAGGGGAAACAGCGAGGCTGGCGTTCGTGAGGCGAAGGTGGCAGGGCAGCGCCTCGTTTCGTTTGGCGTTTCGCCCGCCCCATGTGGGGGAAGGAGGCGAGCGAGAGAATTCACGGTATACGTACGTACTCCCCCCCACCGTCCCCTTCGCTTTCACGTTTTTCTCCTCTCCCCATCCACCGCTCGCCATGCTGATTTGCCGCCGATGCCATCTGCCTCCCATCCGGGCGGTCTACCACGTTATTGTTTCAGCGATGTGTGTTTCCTGTCCTTGTACGGCGCTTCTTATTTACGCGAAAATAAAGAGCTAGTAAATGACTTTCACGGGAAAGTCATTAATTAAAAATTATTTAATTTTTAATTTTTATTACAAATTAAATTTAATATTTGATGTTTAAAGCACCTTTTATATAAAAAAATTTCGTACAGAACGCATATCCAGTAGCTTTAAAAACGTGTTAATGAAAACCAATGTAAAATCTAAATCTTCGTCGGAAAAAAATAGGGTCATCGCTCTTCCAATAGTTTGACTATTACTACTCTCGTCCTAAAATATTGCTATCTGATCTATCCTAGAACAATGAATTTGAATAAATCTAGGTAGCAATATTTTAAGACGGAGGAAGTACCGTTTTACTACATGCAAATGACCAGCGCCTTGTACAAGTGGGAGAATGGTGACAATCGTGCACCGGAGCCTTGCAGGACCTATGACACCCAACAGTACGATAAAACGAATCCAAATAGCTCTTGCTTGTCTTTTAAAACCTGTCCTTTTGCATCTCGGTGTTCCTTTATTATTTCGGCACTAATATAGTACTGTTCTTTCTCTCTTTCAGTTACTATTGGAGCGTCGTTTTTTTCACGCCAAGACCAATCAGTACAAGACTAGTAGAGCCATCCAGCCTCCCTCGTCGTCGTCGTCTTCTCCGCGGCAGGAAGGGCCCGGAACCAACGGTGGAAATCGCGCGGCAGCAGCAGCGGTAGTACAGCACGGCGCGCCTACTGCCGCGCGGTGGGCCTGGGGTGGCTGTCCTACGGCGATCGAGGAGGACGAACGGACGGAGGAGGAGGAGCCGAGAGCGCCTCTGGTCTCGCCACGCGCGGGCCCTCGTGGCGCACGGCGACTAGCGGGCGATCCACCCGCTTGTCCTCACGCGCGACCCACCACCCCACCTCGGATCGTACTGGTGCTCGTGTTGCGTCCCCAGCGGCCAGCGCCAGCGGCTGCCTACACACGTGCCCTGTAGCCTGCTGCTTACCAGTTTTATAAAACCATACTGTTATTGTGGTTATCATATATATCAACTATTTTAGTTTTTTAAACTATGATATATCTCACGATAACAGTTAAATCATAAGTGACAATAATTTCACCCTAAACAATTTGTGCTACTGTTACTGCTTGCTCTCTTTGCTCCGGATGGATGTCTCACTCCCTCTCCTGGATCCATGGAGGGATTTGCACTGCTCAGTCAGTGCGTGCATGAACGGACTTTGAATTCTGAGGCTTCTGACTTATATGAGCACGGATTAATTGATATGCGGTGCTTGATTGCTTAATTTGTGATGTGTTTCAACACAAGGCTACCAATTGGCTATAAGAGCAAGTTTAATAGTATAGCTAACTACTAGCTCTAATTCATCTATAGCCAATCTAATAGCTCATTCATACAATAGTTACATACTACACTATTAATATCTGGTCCCACCTGTCATACACACACTTCGTCTTGGAGTCCGTGCTACAGCTAGCTATAAATTTGTAGTCCGCTGCCCTTCTCTCTCCTCATTTATCTGCTTAAAATATGTTTGCAGCTGGCTTATAGCTTGTTATTGTACCTTCTCTAATAGAAAAAGGCGTGCTGATTTCCCCCTTCTTTCCCCCCACCCCTTTTGTACTTTACGTGTAATGAATACTGAATAAAAATCATGAACTTTAATTGTGTTCTTTCGGACGCAAGACGAACGTAATAAAAAGTGGAAGCAATTAATAAGTGGGGTACGAAAAAATTGAAAGAAACAGCAAGACTTTAATCAGGAGATCACACGTAAGCGACGAGATTAGAGAGGACGTGTAACCAAATCACATGGTGTCGTCGAGTGCCTGGACAGAGATCGATCCATACGTACGGTTCGTTCTTCTCATTTCACGCAATATTCTTTACCGAACATGCATTCACCTAGGAGTAGCTAATAGGTGACGCCGTGTTGGCAACTTGGCATTCGCGTTCAGTTTCTCGTCCACTAATTGGAGGCTGCGTTTTCAGTCCCAGTCAGCTAAAACCTTGTTGAGCGGTGCTATCCCTGTACGAGAATGCAAGACAACCACAGCTCGTATCGATATGTACAAACAAGCTATAAATTCTGAACACATATCACAAGTTAGGTGTGCATTGCCGCGACTCAGCAATACACCTCACTGCTCTGAAAATGATGGTAAAATTTGCAGGAAAAAAGAGCGAAATCATGCACGCGGATCGGGCAAATGTGCGGACGATATGCTAGCAGAGGCAAAGCATCGCTGTCGGGTGCCGAACTGCCGATCGGCCGGTTTTCCCTTTCACGGCTTTCACCTAAGTGTCGAGATATTTAACCATTTGCCATATTTAGATGTGGTAATTAATTTTTTGCCACTGGGCTCACATGTCATAGACATATGTGGACCCACATTTCATTGAGATAGCGGTGACAAATAGTTATTTATTAAATCTAAACGTGGCAAATAGTTAAAAGCCCCGTCAGTGTCGCCTGTGCAGTGCGCACTAAACATCGATCGCCATATCTTCAGCTCGCGCACCGCAGAGATAGAATTGAGAATTCTCTCCTCCAATTACCATCCTGCAAGTTGGTTGGGCCGACGACTCAAGCACACGGATACTATGCTCAGGCGTTCAGCTAGGCGTATGCAAGAGATGGAAGCTGCGACTGCGAGCGAGTCCCATCTCCCATGGTGGCTGTGCCCGAGCCCTGCACATGATTGCTGCAGGTGCACGATGCACACTGCACACAGTGGCCCCTGGGTCGGACGCAGCTACACTGTACTCACTGCTCAGCTTGTTTGCTGCGTACTATTGTAACTTCAAGCATCACACATGGGGATCGCTGGCTAGCTAGCTGCAGCGTGCCAGACGTGGCGATTTTTTGTCTGCTGTGTTGTATCTGGACACGGTAAAATGTTGGCCGGCTGTGTCTGGATATACGAATTGAACACGCAGCACGCTGCAACACGTACGAGCAGAAACCAACAACTACTCGAGTCGTAAGGCATCATCCATTGCTGTCCGCGACCACGGCTAGAAGAATAATCGTGGAGCGATGATGCATCGAACAGAATCTGTCAGGCAATGCGCCTCTCTTCTCTTCTCTTTTTCCGGCATGAGGAGTGTGTTGCCATACAAGCTGTCAGAAACGAGAGCTAGATAAATGCTCCGTCCAAGTAGCAAGTACTACTAGAACTAATGAGCCATCAGCCATGGCAGCCACGCCGTTAGGCCATTCGCCGTGGGCTTACGTGGCATTCAGCCTCCACACCAAAAACCGAATATTCCCTGCCACATCGTCAAACCGTGCAGCTTGCTCAGGTCCGAGTAGCCAAGTTTGGCTACGAGTTCCTCAGGTCTCGGTGGGACCCACACTCGTGCTAGAGGAGAGAGGGGAGAGGGGCGAGGCAGCCGACGGGCTGGAGGAGGAGGCGATAGCGGGGGAGGAGAAGAGGAGGTTGGCGCCACCGTCGTCGCCGTCCCGGCAGGTCAAAGCGCCACAGCCAACTTGAGGTCGTCGCTGGCGAGGTCACTCCATGGACTGGGAGAGGAGGAGAGGCGCCGACCGAGGGAGGAGACGAGGGGTGATTCTCGGCCGCCCCGGCGTCAGCGCCGACACTCCGCCCGTCTCCATCGTCGCCCGAGCCCCCGCGTCGGCGCCGCAGCTCCGCTTGGCCCCGCCGCCAGGCGTCAGATCTGGCCACCCCGCAGCCCGGGGCCCGGCGCCGCAGCCGTAACTCCGCCTGGCCCCGCTACCGCCGCCGCCGCCAGGCGTCAGATCTGGCCGCCCCGCCGCCCGGGCCCTAGCGTCGGTGCGGCAGCTCCGCTTGGCCCCGCCGTTGTCGCCCATGGCGAGCTCCGCCCGTCGCGCGATAGAGGAAGGGGAAAGGCATCGGTGGTTGAGGAGAGAGGGAGGGGAAAAAGTTGAGAAAAAGGAGTTTTTTTTATTGCTGTGGACCCCACTTGAGGCTTTATAGCATTGTGGGATTTGTAGCTAACATTATTTATAGATATTTTTGAGCCTATGTGGCACACCAAGTCCGGTACTATGGCCTGACACATTGCTAATGCCCTCATTGAACCGTACCCAAGTCACAGCACGTGTGCGTCTCCATGTGAATGAACAGTACTACTTCTGTAGCCGGTGATAAGCTTAGGTCGCCCTATGTGTCACGAGAATCAAACTAGCGCAACAAATTCCTTCCCTTCACCTTTTTGCTGTTTTGTGTTTTTCCATTCAGTCACAGTAACTGGCAATCTTTACTTCTCTTAAAGGTGAATAACTAACATGATCATTGAACTTTCGTAACTTTTATTTAATGATCAATTTAGTCCTTAACATTTTATATTGTCCAAACAAATCCCTAAAATTCATTATATGATTTAATATAGTCCTTAGACCCTCTAAAAATACCATTTGTACATGCCATATCTTCTATGCATGCAAATTGAATATTTAAATGTCCATTACACCTTTATGTTTTCATATGAAATAAAGAAAAACTATTGAGAAAAAACAAAAAAAAAGGTTTTGGCCATTAGCAAAAATATGTAGCATTGGTAAATTTTTTTTTTGCCATTTTCCTTTATTTTATGATTGCTTCTTCTTGTTTTTCCCTTTGTTTTTTTATAGAAAATGTAAGGTTAAAATGGTCATTTAAATGTTAACTTTACATGTATGAATGATGTGGCATGTCAACGTGGCATTTTTAGGTGGGTCCAAGGATTATATTAAACCGCATAATAATCTTTAGGGACTTGTTTGGATATTATAAAACATTAAGAACTAATTCGACTTCTGAGTAAAAGTTGAAGGACTGAACTGGTTATTCACCCTTCTCTTAATACAAAGATACATTAGAGGGTGTTTTGGAGAGAGGGACTCCAAAACTTCTTATCCCTCTCTCCCAAATACCCCCTTGGCCTGTTTGGTTGGAGGGAGTTTTTAGGAGGGATTGAAAGTTTAGAGGGGTGAGGCTATTAAGTGTTTTGTTTGATTGGGAGACATGTGAATTTTGGTGGGATGTGGATGAGGAATTGAGGAAGGAATTCCCTCCGTTTCAATACCTGGGTAGGGCAGGTAATTGGGAGGAAATTCCTCATTTACTTTGTCTAAGCAAATCTCAGCCATCCGTTTTTATTAATGACCCAATCTCCAACTAAATTCCCTATCAATTTCCATCACCTCTACCAAACAAGATATTGGGATTAATCTCATCATTAATTCCCTCATGTAAACTCTCAATCTCTTTCCCTCGAGTTACCAAACAAGCCGCCTAAGTCTTTTATCTATTTTTGGAAAAAAAAGAACAGTACTACTTGTGGAAGCCGACGTGTCCAATTTGGATGGACTAGTGAAACTGGTGAACTTCCTCAAGGGCTCCACACCATAATCGGTTGTCCATTACTCATAAGCCATTTTTAACTTATTAGAAAATAAAAATTAATTTATATGTAAAACTTTCTTTGACAACTTAAAACCAGTAATTAAAAAAATGTTGAAAATATCTTAAAATTAACTGCAAAATTAAATTTTAAAATTTAAATTTTAGCTTTTAGCTTCGATTTATTAGAGCAATCGATGTGCTCCCATATCTGAGACCAAATCCTACAGCTAATTCTTCATTTATTACTTGTACTGTTGACCGTTACTGTTTTAACTTGAATTATTAATAGTATTTAATAGCGAACTTATCATGTTCTTGCCCGTTCATCCGGCCTTGCAGTTGCAGGCTTGCAGCTTGCATATGGCCATTGATATCATGTGGGCCGACGCGCAGAGAGGCTGTGCCGAGGCGGATCACCAGAGAGAAGCCAGCTCGGCCCTCAAACTAATCAACAGCCGAAAAGTATTTGGGCCGGGAGGAGATTGCCGAAATGTAGTTGGGCCGAGGCAAAAGCCAAGCAGTATATGTTCGGGGAGACTAGGAATAAGTCCACTTGTTGTCCCCATATTTACGTCAAGTTTAATGACATCTCTAAACCGTAATACTGAAAATCATGAAACCCAACTTGTAAAACCGGATTAATTAAGTTCTCCAATAGTAGATAGTTGGTTTTCACTGACATGGCAATTTAACTTGGTCCACTCGTGCTGACTAGACGCTTACATGGTTAGAAGGCGGGATTGGGATGGGGACGGCTAGGAACAGGGCGGCGGACGCCAGTGAAGGCACCCCGGTACATGCCGAAGCGCATGATGTCGAGGTTGGCAGAAAGCAAAATGTTTGGTGGCAGTGTCACGCTGATGTTTTCCTCGAGGGCCTTGCCTTCCACTGCCTGCTGGAGGAGAGCGTGCAGCATCCACATCGCCCCATCTGCGAATACGCCCATGGAGATCGCCCCCAAGACGGCGGCAGTGCCCGTTGGGGACCGACGGCCGGTGGAGCTCACCGGGGAGGGCATGGGCCTGAAGAAGGTGTGAGAAGAGAGAGAGAGAGAGAGAGAGAGAGAGAGAGAGAGAGATAGGAGTCTCGCAGAGCCAGCACATCTACCACCTCTTGCTCCAGCTTCCACATCATACAAGGGAGCCAATACCGTCACAAAAAACTGCCCCATGTCCTCTCCGACCATCTCCACTTCCCTCTCATGGAGGACGGCTGAGCTTGAGCTCGGATGGGCTCTACATCGAGTGGCGCAGAGCACAACGTGAGTGGTTGGGGAAAGGAATAAGTTCACTTTGGGTCCCTCTATTTGTCGCCCAGTCCGATTTTCGTTCCTTGACCGCAAAACCGGATACGACCCGTCCCTCAACTTACGAAAACCAGACAAACGAGGTTCCTTAGTGGTTTTGGCTAACGTGGCGCCTACGTGGCTAATTTGACTCGGTCGTCATCTGACGTGGCATTGACGTGGTGCTTACGTGGCAATTCGATCTAGAAAAATAATAAAGCTCGTGGGCCCCACATGTCATACTCACCCCCCCTCATCTTCTTCCTCCTCCCTTTCCATCTCCCCTCTCTCCATCTCTCTCCCATCCTCTCTCCAGCGGTCCAGCCTCCAGGCGCCACGGCTCATGGGGTCACGGGGAGGTCCGGCGGTGGTGGCCGGCGACGCGACAGCCGCCAGCGGCGGCGAGCTCCACCTCTCGGCGCAGCCGTGCGCGTTTCTGACCCCGCGCGCGCGTGGCTGTCTGACGGCGTGGGCGTGTCACACCCCGAAGTTTTCCTCCCAAGCCAAAATTGTAATTTATAAATGACCCTAAGAAAATACCGGTGCAAATCAGGAGAAAACCCTAAGAAAGTAATGCAAATAATAATCGGATTTGACATGTGGAATTTTTTTTCTTGAGTTCTACATGTCGAAATTCATTAACAGGATTTTTAGTGGAATTTTCAGAGCTCTAGAAATAATTTTAACCAGTTAAAATTGAGCCAGCAATATTGTAATTCTAGGGAAAATCCTTTTTCCTTTTTCTTTTTCTTTTCCCTCCCTTTTTCCTCCTTTTTTTCGAATGGGCCGCCGGCCCATTCTCCCCTTTCCTTCCCCCTCCCCCTTGCTGGGCCGGCCGCCCGCCTCCCTCCTCTCCCGGGGTCGCCGACAGGTGGGGCCCACCTGTCGGGTCTTTCCCCTTCCTCCGGCCGACGCCGCGCCCGCAACCGCCGCACCCGAAACCGCCGCCGCGTCCACGTCTCCGCCTCCTCCGGGCCACGTCGGCCACGCCCGCGCGTGCGCCGCGTCTCCCGCGCCCACTCTCCTCTCTCTCCCGCTCGCGTCCGCGCCCGAGATGGCCGGGATTCGATTTTTGAATCCCGCCTCTCTCTCTTCCCCCACTCCCCCACGTCGGCCGGCGATTCCCGCCTCTCCCGGCCACGTCCGGTCCTCTCTCCCCCTATTTAAGCATCGCCGTCGTCCCCTCTCACTTTTTCCCCATTCCGCCGTACTCTCTCGAGCCTCCCATCGCTCTCGCGCCGTGCGCCCATCCGCAGCCGCCGTTTCCGCTACTCCGGCCGCCGCTAGCCGCCGTTAGGGTCGCCGCCAGGCCGCGCCATCGCCGCCGTCGGGTTCGCGTGGCCGGGATCCACCCCGTCCACCTCTCCTCCGTCGAGGTTCGTCGCCGGAGCCCTCGTTCCCTCGCACTCGGGTGAGCACCACCTCTACCGCCGCCTTCGGCCATGGCTTCCGGTCGCCGTGGCTCATCTCCCTCTCTCTAATCCCTCTCTCCTCCTTCCTTAGGGCACCCCGAAGCTCGTCCGCTCGCCGACGTCGTCCTCCCGTGGCTTGCCGTCGCCGTTCGCCATCGTCTTCCTCCGCGCCGGCCACCCTCGGTGAGGCATCCCTTCCCCTCTTTTCCCCTTCCTCTCCTCTTAGTGCCGCGCCGCCGCTTCAAGTCGCGCGCTGTCGCCTTCGACCGCCGCCGCCTCGCGTGCCGCCGGTCGCTGCCGTCGTCGGTCGCATGCGTTGCCGGCAATGCGTTCGCGCGCGCGTCGTCGCCGTCGCCGCGGTCGGTCGGCCGGCCTTGAGCCAAGCCGAGCCGCGTGCCGCCGCCCTTTCTTTCCCTCTCCCGGGTCGCTGACCAGTGGGCCCCGCATGTCGGCGCCGCTCCTCCCCGGTCCGTGGACCCGATCCGCCGTGGACCGCCCTCTCCCGGGTCGCTGACCGGTGGGCCCCGCATGTCGGCGCCGCACTCCCTCCGTGCTGACGTCAGCCCTGGAATATATTGCGCAATAAATAGTTTAAGGTTTTTCTTGTATAGTATTAAACACAGTAAATCTTCTAAAAATCATAACTAATTCATCCGAGCTCCGTTTAAGCCCATTCAAGTCTCAGTAAATCAAGAAAACTGTGCAGAATCCATTAAAAATGGTTTTGTTCCCTGTTGCAGTAGTCTTATAGCCTGTTTGCAATGTTTGCTTTGTATGTCGCTAGATTCCGTTTCCTCCGACGCTCCGGTGTACTTCGAGATAGTCGCCGAGGTTCCTCCAGCAGCAGAGCAAGGCAAGTCATGCTTGTCACTTGAACATGTTGATCCTATATTGCAAATGCTCTATTGTTTTCTTTCAAATATTGCATTGTTTTATAATATTACTATGGGATGGTTACCTATTGTTACAGCCATGCTTTTCGGATACCATGCTCCTTTGTTAGCTTGGGGTTATAACATGATTAGAGTTTGGACTAGGAATTGCTTAGCCATGCTTAATTCAACTAGTTTACAACGGGGAAAATCATATTAATGTTTAGACTGTTGGTTCCAATGGTGTTGTTGGATTAGTGACACCGTTTTGGTGTTGGTTAATTAAAATAAACCACATGGTGGGCTGTGGGTGCATGGTTTTGCTGGTCGCACCCATGGCAGTTAAGGACCGGTTCGCGGGATGCCCTGGAAGAACTTATCGTACTTACCACAAGCCAGCGTGGGCAACGGCTGGACTTGTAGTGTATCTTTCCTCTAGTCGACGCATCCAGGCAAGGGTGGGCGTGATGGAGCGGGGCGGGCCCTGCGACGGCCTCTGTCACTTCCGGATTCACCTAGGCACGAGAGGGGACTGCCCGTTGCCCGCTGGGGACGGGGGTGAAACCTAAGGTGTGGTGTGCTTGGCTAGAGGGGGTTATGCGAAGGGTCCTGTCACGGCCTCTTTCCGGTATGTCGTGGTGGCATGTCGGCGCACGGAAACGTGTCGTGGGGCTGTGTCTTGTGGGTACAGTTGTACACCTCTGATCAGAGTAAAACTATTCGAATAGCCGTGCCCGCGGTTATGGGCGGTCAACCAGATTCACCGTGATTAGTCTCACCTTAGTGTAATCTTTTAATTTGGATAGTTTAGGTGGATGGTTGGGCCTGTCGCAACATGGGTTAGCGTTGGACAGTGGATAGTTGATGTTAATTAATTATTACAACTGTTTAAATCTTTCAATTTCTGTTTTTAAATGCTCGCTTTATGCAAATGAACCACTTCAGCTCTTCTTTGATGATTCCCTGCATCATACCCCTATTCCGGTATGACTTGCTGAGTACAGTGGGTAGTACTCAGTCTTGCTCTACTTTTCCCAACCCCAGAGTTCGAGTTCGGGTCAGATGAAGGTTTCTCCGAGGAGTAGGCTTTGTCCGTGCCGTCGAGGATGCCTGTGGAGTGGTGTTCCCGCTGCAGTTCAAGTCAAGGCTTAGCTCCTGTTGTCTTTCTTTCTTTCCGCTGCATTTATGTAAGACTTTTATGATGTTTGTAAGACGTGGATTTGAATGTCAACATTGTCGTTTGTGTACCCTGGCTGGTCCTGGACGGGGATTTTAATGCACATTCTGCTTGGAATTCTATTCGGGAATTTCTGGGCGTGACAGGGCGGCACGGATGGATTCATGAATCTAATCCCGCGCCAGCACGTAGCCCCCTCGCGACTCGACGGTGAGACTGCGACGGCCGGCGACGTCGCTCTCACGCCGGCGAGAGAGAGCACATCTTCAACTGCCAGCATTAATTTGCATCGAGAGAGAAAATTAGCAGTAGCATCAAATAATATCATTTCAGTTTCGTCGCAATTAAGCTAGCTAGCCATGTGAGGAGTCATTTCGATGCCTCGATCGATCATCGGCGTCGAAGAGGGGTCAAGAACTCAAGATTAGGCGATCGATTCCATCTGACTCATCGGCTGAATCATACGAGCTACCGTCAATTGAGTACTCGTACTAATGTACGCGTGTAAATGCTACTGACTGCATGAAAGAAACTGTACAAGTCCTGTGCTTACACAATGTACTACGGCCTAGCCATGATGTAGATGATGCAGCACAAGACCTTTTAATTAATTAATCGATCGACAAGCGATCCATGCATGCATGGGAGTAATTTACAGGCTTCGAGAGTTCATACACTGTTGCATTGCGACTTGCGAAAAACATAGTGCTACACTGAGAATTAATGATGGCCATCCGCAGCTAAGTGATGATCTGTGAGCAATTAGCAATTACCGGTTACTGACGAGAGGTGAGTAGGTAAAGGCATTATTAGCAAGAACTGCATTGGAACAAAGTTCATTCCGGTTGTCAAAACTCAAAACCCCAGCGAGCTGAGGCGTGAGAGCAACATCGCCAGCTGTCGCCGTCGCGTCGCGGGGGGGGGGGGGGGGGAGGGGGGCTACGTGCTGGCGCGGGATTAGATCCATGAATCCATCCGTGCCGCCCACGCCGTCAAACAGCCACGCGCGCGTGGGGTCAGAAACGCGCGCGGCTGCACGGCTGCGCCGAGAGGTGGAGCTCGCCGCTGCCGGCGGCTGTGGCGTTGCCGGCCGCCACCGCCGGACCTCCCCGTGACCCCGTGAGCCATGGTGCCTAGAGGCTGGAGAGGAGAGGAGAGAGATGGAGAGAGGGGAGATGGAGAGGGAGGAAGAAGATGAGGAGGTGAGTATGACACGTGGGGTCCACGTGGGTTCCACTATTTTTTATAATTATTTTATGTGTGAAAATGACATATGGGTCCCACAGACTTTATTATTTTTCCGAATCGAATTGCCACGTAAGCGCCACGTCAGTGCCATGTCAGATGAAGACCGAGTTAAATTAGCCACGTAGGCGCCACGTCAGCCAAAACCGCTATCAAAACCGCCGAGCGACCTCGTTTGCCCGGTTTTCGTAAGTTGAGGGACAGGTCATATCCGGTTTTGCGGTCAAGGGACAAAAATCGGATTAGGCGACAAATAGAGGGACCCAAAGTGAACTTATTCCTTGGGGAAAAAGAGAAGAGAAAGAAGTGAGCACTGATATGTGGGCTCACATATTTTTCTTCTCACTTACATGTGGACTCCTCATGTTTTTTTAATATTTCTTGCTGACTAGGATGTCACGTGAGCGAAACAAGTCTTTCATACTATCATGGTATTTGATTTGGACGGTTTTGACAGGATGAAGGGTAAAAGGATTTTGGTATTGTGTTTTAGGAATGCCAATTAAACTCGAGTGAAGACGGGGTACGGTTAATGGACTTATTCGGGGAGACAATAGTGAAAAATTATTTTGGCCCCGGAAGGCCTTGGCCCATGAGTGGCTCCGGCGCGGTGGATTACCGAGACTACCCTTTACGCGCAAAACATTTCACCGATCTGCCCCCCTGATGTCTTTCTTCCCCCACAAACCTCCCTCCCTTCTTCCTCTCTCCGAGGTCTGAACTCCCACCCCACGCAACCATCGCAAAAACCCCACTCCACCTCTCACCTGCTCTCTCCGCCGCCGCAGCGGCGCAGCGCCTCCACTCTCACTCGCTCATCCATTCCCTCCCTCCTCACGATCGAGAATGTTCTACTCGCACCAGCTCCTCGCGCGGAAGGCTCCGCTCGGCCAGATATGGTGGGTTTGCTTCGCTCTCCGCTCCTCTCGATCGCGTCCTTTCGGCTTCTCTTCTCATGCGCCGTTCTGCGGTGCTCCGTTCTATATTGTTTTCTGCGATTTCTCTGCTCGTTCCGCTCCGAAATCCGAATGTTCGCCACTTGGTTGGAGTTGATTAGGCCGCTGATTACTCCGCTTTTTTTTTTCGCAGGATGGCGGCGACGCTTCACTCGAAGATCAACCGGAAGCGGCTTGACAAGCTCGACATCATCAAAATCTGGTGAGCGAATTAGTCCGAATCCAGTTGTCTCTGATTTCTTCGTTTCGAACTTGACGGTTTTTTTTGGGGGGATTTTGTGCGTGTGGTTTTTGGGTTAGTGAGGAGATTTTGAACCCGTCGGTACCCATGGCACTAAGGCTCTCCGGAATTCTCATGGGTGAGTCCAGTTTGCTTGTTGTCTCCATAGTTCCGATCGCATTTGTTTGGTGATATTTTCTGATGTGGGTGCTTGCGTCGTGGGAGTGTGAGTAGGTGGTGTGGCGATCGTGTACGAGAGGAAGGTGAAGGCTCTGTATGGTGAGTTGCTCCCTGATTGCTTCTCTTTTGTTTCCATTTTTTTTGGATTCGTTATAGACTCAAACTGTGTGAGATCTTCTTCGCAGATGATGTGTCTCGGTTTCTGGTAAAATTCGAGTTCGATTTTCACCTAATTTTGGTGCCTCCTCCTTGATCCATTTGCCTGTCTATGCTAACATGGTTCAGATTACGCTTGTACTAACTCCTCACACAGATTGAGATCAACGAGGCATGGCGGGTCAAGCCAGTCGCAGACCCCACCGTACTTCCCAAGGGCAAAACCCAAGCCAAGTAAGTGCCCTCTTTGTTTCCATGACCTTCTAGGACTAGAAGTTTCTAGATGTTCTGTGCACGGTTTTGGGTTCGAGGGAAGATTGAAGAACATGCTATTATGTTGGTGACCGAGGGGAGTTTGCTTTTGTTTCCCTGCTGCCAGGGATTGTGAGTTTGTGTGTGATTTTCACCATCCGATGCTAATCTGATGGACTCGTCATTTGACACAGTTGCAAGTTTTGATATGTCATCAGCTTACTTGGTTCTGATTAGAACATGCTGCATCTGTGTAATGTTGATTTTATGATGATACTATCTCCTTGCAGCATAGTACATTGTTATGTTTTCAGATGTACCTGATGTTGTCATATGACTGATTGTTCTGTTCTACCTGTTGTCTATTGGCGGTTCATGGGACCCTGCTGTTACTTGCCTCTTGTTGTCTTGCTGACTTTGGTAGCAGCCGATGTCTGTATTATGCAGGAGTACTATTCTACAAATGATCTGTGTTTCCTGGCAGCATAAATTTGTCTGTATGTTGTTCCAGTATATGTAGGTCCTCTACATTTGTAGGGTGATGAAGGGCTTTTGCTTCCCCACAGTGTTTCCTCCTCTCTTAATGAAATGATATACAACTCTCTTGCATATTCAAGAAAAAAAAACTGGAAGGGCATTAGGCAGTTAGGCAGGCATTGTCAGTGAGCGATACATGCTTTATGGGGATGAACATTTGACTTTTTCTTGGGTGTCAGTTACTGGTGCCAAGGGAGCAGGTCTGAGGGCCGTCTGGTACTTGAGAAATGTTGCTATCTTAGAGTCTAGGGAATTCCATCACCTTTGGGAACCGGAGGCAAACATTTCTTAATCTTGTATCATGCTCGAAGGACTGACTCTTGTGGGTGTACCATTTCCTTCCATTGTGGCCTGCATCTGATATGTAACCATGTGGCTGTGCCATCATCCCCTTGATCCCTTCGGAACTATGTTCGATAGTTACTGCAATGTTCACGTGATGTTGATACCTGTACTGTTGCAATGAGTTTAACCCTCTTGGAGTCCTGGATAGTTCCTCTGAATGATTGTATCCCAAGGGTCTTTTCAACTTACTTTTGTAAATAGCATAGAGTGGGTATAAGTTGGTGGATGGAGAATGATATTTTGTACCAAGAGTAAAACAGTAATGGTTTGCTCATCTAAACTTGGGGCTTCATGCAGGTATGAAGCAGTAACACTGCCAGAGAATATCATGGATATGGATGTGGAGCAGCCCATGCTTTTCTCAGAGGCTGATACTACAAGGTTCCGGGGAATGGTAATCCCTGTAATATGTATATTTCGGTGGTGTCTGATTGTATGCATTGAAAGATGGCATTAAGTTATGAGCAATAACCACGAGATAGTCTTGCTTTCAGTCTCCTGACTTTTGCCAGATTGTCTCTATTCCTCTGAAATCCGTCATGCATGTGCAGCGTTTGGAGGATTTGGATGACCAATACATTAATGTCAACCTAGACGATGATGACTTCTCGCGCGCTGAGAATCATCACCAAGGTTTTCATTTCTTTTCTTATGAATTACTCTTTGTGGTTGCTTAAGAGGTGTACTTTCTGACTGAAATATGTTATCTCAGCTGATGCAGAAAATATCACCCTGGCTGATAATTTCGGGTCTGGGCTTGGAGAGACTGATGTGTTCAATCGTTTTGAGAGGTGAAGCAAAATTTTATTCTTCTCTTATTCTACCATTCATTTTTTGCACTTCTTGTTCCTTATTTTGGCCAGTACAATTATTCATTGAGCAATGTTACAATGTCACCAGATTCGACATAACAGATGATGATGCAACTTTCAATGTCACTCCTGATGGACACCCACAGGTTCCAAGTAATCTGGTTCCTTCTCCACCTAGGCAGGAAGACTCTCCTCAGCAACAAGAAAACCATCATGCTGCCTCATCCCCTCTTCACGAAGAAGCTCAACAAGGTCAATTCAAGCACATGGTTTGGTCTATTTGATCCTAAATTTGGAAAGGGTACTATCATCCTGTAAATCGGGATTTTTTTTCCAGTTTCCATGCCAAAAGACAACAATTCTCATCTCTGTTTTTTAGCATGCCACAGATGCAAATGATATTTCAAACAAGTAAAACTTCCATCCAAATATATCTCAGTGAATTTATGATTTGATGTAGTTTCTTCAGGGATATGAACTTGATGGTTATGTCAATATCTCTTAACAGCTAGATATTCTATCTTATCATATACTCTGCTATATTATGTTGGTTAAGAAGCTAAAAGTTCACTCATCATCTCCTGTTGCCTTTCTACATTTCCAACGGTTGGATTTTCGCGAGGCTAGGTAGAGATGCTGAGCGATTGCCATTGAATTTGCTACATGTTATGTCATTGAATTTGGCTTTTGTCAACGGGATAATAAAACACATTGTGTAACTTGTCACCATTCACACTAGTTTACTGACTGAAATTCAATTTATATTATATTTGAATCTTTTCTACTTGCTAAACAAGACTTGCATATAGCCTCTTCCTCGTGACTATCTGTACTTCAGTTTGCTATATCTGATATAAGTGCTGGACATGGTTTGGGTACATTAATATGTGCCATAGTGCAAGTGCCTTGTTGCAATTACTGACAACTTTTCTGCAGGGGGGGCATCTGTAAAAAATGAGCAAGAGCAGCAGAAGATGAAGGTTTGTGATCAAGCGAGCCGTTAGCTTCAGGAACATCTAGATGAAGAAGATAATTGTTTTGTTTGATATTGTTTAACCAGGGTCAGCAACCTGCTAAATCATCAAAGAGAAAAAAACGTAGGAAAGATGATGAGGTGATGATGGATAACGACCAGATAATGATCCCAGGAAATGTATATCAAACATGGCTGAAGGATCCATCAAGCCTCATTACCAAAAGGCACAGAATCAACAGTGTATGTAATTGCTTTGATTACCTAATTCTGTGTAGAGTTTTGTAACTATGCAGAATTTTGTGAACATATCTGATGTTTTGCCGTGTAATATTGCAGAAAGTTAATCTTATTCGGTCAATCAAGATAAGAGACCTCATGGACTTGCCCCTCGTTTCTCTAATATCTTCCTTGGAGAAGTCACCCTTAGAATTTTATTATCCTAAGGAACTTATGCAGCTTTGGAAGGAATGTACTGAAGTCAAGTCCCCAAAAGCTCCATCTTCAGGTTACTACACAATTTGTAGTTTTCTTTCACCTTTCTGGATCACCAAGGGAACTGTAAGTTTTTTATAATTTAATCTGCTAAGTTCGAACTGAAAAGGTTGCAATCTTTTTTAAAGGAGGGCAGCAGTCATCATCACCAGAACAACAGCAAAGAAACTTGCCTCCTCAGGCATTTCCAACCCAGGTTATTTCTAAATTTATATGTTTATGGAAATGATTTATGCTAGCTTTTCCTATTGAGCTGTAACATTTACATTCATTCTTGAACTTGTCTGATAAGTGGTTCAATTTGCAGCCTCAGGTTGATAATGACAGGGAAATGGGATTTCACCCAGTGGACTTTGCAGATGACATCGAAAAACTCCGAGGAAACACTAGTGGGGAATATGGAAGAGATTATGATGCTTTTCACAGTGATCATAGTGTTACTCCTGGAAGTCCTGGTAAGTACAAAAAACAATATATTTTATTTATTTAGACACTGAATGACATCAGTCCTGCTGCAGGGCTAAGTCGCAGGTCTGCTTCAAGCTCTGGTGGCTCTGGACGGGGATTTACGCAGTTGGATCCAGAAGTACAGTTGCCATCCGGAAGGTGAGTGTTGATTAATAGCAACCTTCACTAGTTTTCTGAAATATGACTTGTTCCTGGAATAAATAAAAAGTTATCCGTGCAAACTTTTGAAGATGCATGTCTTTATACTGGAGCCTCTTTGGTTTATGTTCCAAAGCATCGAAGTGGTTAGTTGTCTTATTGATGAAGTGTTAGGCAAGAAGAAAAGGAAACGGAGATTGTTACCCCCCCCCTCCAGCGGTAACCGCTGAAAACCACGTGAAATTCGTCCTCAAATATTTGAATTAAAAATCGGCGGTTTTGCGTTTTCGGCACAGTAACCGCGATATTCGCGCGGTTACTGCCAATTGTGTAGCAGAATAGAAACACTCTTAAAAAAGTTTAAAAAAGCACTTAAATGTGTGTAGAAATTGGGGATAATTAGAAGAATATATAGGATACTTGCAAACCTAACTTTTGGGTGTAAAATACAAAAATTCTGCATGACATTTTCTATGTTATGGACTTCGAAGCAATTCAACATTTCGTAGCATAATAATTCAACAACAACAATTCAACAACCTCACATTTGAAAGCATGTGCCGAGAGAGAGCGATAGAGATAGATGAGAGGACCTAGGAGATATTTTTCCCACTTATGGGACTTAATGGGCCAGATAAACAGTGCAACTGTGCAACCTAAGGTCCATTACATTTTTCTTTTTTCCATTTTCTAATGAACATTCGGTTTTACCCTCAAATTTGAATTTATCTTACTCTTTTTCAAAAAATTTCTTCACTGTCTACCACTACAAATCAAGAAGTTTTTTTATTTGTTTGGAATTTTGAATTTGGGCAAAATTTATCAAACCCTACCACCGGTAACCCTTACTGTACCCCCGCGGTAAGCGCGGTTACCGGTGGTAAGGGAAACCCTGGTCTAGGCTACTTGACTATCAACTATCAAGTGGCAGCTTCCTATCTATGGTCCTTCTATTTTCATAGAGGTCTTAGTACAACTGCGTGAGGTCATTGAACAGGTCCAAGAGGCAGCATTCATCTGGAAAAAGCTTTGGGAACCTCGATCCAGTTGAAGAAGAATTCCCATTCGAGCAAGAACTTAGAGATTTCAAGATGAGAAGGCTTTCAGATGTTGGGCCAACTCCAGGTTGACTTCTTTTCAGTCCTTATTTCAAATGATTCTATACAAAAGTGTGGAAATTTATTTCCCCGTCATCATACCGATTAACTTTTAATTTGGTCACAGACCTGCTGGAAGAAATCGAACCTACTCAAACCCCATATGAAAAGAAATCCAATCCTATCGACCAGGTCACACAATCAATCCACTCGTAAGTATTCAACTATACATTATGTTTGTTCCACAGATTACAGTAGATGTATACTCTGTGATCATCAAACTAAATCCATCCAGGTACCTCAAGCTACACTTTGACACCCCAGGGGCCTCACAGTCTGAATCATTAAGTCAGCTAGCACATGGGATGACTACAGCAAAGGCTGCCCGACTCTTCTATCAAGCATGCGGTATGAGTTCTATAATCCCAATGCGAGTCAACAGATGATGCAATCGCTAGAGTAAACATAATGTTAACATTTCATTTGCTGGTTTGATGGTTATTTATAATTTCCGTAAGTTCATTTCAACACTTGATAAGCCATGTGTACTTCCTTTCCATATTGCAACTTTGCAATGAAATATTCCAACCATTGTTTCAAGTTATGATATCACCGAAACCTTTTAGGCTCATTACGTTTTTCCCAGGCTTCTCTCATTACATTGACCAAGTAAATATAATAAGTTCACTTTATTAGTTCATGTAGTGTTAAGGGAGGAAAACAAATGTGCAATAGCACTATTTCCTGAGTTGGATAAGTGGGCAACACCTAGTTTGCTTAGCCATAGACAGATGTTGGAAAATCTTGAAGAAGTACCTTGGAAATTCAATCGTACATCATTGTGGCTATGTATTTTTTGTTTCTTTTTCAGATTGTAGCCATGTTTGATGGACGAGTTAGTGATTTTAACTATGTCAATAATGGTTATGTTTCTTTTCTCCCTCGATGAGAGAGGATGAGGGCCTAACACCATGTGTGGGCAAGATCGGTGTTCACAAAAGTTTGGTTAGTGTTTTATATTCTTAGCTTTACTGTTTAGCGTGGCAGTTTGATGTTTTTAGGTGCTTGTATGTGTTATTATTGGTTCAGTACTTGTATTTACTGAGGACCCTTTGTTCTGCAGTTTTAGCAACTCATGATTTTATCAAGGTTAACCAGCTGGAACCATACGGAGACATCTTGATCTCGAGGGGACCAAAGATGTGACATCCTAAATGTTTAATAGTTGGACAATTTTCTGCTGTTGTGGTTCTTGCACATCTCGTGTTATGTATGGTGTTTAAGTTTGCACATGAAGTTTAGAAAAACTTCGAAGGAAGGCTTGTAGGTACGTTGTATTGGGGCATGTATTTAACACTAGTTTTGTGTAGGAAAGAAATTTTGTAAGTATGCTGAATGGCTTGATAGCTGGTGCAAGGTTAAAGTTATACGATACCTTTCTTTCTGTATATTTAAGATGATGAAATAACTGGTTTTACCTCTTACCTGGTGTTTGATGCACTTTCTTGACAATTACGTGTAATTTTTGAACATTCAAATTTACATATCTTTTTCCCTTGAAATTTACATGCAAATTTACTTGGTAGGCAACATGGGTAAAGCATGCCTATTACTTCTCCCATCTTTATTGTCATTTGTCATTTGTGTTTCAGAATATCTTTTTGTTTGAAATTTCCATAATTTTCATTCTAATATTTTTTATTTATAAATTATGCTCCTACTTGAACTCCTATAGTTATTTTTCTATTTTCGAAATTTATTTTGTTTACAATTCCGAACTTTCGATTACAGCAAAATATAGGGCTCTCCAAACCATGTTATCTTTTCATACCATACAACACATGCATCCATTAAATCATAATTTAAGTTGAAGAAAAATAATCTCACTCATAACTCACATTGTAGAACCAAGAACAGAAACAATCACACATAAAAAGCATACATCAATCCACACATAGAAGGTTCAAGACACAAATAATGAGTTAAAGTCTGATCACATAATAGCCCATTGAAGTCTTACACATAGCAGTCCAACCATAGTGGCATTGCAAGCATAGAAGCCACACATAAGTTCCCTACAAGTTCAAGCCTTACAAGTAATGTCCACCCACTGGCAGCACATTCATAATAGCAAAAGAACTAGATAACTCATCCAACCACCCTACATTGATCCAGTAAACTTGTCACTAATGAACATAGCAACCCAATGTAACTTGTTTTCGAATGGAAGTCCATTAAAAGCTCTAGCAATGTGAGGGTTAGCCACCAAATAAGCATAGTAAAATGATAAGTGGATGTCCTGAAAACCAGGAAGGCTTTTCAGGGTGTCAAATAAACCTACCGGCAGCGTATTATCTGGCTCACCAGCCTTCACTATAGCAGCAGCAAGCTTGTCACCCACATTGGTGATTGCCCTAATCAGCCCATCATCTTCACTTTCAATTGTTTTGGCCTTCTTTGGCTTGCTTGCAGATGAAGTTTCAGGATCAAGATCAATAGTGGTTGGAGCACGATTCACCTTTTCGTTTTCAGTTTCTACATCTTCAGTACCAAGAACTGAACTTGAGTCCTTTGCAAACTTTCCTGTAGCCATTGTGCTCCCAAAGATTGTAAGCATCTCACCATAGTGCAAAAGAGGTTTGTTAAAAAAACTCAGCATCGGTCTTGTGATCCTATCATGTAACATATTTAACAAAATAAGTGCTTGCAACAAAAATGAAAATTCTATAGAAATTTTCATGGAACAGGAGAGTTTATACCTTGATATATTCATTGTAGTGCTTAGCATCAAGAGTAATAACAAAATTAACTTCATCCCAACCAGCAGCACTCACTTTCCTAAGCCTGTTCATCTTTGTGAACTTCTTTTGCCATGTTTTCAAGTGATTCTTAATCTGATCACCGGTAAAATTAGTACAAAACATCTCATTGAGAGCCCTCGCACATGGATTGAGATGGGCCTGTTTGAAGCCAGAGGAAGTCCTCGTCCCACTAGCCACAAGATTGGCTAGATGAGACAACATAAAAGAGGACATTGCAGATGTCCATGAAGCATGGTTGCTTCCTCCCTTTCCTTTGCTATCCATTTCCTACAAGCCATAATATGTCAGTGTTATGGATACCACATACCTAATAGTAGTCAACTACATCTCAGCAGGACCCACCACATACCATGTCTTATACGGAAACTGATTTCAGATATGGAGGGAGTTCCGGATAAGGAAAGACAACCAGAGTTCTACATGGAAACGATAAGGACTACTCGGATTGTATCCATGGGACACCTATGGGTATAAATACAAGACCCCCTAGGAGGAGAGGGGACAAGACAATGGACGACCACCTCAATAGACGACCACCTCAATCAACACCCACCACAATATACGGAACAACAGAAGCCAACATACACCAAGACAAGATGCCGGATATCGACTTTAAAGATAGGCATGACTAGTCCCCTACGGTGTCTCCGGATACTGTCAGGAGAGACGAAAGCGCTATCTCCGATCTCGCCGGGCACGGATTCGAGAAGGAAGGCTACCCTGTTATCGACTACGAGTCAGATCTTTAGACCGCCATGTCGACAATAGTTAGATAGGCTACCCCACATATTGTACTGGTGTGATTATGGTGAATAAAGAGCAACTCAGGGTAAGTCTGTCAGTTAGTATATGCATATTCTGATATTACAACAATCTATATACTCCCTCCGTCTCATAATATAAGGGATTTTGAGTTTTTTTTTCATTGTTTGACCACTCGTCTTATTTAAAAAATTTGTACAAATATAAAAAACGAAAAATTGTGCTTAAAGTACTTTGGATAATAAAGTAAGCCAAAAAAATAATTCCATTTTTTTTTAATAAGACGAGTGGTCAAACAGTGCAAGTAAAAACTCAAAATCCCTTATATTATGGGACGGAGGGAGTACATTGATAACGTCTCCTCTATGATATATTCCCTCCGTCCCTAAATATTTAACGCCTCTGTCCCTAAATATTTGACGCCGTTGACTTGCTAACTTTTTTAAACATGTTTGACCGTTCGTCTTATTCAAAAAATTTAAGTAATCATTAATTCTTTTCCTATGATTTGGTTAATTGTTAAATATACTCTTATGTATACATATAGTTTTACATATTTCTTAAAAGTTTTTTAAATAAGACGAACGATCAAATATGTTTAAAAAAATCAACAGCGTCAAATATTTAAGGACGGAGGGAATATATGCTGACTATATTCATTTTGTTGCCCCGGCCTTTACGTGACATATCGGGTATCATTAAGGGCCGGTTTAGTTCGCGAAAAGAAAATTTTTTGGTGTTACATCGGATATATATTTGATCGGATGTCGGAAGAGTTCTTCGGACACGAATGAAAAAACTAATTTCATAACTCACATGGAAACCGTGAGACGAATCTTTTGAGCCTAATTAACTCGTCATTAGCACATGCGGGCTACTGTAGCACTTATGGCTAATCATGGACTAATTAGACTCAAAAGATTCTTGCAATTTCTTCCCTAACTGTGCAATTAGTTTTTTCATTTATTTATATTTAATGCCTCGTACATATCTCCAAATGTGATGTTTTTGGGAAAAAAAATTAGGGAACTAAACAGGCCACCTGAGCGTGGCGGAAGGGGCGAGCACTGGGGCGCGCGGGGCGGTGGAATTTTGCAAAAAACCCTTCCGGTTTGTGAGTAATTCGGTATAAGCCCCTTACGAACAGTTCCTGTGAGGTGGTACACTACGCATAGGCCCTTCGGAAATCCGTATATTGCACGCAAAGGAGAGATAAATCGAGAATAAGGATTGTTCTCTAAAATGCGGAAGACAAGGGGCTTTTTCAAAAAAACTCCGCGCACTAACCCCCGGTGACACCCCCTCAAACCCTAGCCGCCGCCGCCTCGCGTCTCCTCCGCCTCCCCATCGCGCAGCCACCTCCGCATCAGAGCAATTTAATAGTATAGCCCACTACCGGCTCCAATTCATCTATAGCCGATCTAATAGTCAATTCATACAATAGTTGTTCACTATACTATTAATATATAGTCCCACTTGTCATACACACTGCATCTTGAAGTCCGTGTTGTAGCTGGTTACAGATCTGTAGCCCGCTGCTCTTCTTTCTTATCTTTTATCTCATTAAAATATATTTATAGCTGGCTAATAGCATGCTATTGTACCTGCTCTCACCCTGTCACCATCGTCGTCCCCGTCACCGAGCGCCGCCGCCTCCGCCTCCGCCTCTACCACCCCCTCGCGCTGCCACCTTCGCCTCTGCCTCCTCTGCCTCGCGTGGCCGTCGCCGGGCGCGCCGCCTCCGGCTCACGCCGCCGCTGCCGGCCATCGCCTCTGGCCGCCGACGTCCGGATCCGACCTCCCATGTGTTTGGGGGACGCGGATCTGACCGCCGCAGCGTCGTCCTCCGCTATCGTCGCCATCGCCGAGCGTCGCCGCTGCATCCTTCGCCGCACCTCCGTCATTCACCGCCAAAGACCGCTGTGAGCGGTCGACCTCTGGTGGAGCCGGCCGTCATTGCCGCAACCTCGTGGGCTACAGGACGGTTGTCCGTCGATTTGAGGAGGGAGAGGCGGCAACAGCAATAAAGAGGGGAGAGGCCTGCCGGCGGCTGTATGGTGGAGAAGCGCCGCCGCAGCCCGCATCCCCTCCTCTCGCCCCTCCCTCTCCGACCCGGGCGATTCGCAAGCCGCCGCCACCGCATGGGCTCCAGGAACCACCATCGTCGTGTCCCCTGGTCTCCTCAATCCTCCTGTGCGCCACTCATGCCGGCGAGATGAGATCGGATGCCAGCGAGATGAGATTGGCGGCAGTGGGCAACTCCAAGAAGTCGAGATTGAGGGCTCTGGCTACCGCCTTCGATAACATCTGGCCTGGTGCTGCGCCTGCCTCGGCATATCTGGCGATGGTGTCGACCTCAGCGATGACATGGATTGCGCTCCGACATTTGTGGCGGATCAAGCACACATCAATGGAGCCCCACTTCTCCTCCCCCACCAGCAAGGGCAGATGGAGGCGGTGTGCGCCGGTGGCTGTAGATCAAATGACGACCTTGACGATGAGGCAGCCACGATCTCGTCTTCCCTGCTCAGTTCTTATTCTCATTCTCCCTGCTTGCATCATCCTCAAGCTTTTAAACCAATGCTTAGCTGGCTCCTACACTGAGCGGCAATGGTGGCACCAAAGTGCTGTCCAGGTGATCAGTTCGCCTGTGGATTTGTTGTTGAAAACACCACCAGGCAGCACGTGGTGGCCGATGGTCGCGCTTCCACCAACTTCTTCAGAGTGTGGATCCAGTCTTGATGTTGGGGAGCTACTACTTTTCCTACAGTCTTGATGTTTTGATTCATTTGGAGTTTTAGTTTGCTGTGCTCTGATTGTGTATTTTTCTTTAGGTTTGATCAGCATCTTCTGCTCGGTGCCATTCCATTCCACAAGACCTTCTGTTGAAGGAGCTTGGAGTTTGCAGTGTCGTGAACTGAACAAATCCTACGAGTGGCTGGTTCCCATGTGCCTGTAAGAGGTAGTCACACAACCAAATCGTTCCACTATTTGACCAATACGTGGGCTGAATAATATGAAGAAGTTCTGTCAAGCAAGTATTGCAGCATTTGTTTATTAATTCCTTTCTGCATGTATTGCTCCTGTTTATTATTTGTTGGTTGCTCTGATATCATTGAGGTGGACATGGCCTTGTTGTAAAATACGTTGTGCATATAGTGCAATCAAGTTCCAATGGTCTCAGTGGTGCAATATTGCAATGTGAATAGAGCAATTACTGAAGGTGTCACTGTTTGCCATATAGATGTCCACTGATATGATCAATGGTTTGAGAAAAATACTCAATATCTTTTTATTTCGCTGACGGTTCAGCAAATCGTTGTTTGTTAGTGCATTGTTATTACCTGGCTGTGATAATTAAGGTAGATTAAAGAGCCAAAGGTTATTGATATGTAAACTCCTCGTGGTTAACCTAAATGACAAGGTTAAATGAACCAATGTTCCAGTTCAAAAAAAAAATGCTAATTAGGTATTGAAATGTTCGTGCAATACAATCTGCTTGTTTTACATGTAACTGTACATTTGATCTATCTTTGCATGTTGCCTACTCAGGCTGGTGCTGTTTTTATGTAATTTACAAGTTATGTGCAAATTTCCCTAACTTTACATATCTATGTTTGTAACTGCTGCTCATGAGAGGATGTTCAAACAACTACCAGTTCTTGGTCACATAACTGAAATTTGTGTTTGATCACAGGTTCCTGGAATTGAAAGCCTGGTGTTACCAACTAGAGATTATCTTTGTATACCATAATTTGAGGACCTTTGCCGTGCGGCTGACTTCGTTCAAAGTAAGAATCTACTCAAAATGCATATCCTATAGTACGACGGAATCGCTGTGTATGTTCCAGTTTATTTTATATTGCACTGTTCATTGCAAGAGCAGAGACCAAAATTTGTGATTCGACACATTTTGTTTGGTACTGGTTTCTATGTAGGAACAATTATTTTTATGTTTGTTGGTTCCTTCAACTGTAATAACTATTTTGTACAATGCTTCGTTTGGTTTGTTTGAAACTCTTGAAGCTTGGCTGAATATGTTTCCACAGTGCATAAAAAAGTAACTAAAAGACTTTTTGCTTGCTGCATGGGGCAGACCACCGTTGGCAGGCTGCTGGGCAAGCTAGGATTCAGGAGCTTGGAGCTGGGAGGCTGATATTATCCCTCCTGTTCTCTGCTTCTATGGCTGGCGGAGGATGAGATAAAGTGGAGTTGGGGGCAAGTGAGGGCAGTGAGGGTATGAGGCTATGAGCTACCTCATTATTTTTCAGGCATTGCCTGATTTTCTCCAATTGTTAACTTACATGCCATTCTTTAGTTTTAGAGTGTTTATATAGGTGTAATTCACTCAATATGTATTTATATTACTCCTTTCTTGGGCAAATCTGTAGGAACAGAAAACGGGTATTTTCTTTATGTGCAATAGTAAATTATTGTTTTATAGTGAAATTGATAAGGCAACTGCTTCTAATTTGCCTAAATCAGTCATTGCTTGGTTAAAAAAAATAATGACAGCATGGCAGACAATTCTGAAGAGACCATATATCTTTAGTTTGATTCTAACAACCATCTTTTGTTCTGAACTTACGATATTTAGCCATTGATTAGATTTTCCATTCATCTATGAATGTTTGGGCTCACCATTAATTTGTTTCATTTCAGTGACCCTTATCCGTGAAATATTTTTCGCTTCCTCCCACTTTGTTTTCTCCACACCACAATCCATGTGTCATGGTTGATGCTGGTTAATGGTTGTATTTCCACTTTTTTATTTTGGGTGAAGTCTTCAGTTGATTTGCATATTTAGAAAGTGTATATAGTCCGCTAGAATTTCTTATGATTCTTTAGAAAAAACATATTCTCTTTGCAAAATTATGTATTTAATTTGGTTAGTTCAGGTAGAGGGCAGAACTATATACTATTCCATTTGTAATACATAAATTGCTCTAAAAGCACCCCATTTATATTTTTCTATTATAAGTATTGACATCACATGCATTCTTACTCTTCCTCAATTTATGCGAAAGATTGATTTATTTTCCATATGATCGTAGATAAATATTGGCATTGTCGTTATAGGATATATATAATACAATGCTCATTCTATATTTAGCCTATCTACACGTGATGGCTAATTTCTGTCTTGTGCCATGTGGAGGTGCTTCAATTGAAGTGGGTTCAATTCAAGTCTATGTTTCATATCTATTTTTTGCTTGCCATTCTTTCGACATGATTAAGTGACATAATAGTTTTGCGGAGACAGTATTTCTAGCTCTATTTTGTTAGTTGAACAACCTCATATATGAAATTTCATCTGAGTTAGTGCTATATGACCGAGTTGTAGCTTATTCATTATGCTTGGAAATTCATAGTGAAATGGAGATTCACTTGCAAAAGCGTGTTTGGGACCTTGGGACTGATATCCAACTATCAGCATTTCTTATTATCTTGTATAATCTGGTTATGGTACAAGATAAGACTAATGCGAGGATGAGCTTTCTCTTGAACATTTCTGTTTGAACCACCTTATGTATAATCTGATCATGAGCATTGGTGTTGCATATTTGTTTCTTGGGCAAATTAAACCAATTACTATTTATGCATAAGTTGTAAATAGCATATGTTGGCTGTAACAATTCAAAAAATGTAGTACTTAATGCCATTGCTTGTCAATTTAAATGTTTGAATATAGACACCTTGTGAGAGTGATCCATTTCTGCAAACTGGAAGAAAATGACAAGCTTGTGCTTACACCCTTTGAGAAGAACGTTGACATCTGGAGACAGCTCTGGAGAGTCCTTGAACGTAGTGATCTGGTGAGTAACGCTTAACCTTCACTATCAGTTTCATCCATCGCTCTTGTGGTTGATTGCTTGCCAGTACTTATGATACTAAAACCAAGCATTTCTCCAAAAAAAAAATAAGTAGGACATGCATTTTTAAAGGCAATGCTTTGCAAATTTTGGCTCACATAATGACTTTGCTTTCAATGTTCCGTAGTATTATTGCATTTTTTCCCCTGGAAGTGCTACTCTGTTGTGCTCAATCATATTTGCTTTTACTGGATTAAAGAGTAGAACCTCTTTGGATTATTTTTAGTTCCTAATATACTTACTTTTATTCTCTTTTCTTCCATGAAACTGGTGGTGGTAGTCAATGCTCGAGATCCCTTATTCTACCGCTGTCCTGACCTTGAGGTACTTATTATGGTTTCTGGGATAGTACATTTCACATTCAAGCAATATCTAATACCTATAGCAAATGAGTTGCGGCTTCTCCCTGGTTAATGATCAATGCTCACCTATCACGCGATGTAGTAGCAAAATTGCTCGAGAAATCGTATTCATGTATTCTCCTTCAGAGATTATTTTTCAGGCATTGCCTGCTTTTCTCCAATTGTTAACTGATGACTAAGTGCTTACCTGTAATACTAAATATTTCAAAACTACAGCTTTCACCTTTAACATGCTTACTCATTCCACTAATATATCTAAGGGTCATCAATTAACAGCTATCCAATGTAATTAACTCCTACTTGCATTTCAGGAGATGCACTGTTCCTGCTTTTCAGTTCTCTTTTCCTATAGCTCGTCAATAGTTACTTCTATTTTGCCTGTCCTATCACTTTGGTTTTCATGGTAGGATGAACATAATGGATGTATTACAGACAAAAAGAAGAATCATCTGTAAACTATACTGTGTCCCAGTAAATAATGCTACTTCCTTATTGTTTACCTTCATATTTAGCTCCTTCCCTTCACTTAACATTGGTAGAGTTTTAGGCTTTGCTTAGCAAGGCAAACCTGCAGTGTGAAAGGGAAAGCAGTGAGGTCTATCCTTATATCATGCTTATATCATGCTTACTATGCTTTGTAACTTTGCTTCCTGAACTGTGTGCTCCCAGAAACATGGTGCTATTAACATAAAAAATACACTGATCAATGTACTGATGAATTTCGCTGCAGTTAAAACTAGCAATAGTAGAGCATTAGTTTACATGTTGTGCTTTTGTGCTGAAGAGGAAAAGTTATTTTGTAGATAGTTCCAAGATTGCATTTTTCTGCTATTTAAATCACAACGGAGTTGCCAATGATAATTTTTTTTCCCAATGGTGTGACATTATCTATTGGTTCATTTTTCTGATAACTGACATTTCTATAGGGCATTGCTTTGAAGTTTTTTAAGCTATCATGTTTGCCAGTCCCAATTTTCACATTTAATCCTGTAGTACTGGTAAATTTTTAGGTCAGGAATTGATAGTTCATACATATTAGCGTATTGTTACCTGGGTAAATTTTGCTTGCCAGTTGAAAAATTACATCCATGGGATTGTCTTGTTTCACTCGAGATTTTTTCTTACTTTCATTTTTCTTACAATTTTAGTAAGCTGCTACTATGCTTGATTTAAGTAAGATGTTACTAAGGTATAAGTCATGGTTAGTCTTTCACATGGAAAATTCATGAGCAGCGGCATTAGATGCAGGTAGCGAATGGTATGATGGAAAGAAGAGGATCCAAGGATGGTGGCAGATCTGGAGCCAAGGTCGATGGGGATGGCCAGGGCATCGCGGCGGCGGACCCCGGCAGAACGACAAGAGGTAGAGGAAGTGGGCGGCCAATCTAGGAGGCACACCACCCGGGTTTGTTCTTGGCACCTTTCAATGTTCTACTTAATACACTTAGCGCACATAATTTACAGATTGAAAAGAAGCATGTTTTTCTTACTGTAATTCTACATCTATTTGTTCATCATATGATTTGTCTACTCACTAAAAAGCATATTAATGTTATGTGTGTTGTTTAAGTGATCATTTTTTATTTCCATTTATCTAGGTCATATATTGTTCTGCTCCACATCTCCCTGTTAAGCAGAGTGCCCATCAGCGGTCACAAGTTTTGCTGGTTAATTGCGATGCCTGGTTGGTTTAGCTGCTGGTGTTGCCCAGGTTTCCAAGTCCAGCAGCTGCCATCATCCAAAGGCACTGGCTTGGTCTTTGCTATGCTCCTCCTCCTTCATCAGGTTGACACATATGCTGGAATTATTTTTCGTGCGTTTGTTCAATATATGTTGATGTTACTTCTGGGAAGGCATCAACTGATATATTAGTGATCACCTACTACTGTATGTCATCGACCTCCTCTATGCGAAAACAATCCCCAAACTCGAGAATCGCATGCTTCTAATAACAGCAGAAACATATATGTATTGCCCTTAGTGCAATAGTTAAGTTCAGTAGATATATCCTATCTGATGATTTCTCCATAACTTCTATTTTTTTTTCTTTCCATATTTTGCCTGGTCATGTACTCATGTACTGCTAAATAAGTTTACTGTATACAAGTTTAATGCATTTCGCAATCATATGTCTCCTTTGAAAAACTCCGAATTATAGAAGAGGAAAAAAAGGGATCTGGTTGCACCTTACAGTCTTATGTCTGTAATGTTCAAGTATTTCCAGAATTTATGAGTAAGGCATTAGTAGTGGCCACCCTTCATGAAGCAAAGTAAAATAGTTAGGTTCTCTATCAGTTGAAGTTGTCTGTAGTCCCAATAAATCTGACAATGGTCTCACCTTTATTCTAAACTTCATTCTGAGTTATAGAAATGTGGCATTTAAAGATCCATGTTTTTCTACAATGCTTAATTTCTTTTTAATCGTATTTAAGTGATATTTAAATAACTCATATTGGATTATGCAGCTCTCATATTAATACAATCTTGGAACCTGTTTATGATATATAATGCATCAGTGTTTTGCAACCTCGATTCTTTGATAAGATGGTGGTTATCAATGTTTGTGGTTTGCTCTATGCATTTCCTCTGCAAATATTTATAGTTAGATGTTTTACTCTATATGTTAATTGACTGTGTACCACTTTTCTCAGGTTCAATGAAACCATATAATAGTACGATTGGACCAGATGAAACAAGGGAAAGTAAAATTGGGCATAACATTCTGTTACATTAGAAAAGGGATTCAATGGTGCCTGCTCGTTGCAATGGATCTAAACTAAATATAGTTGAAGTTGTAAACTAGAAAGAAAAGGTATCCCTAAACCTAAATAGACACATGCATATACAGATAAGTAGCTAACAAAATGATTTAATCATTTACAATATTATTCATCATAGACTACTACCATCACCACCACTACTTTCTATATATCAGTAAGATGGGGGCCCTCTGTAGATTGATTAGTCGTTGAGATATTCATGCTTTTCTCACTTTCAGTTTGAGATATCCTAATATTAATTATTGCATGAATGGCACAATAGCTCCTCTATAGCTTTGCTTCCACTTATAATTTACTGTTATCTTGTATGGCTACAACTTCAGCTGTGAGGATAGATGGGTAGCAGGATTGAATGACATTACTTAAATGGTAAAAATCATATTTTCTGGTTGATGTGTTGAATGTGATTTTGCATGATATATATTACTAGCTGAGTAAATTTTGCCCACTTCTAATTAGCTGCTAGCTCATAAATAAACATCAATGGAATTTTGGTGTTCCATTATCACTGGTTGACCTATTAACAGTTTTTCCGTGCTCGGGCACTTAGTGCGGTAAGGTTTTATTAGGGTATGGTATTTATCTGCATGTGCTTCTCAATATATGATTTCATTGGCTAACGTATGCTTTCATGTACTTATTTACATTCCAACATGTTTGGATTCTTCAGAATATGATGGGATGCTGAATGTAATCTTGAAAAGTTGGGCCCATTATTCTTCAGTTGTCCTATTTGCAAAAACCCAAAGTGTATAGCAATGTGTACCAGGGATTATTTTTCTATTAATTTTGGGTTATTATGTAATGAAAATATTGTATATTCATGTGAACCATGAGTCTCTAATGAACCGAAATTTCAACAGAGATGCTCTACGTTGATAATAAAGTGTCCATCTGTAGTAAGATATTTACCACGGACGAAGCAATACTAATTACGATGCTATTGATATCCACAACTGTTGAACTGTAATCTATGATGTCACTTATCAAATTATCGTAGATTTCCCTCATCGTAGATTTTAATCCGTGCAGGCGGCGCGCAATGGCGCGCCCCAGCCTCTAGTAACTACTTAAGGCTCAAGACAGCAAAGAGACGTTTGAACTTGGCTGTGATTATTCCAGCCGTTGTTTCAGGCTACTTCGTTGCCGAAATGATTGCGTCGAATTGACGAAGATGAGGTTTAGAAGCACCGGCGATCGATATGAGAAACATGCAACCAACCTTTATGATTATGTATTGGGTACCTTAAGTTATCCTTGGTAATGTGTGGGCGGCTGTTGTTTATAATTAAGCACCTTAAGTTATCCAACTCTAATGTAGCTAGCTTCTGTTGAACCAAAGGCTAAATTTTTATCTATTTATATCTTGAAAAAAAAAAGTATGTTCGCGAACGGTGTTAATAACGTGCAGAGAGGCAGAGACACCATCAGTAACTGTAAGCTGATACGGGGAATTTAACTATTTGTCACTTTTAGGTTTGACAATTATCAAAATACGAAAATACCCTTCTTATGTTTTTTTTTTTGCCCTTTCTTAAGAGATGGTCTTAACTATTTGCCACTTTTGCCCTCATGGCAAACTCGGGTGGAAAAGGTGTGGGACCCACTCGTCAGCCTCTTACTCCCCTTCACCTCTCTCCCTGATGCGATTTTATGCTTCTGATTGTGATGATGTAAAGTTCAATATTTTATACTCTCCCTGTCCCATAGCAACCTAGGATTGGCGAATCTGAACAAGTCTCATGTCCAACAAATTTTGTGATATTATGGGACGGAGAAAATAGAAGGGAAATGACCCAATTTAGAAAAAACAATAGAGCAACCATAACGACATAATATGCTCAAAATGCAACACGGGAGAATAAAAATGGAATAAGTTGAAATGCAATTTACAATAAGCCAACAATAAACCCATTCATTCAAAATAAACAAAATAGACCACCCCTACTTTCTAGTACATCCCAGCGAGATGACTCTCATCCATAAATATTAGTGGTAGGTATAGGCATGGTCTATATCTCCACAAAATTTCAAGACCAAATTCAAATTTGCTTGCAAGATACAAGAAATACAAACTTTGCACGGATAGTGATAGGGAAGTTTCATGCAAAATTTGTCTTATTTTAACTTTCCAAACGAAGTTGAGTTTGGTCTTAGAAATTTGGTGAGAAAGAGATCATGCCTATCCCTACCTTTAATAATTTCTTCGTGAACATAGAGAAATCGAGTTTTCATAGGTTCAATTGAACTGGAGATTTCTCCAGAAAACGAGAAACTATACATGCAGATGCTCATGTCGCATAACTAAGTTAATCAGTCCATTTTTCTACAGCGGAACTATTTCACCAAAAGAAGTGATAGCTTGTTTTAATCCCTAAAAACAACTGCCATTTTTGCTTCCTGTCGTACAAGCTGTGTTCTAAGTTGAAAATTTATGGGATGATAGATGGGATCAGAACCTATGTTACAAAAATTCCCATAGCTAAAGTTCAGGGGAGCAAAGCTTACCTTTTTCCTGTAAACAGGTTCTTTGATTCGATTATGTTTAATTTGATCGACCTAGATTACTAGTATTTGCTTTCCAACAATCACGTACTATGGGAAGGAGCCAACTGATGAACTAAAATTTTCTTAGCGTTGCTCACATATTAACAAACAAACAATAAAATCATCATCTGGCCTGTAACTCCTTAACAGCCGTCCCTGTAACCAGATCTAACGGTACAATGACAATATGCTCTCAAATGACCCCATAAATAAAGAAAAGACCAAATAAGCTGAAATTTAGTTTATCTATAGTACTCCCTCCGTTTCAGGTTATAAGACGTTTTGACTTTGGTCAAAGTCAAACTGTTTCAAGTTTGACAGACAAATATAGTAATATTTATAATACTAATAATAGTTTCATCAAATCAATAATTGAATATACTTTCATAATAAATTTGTCTTAGGTTGAAAATGATACTATTTTTTTCTACAAACTTGAACAAACTTAAAGCACTTTGACTTTGACCAAAGTCAAAACGTCTTATAACCTGAAACGGAGGGAGTAGAACAAGACTCGGGCTAAGCCAACAATAAACACATCAATTAAAGTAACAGGAAGTAAAATGATACAGGCTAGTACTCAGACTTACGCTTTAATGTCTGCTGCTACATAATCAGGGTAATTGGTTTCACCCAGAGAAGGCAGGTGGTAGGGTTTTGTATAAGAGAAGAAAGTCCGGCTGGCAAAAGGAACCACACCAATTGTTGGGTGGTTTAATTTGGTGGCTGCGTGAGGGCTTTGAATAGAATTCAGGCACTTTGCTTGCTGCATTGGAAGGCAGTATAAGGAAATTAATATTTTTTTCACCAAAGGCATACAAGTTCACTCTTATATTGTGGAAAAATCAAAATTATCAGAAATTGCATAGATGTGAGAAAGGAAACAAAAGAAAAGGCACCGCCTTGTTCATGTTTTTTTTTAAAAAAAAGAAAAAAAGGAAAGGAAAGGAATTATAAATTGGCCGGTTTGAAAGTGTAAAACTAGTGCTAGGCAAAGAAATTGAGTAATAGCTACTTACAGAGACAGGAAGGCCATGGTAATTGGGAAGCACCGTGCTAAAACGACGGAGAGCATCGTGGATAGCAGAAACGTCTCCTCCTTGCTGAAAGGAGGAAAAGAGCAATTATGTTCTTCCCTGTTGTGAAAGAAAAATAAAAAATTTGAAAGATTTGGAGGAGCGTGTATACATACAGCGGAGGTAGGACGATTAGGCATCGATCCGGACAGCACTGAAAATTTCTGAAACAAGAAACGCCTAGACATGTCGGCGATCTGATCCGTGCGTCTCTCTGCTTGGAATTTCCGGCGAGCGCTTGCTGCTTATAAGAAAAAAAAAGGGGCTAAAACCAAAAACAAAACGAAATCAGTCCGAGATGTGATCGAAGCAGGTCAGGTGAGGTGCAGGCCCCCATGAGATTGAGCAGCAAGGAATCCAAATCGAATCTCAACAGGGAACTTAAAGACACGGAAAGAAAGAAAGCTGACCTTAGCAGGTGCAGGGGGGGAGGATGGCGCCCGGCGGCGGCGAGGACTGAGCACGGGCCTCCAAACCCTAGCACATCGCGATTGGGGATCGAACCCAACCTTTTTGCCTTCTCTCACTCTTCGGGGAATTATTAAGCGTCGCGCATGGGGCGAGCGAGGTGGCGATTTTTCGAAATAGCCCTCCGGTTCGCCGTAATTCGGCCGCAGTCCCCCGCGAATAGCACCTGTGAGGTGTACTTTTACGTAAAGGCTCTTCGAAAAGACGGATATTACATGAGAAGGAGGGGAAAATCGCGCGTTGGGACTGCTGTGTGAAACTAGAAAGACTAGGGGCTTTTTCGCAAAGCTCCGCGCACTAACCCGCCCCCAAGGCCCCAACCCTAGCCGCCTCCGCCCGCCTCTCCTCCTCCCTCTCCTCTCACGCCGCCGGCGCCGGCGCCTCCCCAACCCTAGCCGCCGCCCCAGTCCCCTCCTCCCTCTCGTCCCACCCGTGCTCTCCCTCTCCCTCTCACGCCGCCGCCGCCGCCTCGAAGCTTCCCCTCCCCATGGCGCCGCGAGGCTACCTGGCGGAGGTGGCTCTCCTCACGTCGGCCTCCGAGGACCTCGCCGCCGTGGGCCCCGGCGAGAGGGAGGGGTGGCTGGACGACCCCGCCGTGCTCCCTCCCCTCGCGCCGCGCGCGCGCGCCCTCGCCGTCGCCGTTGCGGCGCGGTCCGTGCTCGCGGTTGCCCCGGTCGCCGGAGGAGGTGGCAGGGTCACGGTGAGGCCCGCGCTGGGGCCCGACGACGGCCGGATCTCCGCCGTGGAGTGGATCCCGCTCGCTGGGGAGGACGCCGGGGAGGCTGGTGAGAGAGTGGCCGTCGCCGTGGGCACGGACGCCAGGTGGCTTCTGTTATACTCTCTCGCCGGCGATCTGCTGCACAAGCAGGTTGCTATGTGTGATCGATCTCTTCTCTCTGGATGTTTTGTCATAGAATCATACAATATAATGTTTATAAGAGGCCTGCTTAATGAACACCGGAATTATCAAAAAGGTAACCAGATAAAGTCAGTTCCAAATATCGTTTGTTTGCACATGAGAAAGTCAATCCAAAGGGCATGAATCCATGAACAGATGAACATACCAATGAACTTGTAGATCTGCCACATTGGGCATTCCTAGCATTGTTTGCCACATCCATTTTAACTTGTTTTGCCTAATTTTTTTCATTGACAAAAGCTGCAGCCATGTAACCAATTAATTCAGGTTTAGTTTCCTGTTAGCTTTGAGATATACTGAAAAATAACCTGACCCTAATGCATTTAGGCCCACTAATGAATGTATCCTAGGGGCACTGATGTGCCCTATTTTTCAAATTCACTGTCAAAATAAAAAAAAATGTCTTTGTTCTATTTTTTTGTTATGTTGATGGTAAAGATATGCTTGCATTTGTACATAAGTTATTTGTTTAGGAAGGTATCACTGAGAAAGTGGCATTTCAATTACAGGTATATATCATTGTGTTTTTATGAGTTTATATATCCACACACACTTTTGTTTCTTCAGATTTTAATAAATGCACAAACAAAGTAGATGCATGGTTTTTACTTATTTTCCTGCTCATCATGTACTATCTTTTTTACTTCCATGACAAAACCTAACTGCTACTCTTCTTTTCATGGCTAATTTATTTGTTTCGATGTTCTTAGGGAAATGTTATAGGCTGAAGGAAAAATCTTACGCAAATCCATATTGGAGTTGATGCGGCTAATTTCTTGATTGAAAAAGGATACAGTGGCTCCTGGAATTTGTTATTTTCTTCAGCAAGGTATAATGACCAAAAGACCAAAAGCACAATTACCCCGACCAGGTCCCAAAGAACCCTTCTTACCACCTCAGAACATGAGTTTCCTCCAAATGCACATTTTTTTATGCAAACTATGCACGTTTGTTGTATTTCGTAACAGCCCGATGACGAGCTCATGAGCGTGTTGCATAACCTGCCAGACATAAACATCACCTGCAAGGCACGGCAGGTCAAGCTTTTAAGCCATCATAGAGTTTGGTGCTATTCTGCCAACTAGATTCGTGCTTGGATTGGAGGATGGTATGGTGCTGCAGCCTCCAAGAGTTACACATTTTGGTAATTTATCTATTATTTTTTATCCTTTTGGATATGCAAGGCTTTGTATATTAGCTAATAAGATATAACTAATTGAAGTAGATTGTCAATACATTAGCTCATTCATATTCTAGTGACCCGATGGATTTGAGGCTTGCATTCTACCGGCAAAGTAGGTGGTATGATATTGTGATTTTGTTTCATGTCACCGTCTGATTTATAGGGAATGACGATGTGGCCTTGCACAACTATAATCACAATGTGTACACAACCTGGAGCATAATGAACATATTGTGACTATAGTTCTTTTCTCCTTCGGTATACCTCTTTCACTGATTTTTTTCCCTTTTCAAAGGTGTTTATAGAGAAACTTAATGCTTATTTTGCCAAAGCCGTCTATTATAGGAAAGGTTTGAGAGTACCCAGAAAGAGCTATCTATCTATATATATACAGAATAGAATGCACCATTTCCCCAAAGGAAAGACTCGGCATCCTAGCGATCATAATTCTCAACCATAGAGATAATGAGTATGACCAACAACTCTTGCAACTGGCAGTTTTTACAGAAATGGAAATCTTGCAGGCCATCATCTTAGCAATAGAATTCCGAGACTTATATTTCCCTTTTTACATATGAAAGCAAAAGAAAGAGCAGTGAAATTGATTGCTAATTTTAGGTTGTCACTAACTTATGTAAGTTTATTTGTGAAATTCTAACTCCCAGACTATTTTCGAAATTTATGTAAGTTATTTCTAAAATTTGAAATTTCATTGCTAATATCCTAAAAATGTGCTTACTAATATGTGACCACCCTGCAGGCAACAAAGCACAAGTTCATCTATAATCTGTCATACAAGTGTTGCTATCTATTTATATACTGACTACCTACTTTATTATTCTTGTATTTGTGAACATACTTCTATATGTCAGGTATTGTTCCCGCGAGTCTTGTAGATGATCAACGTGGCTCTTTATGTAGTACTATGTATATGAAAACTAGGACTCTGTAAGTTCATTCCTTTGCAATATTATTTCAAGGCCATTAGTATCATGCGTAGATACAAATTTTCTAATTAGTGCACATCAAGTGTATAAAGGTCAAGAAAGGCAAGGTCATGGGTGTATGGTCAAGGTTGGTCACTTTTTCATCTTATTTTTATCTCATGAATCCAATTTTTGGGGCAAACCGATCTCTGGGTTGTCAAATTAGTAACAACTGTTCCATTAATCATCCATCCAATCGATAGATTTATGCCAAACATTTCTTTAGCTGTATTGAAGTTTGGACTGGGCCTGCTTTAGATCAGGCTTAGTTTGTGCTGGGCTGCAAGCTTGTGTTGTGTTAGCCTCTCAGCTTTGGGCCAGACCATATGAGCTCCTTTTTTCTTTCTTGAGTAGACACTGGCTTGAGATGGTGTTTTGTAGCCCTTATATTGACAAATTCTTTTTTTAACGAAATTATATTGACGGATTCTTATTCCTTTATACTATGTGGATAGTTGCTGCACATTTTTTTTCTCCTTCAAAGTTTTAACATTTAGGAAAAAAAATTACTACTATCTTCTCTATTAATATATACATGGCAAAGCTTTTGCTGTCCTTTAAAAAAAATACTCCCTCCGTTTCGTAATGTAAGTCATTCTAGCATTTCCCACATTCATATTGATGTTAATGAATATAGACATATATATCTATCTAGATTCATGAACATCAATATGAATGTGGGAAATGCTAGAATGACTTACATTGTGAAACGGAGGAAGTACTATGTATGCTACATCAGTATGTACATGACTGGATGGGTTGCCATGCGGATGAAGATGGCACATTCATTTGGGTAAAATGACTTGCATGGCCATCATTAGTTGTGAGGAAGACTTACATTGCTCTTGCCATTCATTTGGGTAAAATGGCTTGCATGGCCTATTTACAAGATTATGAGCCAAATGTGGTTTGCTTTGTTGCAAATGAAAATATAGTAGTTCGCAGGCTGCAATGTTGCACCATAACCTGACTAACCTGCAAAGGCTTTGATATGAGCCTAATTGCTTGGTAACAGATTTTCTAGTCTAAGCTGAATTGCATTGGGTTACTGTAACCTGTACTGAAACATGAAGTTAGGTACCAGCTACTGCTATTTTCCATTAGTACAGACGATTTACACTTGCCCAGTTAAAATCAAATGTTATAGCAATAAACAAACAAAGTGCAGAGTTAGCACGGATTTGTGAAGGCTAGAAATTTCTTGCATCAGTAGGCACTCACAGCTGCAGTATGTCAACAGGTGATTTTATCATTTTGGCTGAACCGAGACCTGGTGCATCCTCTGGTGGTGAGGTGAGCCTGTATTTTGGTGGCATGGATCCAAAGCACTATAAGAGGGATCACGCCTATGTCCCAGTTTCTCGTTAAGGCTACTAGCAGTTAAACACGGGGGATCTCCTTATTGATGGCCACTCAACTGGCTTCTATGCAAAAGGCTGCGCTGCTATTGTGGACTCTGGAACTTCCTTGCTTGCTGGTCCTATAGTATGTATTATTAATATCTTCGAATTAAAGGTCCAGATCACCTCTATATTTGTTTGTTCATGGTTACTGAGCTCAAAGTTTCCATTCTGTGATAATGTAGTTGATTGGTCAAGGTAGATATTGCCCAATAAGTCAATAACTATACAAATATTTAGATAGTCGCTAGATGCTAGGTACTGAGTGCAGCTGCAATTTTCAGCAATATGGTGTATGACTTAAAACCTTTGCACCTTCTGTTCTCTACAGGCTATTAGTTGCTCAGGTGAACCATGCTATTGAGGCTGAAGGAATTATCAGCACGGAATGATCGGTGGTGGGAACGTGTGTTTGGGGTAGGCGGTAGATGAGGGAGAAATAAGTTCTCTATACTGATTAATGCAAACCATGGTTTAGTAAGATTTCAAGAGGCTTGACTACTTGATCATGCAAAAAAATGAGCTTTAAGTGCAATAAGTCGATGACATTTTTTTTAGAAATGCAAATGACACATCGACAATAAGAATGTGTTTTCATTTTAGAAATAGTTATATATAGTTCATTTGCCAGCTTTGCAATTATGCACCTCTCGTAAATCTTGCCTAGAAGTTTAATACCATTATGACAACCTCCATGAACCTGTAGGTTCTTTACTGTCCTAGCCATGCCGGGTGCAGTGCTTATCAATCCAAAGGCAATATGATGGTCTCGAGAGGCCTTTGCGCAGACAGAAAATGCATCCAACATTTGGCAGAGTTCAAGATGTTGGGTGATCACCTTATACCAATCCTTGTAATATTGTACTGATTAATATTTGTACAAATTGAGAAGTAGATCTTCCTATCGATTTTTACATGGGTCCAATCTTTGTAATAGTGATGCTGGTCGGTATGATGTTGTTTATATACTATCAATTCTACAATATATTTGCAATTTGTTATGTCATAGGAATAAATTTGTAACTCTATTGATTTTGATAATGTGGCATAGGTTGTCAATTCTCCTGGGTTCTGTGTCGGTGCGTGATGGTGGGTTTTTTACTTTCCTGGCTATTGTCTTGCAGGGTGTTAGCTTTGTACTTTTTTCCTACTCTATTTAATGAATCATCGTACAAAAGAAATTGTTATGACATAGGAAGAAATTTTGTAGCTTCTTGAAAAAAAAAACTTGAACACTTTTAATTTTTTAAAAAATTATGAACATCTATTTTTCATTAGTTGACAATTTAATTACAATTTTAGACAGACAAAGGAACTTTGAATAGCATAGATGGAAACAAAGAGTAAATTGACGATTTTCTCAAATTGTTATGTTAAATTGGAACGATTTATTAGAATGTACAATTTTTTTTAATGAACTCTAAAGAAATTCAACTAATTCCTATACAAATTTTTTTTGCATGAGTTTCAAAGAAATTCAGCTACTCCTATTTATAGCACAAACAACATAGACGGACTATAAAGCTAAGCGCGCCAACTGGCGTGCTCATCTCAACGATTGGCTTCAGCTTGCTGTCAAACCAGGGATTGAAGAGCTGATCATTAATTTGTCATCAGTTAATGCAGATTACAAGAGCTTTTATCTGGTGGATCTGGAGATTCACTGTGGTATATTTATCTTGCCTGTTGCAACTTTCATCCAAAAGTCAGAATTGGTCACTTGAAATGCTTGACAAGAATACAGCTGTGTATGGTGAATATCACGGAAAACGGGCTAAGTTCTCTTCTCTCTATTTCACTGGGTTTGGAGCGGTTGGAACTCAGACACTGCAGCACGATAAAATCCCTGAAAATACCATGCCTGCAGCGTCTCAGCTACCTAGAGGTTATGACTTGCGACGGGCTGCGAGTTATAGAGAGCAAAGCTCCAAATCTCTCCAGTTTTCGCTTTGCGGGTGACCTTCGTGTACAAGTATCACTTGGTGAAACAGTGCAAATTAAGCAAATCTACAGGTTATGTAACGATGCAGCCTTTTATGCTCGTACTGAGCTGCCATCCAGCATGCCAAATCTTGAAAGGCTTCTTATACATTCTGACACTGAGGTATACGCTCTTAATAAGATTTTAAAACGACCAACTCGTGATGCATACGCTTATAACCAATAATTGTCTTACAGTGAAACCTAGTAGTATTTGAATCTGCAGATGGTCAATACACAGATGCTGCCTAGCAAATTCTATCACCTCAAGTACTTAAATATTGCTCTTGGTGGAGGAACCTATGATTATCTCTCTCAGGTTTCCTTCTTTGATACTTCTCCTTTCTTGGAGACTTTCAACTTGAATGTAATAAAGGTATAAAGTAAATGTGGTGGAATTGCTGCTAATTAATTTGGGTTTTTTGTTCACTGTTAGGCACTCTGAGTCCGAGAACGAAAGGAATGTGTCTCAGGCTGTGTTTAGTTCTATGGGTGAAAAGTTTTAACGTGTCACATCGGATATACGGACACACATTTGAAGTATTAAATGTAGCCTAATTAATCCGTCATTAGCAAATGTTTACTATAACACCATATTATCAAATCATAGAGCAATTAGGTTTAAAAGATTCGTCTTGTAATTTACATGTAATCTGCGTAATTAGTTTTTTTATCTATATTTAATACTCAATACATGTGTCTAAATATCTGACGTGACAGGATGAAAAGTTTTTGCGTGGCAACTAAATGGTTTTTTTAGGACCCTTCAGGTCTGAGGGTGATGCCAGAGCACCGCCGTCATGACAAACTCAATTTCTTTTCTGCAAAGAGTTTGGTTGAGCTAACATGTCACATTGTTGAATCGGCGACATCACTCGGAAAAAAGTGTCTTTACGCTGGACACAACCAATTTTTCCTCCGCATTATCTGTTATCCGTTGCCTCTCACTGGCCGGTGGGCCACTAGTCCAAGTTGTGGCTCTTTGGTAGTACTGGTGCAAATTGACAAATACAACGCTTCCTGCGCGGGCAGAGAAACGCCGCGCCCTTCTTCTCAGATGAGACTCCCGAGTGCTGGGCAGGCTCACTGCCTATCCACGGTTCCACACACAACTACTACTGTAGCAATTGTTACACGTAAACCGCACCAAGAGAGATGCAATGCAACCAAACACAGTAATCAATCCATAGGGCAGCCCAACCATTTTAGGTTGCAAACGTATCATCATAGCTCATCAGTAGTAATCCATATCGCCCTATGCGTATCATTACCAGTGCTGATAAAATGTTTCGACTCTCTTATAATCACGAGTACTACTGACAACCACCCTCCTTCCTCGCGTAGTTGCGCTCCTAAGCCTCGCTTTTGCCGGTGGTTGGAATCTCCACACCTGCAAGCATGAGACACATTTTATCAGCATTGCTGGGCAAACTATCCACAAAAGAACAAGACCCTCAACAGCGCAGCGAACCTGGACGCTCAGCCTGCTGCTGCAAAACCCCGAAGACTGCGGCGGTGACTCCCAACAGCAAGACACTATTTTTCAAGCACTCCTTCTGAGAATTTTCGTGAAGACCCCTAAAGAATTCAATCAATTTGTCAGAGAAAAGCCTTAGAATTTCAATTGCTTGGAATGCTTATAGTTATGAACAAAGGAAGTAGTACCTCATTGTGGCCACGACGGTTTCCATCTTTGCCACTTTCAAGTCCAGCTCTGATTTCGTAAACTTCTGCAGCGCCTCGAATTCATGCCTTATGAAACGCTGTTCGTCCTTCAGCGCTTGGAGCTACAATATGATTCGACAGAAAATAGGGTCCCAAATTAGTTACATATTTAATACACTACTGAAATTGAATACAATTCTCATTACATGAACAACTACTACAATGGTACAACTATGTTCTAAATTAACTCAATCCTTACAATTTTCTCAGTAATTAAAATGAACGGCAACCTAAGATTTGGAGCAGTTCTAAATTAGTCCTCTATTCAGGTCAGCACACACAGTCAAAACAACAGATAGTTAAAATGTGCCCAACTACATATATATACTGTCAATGCATAATCATTAATATTCAGTACTAGTATTGTGCAGCTCAAAATAAACTATAGATCAGTCAATTCCTAATATTCTAGTGCAGTAAGGAAAGATTCAGAATCATACTAAAGTATTAGGAACCCAAAAATACCAAATTAAAAGTACCATTCCACCAATCAACATCACTGTTTTAATGAGATAGCATGAGCATCTAGCAGTACTTTGGTCAGCAATGCAGGTCATCATGAGATTAGAAAGGCCACCATGCAGTACTTTTACAGATAATGCTCTAGTTGTTGATGACCGTTTGTGGATAGTTCGTGGACTCTTTTCTTCATGACCGTAACCTCATCGAGCAGATGATCCTTCAGGATCAGTCTGAGATTCATCAAAATCCCCTTCCCACCCCCACCCCCACCCCACCCCACCCCACCCCAAATAAAAACATCAAGAGAAGAAAGAGTAGGGAAACGAGTCGGGGATTATACCTCTTCGTTCAACGTCTCAGAAACCCTGCCCTCCCGGCCGACCGCGTCGCCGCCGGAGGAGAGGAGCCGCCGCGGCGCGAGCCTCGCCGCCAGCCGCCAGCCTCGCCTTCGCCCCGGAAGCTGCCGCCGCTGCCAGCCTCGCCCTCGCCTGTGCCCCGGAAGCTGCAGCCGCCGCCGCCGCCATCGCGATCGAGTAGTGCAGACGCGAGGAACCCTAGCGAGCGCTCGATCTCTCTCTCTCTCTCTCTCTCTCTCTCTCTCTCTCTCTCTCTCTCTCTCTGTGCTGTTCTTCTTGCGTTTCTCTCCCTCTCTCCTGTTCTTGCGTTGGAAGAAAGAAGAGGCTCCCGCCTCCCACCGTCCGATTGGATCGGATGGTCGAGACGGCACGTGCTAGCGTACGCGTATCTCCCGTCTCCCTTGCCTCCCACCGTCCGATTGGATCGGATGGTCGAGACGGCACGTGCTCGCGTACGCGTGTCTCCCGTCTCTCTTTCTTCTCAAACGTTTAAGGCTTAACGGAATCCAATGCTACTATAAATTCCAACTATTTGGTAGCCCGCGCAATTACGCACCTAGCCCCCATATAAAATTATTTATATATATATTGGGCTTGATCGGTATAGCTTGCTGCGTCTGTAGCTGTGCTGCATCTACAGTATCAATAGCATATTTTTGAATTGGAGCTGTTGCAGTGTAGCCGCAGCAAAGCTGAACCGATCAAGCCCATTTTAATATGTCTTTTTGAAAGACCAAATATTATCATAACAGTATTTCTAATTTTATTTTTTTAAAAAAATCACACCAGTTGCTACGCCTTACTTTTATCATCCCTTCTTTATTTACATACTTGATCTACCACTGTTTTTATTAATTCTTCTCGAAACCTTTAAAAATTAAACCTTATAATTTTTAGAGTTTTTTTTGTCTCGTTGGTTTCATTTTAACAAATTTTAGAAGTCCCGTCCAACGCTGTTATTATACTCATCTACGGCCTGTCTACTGCCTCCTCTCTTTATTATCATTAGAATTTTTAAAAAGCGAACATAATTATCGTTTGGGTTTATTTTTTACTTTTTAGAAGTCCTGCCAAACCATCAGAGGCCTTGCCACCGTACTATTCTACGGCTCGCCCGCTGTTTCTCATCTTTATTGTCATTGAGATTTTTTAAATCAAACATGATTATCATTGGAGTTTCTTTTTTTTTACTTTCTAGAAGTTTCAAACCTTTAAAAATTGGATATTATAGTTTTTAGAGTTTATTGTCTTCTTGGGTTTCATTTTTATAATTCTGTAAATCCCGTCAAACGCTGCTACTATACTCATCTACGACAAGTCCACTGCCTCCTCTTTTTATTGTTATCGAGATTTTAAAAATCGAACTTAATTATCGTTTGGGTTCATTTTTTTCACTCTCTATAAGTCCCGCCAAACAATTAACTGCTTTGTCACTATAGTCATTTACGGCTCACACGCTGCCTCCCCTCTTTAATGTCATCGAGATTTTAAAATCAAACATGATTATTATTTTTTTTACTTTGTAGCAATCCCACCAATTGCCATGACCATATTGCTTAACGATGTGTTTATCGTCCCTCCTTTTAATAGTATTTGGGATTCTATTTGTGGTTTTGTTAATTAATTTTTTTAACATAAAGATAGAACTTTATTAATGATTAAGATAGGGGATACATTCCTGGTTTAACAGGTCCAGGATACACACATGTGCACACAATCTCCACTCAGTGCTTGATCTTGAACTCATGCCTAGTTGAGCAAGGTTATGAGCTACCCTATTCGCTTATTTCTTTATCTTATGCACTTGCACGCTTTGAAGACATTGCATCAACCGTCTTGCCAATCTATGTTTTCTATAAAGTTAAAGCACACTAAGTCTAAAGCTTAACATGTAACCATGCCACATCATCAACCACTAGCAATAGTTACATATTTAATCTCATGCAAGTATACAACATGATATACAATTTATTTAATACTACAAATCAAAATGCAAGCATATCCAATCATCACCTCTCATATCATTTGTACAATATTTTAACAAATCTATCTGTCACTTTTACAATATTTAACATATACTTATCAATACTAAAGCACGGGTATCATTTGACTGATAAACCTGATGTTTCTTTTTTTTTCTTTTGACTTCTAACTTGATTGTCAAAAAAAAATATTGAGAATTGCTTAGTAATTTCCGCAGCAAAGCACGGGAAATCACCTATTACTTTTTACATATCCTATCCACCGCTACCTTGTCTCGTTGGTTTGCAGCTTTACATCGCTTTTTGTATAATTATTGTATGCACATATGTTCATTTGGATGTACTCCTACCTGGATCCCCAGGAATTGGAAGTTTGTTGCTTCGGTTTGTATAGTGAAATTGCTAATACTAGCGGAGCATATAGAACGTATTATGACATAGTAGCACTAGTTTGTGTAACCACATTGAGCAAACGAACATGCTTTTCAGTTTCAGCGATCAAAAATAATAATTAATAAAAAAATTTAAATAAAATAAACGATCAAACATGTTTAAAAAAAAGTTAACGGCGTGTCTAAAAATATTTAGGACGGAGGGAGTACAATTCAATAGGCTGAAAACACGGCCCATAATCGTGATTTGTGCCGGGATTAAGGCCCATCAAAACAAGGCCTGGTTGTTGTTTACTCCTACTAATTATCTTGCCGTGTCCAGGACAATAGAACCAACAGCAAGCAGGTTCTTCTATCCAACAAATTCATGGCAGCGCCTTTCCGGCTCGGCCGGTCCGTCTGGACTCGTGCCGTTCGCCCCGACCCACCACCGCTCTCGATGCTCGACCACCTGGCTCGCCTGAAGCAGCTAGCCCGATCGAGCAGGCTCGCGGACGCGCACCGCCTGTTCGATGGAATGCCACGCCGCGACGAGGTTGCCTACGCCACCCTCCTCGCCGGCCATGCCGCCGCGGGGGACTTCCCCGGCGCGATGGCGCTCTTCTCCCGCCTCCGCGCCTCTTCTCCGCCGCTCGCGCCCGCGGACCCTTTCGTCCTCAGCCTCGTCTTCAAGTCCTGCGCCGCGGCGGCCGACGCGAGGTTCCTCCCGCACGCGGCGTCGCTGCACGCGTTCGCGGTCCGCTCCTCGGCCGTCTCCTCCGTCTTCGTCGCCACGGCCCTGGCCGACGTCTACGCCAAGGCTGGATGCCTCGGCCTCGCGCTTAAGGTGTTCGACGAAATGCCGCACAAGAACGTGGTCTCTTGGACCACGCTGGTTGCCTCGCTGACGAGGGCCGGCCGGCGCCACGAAGCGCTCCGCCGCTTCTCCGAGATGCGCGCCTCTGGCGTGCACTGCGATTCGTACGCCTACGCGGCCGCGCTCACAGCGTGCGCCGACGCCGGATTGCTGTCTCGCGGGCGCGAGGTGCACGCCTTCTGCGCCAAGCTCGGCCTTGACTCGACGCCCTACGTCGCCAACACGCTCGCCACTCTGTACGCGCGCTGCAGCGACGTCGACCGTGCGCTGGCTGCTGTCAGCCGCATGGGCACGCGCGACGTCGCCGCTTGGACGACGGTGATCTCTGCCTATGTGCAGACCGGCCGTGCAAAGGAGGCCATCGAGGCGTTTGTCCGAATGCTTCGTGAGGAATCATCAGTGGCTGCATCGCCGAATGAATACACATATGCTGCAGTTATTGCTGCGTGTGCAGATATTGCTTGGGTCTGTCTTGGGGAGCAGTTGCATGCTCAAGCTGCAAGGAAAGGCTTCGCCTGTGCCCGCTCGGTGGCCAATTCTCTTGTCACACTCTACACACGCGCCGCGGGCTGTCTGTCGGCTGCTGATGCTGTTTTCCGGGAGAGTGTAGTCAAGGATGTTGTCTCTTGGAGTGCCATCATATCAGGCTATGCACAGGAAGGCCTAGCTGAGGATGCATTCGCTCTGTTCAGAGAAATGAGGCATCACAGCGGCTGTCCTCGTCCGAACGAATTCACTCTTGCCAGTCTCCTAAGTGTTTGTGCAACTGCTGCGTCACTGGATGCTGGACGGCAACTCCACACACTTGCTGTTGCTGCTGGACTTGAACATCATGCAATGATCAGGAGTGCGCTCATTGACATGTATGGAAAGAGTGGTAGCATGTTAGATGCTGATATAGTATTCTCCCATCGTGTGAAAGATGATGTTGTTTCGTGGACTGCAATGATCGTTGGATATGCTGAGCATGGGCACAGCAAGAAGGCACTTGAATTGTTCCAGGAAATGTGTCATGTTGGACTAAAGCCAGACCATGTCACATTCATAGGTGTGCTCAATGCTTGCTGTCATGCTGGGGAAGTCGAGCTTGGATTGAGATACCTCAATGAAATGAACCAAATTTATGGCCTGTATCCTGCCAAGGAGCACTATGGCTGTGTGGTGGATTTGTTGGGCAGAGCTGGTAGAATAAACGAAGCTGAGGAACTGATTGGAAAGATAGCTGCCAACGAAAGAGATGGTGTTGTTTGGACATCTTTGCTTAGGGCGTGTGCAGCCCGAGGAGAAGAGGAAACTGGAAAGAAAGCTGCAGAGAGGGCAATGGAGGCAGAACCATGGGGCGCAGGAGCACATGTGGCAATGGCGAATCTTTATGCCAGCAAGGGACAATGGCACGAGGCTGCACAAGAACGGCATATGATGAAGCAGAAAGGGGTTGTGAAAGGGGCAGGCTGGTCATCAATCACGGTTGGAGGGGAGGGCAGGAGAGTAGGGGTGTTTGTGGCCAGTGATCGCACACATCCCCAGGACAGTGCAATCTACAGGATGCTTGAGTTGATATATTTCGGAACTGGAATGGCTCGCTATGTACCTGATCAGTTGGATTTAGGATCTGAAGTGGATATGATGATTAGCAGTTAACTGAATAAGAAGCATTGGCTACGAATGAGTGCTATGATGAGCATTTGTTGCCAGTCAGTGCAGCTTAGGATGGTCTGGTCATCCAATCATTTCTGCTACTGCACTAAAGCACTGATTGAATAGTTCATATACCAATGCTAAGCTCGTTTGAGAGACAACTCTCGATAAGATGGGCACAACTATGAGGCAACCATGCTGCATGCTCTGATCCAGGCTTCAGCATTGCAGCTTGTAGTAGCAGACATGCCTTTTTTTTTTCTTTTAAGATAATGGATAGAAATCCAGCCTCTATATCCACAAGTGGATATACACAGCCAGTAGCAGACATGTCTTACAAGAATGGATTTCAATTCAATGAGATACCCACTGCAGGTTTCATATCCTAAATCGTAAATATGTCAACTTGATTCCTGCATCAGATGTACAGTGAAGAACTGAAGAAGTTCATTTCTTGCTCTTAACCAATACAAGTTGGAAGCATTTTATGCACACTGATTTGGAGCAGACAGGAATGTGGCAGACCGCGTGATGTTGATCTTATTCATCAGTTCTTTAGAAGGGAGCCGGACGGCAGTAGAGATATTCATAGCAGCATTGACGCTTTGGTGGCACCCAAGTTGCATCAATATGTCTGACATGCTGCTTGCTAATAACTTGATTCTTGACCAAGATATTATTGCTTGGTGTCTTGGTGATGATTCTTCTTTTATATACAATGTTAATGTCAATCCTTGTACTATAGTAGAGTTGTTAGTACCATATTCTTTCTGACAACTGCTCCTAGGATATTCTTCCTTTTGACATTTTGATTATGTAACGGTGAATCATGTCTATCAGTATGTAGACTTTTGACCTTCTTTGTACATATGCTCATTATTTACTATCTTTTCTGACAATTTGCACTTGCCTGATCTGATTTTGGAATAATTTGCAATTGCATGATGACAAAGTTATATGCTTGTTTTCAGTCATACAGATGCTTTTAGATGGAGTGCATACTTGTGCTGAATGGTGGTTATAAATCGAACCGAATTGAACGGATCATAGATATTCGTAGCTTTCATGGAATCGGCAGAACAAGAATTCTAATTTCAGTGGATCTGTCCTTGGACAAAGCAGGTGAGTCCCTTCCATGACTCAAACTGATCATAAACAATCAAGATAGAGCACCACTACACCAGTAGAAAGAAACACAAAAATCACCATGACAGTGAGGGAGTTGTAGTAATGATGCTGCTTTGGTGATGGAGCTTAGGCTTTGGAACGCTTTAACTAACTTAGCCTACTCAATGCTCAATAGCCATTTGCTCTTGCTTAGCTTTATCCGGTTGTGACTTCGAGGTACCAAACCAAATAGGGTCCTACTTAGAACCACAAGTCATTAATATGTCTAAAAAGAACCACGAGTATTATTACTCTAATCTCCGCAATGATGGGTTTAGGGATGATTGATCAACTTCTCCAAAATGCACTACTGGTACCAGTAAGAAAATCACAAATCAATGATCAAGACTAAAGCAAAGCTATAGTAGCTCTCCTCCTAACCTTCTAGAGAAGGCACCTTTCAATTCCTAAGCTCCAATGCTAGTGAAAGGGGCCTATTACTGACGTGTTGAGCCCAGAATAAACGCCTCCAAAGGCAAGACAGCTCGAATAAACCAAGTATAAAGCTGCATTTCTTTCTCTCTCTCTCTCTCTCCCTCATCTGAATTTCAAGTGGTCAGAAGTTGAGAACCGGGTATTATCATCGAATCCTGGAACATTTAGCTGGTCGATAATTGCGTGGCGATGCGAAAGAACATGGATGCAGCTGGGAATCGCGAATCTGGAACCAATTAAGCATATGTTTTGCGTCGAGGCAATGACAAGGAGAATTAGGAGGATAAGATCGCCTCCATGGGAGCATTTGGAATTGGAAAGGTGCTTTGGGGCAAGTGGTTCAGTAAAGCGGCGCAAATAAGAGAAGAAGTGATGCTTTTAGTTGCGGTATCTGATTCTATTCGCTGTTTTGGAAGGTACATATCCATTTCTTAACACGGTTCTGGGTTGAATTTGTTGAGCTGATTTCATGTGAGCAGCAAACTGCTGGACACCACGTAGCTTGCAGGGCGAATAATTCAATGTGCTTATATGGAAAAAGCAGAATAATCTAGATGGATCAGTATGTCTGTCAATGAGTCAGTTGCTATTTGTGTGTTTCTTTGTGGACACATGTCCTACTTGATTATTTATATGTTCATTTGGTTGTATAAGGCGCCTGTAGCTCAGTGGATAGAGCGTCTGTTTCCTAAGCAGAAGGCCGTAGGTTCGACCCCTACCTGGCGCGTGTTTTTTGATTTTGAGATTTTGATTTTGCTTAGAACCTGAACATGAATTCAGGTTGCCCTCAACTTCTCGTCCCTCGCTTTTAACCATGCCATGTTTTCGTTTTCCTCACAATCTGGTTTTGCTTAGAACCTGAACATGAATTCAGAACTAAAAGTTTTTTTTATTCAGATTTTGGTTTTGCTTACAACCTAAACATGAATTCATAACTAGTACCTCCGTTTCAGATTATAAAACTTTCTAGCATGTTCCTAGATTCATTAACATCTATATGAATGTGGTCAATGCTGAAAATTCTTATAATATAAAACGGAGGGAGTAAAATGTTGTCCTCAACTTCTCATCCCTCGCTTTTAACCATGCCATGTTTTCGTTTTCCTGACAATCTGGACATGAATTCATGAAAACTTTGTTAATAATAGTAGACTTGTCCTATGAAAACTTTGTTTTTTTACATGCTACCCCTATGAAAACTTGCCATGGTTAGAAGAACTACTCCACTTATTTTTCCCAACACTTCACTTGTCATATGAAAACTCCACCATAGTCCATATATGTTTCTGAATGTAAGTATAATACTATATACGTCCTTGGTTAGTAAAAACAATAATAGCCAAAAATCCAAAAGGATATAAAAAACGATAAAACGATTCATACTTCGAAAGAGAGGCAGAGACTATAATATTTCACCACAATCCTATTCCTATACAAAACCTTAAACATCAATCAGCAAGCTAATTAAGGTTGTGTTGATTGTTTAATTAAACCTTGCATAGTACTAGCCATATCACCTGGTTGCCCGACATGATTAGTGTAATCCAACACAATCGTAATAGTTAATCATTGCCCTCACTATTCTAAAGTAGTACTCCTACGTGCACTATGCTAGAGCAGCAAACTATCCGGGAGCTTTTGCAGCCTAGAGTCAAGGCCACGGAAACTGTGCTTTGACGAAAGAGGTGTCATTCATGACCAGCATAACAACAACACAACAACAGCAACAGCAACAAGAAAGAAAAAAGAGAGAGAGAAGAAGAGCAATATTGTGGCGACACGAGCCAATCGCTACGGCCGTTTAGTTAGTGATACCAAACTTGCCTGACTGCGACGAACGGCGCATCATGCCACCATGTCTCCCCACCAAATCTCCTCTTTTTGTTAATATATGCCGCTAATTAATCACCTCACCTGGCTATAGCTTAGCCGTAGTTAGTGTGTGTGTGAGGCGCGAAAAGTTTACTTTGCAACAAAAATAAAAATTTCTGATCCGCCCTCAGAAACCGGCACCTCACATGCGTGCACACGAACACGACCTGACGCATAATTAACAGTCTCCCTATGTGAACTAGCCATAGGCGCCAGCTTTGCTTTTAGCCTTTGGGCAAAATCAAATTGTTCGATCCGTGTGTGCTTTTTGTTGTTGTTGTTGTACCGAAAGGAATGGAAGCCCCTTTTTCCTGCGAAATCATGCGAGTTTTTCTAATACTAGTCCTCCTAAATGCTCTCTAATGAGCTGCATGTGACGTTATATCTGCTCGATGTGGATGTGGAATATAGATTATATAAACATTTTCCATTTTCACCTTAGTTGAGTGGTGTCCAAAGGAGAAGTAGAGAAAGCATTTTGGTAATCACTTTCAACCCTACTATTTTTAATATATTATTACAGGTTGGTATCCTAACAAATTAAACATATTTATGTCAAATGTTATTTTACCAAATTCGGTATTTCTTAAAGTTTCATCTTCATAAAAACAGTACCAGACTAAACCCATCAACGCAATTAAATTTTTGTAACAGTAAATATGTGCCAAAACTACGTGATGATACTAAATTTTGGTTGGTCGTGTACTTTTTTTTATGATAAAAATATAATAAATTTAAAGATAAGATTTTACAGGCAGATGTAATACTGTGTCATTTTTTTTAAAAAAATTATGTGATATTTGCTAATTAGTGTGCTAGTTGGTGTGGAAAGGGAAAAAGAAACTGAAGGAGCCCTTTATTATTACTCGCGGGGTTTGCTTACACGTTACCAAGGGAGAACAGTGGACCAGACCAGGGCGCTGATGCGAGGCCGGCCGGTCCACGGCAACGGCTGCTAGTACTACTCTCCCTCCCTCCCTGTGTTGTTTCGACGTGTCGCGTCGCGTCGGCTGGGCCGCTGCCGCTGCCGATGGCCGCTTGCCCGGGGCAAAGAAAAGGAACCACCAATCCACCACCACACGTGCACAACCCAGCGTCCCGCGCTTGTCCTGTCCCGTCCCGTCTCGGCATCTCCTCCTCCTCCCCCTCCCCGCCGCGCGCGCACCGGCAAAAGCGCGCGTGCGTGCAAACGCCCCAGCAAAAAACGCCGCGGAAAACAAGGGGACGGCCGCGCCCGCGCGTCCATGCATTTGCACGCACGCGAGCGGCGCCGCGCCGTGATCCCCTTCTTCCTTCTCTTCCGCTGTTGCGCGCGGCCGCTGATTTTGGGCTCGTTTTTGCGTTTCCCTTCCGTAAACAGAGTCGAGTCACAAGCGGCGAGTCGCGTTTGCGTCGCGTGCGTGTGCCGGTGTGCGTGCCTGGTCGTCCGGGCCGCGCTGGAAATCCGTGGCGTTACACCGAACGAACGCCCCATGCATGCGGAGTCCATGGCCGCACGACGAAAAACTGCCTTTCTCTCGTCTGATCCTAGCTCCTGCAGATGTGCTAGCTAAGCTATGCCATTTCCATGTTCCAAGAGGGGCTCGTGTTGTTGTGGCAGGGTTAGCACGGCCATACACGTGAGGGACATTTGTGCCAAGCAGCCGGCCGTGGCGCGAGGGCCACCACCCTAAATCTCGCTTAATTTCTTCCATTGCAAACGCCCTCTGCAATGCATCCTGCACCTGCGCGACCAGGGACAAAAGGACGCCTCGCAGTAACTATGGAGTACACAACAACACTAATACACGACCATGCATGCACGCACGCCCGAGGAGCATTCAGCACCAACTGCGACACACGGCCAGCGTAGCGTAAATGTGTAATGGCACAGGATGTACACAGCGGCATGCATGCATCTCCATTGCACTGCACTGCACTGCGATACTCCATCGGGTCAGTGTTTCAGCCGGCCCTCGTGCATGCGGCAGCACTGCCACTGCCCCCACTGCAATATCCGTACACGTTCCAGTTTTACAGCAAGTCCGGGTAGGAGTTTCAGCTCGGTTTGTTGTTGGTCTCAGATTTTATCCTCTCGCTTTGCTTCGATCCGCAGAGATTTTCACTTTGATTCCGTTGTGCTTTGATGCCATCATTTTTCCCCTTTGCTTTGCTCAGAGGCCGGTGGTGACATTGGAAATTCAGGCTTGGGAGTTCAGACTGAACCATGATCTACTCTGCTCTGCAGTGCTGTAATCTGAAGAAAAGAGAGAGACACACTGGTACAAACAGAGGCATCCAAACTCCAAACCGAACGTATATGCTGCCAGTATTAGCTGGTTCGAAGTTTTGAACTGATCGAGGACTCCACATCGATGGCCCCCCGCACACGAATCTCCAAGCCGACCCAAACCAATAGTAACCTGGCTCGTGCAGGGGCAACCACCTCGTGATACGTACACATATCCCTCTTGGGGCCCCTGCCTCCCTGCTCCTGCTACGAGCTGATGCTGTTGCTGTTTGTTATCCATTGGAAGACTCAGTTAAGGTTCAAGTATACTAGTATCAAGGGCATATGAAAACACACATCGTGACGAGTATATGCAACTATGCAAGCAAACAAGTGGGGAGCCTATCCTATATACAAGGTCCTCACGCGTACACACCATGTACACCAACTAAAAATTATCACAAAAAATTCTAGAAAAATTCATACAAGCATGCAATGTCGTACGTTCAAATTCATTCTACATAGAAAGTAAAAAAAGAGACAAAATTCTAATAGAATTATAACCTTAAAACTGTTATATTTTTTAATTTTTTTATTACGGCTAAAATATAATGAATTTAGGGTTAATATTTTATCCCTAGGTATAATACTGTTGAAAATACATATATGAATTTTTCTAGATTTTTTTGTGACATTTGGTAGTTGGTGTGTACGTGTGTACACGTGAGAGCTGGTGTACATATAATATGTTGCCAAACAAGTGTAAATGGAAGCGGTTGGGTAATATAAGGTTGTTTGTTTGTTTTAGATTATTAAAGGAACTATTAGTGTGGATTATCTAAAACCAAATATTTGAAAAAAAAAAGTTAAACAAATACTGTAGTTTAAAACAAGTGATCCCAATACTATAGTGAAAAAGAATTATGTTGAAAAAACGTATTCTTTTTGAGTCGTGAAGTATTTTAATAACTCAGTGAATAGGCTGAAAAATAATAAGACAACTTGTGGTTTACTACTGTTGAGTTGCCAGCTTAAAGCTTGATCGGAGTAAACTTTTTTCGGTCCATTTTAATACGCTATATATCTATAAAAAAATCAATAGAACATGATGCTAACAACATATCAACATGTGAATTTTTGTAGGAAACATCTTTCGCTCTAAAGCCACTTTGATTTAGGTATGAACCACACCTTGTAGAAGGAAAAAAAGATTATGTATTCTAAAATTTGTATTGACTTCAATAACTACAACTCCCACAGGTCCACAGTATACAAAAGTTGGTGGTTCTAATGTTCTATCCACATCACCTATCATATTTTGTCCTATAATCGCTCCATTTCAAGAACTTTATATGCTACCATCAGTAGCACAAATATATTCTCCTATAAATTGATCTTTCAAAAATATTCTCCTGGAATTTTAAAAACCAATATACTCATCAAAAAAATTTTATTAAGACCCACCACTACAGTAGACTAGAAGACAAATGCATGTATTAAACACAAAAGGCCACAGAGAAAGCCACCGAAATTGAGGCTATATAAGCTCACATCCACCTCACCCCAACCAAAGAGAAGATTTCATCAGTTCAGTTCAGACAGCTCTCCTCTCCTCACACTCAGCTTCACTCTCTTCCAAAACCCACACTAACCCAAGTCTCCAAGAAGGCAAGAGTCGCCGTCGCCGTCGCCGCCGGCCACGCCGTGTGCTAGCTAGCTAGAGCTGTGCACGATACAGTGTGCTGCGACCATGGCGGCCGCCGGAGCAGCGTTGCGGCTGCGCCTCCTCTACCGGATGCTGCGGGTGGGCGAGCTCCTCGCGCTCGTGGTGTTCTTGTCGTGGTCTTCTTCCCGCGTGCCGGCCGCCGCCGCCGCCGTGGTGCGGCTCGCCGGGTCGCTCCTGCTCAACGCCCGGTTCGTGTTCGTCCTCGGCAACGCCATCGTGCTCCTGCTCCTCGCGCTCTCCAGGCACGACCTCTCCATCTCTTCCAACCACGGCACCACCACCACCGCCGCCGCCGCCGCCGTCTCCAGCGACAGCGCTGGCGCCGGGTCCACGCCAGCGTCGACGACAGCGCCACCCGCCGCCAGCTTCCCTCTGTTCATCGTCCCGCAGCCATCACCGCCGCCGCCTCACGCCACCGAGGCCCCGGTGGTGGCAGCGCCTCCGGCGCCCGTGGTCCCCTGCGCCCCGTCGGTGGCGCCGGCAGCGCCGGCGGCGGCGGCGGCGTTCGAGGACAAGCAGGCGGTGCGCGTCAACAAGGCACGCGCGCCGAGGCGGAGCAGGTCGGAGAAGATGGGCTCGCGCGGCGCGTTCCGGCGGGCGGTGTCGCCGGAGCTGCGGCGGTCGGAGTCGGACAACGGGCGCAGGCGGCGGTCGTCGGTGACGGCGCGCGACGCGGAGGTGTGCTGGGGCGCGGACGACGCGGAGGAGTTCCGGCGGACGGTGGAGGCGTTCATCGCCAAGCAAACGAGGTTCCACCGCGAGGAGTCGATGACCATGACCATGTCCATCGTCGCCGGCGTCGGCCACGGCGAGGTGGCGCCGGCCATCGCCGGAGCACTCGCAGTCGTGGAATAAGTTGGCCTCACATGTCAGTGGAGAAAAAGAAAAAAAATCCCTGTGAAAAAGTACATAAAATGGAGAATTGAAGCTCTCCTTGGCTACATCTTGTGTGCACGTTTTGCCTTGCCTTGTTCTTGTTCCTGGCCTCCCTACTCTTTTTTTTTCGTTTGCACGATCATCGAGGTTTTACAGCCGTTGGATGGTGGATCCGACGGTGGTAACAGCGTTGGATGAAAATCTGAGGGGGTACTTTCGGGAGAGAGGGGCTAAACTCTCCCAAACACCCCCTGAAGCTGTTGGTTGCGAGATGGTTCTACTATTTCAGAATTCTGACCTGACTCGTCGTGTGTCGGGACAGGAGGATGAGCGGCAAACGACGGAGAGGGAGGCTGGGCCGTGTAGTGTAGCAGACGGACGCTTGACACATTGACACGTGACATGATGGATCAGGAATTCAGAATCAGATGCCAAGTGCCCCCAAGAGGACGACGAGTAGATAAACCTGACGCTAGCTGTCAACAAAACTCACGACTACTACACTACAGTAATTAACAGTAGCATTATACGAAGGGCATGTTTGACACAGCTTCAGCTCCACTCCTATTAGAGTTAGAGCTCAGCCAAACAGTTTCAGCTCCATTAAAATTGGGAGTGGAGTTAGATAGAGCTCTCTCATAAAATATACTAGAGTAGTGGAGCTGGGTTTAGGCAGCTCAACAACTTCACTTCAGACTTAACTTCTGGAGTAATATTTAAGAGTTAGAGCTGAATTAAACAGGCCGAAGTACAGTACTGGACAGGGGAGTACTCCGTAAGCAACGACATTACGAAAGAGTACGACAGCCAACGGGCGTAGTTTGGTTTGGCTGGCAAACATGCACTCTACTGGTACTAGTATACTTACATGAAAAAATGGTGGCAAAAAAACTGACACCGTTTTAGACTTATCTTAATAACAGTCTTTCTTCGATCATCCCGGGTAAAAATACTGTTTTTGACTGCATCTGTTTCTACCTATATAAATATCGTATTACAATCGTCACTAAATAGTTAAATATAAAAGTTTTAAAGGTTCGCAAATTATTTTCGTAAAAGCGTAAGGGACTCATCTTTTCGCTTGCTTATACTTATCAGCCAAAAAATAAATTTATAACTTTAAATTTAGAGTTGATTTTAAGATATTTTTTATTGAATTTATTTTTCAGCTTTTGTTTTTAGATCGTTAAAACATGTATATAAAAGTTTTATTTGTAACTTGTTTTTTGTTTGTAAATAGTAGTATGTTGTTTGGCTTATTCCGCGAATAATCGAAACGAAAATCGTTTTTATCGGCACGAGTGGAGAATTGAAGGGTGAATCAGACGTGACGGGAGGAGGGGGAACCGTGGGAAGGGTACAAATTGGTGAGGTATTCCATTGCTCGATATGCCCCCTTCCAGCCGGCGCCTCTGGTTTCCTATGAAAAGACGGATCGACCGGGTTGGCTCATGGCTTGATGCGTCCATCCATCCATCCGTCCATGGGTTGGTCCCATGGCCGAGCCGAGGGCTTGATGCTTGCGTGGAGTGTGCGAGTTGCATTGGAAAATACTGCAAACCTCGCCGTGCTGCTGGCTGCTGAATGCATTGCACCGGCACTGTTGGTTTGGTTTGGTTTGGTTTGGTCAGTCAGAAGAAGAGACGGAAAAGAAACGGAGGGAACAAATTCGATGCTCCGTCTCGGCGATTATTCTCGTCTCCATTACTGCTCTCTCTCTCTCGCTAATCCACCACTAACCTGTTGAAATTAATAGATAGACTAAGACCCATTCGAAAATTAATTCTTTAAAAAATTATAAAAGCCTACCTCATGGGATGGCATGCATGTGGAGTTTAGTACCACCTTGCTTATTCTAGGAGAGGGGACCTCCTTAAAAGGGAGGATGCCCTCCTAGCCACTTGAAGCATTTGTGGTGGAGAGAAAAGGAGGAACACACGTGCGCTCGCCCGCCTCGCCTGATAGGCGCGCGTGCACGACGTACGCGTCGAATGGTCCGCAAAATTGGCTCCTCACCCTTGCGCAGATGCAGCCTCCTTTTGCAGTTTAAATTGGCTCCTCACCCTTGCGCAGATGCAGCCTCCTTTTGCAGTTTTGTTTTGCTGCAGGAAAATTCGGATTTGTTTTGTTTTGGAAACATTCCGAAAAATCCGGTGCGTGAAAACGGCGTGGAGTCCGGATAAGTTACGCGTGACTTATTCGGTTCGGTTACGCGGAGTGGTTTGCAGTTTTGTTTTGCTGCAGGAAAATTCGAATTTGTTTTGTTTTCGAAACATTCCGAAAAATCCAAAAAATCCAGTGCGTGAAAACGGCGTGGAGTCCGGATAAGTTACGCGCGACTTATCCGGTTCGGTTACGCGGAGTGGAGATCGTGCGGGCGCCCTGATCAAGCGACCTATCTCTATATAAACCGAGCCGCCGCCTTCACGCAAAACACACGAAATCAATCTAAGGTTTGCCTCCTCCTCTGTGCTGCGCCGTCGCTCGTAGACTACTCCATCCCGCTCGCCGGCGTGCACCTGCGATCGGGAGAGCAGGTCTCCGGAACCTCTGCCTTCGACGTCCTGCACCGGGAGAAGGCGACAATAAGGTTTTTAGGAAGCGCTTCGCGCGACTGCTCCCTGTTCGTCCGCGACGGCTCGCCTTCCTCTCCGCTTGCGTGCTGCGCGCCTTCGTCGACGCTCGCAACCGCGAGTAGTTCTTGCCGAGCAACCGGTCTTTCCGCCACCTCGGTACGTGTTCGACATATTGTGCATATTTGATCTGTTCATGTTTTACTGCTTAGTTTACATGTGTAGATCTAATGATGCGTTAATGCTAGTATACATATGTAATGTCATGATTTATTTATAGAATATATTAAATCATTATATGCCTATATTCTCAACACATCCATTCGTCCATGATTCCTCTCTCTCATCCTCGCGTTTTATTTTATTTTTCTCAAATTTTCCAAGCTCGCATTGCACTTGTTATTTTTAGTGAAACGATATGAGACAACAGGTATTGGGTTCTAAAATATAAAATATAAAGGATTTTAGATAGATGGATCGTATCCTAGATTTATAGTACAAATATAAGTTTCATCAAACTAAAATCGCTTATATTTTGATATAGATGAAGTAATAATTTAGTGAAGCAGCTGAAAAGAACAGAAGCAGATTGCTTATCACTGTTCCATGCAACAACGCACCGTACTCCTATGCAAATCGACGTGGTAATTGGGCAGGAAACCGCTTCACCGATTGATCCTTCAGCAGAACATATTGTCACGTTAGCAGTAGAAAACAAATGCTCGTCGCTGGAGCAAAAACAAATGCCACCATCACTCAGACACTCACCTAGTTGAATGGTAATCATGGCGGCAGTGGCGCTTTACTGAAGCAATTTCAGCGACTCAAATGTACTTGGCCACTGAACTTTCATGAGGAAGAAACAAAAAAGAGACATTACCGTCTAAATAAGAAAATTAAAATACCTCTCATCAGGTTTCTTTTCACATCGCCCTTCCCTTTAGTTGCTTTGTTCCTCACACTAATTGTTCTTTTGTTATCTCCACTACTGAGAATATTATCCACTGATATAGATTACACTGCTGGTTCTCTCCAAATCCATTATCCACGAAATGATTCCTCTTGCGTGGCAGAGACAAAGGCGGAGTCAACATCCTTCCATGTCCATATTCCAGCACAAAAATAATTCACAACTTTGTTGCATGCTTTGTTAATAATGCTCCAATGCATATGGACCCCCTTGGTCGAGAGCCAAAAAATTAAAATAAAATTCAGAAGCAGTTTATGCATCCATGTCCTTGTTTTCAGTGGATGATAATAGTAGAAGTAGTGGATACTACCAACAGAAGATGGCTTTTGGAATCTGTCACTTTGTATGGTCATAGTGCTGCTTGGCTCTTAAGTATGCACCAACCTGGCCCTACTTGTCCTCTCTTTTGCACTAACTGAAATGTGTTTCAAGTAGGTTTATGTGCAGTGTGTGCTCTTTTGATTTCTCACCAGAAGGAACCACATTACATTTGGCATATATTCTTTGTACGAAAATGTTGGTGTTTAGTTAGATTAAGCCATTGGGAATGATTGGAATGAACCAAAAGCCACTCAGGGAACGGGTCTCCTCCCAGAACAACCAAAACCAAAGCCTTATGTGCTGCTGCGTTATGTTCCTTTTGTTCTAAATCAGTCTCTGTCACTTGGGTCGTGCCACGTACAAACTTGTCGAGATGTGCAGTTCTCCTGGAAACTGTTTGCAGGACCAGTTTGGACGTCTCAACTGATGAATTCTACTGAGATATTAAGATTTCGAACCTTGAAAATAGTGCTGAACTTGAAGAAAAACATGTGTCAAGAGGGGAAAAGAAGAAGAGAAAAAACAGCTTTGGGGAGCAGCTTAGTACACTGGGCCGGATCAGCAACTCGTTCTGAACGGTCCATTAGTAATTTGGGCCACAGTGTGTAAGGCCTTGTTATAAATTACTAATGGCCCATCTCCTGGGAATGGCCAGGATTAGCCCATCAGGAAAAAGGCCTAGCCTGCAATCTGTATGGGCCAGAAGTGGCCATCGCTATATGTAGCCCAGCAAAAAGAAAACCAACGCGGTAAAGCGTAGCGAGTGCCTGAACCACTTTGCCGTTTTGCTGCACATGGTGGTTTGTTTACTGGTGAAGAATGGGAGCTGTAGAAGAAAACTTAGCACGTAAGCAAGGGATCGTAACGACACTGTGCCTCTACCTGAAGTTGTGTAGGGCAACAAAGTGCATACATTCAGAGAAGGAAGCAAGGAATTTAATTGAAGCACCAATTGGAAATGTGGGACAATATGCTCTGAAATCTCGGTCTATTTTACTCCGAATTTGAAACTTTTGCGCAATTTTGAAAATCCTTTTGGCTAATGCAAGGTGTGGCATTGATTTTTTTTCCTGAAGGAAAAACATGTGTGGCATTGCTATGCATGCATCAACAATGTACACAAAATATTTTGAACTCAAAACATAATTTAAGATGGGAAAAGAAAGGTTTTCACTAGTTACTAGATAAATTGCACATGTTCACTGCGAAACAAATTCTCTTATAAAAAGTGTATAGCAAATTAGTAGTAACTATTTAGAAATATGTTTAATTGATACTAATTGGCGACAGATGATTGCACGTCTTATAGCTATGGTTTATAAATAAGCTCTCAAACTTAAAAAAACTTTACACGATTGTGAAAACTTTTTTTTTCTAATAGCAATAGATGACTGGTGGTGACGCGTAACGTAGCTGTGGTTTCTAAATATACTTCATTATCCCAATCTATTTAAAACTTTCGCACAATTATAAAAATCATTTTAGCTATTCTAGAGCCATATGCTAGCAAAACTGTTATCTACTCCCTCCGGTTCCATATTAATTGACGTTTTAGATAAGGTTGAGGTCAATTTTTTTATAATTTTGACCAACAATAACTTTAAAAATATTTAGTTTAAAGGAACTAGAACAACACATATAGATTTGTCTTTTAAAACAATATAATAAAAGTAGATATATATTTTATTTATTATTATATATATATATTATAATAAAAAAATAAGATTAAAAATATATTTTATAGACCGTGTTATTATCTAAAACATCAATTAAAATGAAATCGGAGGTACTACCAATTATCTTTTCTTCCCTGCCTGGGTAGATTTGTTAGGCATGGGACAAACCCTAGGCAGGCACCATAGTTTTTGCAATACAGGAAACACACGAGTAGGGCAAAAATATTTAATATTTTATTACTCCTTGCAGAGACAAAGAGAAGGTTAGGCTTGGGCGTGGTGTGGTGTTGGTGGGTGTGGGCAGTACACCAAACGGGAACAGGAGGCGGCGACGAGGGTTTTGCTGCTCCTCCCCTCCGCAAACCGTGTGCGCGGCGGCGACGCCACAGGGGGAGCTCGCCGCCTTCGGATCGAGAGGGAGGAGGGGCGGCGGAGCGGGTGGTGGGGAGGCGACATGAGAGGCGGGGGCGGCCGGGGCGGGGGCGGGGGCGGCGGTGGGAGGGTGCCCTTCTACGCCGCGGCGGCGGCGGCGGAGCCTCGGGCGGGGGATGCGGCCGCGATCCCGCCGGCGTCGAGGAAGCTGGTGCAGGGGCTTAAGGGGATCCTGACCGACCGCTCCGAGGCCGAGATCTACGCCACGCTCCTGGATTGCGGCATGGACCCCGACGTCGCCGTCGAGCGCCTCATCTCGCAAGGTATTATAGCCCCCGGTTTCTGGCGCCCGTCGTCGCCTAGGCTCCCCCCGGACGATTTTGAATTGTACAGGTTTATTTTGTTTTGCGGCGCGGTGTGCTTGTGAGAGGTTGGAGTACTAGGGTTTGATTTCGCGTGACGATTGCCTCGGACCTGGAGGAGTTGCGCTTTGAGCTAATCTGTTCCTTTATTGTTTTTAGTATTTTTGTCATGTTTCGGTGCTCTTGTAACTCCAAACTTGGACCTTTGCTATTGAACTGCCTGTCAATCTGGTGTTCTTTTTTTAACGCTGTACTTATCTGTATTCACTTGCTGTGAGTTTGATTACATGGAGCTGCCTATGTGGGAAGCTAGTAATTCATATTGTTTTTACAATCAATGAAGCTTATATATTTTCCTGTGCAGAAGAATTTTTTTTCTTGGCTTGAGATGGAATTGGCTACCTATGATGTAGTAAGCAGATTCAGTTTAATATCTTAGTACGATGGGCTTGGTTTGTGTGCTTATTCAGGAACATGATGGTTTATCTATATATTAATATCTGCTGATTGTTTTCCATGTTTGAGTTGTGTGGTTGGTGTGTATAGATTGTGTGTTGGATGGAATTGCAACATGTTATTCAACTTAAGCTATACAATGATTTGGTTTTGGAAGCTTTCTTCATGCATTTTATTTACCTTTCTGTAGAGATCTATTTGCATTCATTATTATTTAGTGTTACTTTCTATCTGTTTAATGCTTGGTCTAGGTACATTGCTTTTTAGGAAGCTGGTAACTTTGAATTGTATCTGGAATTGCATCCAGTGGCATTTATCTATTTGTGTTGGGATATTTTTTTTTCTGTTGGAACTAGTGCATTAAAAGACAATTGTTTACCTCTGTTAGAAGCTAGTGTAACGAGAATAATTCCTTTCTTTGTTGGGAAGAAAGTGCTAGACTGCAAGCATAAAAGTGATACCTTAGGTGTTGGTCGCTTTTGTTGGCTGAAGGAGCTAATCAAAACTTGTCCTTTCCTTTTATTCCTGAGTGTCTTATTTGTCCTATACTCATGCAGTCATGCTCTATACAATGCTTACCTGTGCTATGTCATCTAGCTGATCTATTTCTAATAAATGCAGCATAGTATGGAACTATAGATCAAAAACATAATTCCATGTTGGTAGTTCCTCTAACTTATTTTCATGTCTGTTCAGATCCTTTTCATGAAGTGAGAAGAAAGCGTGACAAGAAAAAGGAGGTAAGCATATGAACTCTGAATTCTATATGCTGCCAGTTCTTAAGGAAATTCACTGTTTGGTTTTCCTCCCTGTTTATTTTGTGTGAGTTTTCCATCTCAATGCGAATATAGTGTCATTGATCACATACGAGTTAGAACTATGCTACATGCTAATTTACCGTTGTTGTTTGCCGCAATACCTGATGAGTAGTACTGAATTTATTTCTCATTCTCATGATTTGTTTACAACTGTATGCCATTTTTAGGGACTAGGTCGTTTTGTATCAAATGCTTTGTTCTCGCGATACTGTATAAGTGTATTTGATGGCAGTTAAGTTCTCTTCAAGGGAAATTTTTATGTCATTAAATTGGACATGCTTTGCACATGCGCCGCCAACATTTTTATACTGAGACATATGCAACTACTCCATCAGTACACTTCTCACATACGCCATCATGTGACTGTGTCCAAGCCAACCGTTAGCACATGAAAAAAATTGATTTGACCCCTAGATGCTGTGTTGGTGGGACATCACATAAAGGGGGCAATCTGAGGTCTGAGAATTCTGTTATGAGTTCCAGATTTTGAAATCGTAATGTTGAAATTCTGATTTTGTGTAATCAAAATAATAATTTGAGATATTACGCTAAATTTCATTTATTTGAACTCCAAATTCAGACATTCAAAGTTGAAATTAGCTTGATGTTTGATAATGTAGTTGAACTGAAATTGAAATTTGTTGGAAGTATGCAATTGGAGTTTTTGAGCATCATAGAATTCAAATTTTAGTCCTTTTAAGTTTTAAGCATTCTCTAGCCTTAGAGATGGCCCCCTTTAATCGCTGTCCCATCAACACATCACCCAGAGTCAAAGCCACCTTTTTTTTTTCACTTGCCTAATAGTTGGCCTGGATGGCATATGCCCCACAATGGTGTATATGAGAAGTGCACCAAGGTAGTAGTGTTATGTGTGAGTCTTTGAGAGCTTGCAAAAATTACTGAATATTATTGATCTCTGAAGTTTGTCCAAGTGACATTTCTATGCCATTTTTTGTTCTCCTAACAAACTCTTATTATTACATGTAGATCAAAGCACCTCAGGAAACCAGGCCTCGGCCATTTTATAAACCTGCATTTCGAGGATCTAAGACTGGAGGTAGTGTGCAACATTATGCATTATGACATGATAATGAAATTTGTTTTTTTTTAAAAAAAAAAATATAATGGGGGCACATTCTGTTACCTGTTAACATTTTAGGAGATTCAACTGGCAGTGGTAAAGGCCCTACCAAGAAAGAAACGGAGTTACATTCTCTTCCTAAATCATCAGTCTCTGATTCTGTGAAGGAAAGCAATCCAACTGAGAAGATTTCAGCAGCCGAGTAAGTGAGAGTTCTTGATTTTTGCATAGTGTTTTAGCCATATATTTCTTGTTTTCAGTTAATGTGCCTGGTTTCTATTTTTGTATATGTTATCCTTCGGTATTGTTGATTGATGCTCGACATTTTGTTCACTCTTCCTTTTGCTAATGGAAGCACTACAGAAATTACAGTGCATGTTTTGTCTGATGTAACATTATATTTTAATTAGATCTTTGTTAGCTGTCTTCCCAGTAGTATGATGCATGACCATCCAACAGTCTACAATTCTATTTTTGTTTATCTATGTGTAATAGTTTGGATGATTTATTCAGCTCCCGTAGGTAAACATGAGACTTACCAACTGCAGTGTCTTAACGGTGTCTGTTTTGTAATACTTTCTAGAAGGTGGATTTATCGGAATATCTAGTTTGTACATAATGGAGTCAGGATTTCTCCATATATGTTAATGAGTTTATGACCTAAAATTATACAACTACTAATGTCTTGGCAGAGTAGTTTGTTGTCTGGGAGACATCATGTGTAGTGTTCCAGAAATTTTCTTCTCTCTTTATCATGCACTTTTCATTTTTGTAGACCTCCTAACCTTTTATACTCATTTTTCAGCCATGCTACTATCAATGACAGTCTTATTTTATCAAGTGGCCAAGCTGATGCAAAGTCCACTCCTCTCCAGCCCCCTTCTCAAGTGAAGCATGGTTGGGGTGGGATGCCAGGGCGCCCTTCCATGGCTGATATTGTCAAGATGGGCAAACCCCAAGCTAAACCTGTGAGATCTGTTGCATGTAATACCGGGATGCCAACCATTGGTGGTTCAGTCATTTCCAATGCAACAAATCATACTTCAAAAGATTCACAAGACCTAGTTTTGCCTTCACAAGTGAACTCTGTTGCAACTGATAGAATACCAAATGGTACCAATGAGGTCTCCCCTGCATCTAATGACTCCTCTATTGATGTATTACCTCCCAGAGAGGGGTTGGAGGTGCCAGAATCTGTCGCCACAGTTAAACCTGGATCGTCAACTGCAGATGTTTACAAAGATGAAGTTGAAGAAGACATGGATTCTGATAAAAATAAGGATATGAGTGCAAGCAATGCAGACGATCGAACATCTTCAGGACCATATCCTGCATCTAGCAAAGAAGTACACTCAGAACATACTCAAATTGCCACCCATCACAATGACTTGATAGTGGAAACAGAGGACTCTCAGTCTGATGGCAATGCATTTGAGAATAACCGTGGTAGGTCATCTAAAATTGCCCCCACCTTTTTTATGACTTCATATGTATGCCTACACCAAATGCGAATATATATTCTAGAAATCTAGAACATAGATTTCGTGTTTCGGCATGGTATAGTTTTGTCTATAGTAACCAGAATACCCATCAAGCCATTGTTATTACATTGAATCGGAAGCAATCTGATTTTATTTTTGCTGGCGGCTTGATCTCTGCCTATTTGTCATTTGGCTTATGTGTTGGTGTTACTGTCTGACATGGATCTTAAGCAAGTTCCCATATCCAGCACTAAGCCCGTTTCTTTCTACTAGCTACTGCAAGTCTAAATCCGATACAATACTGTCTTAAATTTTTGCGTTTGCTTATATAACTACTAGTACTACTTAGGACTGGAACCACTGTCTCCATCAACATCTTGACTTTAGCATGAGACTATAAATCAAATCCTCATGATGAGTAATGAGTTCAATACAAATTATTTATTTTGAATCAAATTCTCCCTCCGTTCCAGAATATAACAAGTTTTAGGGTTGGACACGATTATTAAGAAAGTAGGTAGAAGTGAGTGGTGGAGGGTTGTAATTGGATGAATAGTGGAGGTAGGTGAGAAAAGTGAATGGTGGAGGGTTGTGATTGGTTGGGAAGAGAATGTTGGTAGAGAAGTTGTTATATTTTGGGACAAATCCTAAGGGCTAAAAGTTGTTATATTTTGGGACGGAGGGAGTACCTTTTAAGGTTGTTGCTCATTTACCCGAGAATGGACCAGTAGAAAGTTTGATATATTTTATTTGTTCGTATGGCTCCAGCTATTCACTATTATTACCTTTTTATCCAATCTCTACTGAAACTACAACTTTTCATATTTTACGTTCTTACCAGGACCTTTTTATTATATCTTAGTGCAGCACCACGGCCTGTGAAGGTTCTGCATGTGCCTTTTTATATTACATTTTTACACTATATATTTTCTAATTGGCTTTTCTGTTGGAAGTTACGAGCCTCCTTTCTAATTGTTTATGATAATCTATTTCCTTAGTTGCAGATTCAGAGGGAAATATGTCTGCTACTGACAAACAGTTTGAACAGTTGATTCTACATGAGGAAAAAAAATCAAAATCATCTGAAGATAACCCGGCTGTAATAATTCCTGATCATCTTCAGGTTTCAAATGCTGATTGTGCACACTTGACATTTGGTAGTTTTGTGTCTGGAACACTTGATGCGCCAGTCTCCTTGAAAACTGCCAATGGTGATGAGGAGGTTGCAGCAGTTTCTGATAACCATTCGATTGATCAGTCAGATGTCAGGTATGTATTTGTCTGTCGCATTCTTCACTTCTTTTCAAACATCATGTAACATCTATTTCCATTTTTCAGAATCCATGAGTACGAAAATAAGGATACAGTAGCACCTGCAGCTGACGAACATGTTGCCTCTTCAACAAAAAGTGACACGGAGAATGTTGATGTTGCACCTGTACAACAGCCTGAATTGAGAACAGCCGATTTAATAGATGTTCCAAACAACACCATGTACAATAATTTATCAACCTCCGATTATGCAACTCCAAGTGCAGTGCAACCAGATTCTTCCGCACACATTTATCTGCAAGAACATCGACAATTGCAAAACATTTCCCCTCTCTCTAGCTTTATGGTATTGGCTTCTTTTTGTTTTATTAAATAATTTTACATTGATACCTTATTAGTAGTTTCCATATGGAATTATCTACATAAAAAATTCGGAATTGTGTTTTTATTTTGTATAAGCCCCATTTAATTTAGTTTCTGCAAGCATATCTGTCAGTGCATCCCCCAGTGCATGTTCTCTAAAATAATGGAATTAACTCCATCTAGATAGAGATACATTACTTCACTGATGAAGAAATCTGTGGGCGCATTTCTGTTTCACTGTTGATGATATATTATAACCATTAACACCTATCTTTTCTTCACTGAGAAGCTTATTTTACTTATCTTTGCAGCAAGGAAATATCCCGAATGGACTATTGCCACCAGCACTTCCACCTTTGCGTGACTTTGATCCTGCTTTCTCATTATTACTTACTAACCCACCATTGGCTACGATGGTTCATGGCACAACATCATCGTCCATGGGCAATGCAACTACTGTTTCTACACAACCACAAGAGGTGTGGAACAGCTCATTGAATAATTGGACTTTTTATCTACTTCATACTTCCATGCTATCTTTTGGGTCATAGAATCAATTCATAAACTAGCTTTACTCTTTGAATAGACATAGTAGCATACATATTTGTTCTGATAAACGGCATTTATGGTTATTGATGAACTTAAACCTGTGGTTTGATGAGTTTAATCAAGTACACGGGTATTTCTCCTCGTTGCATGGTTTTGCTGATGATTTCGCTTGATGGCTTCATGATGCAACTAACCTGTATAGCTTCATGCTATGCAACTGTTTCTTTTGTTAACTTTGTCGTGAAGGCACTATTAATAAGCCAGAGACCAGGCAGTAACTAATCGAAATTTGGTTAAGTTTGGTCACATCATTTGGCGAAGTTCCATTTGCATAGCATTTGTTTTGTTATGTTTTTTTTTTAAGCCTGCTTTGCTGTCAAAACTGTACATACTTACTACAAAAGTCACGCTTCAACCTTTGGCTCATCATTTTCTCGCAATAGTAAACGCATACCTCATCAAGCTGTACTTTTTTATCCTCATTTTATTGAGGTTTATCTTGTGATTTGTGAATATATTTTCTGCCTTAATTTTCTTTTGGATTGTTTACCTGTGTATCATTGTTCTTGTGGTGTCGGCTCTTGCAGATTGTGAATCCAGGTGCTTCATCCAACCCTCAATTGAATCAATCTCAGCCAAGCACCAGCACCAGCATTGCTTCTGGTCCTCCACTCCCTCAGCATCTCACGCTTCACCCTTATGCTCAAGCAACTCTTCCTCTTGGGTATGCAAGCATGATTGGCTACCCATCTCTAGCCCCAAGTTATACATATCTCCCGCCTCCTGCCTTTCAGCAACCATACATGAACAGTGGCCTATTCCACCAAGCAGCAGCTGCAGTTCCCAATTCCAGTGTAAAATATCCTTTGCCACAGTACAAAGGCAATGTTTCCCTTGCGAGCTTACCCCAGCAAGCCTCACTGCTCTCAAGCTATGTTGGGGGCTTTGGAGCTGCAAGCAGCATGCCAGGAAATTTTGCCCTGAACCAAAGCACACCATCAGCAACCGCTGCTCCTGGGTTTGATGGAACAGTGCCCGCGCAATACAAAGAAGGGAATCAATTTGTATCTCTTCAGCAGGTAACTACCATGGCACTTAAATTTGTACAAGCATGAATTCAATAGCAATCTAACTTCCGTAAATTTCTTGCAGAGCGAGAACGCTGCGATGTGGATGCATGGTGCCAGTTCGCGAACAATGCCACCTCTTGCAGCAAATGCCTTGTATTATCAAGGGCAGCAGGGTCACCAGGGCGGCCTTCGGCAGGGGCAGCTGCCTTCACAGTTTGGTGCTCCACTTGCACCGACACAGCCCGGCCTGGGCCATGAGCACCGGAACCCTAGTGACGGCAACTTAAGCTCTGCTGCCGCTGCCGCTCAGGCTAACCAAATGTGGCCAAATAGTTACTGACCCAGCCTTTGAAACCCTTTTGAGTGTGTGGTCCTGTTGTGGTGCGTGCTACGTCAGAGATGCCATGCAATGCTTTTGGCCTGATTCAGGCGCCTGAATAGCAACTGTGTATATGAGTTGCTATGTCGACATTTTGGAGAGGCAGAGGAGATGTATGTTTGATCATCATGTTCTACTACCCTTAGCATTTTCTAGGATGGCCTAAAACTGTAGCTCTATTTATTTATATTCTGATAGAAAGGACCGTTCTTTCTCAGTTTGTTTTGTTCTTCCGTTTACATATCATGTAAACAATAAAACTGAGATATCTAACAAAGCAGCACCATGAATGAATTTCAAGGAAGCAAAGGATGAGCTAGCTTTGTATCACCTGTGTTGCGTGCTTTTGCTTCTTTTTTCCCCTTGTTTCGTTTATTATCGGCAATGGCGTGTCATAAGCTGTAACTAATTGGTGGTGATTCGATAAGGGAAGTAGAATGAATGCAATAATATCCTTTGCCTGTAATTGCTTTAACCATAATGAAATGTTTAACATCCGTTAATAAGTGTTTAACCTGCATGGCATATGTCCAATCGGTCAGAAACAACACATTCTCATACTCCGAACTCCACCAGCCTCCTTTGCTTTTTTTTTCTTTTTTTTTTTGGCAAAATGCTTATGGCGCTGTTTGGGAAGCTTAAAATTATGAAAAGTAACTGGTGAGAATTTAGAGAAGCAGGGGAACACGGCTTCTGGTTTCTAGTTTATTTTCTAAATTTTACAATTGCAGCTTCTTAAAATTTGAGTAAATATCTGGATTGTTTGGAGGGCTTTTGACAGTGGTAGTTTTAAGAAAAATCTCTCTAGCTGCCAGAAGCTCCCCAAGCAGGCCCTATACCCAGTGCCCATGGTCATGGGATTGGTGTCAGCCTGCTTCTCCTAGCTCTTCTGACCAAGGCTGTGTTTAGATCCAAAGTTTGGATCCAAACTTCAGTCCTTTTTCATCACATCAACCTGTCATACACACATAACTTTTCAGTCACATCATCTCCAATTTCAACCAAAATCCAAACTTTGCACTGAACTAAACACAGCCCAAAACATATTATGCGCATTAATTTTGCAGAGCCGTCTCTGCTTTCTGGTTGTTGCATCAGTACAAGTACCAAAATACTACTACACCAAGCTTGTACTGATTTGATCTTGAAACAGAAGCTTGGATCCTCAAAGACACCGTTGCCACGAGGAGGCATGCCAGACAGTGGCGGAGCCAGGATTTTAAAGTTGGGTATTCCCGTCTAAGCGTTAAGCTGTTGCCCGCCCCTGCCCCTCGCGGCCGCCGGCCACCCAACCGACCTGACCGCCTTAGCTTGGCGGAGTGTCGGGCGCCGCCCGCCGTGGCAATGGCCTCCCCCTGCACGGTAGCACGGTCCAGCTCCCGCCGCCGATTGCCGTCTCGCTGCGCCGCCACCTAGGGTTTGCAAATGGGGAGTGGCGCGAGGGAGCCGAGCCAGGGTGGGATGGGTCATGGAGGGAGAGCGAGAGGGGGCTGTCTGGAAGAGTGGTGGCTAAGTGGGTCAACTGATGTCTGATGGGTCATGACGGAGTGGGTCGGGTTGGTTGGAGGCATCGCAAGAGACCAATTAGGCTGTGTTTGGATAAAAGAGTTGAGGATTTAGGTGTACAAATATGTGTACATGTATATATACTAGAAGTATACTTATTTTTTGATAAAAAATGTTGGGTATTCCCGGGAATACCCGGGAATCATGGTGGCTCCGCCACTGATGCCAGAGCTTGGGATTTGGATCCGGTGCAGTGTTCTGCTGCTGCCGGTGACGACGAAGTCGCAGCTTGTCTGGACGGTCTCGCCGGACTGGATGGCAGAGCAGCGCCGCCGTGCTCGCCATGCACCAGCTCCCGCGGCCACCGGGTTCGCCAGCGACGGGTTCATCGACGTATAGTGGGGTTCGTGGCCGGGTTATCCACCAGGACGGAGGCGAGCGGCGAGGTCACGTCTCGTTCCAGCATGTCGTTCACCGACTCCACGCCGGCGAGCTGCCGCGACGGGTCGTGAAATCGTGATGTGGCTACCAGCGCTGCTCCATTGTGACTGTAATTGTTTTGAACCACCCCTAATGTTTAAGGTTTAAGGGTTTAATCTGAACCGCATATGTTAAATCTAACGATTACAAGCAACCCAGGTGGTTCGGATTTTTGGACTCCGAACGACTCTGGCCCTCATGTTCAATCTTAACGGTTGTCGTGGAACAAGAATTTGAACCCACTTTTAAAGTAAAACAAGAATTTGAACGACTCGGCCACTCCTCGCTCCCCGCCGCCCATATCTGATCGAACGGTCACGAGCAACCAAGGGGTCCGAGATTTAATCTCCGACGGTCTCTCCGGCCTCGTAGCCGGTGAGATCTGGTCGGCGCCGGCGCATGCAGACGAGGAAAATGGGGGAGGCAGAGGCGGTGGATGCCATCGTTCTGCAGGAATTCTTCGCCGGTAAGTGGTAACCTGCACGGCGTGGTCGCCGTCGCGTTCCCATGACCGGCAGTGGCGACCAGTGGCGCTGTGGCGGCCTCGGCCTCGGCGGCGCCACTCACACCAGCATCTCGGTTGGTTGCTCTTCCAGAATCATCTCTTTGCACTGAAATACTCCCCCTGTTTTTAAATATAAGTGTTTTTGGTTGGATGTGATATATCTTAGTACAACGAATCTGGACATGTTTTATGTCCAGATTAATTGTATCATTATACGTCACATCTAACCAAAATCCCTTATATTTAGGGACGGAGGGAGTAGTTTCCTTCCTGTGTCTGTGTTCGTCTGAGTAGAGGAATTGTTTCTATATGTAGGTGAACGCAAAAGTTCAGCTCAATGTTCTTACTGATTACTACTAGTAACTACATACAGCACCACATGCTACTATTTCTACAGCTAGGAGAAGTCGATCTATCTATCAATCTTGCCGGCCTGCTTCTCCTAGCTCATCTGACCAAAACATATTCTGCACATTCATTTCTCTGCTTTCTGCTTGCATCAGGGCAACTGTGCGAGTACCAAAACATCCACCAAAGCCGTGCAGTTTCTACAGATTTGAATCGTGAAACAGCAGCTTGGATTCTCACTTGTACAGGTTCAGAGAAACCGTTGCGACGACGCACGCCAGCGACAGGAGTGTTTCCTTGCTGCCGGCCATGGCCGCGGCGGCGCCGATGTTGTCGTTGTAACCCGGAGGCGACATGGACCCGTACAGCGGAGGGGAGTTGTTGCCGAATCCAGGAGGAGAGTTGTCGTAGCCACCGAAAGCTGGGTTCGTCGGCGTCGACGTGTTCAGAACCGAAGCACCGGTGCTGCCGATTCGATCGCACAAAGAAAACAAGAGAAGCAAAAAGAATTTTCAGCGAAATTCACATGCTGCTTCTTTCTTGTTTATTTGTTTCAGACTTTGAGTTGCTAGGATTTTACCTCGTCGATGGGTACTTGCACGATGAGGAGCCTGCAGAATTGCAACGAGAGGTGAATGGATCTGTCAGTCAGGAGATGGATTCTAATAGCTCGAGTAGGCATCCATCCGTTTATTGCATATCAACTAAATGGCTACGAAATTTTTTTAAAAAAATCGACAAGATAGATCAATATATAATATATCACTCCACCAACATGCATGTTCAAATTCAACTTGTACGAGTTGTCACTGATCATGCTCTTGCTCTGCTAGAGAAGGGAAATTTGGTTGCTTACTGGGATCGGTGCTGGTGAGGATGGCGGTGCCGGCGAAGTCGCAGCTGGTCTGGACGGGGTTCTTCTGGTAGTAGCTGTTGAAGGCGAACGACGCGTGGTCGCGAACGGTGTTGGGGTTGAAGCAGCCGCCGCCGGACTGGATGGCGGAGCAGTCCACGCCGCCCTGCCCGCACGCGTAGTCCAGCGCCACCTGCAGCGCCGCCGTGCTCGCGCTCGGGCTCGCCACGCACCAGCTCCCGCCTCCGCCGCCGCCGCCGCCGCCCGCGGCCACCGGGTTCGCCAGCGACGGCGTCGTCTGCGTCCCCGGCATTGCCGCCGGGTTCGTCGTCGACGTCACGGTGGGGTTCGCCGCCGGGTTATCCACCGGGACAGTGGCGAGCGGCGAGGTCACGTCCCGCTCCGGCGTGCCGTGCGCCACCTGCGCGGAGAGCCGCCGCGACGCGTCGTGATGCGCTTGTGTTGCTACCTGCTCTGCTCCTCCTCCCCCTGCAGCTTCTTCAACCAAAGCATAGCTCATTGTGAGTAGTTTTCACTTCATATTTCCATATTTATTTTTGTTAAATTAAGCAAAAGCACACTTGACACTTGTGTTTACTAATCTGTGATAAAAGCATGTGTTTGTCTGTTGCTGTGACATGACACTCTGTTCGTCAGCTTCAACTAGTAACTGATTTAACTAAACGGAATTAAACAAACAAACAATTTATTCATTCTAACCTAGCAAAAAATTTCTTCCAAGCAGAATCAGCAGTAGTAACACCATCACCTCAAATCCTAAAACAACAAGACAGAAAGCTACACAAAGACGCAAACTTGGTCAGTAACTAAACTCACCATGGCTGAAGAGGAGTAGAACAAGGAGCCAACCCAAGCAATGAACTCGCCAAAGATCCATGGCACAATCTTTGCGAAAAGCTCTACTAAGAACACCACCAAGAGTGATAAAAAGCTTTGGCTTGCTCAGCTCTAGCTGCAAGTAGGAGTGTGCTGATTCAGGAAAGCGTTAAAGCGAGCTAGCTGCTGCCTCACTCTTGTAGCAAGTGCATCTCCTGATGCTGATAAGCATCAGCATAAGCATGTCTTGAGAGAATAATCTCGAGGTTTTTTCTTTTCTTCCCCGAGTGGAGGGGTCAGGGGAATAAGAGGAAACTTGGGCCGGGAGGCTAAGAGCTTTGCAGGATCACGCAATTTCGAGATAATTGTGAGCAGCATGCAATAGATTAAGCAAAAGTGGCAGGAAAGTAAAAAAGAAAGGTTGGGTGAGTTGGGAGGTGAAAGAAGAGAAATTTGTTCTCTGTGGGGTGCTTTCATGATGGCTTTGCTATGATGATCCATGGATTTTCCATTTGGCACGCAGCCGGGCGCACCGGGATTAGAGCGAATATTTTCAGATTCGCACGCTAATTATGTATTCTAGTATCAGGTTTACGCAGTACTTATACTGCCAGAACACAAAAGTATTCAGATATTCAGTCAGAACCCCTTCAAAATTCAGTCATGGTATGGTATACGAATGTAAAATATTTCCCTTTCAAATTGAATACAGGAATTCTTTGACAGGTTCACCGGTTTCGATGTTTTGAATAGCAGAACATGCACTTTTTAGCCGATGCTGCCTGCCTCTCCTTTTTATATTTTTTTACAGTGCAAGATGATCACTTGATGATCAAAGAATGCATGGAAATGGAAAAGTTGGGTCACCTGGAGCAAGCTCGGTCTGAATCGCGTCCAGCTTCCAAACTTTGCATCTCCTTTTGGGCTCCTCGAGCAGCTGCACAGATCGTAGAAAAAGCTCGTAGATTTGCTTTTTGTCCCCTCGAATTGGTGTTGCGCTCTAGGCGCCGTCGATGAACGTGCTTGCATTTCTGAACTCCCAGCCAAATTAGTATAGCACTGAACAAACCTAGTACCAATAGTGCCTCTGCCTCGGCTCTATGCAGAATCACACTAGCAAGCTGGTCTAAAGGCAAGGAATGTATAGTGCCATCTGATTAGCTACTTAACCCACTGGGCACTGGTCATTGTTCTCATGGACTTTCAGGTGCAAAGTTTGGTGCTGAAACTTCTGAACATTAGAATAATGAAGGTCCTTAGATGTGACTCATTTTGCTTGGCAATTTTTAGACATTCATTTACAACTAAACAAGTAAGATTGGAAGATGTAGAACCAATGGAAATGGAACTGAACCCTCATGATTCCTCTTGTTATAGTGGACTTTGCCAGTACCCAGTGGCAATCATGGTCAATTAGCGATAGCAATCATGGGTCCAACAAACATACAAACTAATCAGTAGCACCTCATATAATGTTATCTTCATCCTGTTACAAAAAAAAATTGAACTTCAGTAAAAAGGAAAAGTTTGAAAGATCAATCTACATGCTAACAAGACACCGCAGCCGCCTCCTAATTATTCTACTATCAATTGCTTTGATCTAGAATTCATCCTCGCCAGTTGATTACCAGATGATTAAAAAAAAAGTCATGTGCATTCAATTTTGTTCACTAGGCCTCTAACTGCTCTTATGTCATCACAAGGCTCTGCCATGTGGTTGGACAAATACTGGATTTATTGTTTCTCTTGAACCGGTCTATCAATCATGAAACATTGTATTTCAAATTATCTGCTGTGCAGAATAATAATAATAATAAATCTGAAAGCACTAACAAGGCAGATTCTTTACACATTTGATGTGGCTTGCTTAAGATATTCCAATATGGAATTCAGTACTCTCTTGGATATGCCACATAGCCACAGCTATATACTACCTCAATTTTTAAATATATGATGCCATTTACTTTTAGATATGAGGTCTGATCATTAGTCTTACTAATAAAAATATGGAAGTATTGTGACTTGTTTTATCATTAAAGATACTTAATCATGACTTATATTATTGCATATTTGACAAAAATCTTGAATAAGACAAAAGAATACTTTACGCTAGATATGGAGAAGGAACAGGATATGAGCAAGACAAGACGAAGACACGATGTCATAATTCATGAACCATCTGAACCCACCCGATTTGTGCCTGAAACTGATGGAGCTAGCTCTGACCTTTGCCGGAGAAAAATGGCCCTGCTTTGGCACTTGGCACTCAGCTATGCCGTCCAAGGAGATAGTACATTAGGCACAGGACAGAGGAGGCTGCGAAGAGATCACCGGAGAATGTGGCATTCCGATTTCCGAACCCGCCGGTCTCGACAGTGCCCGGCAATAAGCCAAGAACGCGGCGGATGACCGCTGGCAACGGCCCGGTGATTCGACGACCAATGCACTGTGGATCGCCGGAGCTCCGCCGCATGGTTGCAGAAAGCGGACAAGGCACAATGGACGGCACGATCCATCTAAGATCCTGAAATTTTACTTGCAAACAACAAACATCGGATGCAGGTCCTCTGCAGTAAATGCAGAGAACACTGTTTGAACAGTGATATGGGAGTCCCTGCTTAGATCCTTTTCATTGCTACCGGCCCATATTTTGCACATAAGACCCTCTTCCGGTCCGCTATTATTCCGAGCGGTCCGGTATATTTGCAGATGAACCCTAGAGTCTCTGTATCTGATAGTTACAGTGGTAAAGAATGTTTGGTTTCAATTATGAGGTCCCGTGTTTCTCCCTCCAAATCTCATTTTTGTTTTTAACTAACATGAAACCATGCCAAACAATTAGGTTTCAAAAAAAAAGCCATGCCAAACAATGGATGGAGACGATGATTGCTTGAGGGTAATGGTGATGGCCCGCTGCTAAACCGTGGATGCCACTTTTTGCATGACAGCTTGAGATATTTGAAAATGAGAAAGAAATATATGACAACGACGACGACGACACATTTGAGGCTTTGGGCTGAATCCACAACGAACTTCTCGGATAAGAATTGAGAAAGGCTGTATGTCCCAAGGCCCAAAACTCTTCAATCTACATACGTGAGATGAGCAGGAAGAAGAGATTAGAGATTCGGTCACTTATGTCCCTTCCATCCAATTTGAATTTGAATTCTTCCAAGGGTCATTCACAAATCGATCCGGGAATTCCCGCCCCGGCAATGGCCTTCTAACCGTTTGCGTTGTGTAATCAAAACTCTGCTTTCTTCTAATATATATTGACTATATATATTTTTTGCACGTTCGTGAAAAATCGATCTGGGAATTGAAATTCTGGAAAGGTAAGCGGCCAGTTCTATCGGCCATCTGGTTCTGAATTCTGAAGAACGGTTCGTTCAGAAAAGAATTTCAAAGAAAGCGCCGAAATGAGCTCGACTGCTATCAGGTCTACCTGGCTAGTACTTCTAAATTCAAGAATTTCCAGCGAGACTTCTGTCAGTTTGCAATAATGCCAATATCTTAAATTCTTCCTAGTTTTTTTATGCAATGGAATAATTCTCTGTAGCTTCCAACTCAATAATTCATTTCGTTAATCCCATCGTCCTAACACAATAATTCCAATATCTTAATTCTCTGTACTACTTCTGTAGCTTCCATTACTGAATCATGGACACAAAAACCACGTCAAAAATAAATATATATTAAGGACACAAAAGCCATGTCCACAAGCAAAGATGAAAGACCCGACGACGACCGAATCAAAATCAACACCAGAATATAAATAAGGAAACCAAGCAATTGTTGACAGACATTGTAGCTATGATGAAGCTGCAGACAGTTAAGTATGGGTTTTGTGATCCAAGATGTACAAGGGCCCAACAATCTTCCAGCCAGACAGGTAACTGCCTCACTGATTGATGAAAATAAATTGGACCCGTACTTGTGGTGAGATCCATTGCTTTTACTACTTGTGGACTTGTGGTGAGAAGTAGTCAGGATTCGTCTCTGGAAGACAATGGCAGCCGTCAGTTTTCTGTGGCAGCTAGAGGAAGACAAAGTGCATTAGTGAGTGACCCGTGGTAATTTCCACATATTTCACCTTTTTTTTCACGAACGCGTGAAAGTATTGCACATCAACATATTAGAGATTTCACATCGTTAGCTTCAGAAATCTCCATCACTGAGTTTTGGTCTGGAAATACACTCCTCACATGAGTTCATGACTTGACAAACACTTTGCTCATCTATATCATTTTTTGCCAAGATTTGACCTTTTCTTCTTCAGAATCTGCGGTGTCTTTGTTTTGTTATATATATTGAGGAGTATTATTGGAATGTCAGCTGCGTGCTGCACGAGATGGAACAATTCAAAGGCAAGTTGCAGAAAAAAGAGCAACCCATGTTACTGGTTTTTGAGTGCAAACTACAAACAAACTCACATGCTGAAAATTTGAATACGCAACATTCTCTTTCTCACAAAAGTATGTGCACGTTTCACCGCTTTAGGCAAGCCTGTCACCCCTAAACAAAATCTTCTGCTGCTGCTGCTGGACAAGCAGATGCAACAGTAGCCACTCCCATTCCATGCCGTCCATCTGTCCAGATGGGTCATGGCCATGGGCTACCACAATGAACAAGACAGCCAAAAAACACTGCAGCCTCAGCTTTGATCTGATTGTTTTCATGTCATCTCAAGATATCTTCTTCACCTGTTCGTCCATGAAACTGCGAATGGACGAAAGCGATGTTGAATGAAACGATAACTAGGTCACCAACAGGTGGGCCCTCGTGTTGGGTTGGTCTCAGATTTTTTTCATTTATATATATTTTTTTGGCTAGGGGGGTCTTAGATTATTAACCTCTCGAAGCTTCTCGTATCATTACCGATCACCATGCTCCCACCTAAACAGAAAAAATCTGCTAGTAATTAACATCATACATTCATACACTATAATTTAATTCGGATGCACAAAGGACAGGGTTAATTTAATCTGATTAACCCACAGTAATGACATACAAAATAGCTTGGACAGCGACCGGTAATTCGCCTTCAACCACGATTAGAGGCGAGGTAATGACCCACCCCATACTTAATTATCGTCGCTAATAGTGGATTAATTACATGGGAAGCGACGCGCGTGGATGCGTGATACCCAAACTGCCCTTGCCTTGCTTGCTGCCTCACATTGCCACCCTGGACCCGTCGCCGGCTGACGTGGAGCCAGCCAGCGCGGCCGGTGGTTGCTGCTGAGTCAGCGCCGCCGCCGCCGCCGCCGCGCGGTACGCGGCGCAGACCGGCCGGGCGGGCACGCCGAGCGCGGCGTCCATGGCGGCGTCGCTCCACCGGTCCCTCATTGCCCGGTTCAGCCGCGCGACGAACCCGCCGCGGCGGCGCTCCAGGTGCCCCAGGAACCGCGCCGACATGCAGTGCGGGGCGTCGTCGTCGTCGTCGTCGTTAGCCGGCGAGGCCTCGACGGCGTCGGCGCCGGAGGAGAGGTAGTCCACCATGGCCTCCGTGACGCGCGCCGGAGCGGCGCCGCGGCCGTCCCACAGCCACATGCGCGCCACGGCGCGGCGCACCGCGTTCGCCACGGCGTCGGCGGCCTTGTCGCTGGCGGGGTGCATGAGCCTGGGGCTCAGAGAAATGACGTACTCCCCGGGAGCCACACCGGCGGCGATCACCGTCGCGTCGTCGTCGTCGGTGAGGTTGTGCCCGGCCATCCTGACGGTGACACGTGTGACCTGCTTGCGCGGGAACGACGCGTCCGGGAACAGCGCCGCCTCCACGCCGCGGTTGGCGTAGTGGAGGATGCGCTCCGCCTTGCCATTGGACACGAAGAAGAGGTCGAACCGCCGGCCGGCGACGGTGTCGCGCGGCGCGGCGTTGACGATGTCGACGTGGAAGCCTTTAGAGGCCTCGTGCCGCGCGAACAGTGAGACAGAAGCGACGGCGAGGACGGCCACGACGCGGGCGACGATGCTGGCGGTGGAAGGCGAGGAGGAAGACTCGTCGGCGGTGGCGCCGGAGGAGGAGGAGGAGGCGGTGGCGAGGGGGAGGTGGAGAGGAGCCTCCATTGGTGGGTGGAAGGAGACAAGGAAGGCCAGCGAGGCAAGCAAGCTTGGTGATTGTAAGTGAGGGAGATTTGAGATTTTTCGCGCGTTATTTAATGGAGAAGCTTAACGTCGGAAGCGATTAGTTTTTGGGTTAGGTGTTTGATGCTTCATTTCGTCAGCTTGCAGATGTTCGCGCGGGGCTGCGCAGCGCAGGGGGAGTATGGTCATTTTTCTCCTGTTTTCTGGCGATCTCTAGTTTATTTTGTCCCATGATGATGATTTATTGATTTGGACCCACAAGCCACTACTACCACCACAGAAATCACCGGCCATTTCATCACAGTATCACACAACTCAAGCCGCTAATCTGACCAGTGACTACCTTGTAATCCTCGGCTTCCACCTCTAAAAAACTCACATCTTCCATGATATTTTCCTCGCAAACACATTGGCTCAAATATGTTAGACTAGACTAGGTGATGCTCTTTTCTCCTAAAAATGACGAAGATTAAGTATTTTACACAAAACAAGATGGTATTAACATATGATTAATTGAGTTTTAATTATTATAAACTTGAAAAACATATTAATTTAATATTTTAGAGTGAAATACACCGTTTAGCATCTTAAAAAACGTGTCACAAGTATCTAAAATTTTATCCAATTTTTATTGGAGAGTATTTTAACCAGTTTGATGGATACACAAATTGTTTTTTTAGAATAAACGATTTACGCATACACCACTATATATGCCACATCATACTCCCATGGATACGTCCTCTAACACATGTTCAAAGAATCGAAATCAATAACATATTTTTTTATCTTATTAAATCATATTGAAATGTTATTTGTATGTGCCTAATATTGATAGACCACACAAGTTTTGTTTATGCACAAACAAACGTTTACCTCAGTGTCAGATTGCAGCAGCTAATACCCATATCCTAATTGTTTGGCGCGCAGCCAGCCTGTGCTGGAGAAAAACCGCGCCGCCGCGCACCTCCTACCTGGAAGTTGGGCAACAACCGGTGGGCGGCGTGGGCGCCAACGCCATGCACACCACCACCCTTTGCGCTTGCGGCCCTGCCTTCTGGTGCGCCAAGCCTGTAGTCCCCGCCACGCCACGCCACGGCGTCGCGCGGCGCGGCGCGGCGGCGCACGGCGCGGTGGTGGTCTCTCGTCTCGATCGGTCCCTCAAAACTAGCGGCTGAGACTGTGCGGCTGCCTGTGCACGGTGGCCTTTTGGCCTTGGCGGATGATGGCATTCTGCCAATAATCCACGAGAGTTCTGCACATGCATCCAGCGAGTCTCCACGTACGGCTCCTGTCGGTTAACGGTTATTTCCTTGTCAACTGAAAGAAAGCTCCAAAAATTTCAGAGACTTGCAGAGCTGGATCTGTACTCCCAAGCAGCTCCCACTTCCCAGCATGATCGTTTTAGCTGGTCCAAAAAGCGCAGGATCAGGTCCAAAAGCACAGGTCATCAATCAATTAGCGCCTCAAGTAGCTGAAGCTCCGGTGAACGAGTACGAGGGTGGTCCAATGGATAAACCAAAAGTACCATGCTGCATGCATATGGAGAAGGAGAAAGAAAGAAAGAAAGATTGGGGCTTGCCCTTTATATTTCGTTTTACAAAAGGGAAACCCTTCCTTGTAGTATCATTCTGTATAGTACACCACATGTTACAGTGCTTTGAGGGGAGGAAATTCTTACACTGTTGTATCAACTTAGGAAAGCATCTACAACTCCCAAAGAATGCACAACTTCGCTAACTGTGTACAGTGTTTTAAATGGGGGAAATGATAAATCAAAATTTGACTTCTATACCTACATCCTCTGGCAATTCAATTCCCAACTAGAAGATCGGCAGGTCCTTCATGGGAACTGTATCTTTACCTCCAAATGCAAAATGGAATTGAGGCCTGAGCTGAATATCTTACCACCAGATACCAAGCACACAATTTTCAGGAACGACCTTCTATCAAGGTCATTTACTTGGCAATTCTACCTGTAATCACGTGGAACCAATACTGAGGAAACTGGGATATATAGAGACAGACTATGTGAAAGCCGTAAGTATCTATAGTAGGTTCCAGCTGTTTACCTATACAATAGTAATTTTCACAAGAATAAGTGAGCAGAAATACAGGCATGCAGATATGGCAATCCCTGCAATAAAATTTTGATATAGCCGATTGTTGTCTCTACTGGGAATAAAAGCTCCCTTCAGTACACCTGTGATCTCAAACACCCGGTATGATAGCTGCAGTATACATCATGGAATTAATAACTTCGATGATTATAATTTTTGAATGAAAATGCACCCTGGGCAGGTTCACTTACAAGAAGATAGATTGCTGTAGTAAGCATGAAGTTAAGCAATGGATAATCTGGTACAAAAGATAGGAGCCATTTTGGCTGCCCATTTGGCGTGCTAGACCTGTAAAATAAGAATCAGCACCGTGGTTCCAGTTCTTAAAATTAAAAACACTGGACACAATAGAGTGGACAATGCCAACAAATCCTAGACGTATTTCATATTAGAAAGAAATTTTGACATGTATTCTAATCCAGAAATCTTCATTTCTTGTGTTTTTCTTGAATTTGAATTCCGAATTCTCTTTGAAAGTAGAAAATATATTTTCAATGTTAGCATCAATAAATCTAAATCTATCATAGTTCTTATGATAGCTGTAGGTGTTACACCAAGTAGGTTAAGTCAACGCAGCTGAATACACAACCCGTCAAATTGCTTGTTTATTTTCATTCGTAGTTCTGTTCATACATTTGACATCAGATGCAGAGCTGATTACTGGACTGGTCATGCGTAAATTTTTTTTTTGAACGGTCATGCATTAAGTAATTAAAACAACAGTAACACATGCTGAAAAAAATTGATACCATACCTGAGCCAAATGTGAATCTGGGAAATGTATGTCTCTAGTGTGATCTTGCCAAGCCAGCTATTGAAAAAACAGGTTAAAATCTTAGTAAAAAATAAAGCCAATAAAGAAAAAGAAACATCATTATATTAGGTGCTTACGCGAAAAGAGCCAAGGAGGCACTCCTCAACTGCTGGGTGCAGTTGCGTAGGCAGATATAAACACTGTAAAACAACGGTGTTGTGTCAATTCAATGTTTTCTTTTTGCTGAAAGTGTCTATTCAATTAAAGAAACAATTTACCACATGCCATATAATCATGGTAGTGTTTTTTATACGTACGTGATAGGAATCCATGACGTGTAGGGATGGTACTTGTTGTATGTAATTTTGTCTAGCCTGTAGATATATTCATACCATAGGTAACCAGCCTAAAATGAGGAACAGAAGTCCTAGTTAGTACAGCATTTGAAATCAATACAGCATCATGGTTTAAAACAAAAGCAAATCTAGTTGGTAAAGCAAACAAGTATGTCATCTTGACAATATAGAAAGTCTGTGCATTGGTAAAAGATGGATGCAACTTACCGTCAAAGAAAGAGTGACAATGGCTCCCTTGATAAACAGTCTAACCTTAGTCTCAGATTCCTCCAACTTCTCCATCCAACGTTCAACCTATTTCAGATAGCGGATTCCATGCTACATTAATATATAGTATAAACAAGGAACATATTCTTAAAATAAGAGAGAACTCCCTAGGAAGAAATGTATGAAAGGAACACGGTATATGTACTGCTCACTCATGCAGTTCCAAAGGGAGGAAATGTGGATCCATAACCGAATTACTTACATTAGGGTGGAAGTAAGCATAGATCATTCCAATAATCCATATGTATCGATCAAGGCCAGATCGGAAATGCCACTCATGTAGCAGGGGTAAGTTTGCCTTGGAAGGCTCTGGATCCTTATATCCTGTACATGAAAGGAAAATGGTGTAAAATCCTATCCATGGTTAATGAGAATAATGCTAAGACAGAAAACATGCATAACTCACCTAGAAGAAATGTAAAGGGGGCCCATAAAAATTCAAATACCCCAGGAATTTCCCATATCAAAATGACAGTCAAGAAGCAGCAAGCAATCTTAATAGCCATGACAGATGGTTTCTCATTGTACTTGTTGAACAGACCAAGTGATCCGTATACCATCAGAGTAAAAAGTGTGTGCATTGGACATATATAATACAGCATGTAATCATTGTCAAGGACAATGCAACAGAAGGCCACAAAGAAATTTAGCCTCCACATCATCTGCATTTAAAAGATGGTCTTTAGTATTTCTAAGATGGTTACAACAAATCAAGGGGTAAGAAACAACATTGGATAATTGGGCTAGGATGGAAACCTGTGCAAATCTTGCAATGCTAAAATCTTTCTTGATATAATAATATGAGAAATTCCCGAATCCAGTCATCCAGACATAGGCAGCAATGAACACCCGAATTGCATTGTATATTTCTGTGGCAGCGAAATAGTGGTACATCAGAAACAAGACCTGGAAAGGCAGATAAAATAATTATAGCACACTTAAAGCCAACATACAAGTACTAAAAGGATTGCATAATACAACAGCGAGAAAGAATATAAAAGTGCTACGACAGTAGTTGGAAATTTCTGAGGCATGAAATGGCTGTAACATAGGGCTTGTCCAAATAAAAACAGTGCATGACATAAAACTGAGAGCACGATTTGGATAAGAATACCCAGAGTTTTTTTTTCTAACTCAATGCCTGGTGAACAAACATCAAAGTACATTGCTTGCGTGTACAAAACAGGAAGGATGATAACCATGCGCTATAAAAACTCAGTACAGAAATAACTGAAATCACATTTACTAAAAGAACAGAAGCAGTGAAGTAAAGTCACTAACCTGCATCCACCCTTTCCATTCCTCAGTTTGGTGACGATTAAGATAGAGTATTGACTTTCCAGTGAAAGCTGATTTTTCATTGTGCTTCTTAAGTGAAGTAAGTGCCGATGCTATGATAAGAAGAATGTACAGAAACAGAAACAGGTCGCGGTTGTAGCTCTGTCAAAACAACACAAAGATTACTATATACTGCAGAAATGAACATCATATAATGCTTTTTTGGCCTAATTGAGGTAAATCCCTAAATTCTAGCTTATTAGATCAACGAGAAAAGTTGGCCAACAAGACCCCGATCCCCGACTTATAACCTATCCCCTTTCTACAAGCCACATGCTCACATCCATTGGCTATGAGTTCTGTCTGTATGAGATGGCAGAAAGCTTAAGCCAGTCAGATAACTAGATAAGGAACAGATATGTCACCTACTTAGCCCTAACTCACGGTCTCTATCTTGTTTTAGAGATAAGCCTACACTGAAACTAAGGCAGAAAAGTCCCTATAACTTGCAAGAATTAATTGCAGGAAGAACAATTAAGAAACAAGATATGGTAGATTATAAAAAACAGTAAGAACTATCCCCAGGGATGTGGAACAAGCTACAGTTACAATTTAGCCAAAAGCTACATGTTGCAGTTTACATCTACTCCATATAGTACATCATTGAGAGTGTCAAGAGTAAGAAAAGGAGCAATATGGTTACCTTCTTAGTTTCTGGAAATATATTTGTCCGGTCACAAATGTAAAAGTAGACCAGAATAATGCCCACTTCGGCCCTGCAAGAAAGTTAAAGGGTGTGCGTCTTAGCACGAAATTCTAGAGTGGAAAAAATTAGCTCTGAATAGTCTTACATTGCTCTTAGCACAGCACGGTTTTCAAGCAGAAAAGACTCGTCCATTGTTATAAACCTGCAACTCACAGCCACATCGAGACATCACTTAACTGCAATAGAATTTGCTAAAATCCTAAAAACTGTGCATTATGCATTCAAACAGTACCGTATTAAATTTGCTTTTGTAGACATGTTTCGGAGCTTTGTAGATGGCGATTTTGACTGCCCTCCTTCAAGTAATACAGCCTTATCATCTTCCTTCATAGTCTCATTCTCCAAATTAGCATCCGAGTGACTGCAGATGAAAAGAATGCCCGGATAGGAGGAGATTAGACCATGGATTTTTCAACATTTGCATGAAGTAAGATATGTCATGCCAGTTTCATCACGAAAACTCTGGTTACATGATTCAATTATTAGGAGCAATGGTGGGCAGTTGACTTCGAATATATGCATATCAACAACCAACTCTAAGTTCCTAAAGCTAAATAAAATTATAGTATTCAGAAAGAAATCTTACACTTTCCCATACAACAAAGATTTCCTGTATTCTAAGATTTCGGCGTAGATCCATCCAATGAGGACAGGGAAAAGACCCAGCAAAAACGAAACCTGCAAGAAATGAAAACATGGAGTTATGTTCATCCATGGTAGAGCCAGACAGTGAGCTTAACTTGCAGCGATGTTTGTTTAATTTAAGTATCATCACTAAGCCTAAAAATTCAGATTGTAAACGTCAGTCGAAGTGTCATATAAGAATGGAAGTAGAAATGGCAACCACGGCGACTTACAGATCACTCATACAGACACAAGAATTCTATTCCCCTTCACAACATTCACTAAGTCATAACTTTTTTATTGGGCATCAAAAATCTGATTCAATTTGGCTAAACATGCGAAGTTAAAACTAAATTAGTACTAGCTTGGAAGCTAAGACACCTCCGAGGGGACGGAAGGCCAGGACAGCGGTTAGGTGAGCGCTCATGTGACAAGCGCGCCGTATTAGGCACGCAATTCTCTCACGAATCCAGGAAGGAGAAACCTTAAAAAAGAAAAATTCCATAAGAACCTTCACCAAATTGCTCGTGATACACATGCCGCACTCCGTTGCCGCCGGCTTGCCGCCACAGGAATATACTACTGTAGTGCACCGAACGAACACTGCACGCACCCTCGCCGGAATTCGCTCGGAGGAAACCGAAACGGGGTAGAAGAAACAGCAAAGCGAAAATCAAAATTCTCGCGGCGGGGGATGGGATGCACGCGCTTACTTGGCCGGGCGTGACGGGGCCGAAGACCTCCATTCCTCTCGCGGGGATCAAGATCCAGATCCACGGGAGACGAGTCAACAGCAGCAGCAGCAGCAGCAATCAGCAGGCCATGGCGCGGGTAGGGAGGGAGAAGCAGCGAAATGGGAGGGTGATGGGGATAGGACTTTATATACTGCTACGTAATGGCGGGAGGGGTTGGCGGCGGGTGAGGGAGGGGGGAAGAGGAGATCTGAAGCAACCGCGCGCGCGGGAGGGACGGGGGCGGTGGCTGGTCGCGGTCGGGACGGGAGGGAGGCCGGAGCGGAGCGGGGAGTCGGCGGCAGAGGCAGGCGCAGCAGGAGAATGACGGGGAGGAGACGCGAAGCGGTTGGTTGCATCGGTTGACGGGATGTGGTGGTTGTTGCGTTTGGTGGGGATGGGGCTCCTTTTTCCCTTCGTTTCGCCTCTTTTTCTTTGGGGTGTTTAGATCAGGCGTCACGTACTCACGTGTCACATCGAATATTACTATAGAGAGTGTCGTATAAGATGTTTGGTACTAATAAAAAAGTTAATTATATAATCCGTCAGTAAGCTGTGAAATGAATTTATTAAGCCTAATTAATCCGTTATTAGAAAATGGTTACTGTAGCAAACACATTGTTAAATCATTTGCAATTATACTTAAAAGATCCGTCTTGCAAATTAGTCATAAGTTATTTTTTTTCTATATTTAATATTTCATATACTCCATCCGTCCCATAAAAAACCAATCTAGTGCTTGATGTGATACATCCTAGTATAATAAATCTGGACAGAACGAATCTAGACATACATCTGTCCAGATTCGTTGTACTATAATATATCACATTCAGTCCTAGATTCACTTTTTTTTTTTTAAGAACGAGGAGAGTAGGTCTTTAATATGTGATAGGGTGTAAAATTTTAAGGTGGGATCTGAACAGACCCTTTATATAGTTTGGCTTGGTTTGGTTTGGACCGGGACCCCGTCGTGTCGTGTCGTGCTCGGTCTTTTTTTCCCTTGGTACAATCACAGTGTCACATATACCGAGTCAGGGGGATTCATGAACTGCTGGTGCACAAAAGGTGAATGAATAAATGATTCTGGATTTGATTTCTTTTGGACTCGGTTTTGTTGGTCGATTATTGGGGGACTGTTTCTGCCTTTGTGGTGTTGGTGGGTTAGTACGGGAGGAAGAGGTATGATTGGGAAGGTGTGATTTTAATTTTGTGGCTTGGTGGAAAAGGAAAAAAGCATTCTGTAACCGAAAGTTTGCTCTCAAGGATTTAGGGAAGGTGGAGAATGTGACATGCTGCTGTTAGGATATATTTTATGATAGTGTAAATTTTCACTAAACGGTTTCTTCCATTTGTGCTGCCTCAAAATTAAAATCACACCTCTAGAGCGGTAGAGCCTCTGTGGACCATTTGTCTATTTGTCTCAACCGTGTGTTACCGCTTGCCTCTCTTTTGGGCGTTACATCTTGATTGGTGTGATTTGCCGGTTCCCAGAAATATTATTATTGATAGGATTCCATTCATCCAACGTCGTTAAAGTTATCTTACAACACTTAACGAAGTGCTGCTAACGGAACCCCAACAGCAATAACATTTCTGGCATAATGGTATTTCATGGAACTCGTACTTATCGATGGTATTTTTTGGAATTTGTGAGATTGTCAATAATACTTCTCGGACTTTCTCATTATTTTTAGTTAGATTTATTTTAACATGATTAATTTTGGATTAAATTCGTGTGAGCTTTGCAGTTAACCTCGTTTTGTCCTAAACTGGGCTTTTCGATCAGGCCCATAATAGCCCATCATGCGCTAGGCCCATAAACTACAGCGCCCGTCCGTACGTCAGTACATGCTCCGAGCCTCCGACACATGCCGTCCGTATGCATGATACGTGCACCCAACCACGTACGCACGCCCAGAAAAAAAAATATCGATGGAGTCAACTGAAATTAAGCTCGTTTCTTTGCGACAGCGTTCATGCATCATCTAGAGGGCCAGAGCAGCTTATTTATGTCACTGCCGGATTTGATGCTGAGAAGATTAACAAATTGAAAAATCGCGATGCTCGCGTTGCGTCATTGCTAATGTCCGTCGTTGTCGGTGCATGCACCACGTCAATTTGCCATTGGCTCAGTTGGTCATCACTCCAGTAATGCTCCGGCAGCCACGGCGTGCGGCGTGCGGGCTTGCAACCACGGCGCATGCAGCCTCGCTAGCATAGCATTGCGGTAGATCGGCATACGACGACTTGGCCGGAACGAACGACTCGGAAGAGAGTTTTGGCACCAACGCCACTCTAGTGTCGCATCGCATGAGAGCGATTATTACATAGGAGAACGTCCACTACCGCGCGCCCGGCGTACGTGCGGGTGCGGCCAATTTCCAAGTTTCCAAGGCCAAACTACAGTAGCCTGCCTGCTGCCGGCCGAAGCCGAAGGCGACGGGCCACGGCAGCGACGTGATAGGCTAGGCGGGGATGAATATCGGCCCCCAAGTCACTTCCTCGCTAGCCATCCGCGTTTGTCCACGTCGGTCCTTCTCCCAGCACACGTTCCTTCCTTCACTACTGTCGTCGCCGTTCCGTTGGCCATTTGGATCCATTTCTGTTGCAGACTCTGCTCACAGCACGCGCAGCTGGCCTGCTCATGGCCAGTAGACAATTAATATACGCATTTCCAGCACGATTTTGCTAGATATTTGTCATTAAATTTCTCCCCCTAATATTTGTCAGATGTAATTACAGTACAATCGTAGTGTAATTACACTGTAACTTGCATGTAATTACACTGTAACTATAATGTAACTTGTATGTAACTTTCAAGAATCTCTCGGTAACATGTTATTTCAGTAAAATAGAGGTCGTGGGAACAAATTCTTTCATATATGTGTGTGATGTGATTTTTTTCTTCCTCCATAGAACAAATCTTGTAATAGATCTAACGATTCAAAATTACGTGAAACTTACATACAAGTTACACTGTAGTTACATGCAAGTTACAGTGTAATTACATACAAGTTACATTGTAATTACACTACGATTGTACTATAATTACATCTGTCAAATTTTTAGTAGAAAATTTGTCGACAAATGTATAGGTGGTCCCCTTCTCAGCGAGCAGGGCTTTGCCCTCACCTCGGCGAAGTGTGCCCTTCTATGATAAACACGAAGAGACGCTAGACCACTTTCTGGTTGGCTCCCCGGAATCACTCTAATTTTGGTGGCTCGTCCTTGGTGTCATCGGCCAAACATATAGTGGTTCCCTTCCAGCGCAGTCCTTCTTATAGAATCGTAAAGGACATTTCCCACCCCAAAAGCTAGCCATTGAAGTGAGGGGCTCCCCCACTTATATCTTAGATCCTTTGCACTTCCATAACCAATGTGGGACTATTCAACAATCTCCCCCTTCACACATTGGTGTTCCTCAGCCCTTCACCGCCCCTTCACCGTATCCGGGCCCCCACTGGCCTACGGTCCATCAGGTATACGGGTCCCGCAGGCACCCACGGTCCATCAGGCCTTCACAAGTGTCCATCGGGCCAGAGATGTTAACCTAGCCAGGCTCTGATACCAATTGTAGGATTGAATCACAAGAACTAAGCCAACCAGAGGGGGGTGAATGGTTGGTATACCCAAAAACCGAAAACTTTTAGCGGAACTAAAAGTTACCCTCGCTGCCGGTCTGACCGCCTGGTTGCCGTCGGTCTGACCGAGATTAGATCTCCGGTCTGACCGCCGAGATCAGCTGCCGCTCGCTGTCGCCGCCGCCGGTCTGACCGCCGTGCTCCCGCCGGTCTGACCGCCGCAATGCCGCCGGTCTGACCACCGGTGAGTTGCCGGTTAGACCGCCGAAACCCGGTGAAACACAAATCGAAGAACTCTTAAAGTAGATGACGACTTTATTGATTCTCTATGTGTTTACAAAGTGCACCAACAGCACTCCTTACGAAAATTTCGACTAAACTCGAAACCCTAACTCAAAACTCAACTCAATTGCTCTCTAAAGCGATACCGGGAAGCCTCACGCTCCCCCTCTATTTATACATGAGGTAGGCAGCCTAAAGCCACGAACCAAACTCATACTAGGAGTCCTAAACACCCTAGGAAATCCACTAGTACAAGAAAGAAACTTTACATAATCAATCGTACCAAATTTGGACTCCTTCCAAATTCGACTCCGCATCCCATACGCACACAATAACTCCATCGTATGCCATATGGAATCTCCATCAATCACGTGCATCAACTCTAGCCTAAGTATCCCGCATGATCTCTGACCACCACAGACGTCGTCTTATCCCCAAGCCGACTCCCGGTCCATCACCGCAAATACTCTCCCGAGACATCGAGTCACCTACACATGGAACAAACAAAGAAACCATATTCCGAGACCAAGCTATCTCCAATTTGACTCATTAGTAGCAAACAATAGTATTACATACGTATAGTATCCATCTAGAAGTCATAATCATGAAATAAACTCGGATATCCAAATAAACAACCCGAAACCGAAACCGACACAGTGTCGGCCGGTCAGACCGCGGGCTGCGCCGGTCTGACCGCGCGATACACACCGGTCTGACCGGCTACCAGAGCCCGGTCTGACCAGTCCACATAAAATGATAGATCCTGCGATCACCTGTAAATCCGATCATCTCCAAAACCACTTCGTGAATAAAATCTAAATAACAAAACCAATAATCTCCAATGCCCAATTATTTATCATAGAATAATAATCAAAAACACCTGTCGGTGACATGGGGCTGGGGGTATCGTGACTAGAGGCTTGGGTAGCCGCGGTCACCCACGTGGCCTGACCCCCTCGGGGGGGTCGGGCCCGAGGGTGACGTGGCCACCCCTCCCTCTGTCTCCCCGAAGGGTCGGGCCGCTCCCGTTTCGGCCCCGAGGGCTGGGGCGCCCCGACCCCCTGTGGTTTTGGCGCCACGTGTGTGGGTTAGGTGAGCACAGCGGGCTCACCTAACCGCATTTATAGCAGGTTGGACGAGCGCGCCACGCCGCATTTAATGCGGCGCAGCGCATGCTTATCCGGTCCGTGACCGGTCGCGGTGTGTGACCGGTCACAGACCGGTCAGATTGCGGGTTAGGTGGCAACAGGCGGCCTGTCACATGCCTCGCCCCGTCCCGTCGGAATGATGAGAGCTTCCTGGCTCTCGTCCCTAGCCGGAGCCGGCGTGCTAACTCCTGGAGTTGGTATGTCAGTCCCGGTCAGATCCATTCCAGGCTTCAGCGCAAGTATGGCAAGGAAGTCTTTGGCCATTAAATGAAGGTTGAAATGGGCGTCCACCGGAAAAGCGGGCGAGCGGGGCAGGAGGCGTGTGCTCTGCTTGTCAGAGGTCACTTCCGGCTGTAGACTAGCCCTCATTGTAAAAA